ATAATTGTGTGCTTCACGACGTGTTCGGGAGCGGGTGTCTCGCTAATCGAGTAGTTGCATCGGGTTTGGGGGTTCATCGAAACAAAGGACTGGCAGATTCCCAAGCAACGTGCTTGCAGGATCCCCTTGCCGAAGGATGGATGCTTCCATCCACAGGGGCCGCTAATAATATCGCGCTAATCTTCCCCGCTCGCCAACCAGATTCGTGGAGTGGAGAACCTAACCCCCGCTACGCACAACAGCAGCAGTGATCGGTCACGTCAAGCCCAGGGCGTGCCCATCCATGAGCGAGCAAGAAGAGTTGGCAATTCGTGAGGAGTTGGTCGTCACCCGAAAGCCAAGAAAAAGATGGCGACAACGGCGTGCAAGGACCGTGTGTAGTCGTTGGCAGTAATGAGACGAATCGGGCCTGCCCTTTTTTCATTTTGTTTCATGCAGATCTCAAACCAAGGGCCCATCATCCTTCTCCCCTTCTCTATCTCTCTCTCGCCTCCAGCGGCAGCCCCGGCCCCAGCCTATCCGCCGGGGCAGAAACAAGATTCTTGGAAATAAAACGTGCGGATCGATCTCGACGCTGCGACGATGCGACGCTGCGCAGCTCGGCGAATTCGATTGCCTCTTCGGTCTTGATGTCTCGATGAAACGCGCCAAAGCTCCGCGATGCCACCGTGCAGATGCCCCAAAGAGGACTATGGTCTAAGCCAACGGCGTGCAAGCGGAGGGCTGTCAAAGGGCACGTCACCGGAGCTCGGGGTAGTTTCTACCAATGGGCGGGCAGCCCACGCGGACCTGATCACACTCTGATCGGATGTCATCACGGCGCTGACAATTCCCCGTGTTTGGGTCGCAACCTAATTGCCGCTGCATGACGATGCTCAATGCGCATCTCGCTCGCCCGGCGACCAAAGATGAGGTTTGTTTCTCAGGCATTACCCTCCGAAACGGGGGTTTCTAGGTTCATTTGTTTCGCCGTCGATCAAAAGAGAGACAGCCCAAGGTTGTTGCTATTTTGGGGTCTCCAGACGAAGTCGTGTCTACAACAAATGTCGTGCAGCGATACAGATTACAGCACCTTCAGCATGCAAGTATGGGCGGATTGCACAATGCCTACTCCGTACGGGTTAGGTTTTGAACATGATAAAAGGAACCCAAGCAATCAATCATCTTGCTTACCTGAAGTCGGTTATTGATTCCTTTCGGGGGCCTGTTCCTGGAAATCCCAGATTCAGAGACAGCGATCTCGCAATCGAGAGTCTGATCGAGACAGTGGTCACTGGTGGCCCTGGGCGGCGAAGCGAGAATATCCGTATATCCACAATTAAAGGACACCCGAGGTCAATCAATCTGGAATCTCCGGATCGAACCACCATCCATCCACAGGCGAGCGGGCATCTTCATTTCGGGACCACCTAAAGCGTTCGCTGTCAATTCTGCATTGTTCTAGCGCAGTAAAATACCGCTGCTACTACATCAGGCCCCGGCTGACCGAGGAGATGGCGAGCGTACGTACACATACCTCCATACTATTGGACAAAACTAAAATGCGTCGACACACTCAACATGGTGGTCTCTTCACTTATCACCAAGAGGGCACTCCTTATGGTAAGTGTGAGGTAGTACTAGTACCGATAGTAATTTGGAGATAATTTCCAGCTAGTCCCCGGAATATTCCCGTCTCGTTCTTTCCTCCTCCGAAAAAACACCCCCTGGATGTTGCCTATTACCTGAGTGCCTGCCTTTCAGGGGCATGCCTCGAGCTGGCTCCCTTCGTGCCTGCCGTCCCGATGTACTGTACTGTACCCGAGGAGGGAAGGACGGAGGGTGTCCTGCTGAAATGGAACCAACCCGACCTAACTTACGCCTGTCAAATATTAGAGCACGCACGCTCGGTGGGGGAAATCCTCGAGCGATCTGTGTCTCGTCACATTGCTCCAGATGCATCTGATCACCAACACTTGTCTGTGATGACGCCCTTCGGTTCTTCCAGCTCCGCCCTCAGAGGCAGACCAAAAACAGCTGGCGTCGAAGGTTGGGGGAACCGGTTGACGGAAGCACATCCGGCCCCCAAAGACGGCGCACTATTCGACGGCGGGGAGCGAATCACAAACGCACAACACTGGACGGTTCTGCGAAACCATGGACTACACAGCATCTGCGGATATGGAGGCTTGTTCTTGTTCCATTGACACGCTGGACTGGCCGAGTCCAAGACTACAGACACGGCCGGGCTTCTCCGATGGGGAGCAGGCTGCGCGAGCCGGCATAGCCTTAACGCCCCCCAAACTTCTCTCATCCCCAGCCCATATCGGTGTCTCTTGCATTAGGCTCTCGCTCTCGCTCCCTCTCAGCTGCGCACAATTCGACGAATTGAACCAGAGCTCACGAAATGTGCACAGACACACCATAAGCATACTGGAGTCCTTTGCTTGATGGCGAAAGGTTGCCAAGGTGTGGGCGGCGCCGTTGCCTCTAGTGGAAGCCCCCCCCTTTGCCAGCCGTTGGAGAGATCGACATTGAGACCACTCGATGCGGGCCGGCAGTTAATTACGACTGTTTTAGCAGCTCGAACGGCTTCCGATCCGCGACGGGCCGGGTGGCATAGAAGCAAAGGTTAACGTAATGACTTCCAGTCCTGCCAATTGGTCTAAGAGCCTCACCTTTGCTCTTTCTCCTATCAACCATTTGGCGACCTTGAATCGTCAGTCTAGAAGTCTGGGTAGCCTACTCTAAGCCTTGGGGCAACTCAACTCACGAGAGCCCACGCCATGCCGGAGGTTCCATGCCTCTAGTTGACGGCAGCCGGGGAGGTGGAGGCAGGGTTGATTGATTACATCCCCGGCCTTCACGGAACACACCAAATACCCCTCCCTGTGCGAAGCCGCCAGGCCTCACTGGTGACTGGTGACCCTGTCGGGGCATGACTCGATCGGGAATGGTTTCTCTCCAGGCAAACACACCCAAGCATGCGGCCAACACGAACCCACGACAGAACCAAGCATGGGCCCGTCCTGTCATTGGCTACGGGACCATAGCCGCGGACGAGATCAGGCGATGACTGCAGGAAATCACATCTCACAACCTTTCCTCTGGGCTCATCGGGACGGGTCGGGACACCGATGTTGCTCTCTGCTCACACTTTACAGCCCCTGTATTTACTGTCCATTCCGTCCACAGCGCACTACTCCAACTCGTGTATTTTGCCCACTTCCCACTCCCCGCTGCTTGGCTGGGGGTTTGATGTTCGACCAGATCCTGCACTGGTGAGCATGTCCCGTTCATACCCTCATGACAGACAAAGCAGCTGTTTTCGTCGGACCTCGAGATCTCACGGGCCAAAGAAGCCTGTGTACGGGGCAAACTTCGGCCATTCACTGTCACTCCCTAGGCTGAGAAGACAGAAGGGGGTATCGATCTTCTGGGTCGGATGTGAGATGGTCGCTATCGCCCTGGATAACCGCCTTCTCATGTAGCTGGGCATCAATTTGTCTGATTTATCATATCACATCATCCGTAGGACGAGATCCCATCACCGGTCCCGAGGGTGCACAGCCGGCTGCCCACTAAATATTCAGACTTGCCCTGTTGTCGTCCCCGCATCTGCAAGTTTGGTCCTACCTATTCCCGAGGGATGGCGGTTGCCAGAAGCTTCAAAACCCTGCCATGTGGCGGACCCTCCTGAGTAAAGGGCGGCTTTTGGCACACTACAGTACATACCTATTCAACAGTGGTGACAACTGCAGGACGACAACGAGAACATCTCTGCTGCCTCGAGCTTGCTCCTAGACTGCCAAGTAGCCCCGTCAAATCCTATCAAGTGTCGGCAATCATGGTCAAGATGTGCAAGGCTGTGTCATCTTCGGATCTGATATATATAATACGGCCCTCAAGCGCGCGCGAGGCAGCTGCCTGCCCGCCCCTGTCCCACGGTGGATGTCTTCCCTCGAACGTTATGTGCATTCAACTTCGCACATATAGCTCCCAATCCGCTGGACGAGCGGAACACAAGTGGGCCGATTTATATGCCCAATAAGCCTAGATTCTCTTTTTGTCTGCATGTCTCGCTTTATTTCCCAGCCTTTCAAAAGTTGGGAAACCTCGGTGTTGGTTTTGTCGCCTACCGATGACTCGCAGTTTACCGAGTGGAGGTACCAAGTACGGAGCTATCGGAGCACACAAACACGCCTGGTATTTAAACTGTTCCTCGCGTGTATTCTTGGGCATCGGTCCTCGGTATTTCAGCCTGAACACGGGATACCTAGGGGAGTTATATCAGCACCCCGTCTGCCAATGCCCCCGAGATCCTGCCCCGGTCTGGTTCGCGCCCCCACTGAGTATCCTGCGGTTCCGATCGTTTGGCCTGAGCATTTCCAGATCCGCCTCCAAAGGTCGGCGATTGCATAGATTAACTGCATGAAGCCCCGCCCGTCCATGCTTTGGGAACTTACTCTCACTCGCCGGGCTGCGCCGTCATGGCCAGTGTTGCTTTTTTTTCGCAAAGCACTTGTCTTTCGGCAGCCATATGATTGGAAACTTGCCTCGTACGAACGCATTGCACCACCAATACCGGCAGCTTAAAATGGCTATCTTTAGGCCCCAAATCTCGTGGCGCTTGCCGAGTGTACAGTGTCAACATCCACAGGCGAACCAGCATGGGCACTATCATGGCTTGTGATATTCCCGTTGTTAGGCCAATGTGGTACAACAAACAACTGTCTTGATCATTTGGCCAACGACGGGGATTTGAGCAATGCCGTGCGAGGGCAACCAAGCATAGACTGAGCATTCATTGCCTGTCATTCTTCCAGGGCTCGTGTGTCAACGTCTAAGGTGACTAGTCAATGTGGAAGGCGACAGGAGCGGAAACCAGCAGCATGCACCCGAAATACAACCTTGGTTCAACGACAGTAACCGCCTGACGTATCACCTACACAGAGATGATTGAGCCTTCTGGACGACGTTGTTTTTTCAAGTCCCACCAGCTCTAGATCAGCCCAAAGCAGTGCAATACTTTGCCTGTCCCTGAAGAGTATGGTCCCTTGTCGTGGGCACATCTCGAGGCTCTCCAGCACATTTGCTTCGCAGCTTTGGCACGAGATGATGGCTCCTAGTACACTAATCCGACTTTGAGTGCGAGGCTGACTCACAGGAGAGAGTCCTCAGATCTTGCAGCTCATTGATGCTGATGCTGCAGGCGGTGTTTTTTGTGTCAAGTGAGAGTTGGTCGGTTGGAGAACTGACTCCTCCCATGCAGGGCGACATGGATAGGCTCATTGAGCTGCGGTTGGCATTTCCATCACCTTCAGTCCATCCGGAAGCCTTCTATCCCCTCACCGGTCGGAATCCAACACGGCATGATAGCGACGATCCAGACCATGTCCCGTTTTCGTCGTTCTCGATGTTCTCGCCTCGGCTTTGGTGAAGCTAAGAAGTGGCGTCTTTTTTTTTCCTTTTTCCCCATTTCCTGTCATGTCTCAGCGTTGCCCTTGACCCAGCCCCAAGCCACACATATGCACAACAAGTCACATTTCCACCAGATCACCAGATCAACCCGATCGCCACCTGGCAGCCGTGTGCAGTCCGTACTGTGCGAAGTGAAAGGAGACTTTAGCCACTATCTCACCAACACATTGCTTATTCCACCCCTTTTTTTCCCCATGAGGCGGGCACCACAAACGGTTGGGCCCGGCACCGGGGGTTCACCTACACTAAAGCTAAAGGACTTTACGAATTGCACTAGGTCGAAAAGACGGCGCAACAAGCGACAAGTTAAACTGACCTGTCATTTTCACTTTCAAGGACACGCAAAAGGGGGTTTTCACCATTTCCGCCCAAAGCGCGCCAGTTGATCGAGGGCTTGCGTGCTGCTTGTCGAGGCGAGGGCGAGCGCGAAAGCAGAGAGCGATGGAGCGGATCTCGTTTCTCTTCGAGGCGCTCCAGGCCAAAATTTTGTGTTTTCGTGTTTGCTTCTTCCTTGGTTAATCTCCAAAAAGAAAAAAAACCTCCTCACAGGCGGGAAGACAGAGTCAGAGGTTCATTTCATTATCAAATTTGCACAAGCCTGGCATCTGCCCCTGGGAGGGCGGAAGCCCATCTTGATTGATGGACCAACAGAGTACCGGGGGTTGTTGTGTGTGCGAAGGGCGGTTCTTTCGCGGGTGGCTTTCCCCCCCTCCTTCGCACTCTGCGCCTTACCTGCTTCGGAGAGCTAACGTTTTTGGGGGTGCTTTTGTTTTTGCTTTTTTTTTGCCGTCACCCAGAAAGCACGCGACAAGAAGCATGGACCCTTTCCGGTTTCCTTTTCTCCTGTTAACCCTTTCCGTCACAGCCGGGGGCTTGCCCCAAGCTGACTGGGCGACGGGCGGTCCTGGGACCATGGGAAGTACCGCCCTTTATCGAGCATGCTTGGCTGGCAATGGCGACAAGGTGCGACCTCGACAAGCTTCCGGAGGGGTCGGACCGCGCTCCTCTGGTTGCTATCCCCAGCTGAATTGTGTCGATCTCTCTGTCGTGCTGCTCTTACCCCTGAAGTTGTCTTGGAGAAGTTCTCAGCCCTTGTCAAGTGAGAAAAAAAGGCTTGAAGTTCGGGCTGGTGCGAAACGAGATGATCGAAGGTCGAGTTAAGCTTACAGGAAGGCCGTGTCCTCCTCCCCGTTATTTCTTGCCCCAGGGAAAGTGGAGTGACGGACCTTCCCCCCCAGACCGACGGAATCCGAACGGCGTCCCGCCGTCCCCTCCCGAACTCTGGACAGTGCTCCTGCGTGGGGGAGCAGGAGGCGGTGCAGCTAGGCCGTTTTAACCCCAGGCCCAAGCAAGCAAGCCCATCGACGCTACGATTTGTCTCCCACTGTGTACTGTTCAGCACTGCACAGTACGTATCAATATGTACTCCGTTCAGCAGCGAGAATTTCAGGACAGACTGCAGCGCAGCATGCATGTTGCATGGTTTTTAGCGTCGAAATGTGCGCGCGCGGTGTGTGGCCGCTCTGAGACATGGTCTCGCTGGCCGGCCCTGCTCGAGCCGCTCCCCGCCGCTAATAACAACGCATCACATCCATCGACTGTGCTGTACTGTGATGTCAAAGTACGTGAGATTTCTTACGAGAGCGGACGCCGGGCAGTACAGTACTGTGTAGTTGATGAAAGACGTGGAGCGGTGAGAAATGCTAGAAGCTGGAAAGAAAGAGACAGAAGAGAGGAGAGGAGAGGTATGTGAGACACGAGAACGATTTAATTTGCTCTTGGAGATAGACTAAGCATGTACGCTCGTCCATGCTGACCGTCGATGGGGCAAATTCTCTCCGTTTTTAAAAACCTCCCAAACAAAAAGAAAAGGCAAAGGCAAATAAATCCCTCTGCTGCTCTTTGGTGAGAAAGGGGGGATGGTCTTTTCTTCGTTTCTTAGTTTCGCCCTTTTTTTTCCCGTTTCCAGTGTTTGCCACTGGGAGGAACCGTAAATAAGTAGGTAAGTAACTGCCAAGATACCTAGTATGGATGGATGCACGTTCCGTGATATCTACGCACAACTACATACGAAGAACCATGTACGTACTATATAGGTAGGCAGGCATGGAACTGGGGGGCTGCTTGCTTACCCCCCATTGCGAAGCGGTATCCCGTACATGTACGAAGTAAGTTCTATGTAGGTAGGGTACATGGTTTGTTCGTAGATCCGGGGTTGATGAGACGGATGTGCTTCGTTGATACACAGAGGGTTGATATCTTTGTCTTCTTTTTGGGGTGTGGCCTCTGGGCTATTCCGTAACAAGGAAATTTCCTTTCTTGGGAGGGATGAGAACGAGGGATGAGGGGGAGGAGGGGAGTCATTTCTCTCCGTATCTTCACGGATGCTGCGGGACTCGGTGATAGCATGTAAATTATTGAGATTGACTTCTGCTTCTTCGATTTTTAATACCAAATTCTGCTACTTGATCGGTGCCCCAGTGCTACATAGGCAGGTACAGATAGGGTCCTAGAAGCTACCACCTAGTCCGGGAGCCCCTTTTCCTAGCCAGTTCACCAAGTAGCCCCCGAGCCTTTTATTGTCGGAGAAACAGGCGAGGGAGTGTGTATACATGTGAGTGTGTTCTAGCCGGGGATTCTCTTCCTCCGGGGGCTTGCCCGGGATTTCAATTACATGTTGGTATCGGCATGTATGCATTGCATCTACACATGTATGTACTGCACTCGGGAGGGAGGCATGCGAGAAAGTAGATGGTAAGGGTAAAGGGCGATTGTTATCCAGATATGTGCTATCTGAGGGGTAGCTACCTTCTGGACGTTGGTGGCTTGCTGTTGGTTCTTGAGGCTGCGTGTTGCGAGAGCCGAGGTCTCTTGATCTTTGGCTGACTGACTCTTTCCTATTCCCACCTTTCTGTCTTAGAGTCAACTGCCAGACTCTCTGCGTCGGGCTGGAAGGTAAGCCGTGCAGTGATGTTTGTTTTGCCTGTCCGTGATTTGGATATTCAGAAGCAAGTTTTGCCAAGGAGCCAGACAAGGCAGATAACAAGCAGACATACAGACAGACGGATGTAGAGAATCGGGGCAGTTAGTTGTTGTTGCCATGCTAGTACTTATCATAGAGCGCTTCCTGAAACCAACTGACCAGCCAACTAACCAACCAGCCAGCTAACCAACCAACCAACCAATCGCTCACCCCCTATTAAAACCACGTCGGGACTCGCGGGCTGGAACGGCTCTTTCAGCTCTCCCTCCGCTTTCTTTCTTTATGTGCCCATTCACTTACAGTTTATCATCGTCATGCCGAGGCCACAACCTTGGCCAACATGGAATGTTTGGGCGGTAGGTGTGCAATCTAGCGTCTCCCAGAGCGATGCCCTGCTTAGGTTCTGAGCTAGAGTTTTGGGAATCCTTATCAAGTCATCCGTGGAGGAAACAGCTTGTATCGTAGTCAAGCAAGCAGCTGACCAGGCTGACCAGGCTGACCGAGGTTGTTTGCTCGATACAACAGCCTGCTTTAATACTTGTCGTGACATATATTTCTCAGTGTTATCCCATCGACACTAAACTGACAACGCTGCTTGTGTTTCTGGGGTGTAAACCTAACTGAGCCGAGACTGAGCCGGCCTCGATTCTTTTGCCCAGCAGATGGGAGGCCTCTAAGGTTATCTCAGACGACTAGACTGCTCCAAGAGAGATACTCCGGAAGTCATTACGACGAGGCCTTGTGTCAAAAGCCCCAAAGCCGAATTATGTTTAGACTTGACTAGTTTTCGTCGGCAGTGTGGCAGCTTGGCCGAGTCAGCCGGGACACAACCACCCGGTCTCGAGAGACGGCACAGATAGGAATAGGAGCCAAGAGACCCCGCCGCCATTGCTGTAGTCTCACCCCTTTTTCAGTTCCCTCCTGACCCGGTTTGATGCCTGGGATTTGAAGGGGCAGTGACGTGAGATATCCCTGAAGCAACCATGCCATATCCCGCTGTTCGGAACATACATGCCTATATTGTAATGGAAATTTCTCAATATACTTGCGCAGTACTCATAACGGAAGGAGCTCAGTACCGTCCGGTCTAATTCACATCTGAAATACGTGGACAACGGTGAACTTGTCATATGGCCTTAGCAGTTGCTAGTATGAAGTTAGATGCTTGATACCCTCGACTGAGCGCAGCATCTTCTAGAAGATGTGATGAAGCATTTGTCCCTAAGGCTAGTCTGTGTATTTGGCCAATAGTTTACCTCTTCTCATTCTAAGCCAGATGGGACACAGCTGACGTGTTCAAGACGTATTCATGAGTAAACAAGTAGGCTTAACGTGTAAAAGCGAAGATTCTCGGGATACTCAAGCGCAGTCGGCAATGGACGTAGCTTGTGGTCTCCCTTCGCCGGCTTCATCTCCGCCGCGCCTCTTGTATTATATTCGGGGGGACCTCGTGATTGAAACTGTGTTCTTCATCAGCATACATGACTGTGACATGGCGAGATTGAGAAACAAGGCACGTCTTTATAAACATTGTGCTTGCTGGCCTCATGTCAATATCTAGGTCTCTGTCTCGACGTCGAAGCTCGCTAGAAATTTAGAATTGGTAATCGGAATAACCATATTGTAGTTGGGCCAAGAGCATCAGCAGACTCGAGGTTTATAAGGGTTTATCGCCGAAGTAGGAATGAGAAATGCGGCTCCCGGTATAACATGACATCGAGATTTGACAGATAAGCCGAGTGGTTTTTCATCCTTTCTAGGTGAGTTTGAGTCTGTTTCGGGAACTACCTTAAACTTGCAAGGGGTATAATGTGTTCAATCCAGCGAGCTTCCACACCTGCCATTGGAAGTTACAGTCAATCTTGGTTCTTTCCTAGCTAGAGCCTGATCCATTCGCTCCTTCCACCAATTTGTATCTTTTGTTGGCTTTGTCACCATTCCTACCAAATTGAACAAAGCCTACCCACTAAATATCAGCAAATTCCTGCACATACTCTCTGGCTGCGGTGAATCAAGATATCTTGAATCCATTACCCTGTCTCGTCATCTTCGGTTTTAGTCGTCAACATTCTTTCCATTTCATGGGAAGGGTGAAATTATTTTAGCCTGAGGCAGAAATATTAAACCCAGGCATCAAAAACCCCACAACGCGCGCCAAAGAGACAGGGGTGAGTGAGTCGACGCGACCGGAATTTTTAAGCCTTGGCCGACTAGCCTTGAGGGTGCTTCATTTAGCAAACCCGTTTATTTGCTGCCGCAGCACCTCCGATCGTGACGACAGCACTTTCCTCCTACATCAACCCCGCGCTGTCCGGGCTTCTTCGCATCGTCAATCGCGCGGCTCTCGCAGGCGCCCATCATGGCCGAAATCAAAATCGACGGCAAGGTCTTCCAGGAGCGCATCTCGCACTTTATCAACGCCTGGAAGGCTGACAAGCGCTCCGGCGACGCGCTTTTCAATGGCGTCTCCTCCATCCTCATCCTGATGGGCAAGGTCGACGACACGAACCCCGAATTCCACAAGAACAATGCCATGCACGTGAGTCATCGCCGTCTCTGTCTCGCTCAAATGCGCGACCGCGAGACAATCGTTGTGCCCGGTCCTTTCGCTGACAGCTTCGCAGTTCTGGCTCCTCGGCTACGAGTTCCCCACTACCTTGATGCTTCTCACTCTCGACACCATCTACATCCTCACAACACAGAAGAAGGGTTTGTTCTTACCCCGCTCTCTGACCCCCTCGCTCGGTGGCTGACCTAGACAGCGAAATATCTCGACCAAATCAAGGGCGGCCGATTCCCCGTCGAGGTGCTTGTCCGCGGCAAGGACAGCACTGAGAACGAGATGCTATTTGTCAAGATTACAGATGCCATCAAGGCAGCAGGCGTGAGTCATTCTGGTCCCTTTCTGTGCGGGGCTCCTACAGGCTAACTAGGCTGCCACGCTTAGAAAAAGGTTGGCGTGCTCAGCAAGGATGCGTCCAAGGGCCCCTTCATCGACGAGTGGAAGAAATTGTTCGCCGAGAATTGCAAGGATGCCGAGGAGGTCGACGTATCCCATGCCCTGTCGGTTGGCGCATTCTCGGTCAAGGACGAGGGCGAGCTCCGAGCCATGCGAACTTCGTCCAAGGCTTGCGTCGCACTCCTGACGCCCTACTTTCTCGACGAGATGTCCAACATTCTCGACCAAGAAAAGAAAATCAAGCACAGCGCACTCGCCGACAAAGTGTACAACAAGCTCGAGGACGTCAAGTTCTGGAAGACGGTCGAGCTTCCGAACAGGCAGAAGCTACCTGCAGACCTCGACCCCGAGCAGCTGGACTGGATCCTGGGGCCTGTGGTGCAGAGCGGCGGAAAGTTTGACCTTAAATGGCAATCAGACTCGGATAACGATGTTCTTCACCCCGGAGTCATTATTGCAGCCATGGGCCTCCGGTACAAGTCGTACTGCTCGCAGGTTGCCAGGACCTTTATGGTGGACCCCAACAAGTCGCAGGAGAGCAACTATAAATTCCTTCTCGCCGTCCACAACCTGATTCTGAAGGAGATACGGGACGGAGTTGTTGTCAAAGACGTCTACGCCAAGGCCCTTGCTCTAGTGAGGTCCAAGAAACCGGACCTCGAGAAGCATTTCCTCAAGAACGTTGGCTACGGCATCGGCCTCGAGAACAAAGACCCTACTCTTATCCTCAACAGCAAGAATTCCCGCGCCCTCAAGGACGGCATGACGCTCTGTGTCACCACCGGGTTCAACGACATCCAGAACCCCAGTGCGCAAGACAAGAACAGCAAGGTCTACTCTCTCGTCCTCACCGATACTATCCGTGTCACCACGTCTGAGCCTGTCGTCTTCACTGGCGAGGCACCAGTCGACGTTGACGCCACCTCTTTCTTCTTCAAGGATGACGAGGAGGCCCAGCCAACTCCTAAGAAGGAGAAGCGAGACTCGCGAGTCGGTGCTGTAGCAACTAAGAATATCACCAGCACTCGACTGCGGTCCGAGCGCACAACCACAGTGGTCGATGATGCGGACAAGAAGCGCCGAGCCCACCAGAAAGAACTCGCCACGAAGAAGCAGAAGGAGGGCCTAGCCAAGTATTCCGAGTCGACTGCCGACGAGAACGGTGTAGAGATGAAGAAGTTCAAGCGCTTCGAGTCCTATAAGCGTGACAACCAGTTCCCCCCCAAGATTCGGGATATGGGTATTGTGGTCGATCAGAAGAACGCAACCGTCATTCTCCCAGTCATGGGGCGGCCTGTTCCCTTCCACATCAACACTATCAAGAACGCGGGCAAGAGTGAAGAGGGAGATTGGTCCTTCCTCCGAATCAACTTTCTCTCCCCCGGCCAAGGCGTTGGGCGCAAAGACGACCAGCCCTTCGAGGACGCCTCGGCCCACTTTGTTAGGAGCTTGACTTTCCGGTCTCTCGATGGCGAGCGCTATGGCGAGATTACGAATCAGATATCCAACATGAAGAGAGACGCGGTGAAAAAGGAGCAAGAAAAGAAGGACATGGAAGATGTAGTGGAGCAAGACAAACTCGTCGAGATAAGAAGTAAATGTTCTCGCAAGATTGCAGTTTGGGCCCTGACTAACCGGACACCTAGATCGACGCCCTGCCGTGCTGGACAATGTCTTCATACGGCCTGCAATGGAAGGAAAACGCGTTCCTGGCAAGGTAGAGATTCACCAAAACGGTATTCGCTACCAATCCCCGCTCAGCACTACGCAACGCGTCGACATTCTCTTTTCCAACGTTCGCCACCTCTTCTTCCAGCCGTGCACGCACGAGTTGATTGTTATCATTCACATCCACTTGAAGGATCCCATCATTATTGGCAACAAGAAGAAGACTAAGGATGTTCAGTTCTACCGCGAAGCCACAGATATCCAGTTTGATGAGACTGGAAATCGGAAGCGGAAGTATCGGTATGGTGACGAGGATGAGTTTGAGGCTGAACAGGAGGAGCGCCGCAGGAGGGCGGACCTCGACCGCCTCTTCAAGGGTTTCGCCGAGAAGATTGCCGAGGCTGGTCGCAACGAGGGCATTGAGGTGGACATGCCTGTCCGAGATCTTGGATTCCAGGGGGTTCCATTCCGCAGCAACGTCTACATCCAGCCGACTACAGAATGCCTCATCCAAATTACGGAGCCGCCCTTCATGGTGATTACCCTGGAGGACATCGAGGTTGCCCATTTGGAACGTGTCCAGTTCGGTTTGAAGAACTTTGATCTGGTCTTCATCTTTAAAGACTTCACACGTACCCCATCCCACATCAACACCATTCCAGTCGAGTCTCTGGAAGACGTGAAAGAGTTCCTCGACTCTTCTGACATCGCTTTCTCGGAAGGTCCTCTCAACCTCAACTGGTCCGTCATCATGAAGACGGTCACTGCCGATACTCACCAGTTCTTCATCGATGGTGGCTGGGGCTTCTTGCAAAACGAGTCCGACAACGAGGACGACGGGGAAGAGATGTCCGAGGAGAGTAACTTTGAGATCAGCGAGAGTGAGCTCGAGGAAGCTTCAGAGTCTAGCGAGGAGGATTCCGATTTCGATTCCCAGGCGTCGGCCGAAGCTAGCGACGACGCAGATGCTAGTGACGAGGAGGAGGGCGAGGATTGGGATGAGCTGGAGCGCAAGGCGAAGAAGCGCGATCGCGAGAGTGGACTCGAGGAAGAGGAGCAGCAGCGTGGCGGGAACAAGAAGAAGCAGCGGAAGAGATGAGCGGCGGGCGGGCCTTGACGTGTATTTGCCTTGCCTTGTCTCTCTTCGCTTCTTTGCGTAGGGCACGGTTGCAAGTCTTCTTTGCCCATTGTCTACGGAGTCTGACTAGCCGACTCTTTAATATTTATGGGTGTTTGACTTTCTGTTGGCATGTATAGTCTATTACCGGGCTTTTCTTTCTTTTTGTTGCTGCAATGTCTTTTTTTGTAGTTTGGGCAGGGAAAGTCTAGGTTAGATAGACCAACAACGGGAACGGGAGCCTTTTCTTTCTTCCTACAAACAATATGGAATGAATGCATCGGGACGTGTCTAAGTGTTACCCACTTGTGACGTTTTTTCACTCTTCTTTTGTTCATCGGATGGGAAGAATTCGTTAAAAAGGTGGGATGAAGGGGTTTTTTGCAGAAATTTTAAACCCACTCACTCACTTGGCGGATATAGCTCCTCTCTCTCTCTCCGTGTGTGTATGTATGTGTGTGTGTGTGTGTGTGTGTGTGTGCGTGTGTTATGTGACTGAATGTAGGACAAGACTGTATTTATGTGGACAGTACATGGTTTGTTTTATCTCTCGTCTCGTTAACTCCTCTGTTAGTACCTACTTTTTATGGGGATGGGTTTGTGCTGTGTGTGCATGCATCACCCTCTCACTCACTCTCCTTAGATACCATACAAGTGATATGTCATCCGCCTTTAGGCTATTGGCCCTGCTCCATAGGTAAATGAGACGAGATCACATCGTAATGGCTGGTTGTACTGCTGCAGTGGCTTGTTTGAACATGGATACGTAGCCCCTTTTCCATTTTTCACTCTCTATCACGGAAAGTTGGGTGGCGGGGGTGTTTTACTTATGGGGGAATGAAAAGGGAGACAGACGGCTATCAAGAGAGAAAAAAAAGGAAACGAAACGGAAAGGAGAGAGAGTATCCATATAAATTGATTTGCCAGCTAACAAAAAAACTCCGTTTTACGCCTTTGACATGGATTCCGGAAAAAGTACAAGAAAAAGAAAAAAAAGGCAAAAAAAAGGAGACAGCAACCCAAGAAAACACAGACGCGCGCTCTCTTCTCTCACCTACACGCACACAGAGACATCTCGACCACACGTCCTGAGGAAAGAAATCCCAGGACATGACAGAAAGCCGTAAGAAAACAAGGAATAAAAAAAATTCGTCGCTAATTTCGACATTTGATCCCCGTTTTCTTTCTACCACTCGCTGACTCCTATCCCCTATGCATGCTCCCTAAAACACACACACACACACACACACACACGCACGCACGCACGCATTCAAGATGTCACCGTGAAAAGGAAAATCACAAGCCGCCCGGGGCGTGTGTTTGCGTGTTGGCGCCGGGGGCAGACGGCTGGTTCCATGACAGGTACGAGGGGTCGCCGAGCTTGCGGGGCTTCCACAGGAAAAAGGACAAGATGAAGTAGATGTCGAGCAAGAGGCAGATGCCGCCGACGATGAGGAAGATGATGCCGGGCCAGATGTTGCGGGAGCCCATGGTGGAGAGGGTGGTGATGACAAAGGACTTGCGGCCGTTGTAGAGGGTGGTGTCGAAGTTGAGGGCAATGTCGACCTGGTACGTGCCGCGATCCATGACGTCGACGTCGTTGCGCTGGTACAGCTTGTAGAAATTGGGCGAGGCGGCCAGCATCATCCAGTTCTGAAAGGCCTCCCACGTCTGCAGGTTGGGCGCGGGGTTCTTGTCATTGTAGCCATTGGGGTAGCGGTCGCGCCAGTTGGGCGGCGGCACGATCTGGTCGTTCTTGTACTTGGTCTGGCCGTACAGGTCCTTGTTGCCCGGCCAGGTGATGCCCGTGTCCTTCATGGTGTAGGTTCGGTTGCTGTTGTCGTCGGCGCGGCGGGCGTTATTGGGGGAAACGGCCACGTTGAGCCAGACGGGGCTCGAGAAGGTGTCGTTGAACATGGAATTGGCGACGATGCCGCAGGGGAAGACGATCTTGCCCGAGCCCAGCGGATCGTGGGCGAGCGGGTCGCACGTCGAGCCGTTGATGGTGGCGCCGTCGACAGCGTCGCCCAGCAACTGCTTGGCGTTGAACGAGTTGACATAGCGGCGGTGGTTCTGATAGAAGTTCTCGAGGTAGTAGAAGAAGCTGACGGTGGGCTTGAGGTCCTCGGGAATGTTGAAGCGCACCAGGCACACGTCAATATTCAGCGACTCGTTACCGAATTCGAAGGGCCGCTTCTCGACGCGCCAGAAGGCCTTGTTAGGGTCGAGGGTGCTGCCTTCAGGGACGGAGAAATGGGCCGAAATGAGGCCATCGGGCACGGCTTTGAAATTGTCAGGCCCGCCATCCTGGGGAGCTTGTTTCTGGCAGTCGGTGTAGTCGAAGCTGAAGTCTCGAACCTGCGGTGGAGTTTTGGTTAGTATGCGTCTGCCGGGATCGGCTAAGCAAGTACTAGAGAGAGAGAGAGGGCGGAATGAATGGAAAAGCGTACGGTGTGGGCCAGGTATGTCAGATAGGCGCCGAAGCCGAGATAGATGGCGGCGAGGATGGAAAATATGGTGACGATGAGTTTGGGAGTCAGGACGCACTGCCAGGCGCGCATGCGCTGCTGACGGAAGGCAGTATTGGGGGGGCGGTTCTTGGGCGCGTTGGCGAGAGCGTCGGCGTCGACGGCGTCGTCTTGGCCGGCGGCATCTTGGTCGGCGCCACGACGACGGCGAGGTGCCATGATGGGGATGAGATGGGGGTTGTCAATTTGGTTGGCGGCGAGAGTTGCTTCTCTGCGTCGTCGTCGAGAATAGCCGGGAGAGCAAGTGAGAACCTACAAAGTAAGGAGCGTTTCGTAGTCGCGGACCCTTCGGCGGTGCAATTCGCTTCTCCCTGCTGGCCTTGCCAAAAGGGGCCCGTGCAGCCCCTGTTCGCAGCGAGGCTCAGACCAGGAGCGGCTGTCTCGCTGCCAGTCAGCAGCCAGCCCAACCTCAGCCCCCAGCGTCGATGGACAGAGTCACGCAGCCGAGCACGTGCAGAGTTCACTGCTCGGCCAACCCTAACCCGTACTCACCTCGATTTGAGTACCGTAGTAACCAAATGCACGGAGTGAGGTGGTTTCGGTGTTTCTTACTGAGTGCCGGGGTTCACGGAACACTCCGTAGTCCGTACAGCCTGGCAAACCTGTATCGGTATGCTCGACTTCCCTTTCATTATCAACTCGGATCCGGAAAGGCCAGTGCAGCCGTACACGTACAGGTACGGCCCTTCCACATCCTCAGCACGCCTTGCACAAAGCCCGCCAAATATCTAAAGCGGTCTTGGAGCGACAGCCGACAAACACGCTGGCGTATGTCTATTCCGAGACATTACGCGGTCGATTCCCGATTGGGATCAGCGAATAAGGTACGCCGATACAGTACAGTACACAAACAAGCTGTGTCGATGTGACGGGACTTGGATACATGTGTCCTCGTCGCCTCCCGCACGCTTTGCGTGTAATAATTACGGGCGGCATAATTACGCTGCAGATCATACACGTATGTATGTGCTTACATTACATACAGACGTGGAGCATGCAGTAATAGCGCCAAGTGCTGGCTGCCTCGTGTCGCCACCTGCTCTCACAGCTTGCGGCAGATCTGCAAGAGAAGCTCAGGAGAAGATCGGGTGAAGCTTAGAGCACGTCAATGCCAGGTAGGTCGGCCACTGCTAGCCAACCACGGTCCCCGCCCAAGTACTGCTTGGGTCCGGAGGCAGGGCTACTAGGGAGTCCGTGCGTCTTTCTAGAACTGTTCGACAAAGGTTACTGGCCCTGCTTAGCGGCGGCCTGTGGAGAAAAGGGCGAGGGGGGGACCTGGTTGCGGGGGGTTGAGGGAGGGGGAGGAGGTGCCCGTGTTTCCAACGCTGCACTGTACCTGGAGGTGCCCGTGTTTCCAACGCTGCACTGTACCTGGAGGTGGGTTATTGGTATCTACGGCCTCGACACCCAACAATTCCCGCCAGTTGAACAGGTTGCTAAGATAACACGCTGTCGGGGGAGCAAAAGAGGCTCAAGAGTCGCTGGCATATGCGCATCTTGACTGGTAACCAAGGTTTCGGACTGCTGCAGCCACGAACGACGCTGCGACGCCGCCGCTGCTGCAAGGCCGGCAGGGCAGGCTCAGGAACTGCCCGCCCAGAGGGGCGTTGCTGTCTTTGGTATTCCGCAGGAGGTAGGTGAAGGCGGAGGGAAAGGTAGGTTATCTGGGTAACAATACTAGGCAGTTCTAGTATCCAAACAAGTCATCCAGCCTAGGGCGATGAAATGCAGGTAATGCACGACCATCTAGAGTCACCAATCGCCAGGCAGCCTACATATTCCGCAATACCGCAACTGGGACATGAAATCAATGTGGTGAAGACCGCCTTTGACTGTGTGAGGTGGTGTTCATGCCGGTACAAAACATATAGTTCATGCAACTAGGTACTTACAGTACAGTAGTAGGTAAGGTAAAGTAGGCCGGGCGAGAGTGAGTGTGTAATGGAAATGAAGGCGAGGTAGGTAGGTATGGGGTAATAAAGTAAGGTAGGGCGGAAACGAAACCACCCCACTCGCCAAACCTAAACCTAGGTAGCTTTCCATCACCACCTCTCCCCTCCTCGCCTTCCAAGGTCCCTATCACTGCCCGTTTCCCGCTTCCCTCGCGTCGTCACCACCCACCACCGCTCCATCTCCCGCAGTCGCCCCCCGCCCATCGACAGTCGCCCACCGGTGTGTCGTCTTGTCTCGCAGCAGCTCAACGCTCTTGGCCGATCAGGGCACTCCAATTCTTGTCGCCGCGCCCGAGTCGCCTTGTCTCAGCCTTTATTCCCTGTCGTGCCCACGCCCGTGTCTCTCTTGCGAGCCCGCCATCTCAGCCCTCCCTGTCTACCTTTGCCTACCTTTGCCTACCTTACCTGCCCAGGGACATTCATATTCTTTATCACGCGGCGGCATACTTCCTTCGGCCGCTCCTTCTCGCCTGCTCGCTCTTCCACCCACGTCCGACTTCGCCCTGTATTAACACCCCCGTAACTAGAGACTTGGCTGTATACAAATGCCCTTATCGCTCCCTCTGGGCCGTATTTGAAACCACCCGGAGCCTGCAAATCGCAAAGGCAAGTTCAAACGTTTCGTTCCGAGCTTCAACTTGGCTTGGTGTTCCACCGCCTTGGCTGCTCGTCGTCGCTCTCTCGATTGTCTTCTCCCCGTGTAGAGACTGGCTAGGACTTTGGCCGTCGTGTTTCTAGGGGAGGCGCTCTGCATCGTCCCAAACGAAGCATTGCATGGGTCCGGATGGAATGCCGGTCACAAATCATCCCAAGTTTCCTTGTTGCAGAGGCAGCTTTCCGCCGAAAACCTGCAGCCCCCCGCGTCACCGCAGACCACTTGTCTCGAACTGCCCCTCTCTCCTTCTCACATACTTGAGACCAAGCCTGCAAATATTTACGTGATCCGTCTTTCTAACGGCCTCCTGCAGGGTTTCCAAGGACTCATATCAACGTCATCTGCGACCAAAGAGACGAAGGCTCGGGCTTGGTTCCTTTCCCCCTAAGTACTACTTATATTCGCCCTGCCCTCCATTGATCGGCCAACCCTCGCATCCGGGAAGCTGGTGGATACAAGTAGCATCTTTCCGGGTCACGCGTCCGCCGGTGGTTGATCCTCTCGATCGCGTGCCGGAACAAGTGCTGGGTTTGGACTACTAGTCCTGTGTCACAAGGTGAGCCACCCCGATCAAGCTTTGGAATACCGCCAACTGACCCCAACATCCACGTTGTCAGTGTGTTAACTGGTCGAAAGGAAGGCACCTCCACCCGGTTTTCGGATTTATTACTAGTTACTAGAGTATCTCTGCGACGGAGACATGTCGAGCGCTGGCTTCACCAGTCCCTTCGGGGCGAATGCCAACCCATTTGGCTCCTCAAGAGCTGAAGCCGGGCCTATGCACAGGCTCGTTGAGGAGGACGAGAACGACACGGTTACTTCCCCAACAACTCCGAGCTTTGGACTCACCGGAGGCGGTGGTTTTAGGGGACCCTTTGGTGCTGATGCCTCGGCGGATTCGCCCGTTTCGGCTTTGAGAAATCCGCCAAACCCCGACAGCTACCCGGCTCAGTATAACTTTGCTCGTCGAACTTCGGTCTCGGCAGAGTCTCTCAAGCCTGTTGCCGATACCTACGATAACTGGTCACCTCCGGTGTACCCCAAGTCGCAAGAACAGCTGGAGCGCCTGAAGAAATCCATTAGCGGCAACTTCCTGTTTAGCCATCTGGACGAGGAACAAAGCTATCAGATTCTCGGCGCGTTGGTAGAGAAACCAATTCCCACCAAGGGAATCAAGGTGAGCAGCGCCCCTATCATTGTCATGTCTCGTACGCAAAGCGAAGGCTTTCCGCTAACGCAAACTGTAGGTAATTACTCAAGGTGATGCTGGCGATTTCTTCTACGTTGTCGAGAAAGGATCATTTGATGTTTATGTCAACAGCAGCGGTTCGCTGCAGCCGGGACCTGATGGGATGGGCCAAAATGTGGGCCTGATCGAGGCAGGTGGATCTTTTGGCGAACTGGCGCTCATGTACAACGCTCCGCGCGCAGCCACTGTCATCTCGGCCGAGCCGCACTGCACGCTATGGGCTTTGGACCGCCTGACATTCCGCCGGATCTTGATGGAGTCGACGTTTGCCCGCAGGCGCATGTACGAGAACTTTCTAGAGGAGGTCCCTCTTCTGTCGAGCCTGACCCCGTACGAGCGATCCAAGATTGCCGACGCGCTGGAGAGCCAGAAGTTCCCGGCGGGCTACACCATCATCCGGGAGGGCGACCCGGGACATTCGTTCTTCTTGCTGGAAGCTGGCGAGGCGGTTGCGCATAGGAGCGACAACCCGACCCCGGTCAAGCGCTACAAGAAGGGTGATTTCTTTGGCGAGCTTGCGTTGTTGAATGACGCGCCCCGTGCGGCCAGTGTTGTCAGCGAGACCGAGGTCAAGGTGGCCACGTTGGGGAAGTCGGCCTTCCAGCGACTGCTTGGCCCGGTTGAGGGCATTATGAGGAGGACCAAGTACGTGGGCGTCAAGTCTGGCGTCGAAGAGATGGATCCACTGCAGGTGCCTTGAGGACGGCGTGTTTTTTAGACGATGTTGCAGCTGCCGTAACCAGGGTGCGGAGGGCGGAAGGACGCAAAGACGAGGGTTGTTGTTTGGTCGGGACGGCGTTCTGGATTCACCGAACCTTTACCTCTATCAAGGGGAATTGCTCCTAACGGTCATCTGATACCTGGAAAGACGTAGTACGAACATGGCTACAATAACATCCATTCATATGCTACTCGATTGCGGCCTATGCCATCGGTTATCTGCCGAGGATGGTTCCCTTAACTCCGATTAAATCATAAAGTCGTAGAGACCCATGACGTCCTTGCCATTCTCCTTTTATAATGCTTGCTGGTTGGTTTTGCTGTCCAGTCTTTGGGTATAAATTCGTTTTTTTTTCTTTTCCGCGCGTGCCACTGACCTGGAGAGAGAGCCAGTTATGACTGTGCGTGCCCCCCTTCGGCCCTCTGCCTCCGGACTTCGAGAATCTCGCGCCGCAAGCCCTCGGCGGCGGCCTCCGTCTCCAGCACGCGGCTGACGCCGCGCCGCCACGTTTCGTCGAGCCCCTTGAGCTCGGGCCCGGCCTCGTCCTGCGCCCGCTGCCGCTGCAGCGCCACCACGTCGATGGCCCGCCGCGCCGACGCCAGCTCCCGCTCCACCGCACGCACACACCCCTCCAGCTGCCAGTTGCCCACCAGCCACGCGTTCTTGCCGTAGCTGTCCAGCAGCGCAAGGTGCGTCCGCCGCCCAGCGATGTACCCCTGAGACGCGTACGCCCGCGCCAGCGCCGCGGACAGCGCGGCGCGTGCGTCGGAAGCGGGGAGGGAGGTGAGGCCGCTGGGGAGCTCGGGCGCTTCGTAGCGTGATAGGTCTAGTGCGGAGAGTTTTGAGGACGGTGAGGCTTGCACGCGTGCTAGTTCCGCTTCGAGAAGCGGCGTTAGTGATGATGTACTGGGCAGGGGCGGCAGCAGCGCGTGGAAGGCGTCGTCGGGCCCTGAGGAGGCGCGCTCTGCGTCGATCAGTGCTGTTGCTGCTGCGCGCTCGGCTGCTGTCGGCTCCGTGTCGATGTCTGCAGGGGATGGATTGCGCATTAGTTGTCATGATTCTTCATAGAGGTAGAGAGGGAGGGGGGAAGTGAGGCGCGCGTACACGGGAGGGACTCGTGGACGGTGGTTATGGCGGGCATTTTGGGCGATGTTGCTTCTTTCTCTTTTGGTTTTGCTTGTCCTGAAGCTTGTGGTGAAGCTGGCGGTTTCGTGGTGCTGATGCGAAGGACGGCTGCGTTTGTCGCTATGCGAAGGAGAATTATTGTATGTGTGTTTCTTGCTCGGGATTGCGTTTCTGGCAGCGCGAAGTGAATAGGGTTTCCCGGTGAGTGTCCGGGTTGTTGCGATTCGGCCGTCGGTTTTGCAAATGGAGGGTTTCGGGATGCAACCGCAACCGCAACGCGCGCACATTCATTTCCACGCGTAATTGTAAATGGGGGAAGCTTGAATGCGAAAAGTCGGTCTCCACTCTTCACCTCGCCTCACTGTGGGGGAAAGGCTTGCACCCCTGGGGCGTCGCTGTAGCGCTGTAACTGCCGATAAGGCAAGATCGCATAGATGCCTCACGGAAGATGCGAAGCGACAAGGTGCGGATGCGTCGACGCAAAGCCGCCCCCTGTCTTTGACTACCGAGAATGTAAACACAGCGTATGCAGATTGTTAGACATAGGCCACGTCAAAGGAAAGTAGGTTCTGCAGTTTGGCCATTTTAAAACGATTATTTCGGATTTTCTGCAGCCAGCTAGGCTCCTATGCCTAACGCAGCCCAGATGTGGCAGGCAGCTTACTGACCCCACGTCTTTGTCGACTCCCAATCGGACGTTTGCATGACGACACAGCCAGAGGATCCGAGGAAAGGACAGCCCCCGGAGTACAACACTACCGTGCCAGTGCCAGTGCCAATGCTGGCCCAACACCAACAACTTCCAAGACGGCGCCGACGCTGACCCGAGCCTTGAAGTTGAGAGAGATTTGCGATTTGTCTGCAATGTTACGTCTCTAGACCTGCGACTTACCTTGTTTCTCGGCATATTCGGCAGCAGGATGCAAACAGCAGACGGCATGCATCGTGAAAAAGAAGGCGGCGGCCTTGACCGGGATGACGGCGATGGCGACGGCGAGCGCGATTGGGATCCAAAGGTCGGAGACCGGCTCCTCAGCTCCCGCAGCCGCGGCAGCCGCGCGAGGTCGGCTGCGGGCCGCTCTCGCCGATGGGATTTCCTGTTGGCCATCCTTGGCGTGAATGTTGTCGTGGGATTGCTGCTCATGACCGTCGCGCCAAACTTTCTGGCTGTCTCGCACTGGCAGCTGCCCTGGTTTGCGCCAGCCGCCACCAACTCGGACGGAGACCAGTACCTGGTCGGCGTGGGTAAGGCCGATATCACGGGGCCCGTGGTCGAGGTCAACCTGATGGGCTACGCCGACCCCAAGCAACTCGGCACCGGCCTACGCCAACGCCTGTTCTCCCGCGCCTTCATCGTCGGCGACGTCGACCGTCCCGACGACCGCTTCGTCTACCTGGTGCTGGACACGCAGTCTGGCGACACGGCCGTCAGGTACGCCATCCTGAACGCTCTCCGCGGCCTCGGGCCCGCCTACGCGGCCTACGGCCACCAAAACCTGGCCGTTACCGGCACCCACTCCCACGCTGGGCCCGCCGGCTGGCTCAACTACCTACTACCCCAGATCACCAGCAAAGGTTTCGACCGCCAGAGCTTCCAGGCCATCGTGGACGGTGCCGTCCTGTCCATCCGCCGCGCACACGAGAGCCTGCAGCCGGGATATCTGAGCCTCGGCACCACAAAGGTGCACGGCGCCAACATCAACCGCAGCCTGTTTGCCTACCTCGCCAACCCGCACGAGGAGCGCGCTAGATACAATGCCAGCGCAGACGACGACGGGTCAGTCGAGAAGGACCTGACGCTACTTAAGTTCAAGCGCGCCTCGGACCGCAAGAATATCGGCGTGCTGACGTGGTTCCCCACACACGGCACCTCGATGCTGGGCAACAACACCCTCATAGCCGGGGACAACAAGGGCGTCGCGGCGTACCTGTTTGAACAGAGTATGCGCGGCGATGACGGCGCGGCAGAGGGCTTTGTGGCGGGCTTTTCGCAGGCAAATGTCGGTGACACCAGCCCTAATGTTCTAGGGGCCTGGTGCGAGGACGGCTCGGGCGACATGTGCACTTTCGAGAACAGCACGTGCAGCGATGGCAAGTCGCAGGCCTGCCACGCCCGGGGCCCCCTTTTCAGGGTGCCCGACAACGGGGCGAGTTCGTGCTTTGAGATTGGCAAGCGCCAGTTCGAGCCCGCCCGGGATCTCTACCACGCGCTCGAGAGCGACCCCAACCCCGTGCGCGGGTCGTCGGTCAAGTCCTTTCACACCTTTCACAACATGTCGGGCTTTTCCTTTATTCTCCCTAATGGGTCGGTAGCGCGGACATGCCCGGCAGCCCTGGGTTACTCGTTCGCGGCGGGCACGTCGGACGGCCCCGGAGCGTTTGACTTTACGCAGCACGACGGCAACGAAGACACGACGTCGCCAATGTGGCGCGTGGTCTCGCGCCTCCTCAACGAGCCCACGGACGAGCAGCGCGCCTGCCACAGCCCCAAGCCCATTCTTTTAGATGTCGGCGAGATGTACAGCCCGTACCAGTGGACGCCCAACGTCGTCGATGTGCAAGTGCTCCGCGTCGGCCAGCTGGTCATCATTGTCAGCCCGGGCGAGGCCACGACCATGGCGGGCCGGCGCTGGAAAGAAGCCGTCGAGAGCGCCTCGGCTGCCTTGTTCGAGCAAGAAACTGGCGGCAGGTTGCCGTCAGTAGCGCCCGTGGCCGTCCTCGGCGGGCCGGCCAACAGCTACACGCACTACATCACGACCGAGGAGGAATACACCATCCAGCGCTACGAGGGCGCGTCGACCCTGTACGGCCCGCACACGCTTGCCGCCTACATCAACGTGACGCTGTCGTTCCTGCCCTACCTCGGCAGCAGCGGCAGCCAATGCACGGCACCGCCACCCACTAGCCACCAAGACGGCAGCGTCTTCCCGCCCGACAACTCGAACCGATCCCTTTCATTCATCCCTGGTGTGGTGCGCGACGGCACGCCGCTGTTCAAGTCGTTTGGCGACGTGCTCGCCGACGTGGATAGTGTGTACCGCCTTGGCCAAGGCGCGCGCGTGCGGGCCACGTTCGTGGGCGCCAATCCACGCAACAACCTCCATCTCGAGGGCACGTACGCCGCGGTCGAGCGGCTGTCCCCCCCGAACGGCGAGTGGTGCCAGGTGCGCGACGACGCTGACTGGGCGCTGGTTTTCCACTGGCGCCGCACAAGCGAAGTGCTCGGGTCCAGCGAGGTCGACCTCGTCTGGGAGCCGGACGCGGGCCCGCACGTGCCCGACCCGGGCGTCTACCGCCTCAGATACTATGGCGACGCCAAGAGCCTCGGCGGGACCCTTACGCCGTTTGAGGGCGCCAGCAAGGCTTTTACCTTGTTTTGGTGATAAGGATGGGGGGACGGTAAGGTATGGATCGGACTCTGATGGAATTGGATGGCATACGAACGGCAGAGTTGCATTTCTGGGGGGCATGGCTATATACACGGATGGTTGCTCGGATATCATTAGTTGGGTCGAGTGAGATTACGGCAGGCGTTGCTGGGTAGGTTGCGGATGGATGGCTTGTAAGAGAGCGTTGGTTTTGGATTTTCTGTCTCTTGGGTTCAAGCGATTGCTTTTGTAGTACTAAGTTGTGCAAGATTGTATTCTGGGTATTTGTATTTCTCATTCGCGGGTCTGTTTGTTGCTTTTCCCGGCTGTGTTATAGCAAGGTGAATTACTGTATTTGCAGGTAGTAAAGATGTTGACAGTTGGTTTCCTTTCACAAGCTATTTCAGGGGTGAGACAATGGGTTGGAGTACGGAGTATATCTCTAGATACGAAATATCTAACCGAGGTAATCGATACTATTGGTCTGAATATTTACATACCTACGTAATTGCAGACAAGAAAGCAAGCGTGGCCACACTCAAGCTCATACGACGGCGTTTGGGGAGGGGAGGGGAGCTACCCCGCTGCATCTTGGTGACGCGGTGACGCAACACAGCCAGCCCACCACCTCCTCTTCTCTCTCACAGGATGAAAGGAGGATCCGCGGATGGCAGCATCCAACGGCGGGCAATTGGACCCGAACATACGAGATTCCCTTGATAAATCCGAACCCTTCCTGCTAGCCAATTTGGCCCTTTGTCTTTCTAGCATTTTACCTTCTACACCTATAGCTTGCTCGCCCGGCCAAAAGCAGCAACCTAGCAGACTCGACCCCAACGGATTTACGGCACATACAGTACATACGCATTGTCTCGACGGGCCAAGGTAAGTAACCTCGCACGGCGTCCATCCCCACCGTACCATTGCCAACCTCATAGCTACCTACCTGCTTCGAGTCTTCAGCCTTTTTCTATACTAATACGGAGTTTAATACTCTACTTCTTCTCTAGCAAGAAGGTACCTCCTTAAAACACATTACCTACAGAACCGACAATGGAGGCAACCATGGACTCGTTCAAGCTGCTCAAGCGCCGCACGACGGACCTGCTGCAGTCGCTGCCGACTATGCCGACTATGCCGACTATGCCGACTATGCCGACTATGCCCACAATGCCGTCCATGCCGTCCATGCCGTCCATGCCCGCCATGCCCGCCATGCCGTCCATGCCGTCGCTGCCCAAGGCCCTGACGGCCGACCACAAGATGAAGGGCACGTGGGAGAAGATCGCCGACGTGCCGGCCGTGCCGCGCTCGTCGGCCTCGGCCAACGTGGTCGCCGGCACCTTGTACATCTTTGGCGGCGAGGACGGCGGCGCCAGCACCAAACCCCGCCGGCCGGGCCAAGCAGGGGCAGCAGGGAATGCCATGCACGCCGTCGCACTGCCCTCGAGCGGCGCCCCCGCCGACTACTACGTCATACCAGCCAAGCCTGTGGCGGCGGCGGCACCTGGTGACAAGAAGAGCAGCGAGGGCGAGGGGAAAGGCAAGGGTGTCGAAGGCGCGGCGGCGGCGGCCCTAGCGCTGGGCAACGTCCCTGCGGCGCGCGTGGGCCACGCGTCGGCGGTGATCGGGCACCGCATCTTCATGTTTGGGGGCCGGCACGGCGGCGGTGGTGGCGACAGTGGCGACGACAATAGCATGGCGCCGCTGGACGAGGGCGGGCGCGTGTGGATATTCGACACGCGCACGAGGCTGTGGTCGTACCTGGACCCAGCGCGCACGACGTCGACGGTGGAGGTGCCAGCGCCGCGCAGCCACCACGCGTCCGTGGCGACGGACAAGCCGCGCGACTTCGACACGACGGCGGCGGCGCGGCGGCGGCAGCAGCACCACAGCCAGGGGGCACCCGGCGAGACGTGGCGCGAGTGGGCGCTGGGCGACACCGACGAGGTGGGCACGCCGCAGCGGCCCATCGTCGGCAACGTGGCGGAGCGCGCGACCGACGCTGATTCGGACGGATATGGCACGCTGATCGTCCACGGCGGGTGTCTAGCTGACGGCCGGCGTACCAGCGACGTGTGGGCCTTTGATATCCACAGCAGGGTCTGGCAGAAGCTGCCCGACGCGCCGGGTGCCGGGCAGGCCGCGCCGGCTCTGGCTCTGAGCCGGAGCAGGCTGTACCGGTTCTCGGGCGGTGTTGACGCTACGTCTGCCGAGAGCGGTCAGCTCGACTACCTCGAGCTCGTCGTCGACAGCTTCAACGACGAGTTCAGCGCCGGCGAGGTCTCCATCGCCGCGCGTGGCGGCTGGCAGAGCCTGATTCAGGGTAAGGAAAATGTCGGGTACAAGGAGACGGACCCGGCCGAGACCCCGTTCGCCGCCGCCACCGCCGCCTCAGGGTACGAGGGTGGCGGTGGCGGTGGCGGTGGCGACGTGTGGCCCGGACGACGCAGCGCCGCCGTGCTCGAGGCCATCACCGTGGGCGGCGGCCGCGAGTTTCTCGTGCTGATGCTCGGCGAGAAGGCGTCATCGTCAGACACGCAGCAGCAGCGATTCTACGACGACGTGTGGGCGTTCCAGGTGCCGTCGCAGGGCATGTCGCCAGCCAGCCTGGCCGACACGGTGTTTTCCGTGGTCGGGCGTCGCGGGCCCGGTACTGGCGGTCGCCGTGGAGGTGGTGCCGAGGGCCGGTGGTCGCGCGTCACCGTCCGCCCCCACGACCACGAGGACGACGTCTCGGCTGCCGGCCCCGGCCCGCGCGCCTACCTTGCTAGTGCTACCATGGGCGACCTCGAGGAGAACGGCATCGTCGTCTGGGGTGGCATGGACGCGCAGGGCAGGCGCCTCGGGGATGGTTGGATCTTTCGGCTGGATTAAGTTTTGCGTACGTGCGTGTGGGGGTGACTTGTTAAAAACCAGAAAGGGGGGGGAGGTGGTTGATACATTGCTTGGTGGAAGAATTGCCTCCTCTTTCCCCTTTTGCGGTTTAATCAACCAAATGAAGTAAAAATAAAGGGAAAAACAGAACCAAGCAGGCAGGCAGGCAGGCAGGCAATTGAATTGCGAGATACTGCCCGGTTTCTGAGATATGCCGAGAAAGGGAAATTAGCAAGAAGTGTAAAAAGGCAACGGAAAAGGAAGCTCAGGATTCTACGGAGTGTTCGTCTGCAAATATTTCTCTCGCGTTATTAGCAAGATTAAGCGACGCTATGGTATACAACGCCTTAGTACACCCAATTAGGATCACGCAATTGCCATGACCGAAAATGGCTAGAATGTAGATGGTTTCATGTCTTTTTTTTTGGGGGGGGGGGGGGGGGTCTCTGCTCTATTTTCTCCCGGGAGGTTTCTAAATTGTACACACTCAGGCAGATCAGATCAGACTTCTCCCTCGGCCCGTTCCGAATCTGCCACCTGTTTTTATATACAGTCTCGTCTCGCCTCTCCCCCACGTCCATCTACAAATCCTGCCTCGTCGTCTCTGTGCCCCAGGGCTCGCTGGTCAGGTTGGTCAGGCCGTTGCTGTTCTCGCACGTGTCGCGGCCGCTCAGGGGGCCGGGCGCGGGCACCTTTGAAGATGCTGCCTTGCCGACATCCGTCACGCTCTCCTTGAGCGCCGCCAGCAGCGACTTGACCGTCTCGGGCGTCAGGTCCTCGTAGTAGTCGTCGTTGATCTGCACCATGGGCGCGTTGACGCACGCGCCTAAGCACTCGACCTCGATGAAGGTGAACAACCCGTCCGCCGTCGTTTCGCCCTGCTTGATCCCCAGCTGCTCCTTGATAGCCTGCACGATGACGTCGCTGCCGCAGCCGCCGAGCTGGCATGGTGTCTTTTCGGTGTTAGTTTTTCATGTGAGAGGGACACTACGATGGGGGGGGGGGGGGGAAGAAGAGGATAATATACCGTGGTGCAGGCCTGCACGTGGAACTTGCCCACGGGCGTCCGGTTGTACATAGTATAGAAGGAGGCGACCTCGTAGACGCGCATAGGCGGCATCTCGAGGATGCGCGCCACCTCGTTCATGACGCTGATGCTGGTGAAGCCGTGCTGGCGCTGGCCCAGGTCCAGCAGCGGCATCACCGCCGCCTTCTTGTACTGCGGCGGGTACCGCTTGAGCACCTCGGCGATGATGGCCTCGTTGTCCGCCGTGAACTTGAACGGCAGGCTGGGGTTGTTGTCGGGCGTGTTGCGGTGCTGGGGCAGGCGGTGGTGTTGTCAGTGTTTGTGTGTCTCGTCATGTCATATCACGGGCGCTTTCTCGTCTCTTTCTGGATCTTGTTTCCAGGTCCCAACCCCGCGCAGTCTTTCTTTTTTTTGCTCATCGCCCTCCTCAATTGGGAACCAATTGAATTGATTTGATGCACTCCCAAAAAAATAACTCACCACCATCAGAGTGTCGCTTCGCCTCGCCGCCGACAGGGAAATTGTGCGGGCCTGTGGCCGCGATACCCGGCCCGCCGCCGTGCGCAGGGTTGTCCGCAAGAACATTGGAGCTAGTTTGCTCGCCATAGCTGCGATCGGGCTGGCTGGTCGAGCAATGGCAGAATTCAATTGCCAAAACTTGGGGGTCGAGGTTGAGTCTGGGGCGGCGTTGTCGTCGACTGACTTGGAAGCCGTCAAACACACAAACGCTGAAGCTTGGGCCCCGGCACCCCAGTCCCCACTCCCGATTTGCTTGCTTCTCTGCTTGCACTGACAATTTGGGCGGGATTGATTGGCTGGCGCGCCCGGAGCTCGGTCTGTGCGTTTAACCGACTGCCTTCAATTCCGACTTCATTCAATCTTGTTGATTGTGTATGTCTTTTCCCAACACTGATGCCATGCAAACACCAGCAGGTCTTGGAAACGTTCGATTTACGGATCCGCACGCGCAAAATGCTGGCCTGAATTTCGACGGCGCTGCACTCTCTGTGATACAGGTGCGGAGAGCTAGCTGTATCTATTTCCTTGGCTTTGGCTTTCTCTCTGCCTGCTCTTCTCTGCACGTGCACTTTCAAGTTGTTATTACCCGCCATCAAGTGCTATGCTCAACAAACACCGCCGACAATTCCAACCTGTTCGATACGTCTACGCAAGGCTTGTTGCTGGCCAAGTATTTGTATGCCATTGAGCTATAGGTATATCCTCTGCTAGTGGCATATCCTTTGCTAGTGGCAAATGATCCCGGGCTTTCTTTTTTCTTTTTTCTTCTCTCGGAAGCCCGGCTCTCTTCCGCACAGCCCATCGTCTTCTCTATCTACGACGCATAGCGGCGTCGCCCTCGTCGCTACCGTAATCTGAGATTCCGGGTTCTCCATGATTCTTTTTATTCACGTCATCACTCTCGGTGCTCTAAAGGCTTTCAACTCGAAAGCCCGAGGGGCCACGGCGGCGCCGCAACATAATTTCTGCGCCAATGGCATTTTTCGCCGTGCCCGGTTTGTCCATCTGTAAGGGCCTGCCGACTTCCGATCGGCAGCCATCTCCAGCTTTCCAAGCCCCAACCGAGAGTACCATGTCTCGACTTCATTCGTTGCCCAGCTCAAATGGGAGGCCCTCCGTCTTTTTGTCTTTATTATGACTTGGTGTCATTTGGTAGGTTCTTGGCCTCTGCTAGGTTTCCCCGTGACCAGACAGGATAGTGCCTAAAGTGCAGGCCAAAGGGGTCAGGGAGCGGCATTGACGTGGGCGCTACTAGGCGGCGAGCAGCCAGTGCTGGCCCCCAGCGCATTTACCGTGACAAGCCACGGCAATATAGAGCACAGTCTATCTGAATAGATTAATCGCCTTCTTGAAGTCCGGGGTCCCCGCCATGGCGCTCGCCTTTTAGACTACCGGCCATGCAAGCCACCATCGGCAACGCAGCCATGGGCGGCCCATTTGTCACAGTTGCTCGCAGGAAACAGGGCTGCTCTCCTCCGCAATATGCGCGTCTGTCGTGACTTGTCCAAGACGGGGGCACTCGGTGCCTTTTCGGACGAACAGGTCGTGCTCGACTTGTTGATGGCCGCATTCCCGGCTTGGTACGATCAAGAGGGCTCATCTCAGTGTGTCCAACTTGTATAAATACCCGTGGCCCCGTCCATGGGTATGTCCATCACAATAGCAGTAGGCAAGGCAACATATTTCGACGCATCTGATCTCGCCAACGCGCCACTATGAGGTTCTCACTGGCTTCGCTTCTAGCATACGGCCTCGCCGTAGATGCTCACACCATCTTCCAGGTATGTGATGAGTGTTGGTTAACGCGGTGGTAGAGTAACAGAGACTGACCGGCCGCTACAGAAAGTCTCCGTCAACGGCAAAGACAACGGCCAGCTCACCGGCCTGCGTGCCCCGGGCAACAACAACCCCGTCCAGGATGTTACCAGCCAGAATATGATTTGCGGCCAGTCGGGGTCGAAATCGTCGTCTATCATCAATGTGGCGGCGGGCGACCGTATCGGATCATACTGGCAGCATGTCATCGGCGGTGCCCAGTTCGCAGGAGACCCAGACAACCCGATCGCCAAGTCTCATAAGGGCCCTGTGATGGCGTACCTTGCCAAGGTCGACAACGCAGCCTCGGTCGGGTTGAGCGGCCTCAAGTGGTGAGTACTCGGCTTCCAGGTTTCTTTTGCACGTTGCCACTCTCGGCTCTTCCAACGTTGTCCCGGGTCCTCTGAAGAAAAGGGGCTGATGCAGTCGATTAGGTTCAAGGTCTGGCAGGACACATTCGACACTAGCAGTAGGAAATGGGGCGTTGACAATATGATGTCCAACAATGGGTGGGTATACTTCAACCTCCCCACATGTATCGCCCCGGGGCAGTACCTCCTGCGCATGGAAACGCTCGCCCTGCACTCAGCCAAAACCCAGGGCGCAGCCCAGTTCTACCAGAGCTGCGCTCAGATCAACGTGTCGGGCTCTGGCACGCTTTTGCCCTCGTCCACCGTCAGCTTCCCGGGCGCGTACAAGGCCAACGACCCCGGCATCTTGATCAACATCTACGGCCTGAAGGGTGTCCCCGATATGGACGGCAAGCCGTACACCGCTCCGGGCCCGGCACCCATTTCGTGCTGAGCTGGGCTGGGTTGAGTTGGACCGAAACATGACGAGTCTCCTTTTCAGGTTGTTTCAAAGTATGTCGCTGTTGCCAGGGAAACTCGCTGCTGCGAGGATACCGCTGGTGCCGGACGAGGAAACTTCGGGGTTCATAGATCATCGATCATGGTTGATTCACACACGCCGTATACACAGCGAGTATATGAGTGTAGGGCATGTGGGGCATGCGCTGGTAAGGAATTTTTGGGATTTAAGCACGGCTTTGCTAGGGGCAGCCCAGGCGGGCCAGCTCACAGCGGCAGAGACCAGGGATAGGCATTCTTCACCGTCTCTGCAGCCGGAACCCTTTCTTGTATGTAAATACACTACGTTAGCATGCCCTGTCAACATCTCCAAAAACACTCTCTTGACTCTCTTGTTCAAGAAAGGCGTCGCGCTCGCTGTACACTCTAATCCCTGAATGTATGTTGGCCTGGTATTGGGGAACAAGGAGAAGGTTATCGCAAATACGGAATAAATCGGCAGAAATGGCCTATAATAGGTACTTTTAGAGAAGAGATAGGCCTCTGGGATTCTAGAATAGGGGTTCTAATAGTTATTACCTCCCCTGGTAAAAAAAAACTTGTAGGGCGAATAGTAAGGAACTGAGGCACTTCAAATCTTGGAAAGTCCCCCGCTAACAAAGATTCAGGGATTGGATTGCGTAGTCTGCTGTCTGGCGACCAACGGCGAGTGGCCTTCTCACATCGTCAAAGATGAAGAATATCCATAATGGAGATTCCCATCTCGGAATTGGCGCCTCGATATCCACCGTCTATAATTGTGTGGAGTCTTCACGTTGTAGCGCGCACATGGAAGCTTCGGAAGCGCCGCATAAGCAGGAATCCAAGCTAGAAGACAAGCTTTACAGTTTGCGCACCACAGAGTGGATGAAAAAATCCCGCGACTAATTCCGCGTCATATTCACAAGTCGAGCCACCCCTAGTCAGGAATCTTCCGCGGGCCGGAATCTCTCGGATTGCCTGCTTGTGGTGTTGAATGCAGAGTCGAGCCCGCCTGGCCTGGCCACAGTGCTCTGTGTGAAAGACAAAAACACGCAACTCGTCGCCTTGGAGCGCAGGCTTGAGCGGCTCAACTGTTGCCATCCGCGGGGTCAGACGACGGAGTGCCAGCTGCTACTTCCGCATTTGGTCTTACTCAGCTCCGGGGCTGGCGATCTGTGCTCACCCTCATCTTGTCGAGCCCCGGTTGCTGCCAAGGTTGGTCTTGGTGTGATGAAAGCTTGGTCCGCCTGCCCCGCTCTGTCCGTCACCTCGACAGCCGATCCCTGTGCCACTGCTAGCCCGGGGCCTTCCATCTGTAGGTACAGTGTATACCGCTAGTCCGATCCACTGGCCGCGGGCGTGATTTGGTCGAGTGTAGCGCTACGCTGCGCGATAATCTATAAGTAACACAGTGGGCTCGAGGTGCACCGTGCATTCCGTCATGCATCTCAACTGCTCCTGCGGATTGATATCGGCCTCGCTTCCATTGCTCACCCAATCCAAGATCGAACTCTACCCGGCCGCCCTCAAAACCCTCACCCTCACAAAGACGCTCCCGCAGACTGCTCGCCGTGATAGAAGCTTTACAACCTATAAATTCTATCCAGAACCGGTAAGCCACTTTGCTCAGTTCCCCACCGTCGAATTCAAGCCCCCCGTGTCCGTCTCCGTGCGAGCTGGCAGCGACGAGTCGTCGCGGCGAAAGCGCGGACGATTCGTCCTTCGCCCGCGCTCTTTCTTCCCAATCACCGAGCATTCCCCGCGGCTGTATCCCTGCCCGCCCTGTCTATCTCGCGCAATCCACAGGCAGGTCACGGCCGGCTGTGGTGGGTGGCCATTGGAAATTCGCGCATTGAAAGGGAAGGCCCTGCTGCTGTTGCCGTGCTCGCCGCTCCGCGTGGGTCAAGCTTTTTTTGTTTGTCGAGCACCGAGCTCTACGGGCCATTATTTTGTTTCTTGCTCGCGCCTGCCCCTGCTGCCCGTTTGTTTTCGTCGTTCTTCTCCCTCTTCCCCTTTCTCGTCCTCTAATATCCAATCAATCCCAATTGGTCCCGCCCAATTCTCAATTCGTCTCTGCCAAGTCGTCTTGTGGTTGTCCGCACTCCTACTTCCTATTTTCTCTCTTCCGTTTTACTCTACACGGCTTGTACAGGACCACTCTTGGCGCTCCGAAGCTTTACCTCGAAACTGACCACCCCAAGCCGCATCAGTGGCGCTCATCCTCTCTCGGCCCTGACTCTATCTAATCACTTCACCTACACCGCATTACCTACCAAAAAGTAAGCATTGCCTGACCTGTACTTCAATTGATTCAATCGCTCGACGCCTCCTCTACTGCGCGATTTTAAGAGATCGGGATACCCGTTCGGCCGTCTCGGAGCTCCCTGCGTATCCGGATGCTGCGGCGGTACCTTACCTGAATGACGGATGCCAAGTACCGCCCCACGGGAAAAGCCTGAGCTCACTCAGCTTCTAGCGGGGAGATTTTCAAGCCAATCGCCGATAAACACCGCGATCGTACCGAGCACGCCGATTGCCTGCAAACCTTTAAACCGCTCATCACCCTCGACAACATTTATCAATTGGCCGTCGCATTAAGCAATAATTCAATTTGCTAACGTTTCCACCCTACCAGCCCCTAAAATGCCTTCCATCAAGACCGCTCTCGTCGCTCGCGACAGCATGTCCCACCTCGCCAAGCGGGAGAACTGGGCTTCCCAAGAGGCCGGTGTCATTGTCGTGTTCGCAATTGTCTTCGTCGTCGCCGTCGGCTTGGCGTCTCTCTTCATCTCGAGATGGTTTTCCCGTCGCAAGGCCGCGAAACAGGCCTCCACCGTCTAAACAGCTCTTGCTGCAAACTCGGCCCCCAGGCAAAGGAACGGGCACACGATGGCAGTGAGAGGACGAAGAACGACCGGGGACGTTAATGAGTGAAAGTGTTTGGGAACGGGACCTGATTGTGAACGGGGTGCGGTGGATCAGGCCTCGATTAAGCTCTTGAAGCACGGTTGCCACATGTTCACGGCGTGGCAGCCGAGTCTCGTTCGCAACGACTAATGGGGGGAGGGAATCCGATCAACTTTTTGCGCCGATACCTACCTCCTACCTTGACCTAATTCTCGCAATGGCGGACCAGATCTGCTTGCGAAGTTATTCAATTTCCGGCGCTTTGGAAAAGTATTATGGATGAGAGTTGGTGGACAAGAGATAGGGGGTGTTGTGGTGGTGGCCGTCATCACATGACCGCATCGATCGTTTCAGCAACTCGCCGTGCAACTGGCTAGGGCGAGAAAAGGAACACATATTGCGGACGAAGGACGGGTGTGTTGCAGTTGGCAACAATTTCATGGGACTAGCGACGAGCATGTTGCTGTTCTTCCTATTTATTTTTTTCTCCTTAATACTATTTTTGATACCTCCTACACGGTTGGACCTCCTGGCGGTGCACGCCGCTGGGTGCGGATTTTGTCTCTTGCCCGTGCAGGATTCGGTATGCCGGCCATGACACAGCCGAGCGCCAAAAATACCAACAACATGGACATAGAATCGACAATCTTACCATTGTATAAGAGTACATGCATGGCTAGTGCTTCTTTTATTGCGGCGAAACTGACACGGTGAGGCAGCAGACATTCTTTGACTTGGTTTACAGTAGCAAGGCGCAAATACGAGCGAGTCCAGCGGAGGGTCATATTAAGACCGGCTTTCAGCTATAGCCGGCCGACTTCCGATTACGCCATATCTATGCACACAACAACCACAGGCCGTTTCTTGGGATAGCATTCTATCTCCGTTCAGCTCCTCGGGGCCGCCTATCTATTTACTTGTACAACTCTGTCTTTTCCAGGTGTATCAGACCGCTTGCGGGCTAGATAACATGGACATGGTTAGCATTCGACTTCCTTTTTACATGCTCAGAGGCAGTCTTGATGGCGGGGCCTAAAATTACGGCAACGGGTGTGAAAGGCGGGCCCGACTCACCGGCACAAGTTGCCTCAACCGCACGCCGGCCTGGAGGAACACGGCGGCCGTGGCGCTGTCCATGCTGTAGCCCTGGCTGTAGACGACCTCGTTGATGCCGACCTGGGCAATCTTGATGCTGCAGGTCAGACAGGGGCACGTGTCGCAGTAGAGCACGGCGCCGCCGCCGACGCGCTCGCGGCCGGCCTCGAGCAGCGCGTTCTCTTCGGCGTGGATGCACAGGCACGTGGCAAGGCCGTGGCCGGAGCGGTGGGCCGAGGCGTCGTTGCAGCGGCCGCAGCCGCCCTCGCCGCAGTTGAGCAGGCCCCGCGGCGTGCCGTTGTACCCCGTGCTAATGACGCGCTTGTCGCGCACCACCACGCACCCCACGCGCCGCTTCATGCAGTTGCTCCGCTGCGCCGCCAGCGACGCCAGCGCCATAAAGTACGAGTCCCACGACGGTCGCAGCCGGTCCTCGTCTAGCAGGTCCAGCGCCCCCAGCGTCCCGAACAGCTGCGCCACCGACCCCGACGTGTTGAGCAGCCGAACCCCCGCCCGCGACATCAGCGGCAGCTGCCCCGTCGCCGCGTCGTACAGGTACGCGTCCGACAGCGCCACGAAGTCGGCCAGTGGCATGTCGTCCCGGGACGCTACTGCTGTGTCGTTGTCAAGTCGGCGCCGCCGCTGCTCCTCCCGCCCCTGAAACCGCCGCCACCGCAGCCCCACCGGCGCGTCCACGCTGACCAGCAGGAAGAACGGCCGCCGGCTGTACATGTCTAGCACGGCCTCGCTGGGGATGTCGGTCGTCACCCACCGGTCGCGCCAGCGCGCCGTGACCAGGTCGAGCAGTTCGTCGGCCGTCGCAAAGACCTGCCGAGTCTCTGCCGAAGACCCGCCGAGCTCGTCATTGTCGCCGACTTCTTCTTCTCCTCCCCCGTTGGCTTTGCTGCTCACTGGTCCTGCTGCGGCTGCGGCTGCTTCCTTACTCGGAGGCGCGTGAGTTCCCTCTCCTCCTGTCGAGGAGCCGAGATGCAGACGCGTGAAGCCATGGTGGTCAACGAGATACTGCGCGATGGTGGTCTTGCCCGCGCAAATGCCTGGCCACCTCTCGAGTCAAAATCGTGTACGTCCCGGTTTGAGAAAGATGAATGGCTTTTTTTTATGTGTATGAGAATGAATGAAAGGGAAGGGTGAGAGGGTGGGTGGCTAATTACTCCCGCATATGCCGATGAACATGACAAATTCTTTTTTGTCTTCTTTTTCAAAAATAAAAATAAAAAAGGGGGGGGAAGGCTGTTTAGTTTTTTGCGGTATGTTTGTCGCTTGTTTTTAGCCGTGTGAGTTTTCCCTCAAGTTTTAACAGCAATCCAATTTGCAAGTCGGTTGCTGCTTGAAGGCTGAAGCTCATAACCATTCAACTTGGTGTGCAACGCTCAGGCCAGACACGTCCGCAAAGAGCCAAGACACAATTAACGCGTCAAGCTCGGCGCGGAAGCCGCCGAAGATCAGCCGGAGGGGTAAGGTGAGCCAGTAGTTGCAGCTTGATGCCTGTCAGGTCAGTGACGAAAGGCGCCCCAGCTCCGAAACATTAGTGCGGGGCACAGCGCAGTGGGCTGAGCGGCGGCAGCAGCAGCGGCAGCAGCTTGCGCTCACCAACACCCACGGGTGGGACATGGACCCCGCGGCAGACAGAAAACGGTAGGAGGTGAGAGTGGTTGCCTTGTATTTCCTTCGGTCCTCAAAATGGACTTGGGTTGTCAATCACCAGCCTCACCCAGCTTTCCCTTCTGTTTGATCCTATGACGCATACTTTACAGGCTATGACACAACGGCTGACTGCGCTTCGACTTCTATTTTGACTTTTAACTCTGCGCCCTCCCTCCTGCACAACGGTCCTCCCTGACAAAGGCTTATTCTAAAATTCGGGCTGTTACTCGTGCCGGTTAGGTACTCTAGGTTGGCTGCGTGCTGAATTGTTCACTCGTCTCTGCGCAGACAAAGCACCACTTGCGCCCAGGTTTGGTTTCAAGAGAGGTCGCCGACAGCTGTCACTGTCACTTCACAACCACTCTCACTCTAGACTCGTATCTGTCTGGGTCTGCGATCCGAAAGCGCCCGCTCCCCGCGTATATATATATATCCACACTGCATACGGACTTCAGCTTCCGAGTCCCCACGCCAGCTAAGAAGCCGCCTCCACCTTCCTTCCTCCGCAACCACGCACAAACCCCGTGATAGCATCGTCGTCGCGGGCGCACAGTCGCATAGTCGCACACCATGGCTGCTCTCAAGTTTGCGACCTTCTCTTCGGAGATCGAACTGCCCTTCTACTCGGCCCTCTTCTCGTCCAAGCTCGAGCATGACAAGCTCGACGACTCTGCCCGCCCCGTCATCGGCCTCTATGAGCCGCGCCCCCAAGCCGACCCCGAGGCGAGCACCAAGATGCAGATCCTCGGGAGCGCATTGACTAGTACCCAGTAAGCTTCTTGTCATCTCCCCCAGTCGCTTCGCGCGCACAATAGCATAAGCATGTCTAACGCCCTGCGACAGTGTGCCTCTTGGTCTAAGCCGCGCCGAGGGCTTCATCAAGAACGTCAACACGGTGGAGGAATTCAATAATACCGACAAGTCTGCCCTCATCACAGATGCCGGGCGCCAAGTTAGTGTCCCCAAGCTCCCTCCGCAGGCGGCTGCTTTTGTCGCGTGCCAGGGCTAATTTGCGCTTTCTTGCGACGGGCAGATCTGGGACGCGATCCAAGACGGCACCATCTACTCTATCCCGTCGCTTCTCTCGTCCTTCAAGATCCTCTCGTTCGCCAACCTCAAGAAGTACCAGTTTAAGTACTGGTTCGCCTTCCCGGCCCTCCACTCGGATCCCTCGTGGAAGCGGACGGGCCCCATCGGCCGGCTGGACTCGAAAGAGAGCACGGCGCTGGCCGAGAAGATCGGGACGTGGCGGTACATTGTCGACAACAGGGAGCACGGCTTCTTCCTCGCCAAAAAGGTGCGGGGCGAGGATGCGACGAAGATCCCGTCGGACGACCCCGGCGCTGACATTGGCTACCGGTGGGAGATTGGCTCCCTGAGAGACTTTGAGACGGGGTTCTTCAATGACATACCGGCCGAGGACAGATATATCTCCTTTGTCGACCCCTCAAACTATCCCGAATCTCCGTCTTGGCCTCTGCGCAATTTGCTGGTTCTGATTAGGCATCGGTATCAGCTTAGGGAAGTCCAGATCCTGTGTTACCGGGACACGCAGGCCAGGAGGCACGAGGCGCGGAGCATCATCATGCCCCTGGCCATGGACGCAGTGGAGAAGATGGAGATTACCGAGGTGCCCAAGGTGACGGGCTGGGAGAGAAACACCAGCGGTGACTTGAGGTCCCGCTCCGCGAACCTGGGCGAGTACATGGATCCCGCTCGCCTTGCAGACCAGGCAGTCGATCTAAACTTGAAGTTGATGAAGTGGCGGCTGTCCCCGAATCTCGACCTCGATGCCATCAAGAACACAAAGTGTCTCTTGCTCGGCGCCGGTACCCTAGGGAGCTATGTTTCTAGGAATCTGATGGGATGGGGCGTGCGCAAGATCACCTTTGTCGACTACGGCGCAGTGTCCTTCTCAAACCCCGTGCGCCAACCGCTGTTCTCGTTCGAGGACTGCCTGAACGGCGGCAAGGCCAAGGCGATACAGGCGGCCGAGGCGCTCAAGCAGATCTACCCGGGCGTCGAGGCCGAAGGCCACGTGCTGTCGGTGCCGATGCTCGGGCACCCATTCACAGACGCGGCCAAGGTGAAGGCTGATTTTATGAAACTGCAGGAGCTGGTCGAGGCGCACGACGTCATATTCCTCCTCATGGACACTCGCGAGTCGAGGTGGCTGCCGACGCTGATGGGCAAGGCGTCAAAAAAGATCGTCCTGAACGCGGCTCTCGGCTTCGACACGTACGTTGTGATGCGGCACGGAGCGGCGCCCAAGGACGGGACCGAGGACACTCTTGGGTGTTACTTTTGCAACGACGTCGTCGTGGCGGCAGATGTAAGACGCAACGTCCCTTTTTATCTCTATTTTTCCGGTTACTGACAGTTTCTTTCCTTTTAGTCGGTCAAAGACCAGACCCTGGACCAGCAGTGCACCGTCACGCGGCCGGGAGTGGCGGCCATCGCGTCGGCGCTGCTCGTCGAGCTCCTTACCAGCATCCTGCAGCACCCGCAGAAGGAGCACGCGCCGGCGCCCGTACACAACAAGTCGTCGGACTACGAACGCGACCCGCCGGACCACCCGCTCGGCATCGTGCCGCACCAGATCCGCGGCTTCCTGTCAACGTTCCAGAACATGCTCATCCGCGGCCGCTCGTTCTCGCAGTGCAGCGCCTGCAGCAAGCCCATCGTCGACGCCTACCACAAGGACGGCTGGGACTTTGTCCAGAGGGCGCTCGAGTCGCGCGACTACGTCGCCGAGCTCAGCGGCCTTGCCGAGGTGCAGCGGCTGGCCGAGGCGGCCGCGGGAGAGGTGGAGTGGAGCGAGGAGGAAGAGGCCGAGGAGGAGGGTGAGGGCGTCATTCTCTAGCCCAGACTAAAGGCGGGCATTCCAAGGGTTGGGTGGGTGGAAGCATCACGGGACACATGGGAAATGGGTGCATTTGTATCACATCGCCGTTGGCTATCGGGGAGGGAGTTTTTTTTTTTCCGTTTGGCACTTAGGCTCGGAGTTGTTTCCTGCCTTTGAAGTAGTGGTGGCGGCTTCTTGCTGTTTGAATCCGAGTCGCATTTCTATCTTGTCTGGTGGATGGTCGTGTTTCTGTGTGGTATTTTGCGTTGCATCGCGTGGGCTTGTGTTGTATTGTATTCATTTATTGCATGCACGACGTGTGAAGTGTCGGTATTGGAAAGGTTGCTTTTTAGCTGTGTCTCCGTCCAACGCATTACTTGGCAGCAGCTTTCTGGGGGTTTGTTTTGTTCCCCGACCTCTACCCGTTTCTGTTCAAGTACGGCCGTTTAATGGTATTCATCCCTAATTCCCGGTCATTCGTCCTGAAATAATATAGACGGTAGTTGCGGTTCTCATCTGCTCTCAGCCTTGTCTGAGTGGCCCCCGTGTTCTTATTGGCTGCTGGGCGGTGTAAGGTAAGTAACCTGGAGGGGCGATAAGATAAGGCAGCTATCAAAGGCGGTTAGAGGCGGCACAATCTATTCAACTCGACCAATTCTGCTTTTCGGTCCTTTTTTTTTCACTTATCGACAAATCTCCCCCCCCACCCACTTCACGAGCTCGCCAACCTCTCCGCAGCCTCGAAACAAACCCAACGAAAACGCCCCTGCCCAACAGGGGAGAAAGAAGAGAATCCAGAAAATGGCGCAGGGCAGCCTCAAGAAGACGGCCACGCCCAACCCGGGCAAGACCAAGCCGTCGCGCCACGCCAAGCGCGGCGCCATCACCAAGCCAAAGACTGTGCGCACGGCCGCCGACAAGCTGCAGAAGAAGTACACGGGCGGCATGGTCGGCAAGACGGAGAAGATGCTGGCCGCGCGCGTCGGCCACCTCGAGCTCATCGACAAGGTGTGGAAGAAGGACAAGAAGGAGGCCGTCAAGGTCAAGGGCGGCACGCGCAAGTTTGGCTAAGGCTTTTGTGTCTTTATGGGGAGGCGAGGCGAGGCGAGGCGAGGGACGGACGACACAAACCAGCGAGTGAAACAAATTGCTGCGGAAATCATCTTGTGTTGTGTCGTGGTGCGAAACAAGGCGGTCGGACGACGGCAGCCTCTGGAACAATGCATGCGTGCGCTTCGGCCCATCCAAGGGCAGACTCAAAAGTGAGCAACGAGCCCTCACCACGGCTGCGCGCGACTGGGCTACACGGCAACGACAACGGCGACACAACACCAAATCCTTCTCTGTCTTGGCCTGTCTGTTTGTCCGAATTCCTCTCTTGGTGCTTGAGACAGACGAAATCCTCCCACCAGACACGGGCGGTCCTGCCCGGAACCCGAAAACTCCACCGCCAACGCCCTGGGAAAAGGCGCGAGATGGGGGAAAAAAGAGAGTCTGTTTTATTCCAATTGCTTGCTTGGCATCTATCATCGTCTTCGTCATCATCATCATCATCGGGGGAGCGATCCAGGCGTTTTGGGTTTAGGTTTGGGTTTGGGTTGGTTTCTCGGTCGGTCTGCGTGGTGGGGGGGATTTGTTTCTTTTCGGGGAAAACAAAACAAAATAAAAATCTTGAAACAACTACCCAAGGCTCTAGCCAGTTGTATTATCTGTTATGTGATTTACTGCCCGCCGTATCTATCCCCAAGATATGGTTCTGTGTGTCTGTGTGGCTCTGCCAATTCAGATGCCGTAAAGATAGGTGTGAGGTGAGAGTCGGTTTGATTGTGGGTTGATTCGACTTTCGGCGGATTTCTTCTCCGAAGTGAATGAAATCGATGTGGGTAGATAAGGGCGGTTCCTAAATTCGCTACCGGCAGCAAGAGCAAGATTGACACCTTTCGACAAGCGCAACAGGGACACTGTGTGGTTATAGCAAGCTCGTGGTATGTAAGTCACCAGAGACAGAATTGGGCACTAAGTAAATGTTATATTTCGTCTGCTTCAATAAGGCTTGCCTCAAGGAGGGACTTCTAAAATTAGATTTATCAGAAAAGTGAAATGGCTCATACTCATCACCACGTACAAATTAAAGGTTAACACAGGCACTTGCCGTTAGATAAGTAAATAGTTTCCTCCGCCAAGTTATTTGCCTAGGGTATCTTTTGTATCTAAATTTCTTCTTGTTCCATTCCCCCACACTCGACAGCCGATGGATGGTAGGACAAGTTTAGTTCTGTTGTTGTACATAATGATGATGATACAGCCCGGTATGTCAACCAGTAAAAGAAATAAAATTCAAATCAGGTATCGCATCTTAGCTAGCTTAGCCAGCCATTCTCGTCATGACATCGTTACATTAACAAAAACCGCATCTTAGACCGCTCTCTCTCTCTCTCTCATAGGCTACGAGAGAGGAACTCTAAAAGAAGCGTCTCCGCGCGCGCCTCGAGCCCCGCCCGTCGGTGCCGCGCATGCGACGAGTGCCGGCAGCCTAACACGATCAAGGTCAGTACTAACGAAGCAGGTACAGATTATATATGCATGTGATTACCTTTTGCCCCGGGCGGCCCGTCAGCGAGCCCTTGAGCCGCAGCAGCGCGCCGGAGAGCTTGTCGCCGAGCGAGGCGTGGCGCTTCTGGTGGTGGACGGGCGCCACGACGGCTGTGTGGGTGTGATGAGTGTGGTGAATGTGGTGGGCGGGGGCGACGGCGACGCGGCGGCGGTGGTTGAAGATGCCGCCGCGGCCGTGGGTAGCCGTGGCCGGGGTGGTGGCCATGGGAGTGGCGCGGTGTGTGCGGGAGAAGAGAGGCATTGTACTGTGGCTTGTTGAAGATTTGTGTGGTTTGTTACCGGTTTTGATGTTGTGCTTGTTTCACTGGTTATGTGCAGCAGATGATAAGATAGTGAATGGTAATGATAATGATAATTGTGAAGCAGGCGGGATATCACAGCTTGTTATATACACGGTTTGGTATTTGATCTACGCTGGAGGGCTAGTGACGGTGAGGGGAGGTGAAAGGAAGCTGGCAGGTCTATGACATCAATTGTTGAACATGTTCCTTGCAACAGCCAGCCATCTGCCACCACTTCGCAGCCCAGATGCGCTACAGCGATTTGTGATGGCTGCTGTCGCTTCGCCAAGCTCGCGTGTGTCCACGATGACGATGAACCCTTGGTGTGTCTCGACAAAACTTGGCCACAAAGGTCAGCCCCGCGGCGTCGTCGTCAGTGGCGGCGTCCTGGGACCGCCGTTCATTGGGGCTTGGCTGGTGGTTCTGGGGTAGCAGGGGTCCTCGGCACCCAATTGCGGCTTGAACGCTATGGTGTCGCCGTGACACTGAATCTGGCCGGATGCAACAGCCACCGAGTCACGTGAGATAGGCGGAGCGTGACCCCTACCTGAACCATTTCAAATCCAAGCTTGGACCAGACGCAGCTAAAAGAAATGCGCGAGGGTATTCCGAGGATTTAAATTGAATTGAATAATTAGCTAAGTATTCCGCAAACGCACCCACCGAGGCCACATTAACGCGACGGTGCGACACGACACGATACAACACGGCGCCTAGGCGTGCGAGGCTTGGAAATCGTCGGCGTAAAAGTACAGATAGGCCAGGTTGGAGGGGTTGTAGAAGCGGATTTCAAGCGCGCCGCTGCCAATCGAGTCGGTGGTGAACGGTATGCCCGTGGCGCGGGTGAAGGCGGAGCTGGACGTCTGCGGGCACGCGACGGTGCCGACCTTGACGCCCGCGTACCAGACATCGATTCGAGAGTACGCGTCGAAGTTGAGGCACCGGAACATGAACGACAATGAATACGCCGTCGACGGCCGCGCCTGAAACGTCTCGGCGATGCCCAGGTAGCCGCCGCCTGTGGTGGGTGGGTACACGCGGATAACAACAGTTCCCCCGGCACAATACGCCGCCCCAGCCGTGCAGGGATTGACCCCGTTTATGACCTCGAGCCGCCCGCCCGTAGTCGTCCCCGTGTTGCTCCACGGCAAGATGTTGCCCGTCTTCGAATAAGTCTCGAAATTGCCGTTGACCACCGGGTTGGCTGAGATGGTTGTCGCCGGTGCCGCTACCGATACCGTTGCTACCGCCTTGCTCGTCACCGTCGAAACGGCCGTGCTCTGTTTGGCAAACGCACAAGTCAAGTCAGCTCCTCCACCTAGCCCGCAGTTAGCGCCAAAGGAAGGAAGGGAAAGGATTTCACGCACGGTAGCCTCGACAAGGACCGTCGAGACCGAAGTCTCAACCACGGTCACGGTTGACGCCGTGGCCGTCGACAGGAAGCAGCTGCAGGCGCTGCTGATGCGCGCCTCCTTGGTCGAGCACTGCGAGATGATGGCATCTGCCGGTTCCATCGTGGAGGTGGAGACGCTCGCCACGCGCTTCTGGAAAATGGTGGTGCCAACCACGCCGGTCCTGCAGTCGAGGCAATGGGTGAGCGGTCCGCTTCTCCTCCGGAACAGGAACACGACTTACTGCGTTGTGGTCCCTGTCGTCGTCGTGAGCGTCGTCAAGGCGGTCTGGACGGTGACCTGTGTTGACACGGCCGTCGTGAGCTCGGTGACGGTGGTCGTGACGGGCGCCAGGGACAGCCATGAAGAACAAAACGACTCTCCGGCCGTTGGGTCCGCCCCGAGGGCGCCGAAGCACCTCGGGGATCCGCACGTGGTGGGAATTTTGCAGCCCGCGTTGGCCACGCCGGCCAGGAGGCCGACGCCCAGGCAGACCGTCCAAGATTTCATACTTTTCTTTCAATAGGGCGTATAAACGAGTGTGGTGCGCCCGAAACGGACGACGAAACGAACGACGGTAAGGGGAAAAAAGAAAAAATGAGTGGCGCCGGAAGAGGCTTTCGGCGGGAGATCCAGATGCAACAACAGATCGGGGGCGCTACCCTATATATCAGGACGGGGTTTATTCTTTATTGTACATGTCGACAACCCCTTTCTCGCGTCGCTCGGCACGCACTATTGGCTCTGCCGATCTGGTCCCAAAGCTCTGGATCCACGTCAGTGGCTGGATTGGCTGCCAGAGCCGCACTATCGATCGCCTAGACGGAGGCTAAACCGGGGTGGCCCATTCAGCTTGGACTAAGCCGCCGGTCTAGACCGCGTGCGGCCCCGCCTAGCACGAGGGAAATTGGCACCGCAGGCCCGAGTTTCAATAGAAAAATGATTTGTTGTTGTTGTTGTTGTTGAACACCACGTATAATGACCAAGTGGTCTTTCTTCACCATCGCCAGGATCGGCGCTTTGCCTGCTTTCCGGGGCTCTGGAATTCTGAGCGGAATCGCGACTGGACGACGGACGGGCCATTCAACGACGCGCCCATGCCGAGGTACGGGCCCACTTCGCGGACCAAGAGTCCGGGACGGCGGTGGGCCTGCGCCCGTTTTTGTTTAATTAATTTTCTAACCCCTGAGGCCCCGGCGTCGTGGGACCGAACCAGCTCGAGGCGCCTCCGTACATGTACGTACCATGCTCATTCACGAGTGCAAGGCTAGGAGGCCGCAGGGAAATATTCAGTAAGTAAAACAAATCAATCACACCATAGCCCTAGAGGCTGCATGCGTGTAATGAAGGAAAAAAAAAACAAATCAAGAATTGGTTTTGCCATTTTGGCGGCGACCAAATTTTCATTGCAGGACGCTGGCCGGGTATGCATGTACTCTCTGCACCTCAGGCCAAAGACGCGTGATGCAAAGTGCGGCCTTGAAAACGATACGTGGGGTCAAACAAAAATTAAAGAACGACAAACACACAAAGGCCGCCCTCAGCCCTCAACGAGATTCTTCTTGATCACCGCGACGTCCTCGGCCGAGAAGCCGAGCGTGTGCCTCACGTAGCCCTCGAAGCCGCCGTACTCGCGGTCGACGGCGGCCACAAAAGCCGCCCAGCACGCCCCGCGCAGGCTGATGAGGTTGTGGAACCCCGGCGCGTCAGGCCCGGCCGCGCCCGACCCCTTGAGCGCAAAGGCGATGAGCTGCTCGCGCGCCGGCTCCGTGCCGATGCGCGACAGCAGGTAGTCGTGCGCGATGTCGTCGGCCGCCGCCCCCGCCAGCGCCATCAGCAGCCCCGCCACGACGCCCGTGCGGTCGCGCCCGGCTGCCGGTCTTGTGTCAGTCAGTTGAACAAAAGGAGAAGAGGAAGGGGGAAAACGAGAATGAAACCCCACCAGTGCAATGAAACAGAAACCCCTTCGCCGGCTCGTCGCGCACGTGCTCCAGCAAAACCTTCAAATTCGCTCCATACAGCCGCAGCACGTCGAGGTACATGGCCTCGTACCCTTTTTCTCCGCCGCCATCGACGAAATCGCGCACCTCGACAACCGCCTCGAGCTCGACGGCCGGCGTCCATACGTTCTCGATCCCGGGCACTGACGGGTCCGGCTGCGCGGTGTGTTCCTCGACGGAGCGGAAGTCGAAGATCTTGGTGATCCCCAGCCGCCGCGTCAGCACCGCCTTGGCGTCGTCGCTGAGCCCGGGCCCGAGCAGGAACCCGCCAGAGCGGAACGCGTAGCCCGGCCGGATGCCATCAACACTGCTGCTGTTGCCGTCGCTGGTTGTTTGTGCGTTTTGCTGCTGCTGCTGCTGGCGGCCAATGTCGCGCGTGTTGAACGTGCCCGGGACGTATGCAAAAGGCGGGCTCTGCAGGGCGGCGTACAGCTGGGCCTTGGGGATGGGCACGGCGACGTCGGTGGCAGCCAGTGCGGCGAGGTCGGCGGGGGATGTTGCCGCCATGTTGGCTATTATTATTACCCAAGGTAAAGTACCGAGAGTATGTGTGTTTATGACAAGGTGAGATGAGATGCGAGGTATCCAGCTGGTGTGGGAACCTGAGGTCAGTTTTGTCAAGGCAGGCGAGAACGGTAATGCTGGTGGTCTTGCTGTCGTCGTCGCTGTTGCCGTTGCCAATTGCAACGGCTCTGCTATTATGAACTAGGGTATTTGTATTGTATTGTAGGTACACTGCACTTGCAGACTGGACTTGCGGAAAACAGAGAAGCAGGCCCAAGCATCTATACACCGATGAGAGAAGGAACCCCTCCGCCAGGGAGGGGAACTTGTGTCGTTGAAGAAGATCTGTAGCATCGTACCAGACCACCACCGCACCCCACAGAATCCCTGCTTCCCGTCCCCTCTCCCTTCCCGCTACTACTACACTATCTTGCCGCGACTGATGCAGGGTGTCTCTAACCCGTTACTGTGTGACCTGTCACCGAACCGTAAACTGTAAAGTAACATGCATTCAGAACGAACATGTCTAGCTAACAACGGTCAACCGGGGCCCCTGCTCAACGACAATACCAATATCATAAAGTACAATTTATAAGGCTACTTCATAGGTCTGGCTACCTAGGTATTATCCATCTGCATTCTGCAATCAGTCTGCTTCTAGTCCAACACACAGCGTCGTGCACCGCCGGCCGTCAGTCCGATGCATAACCCCGTTGGAATTCACGCCCGGTCCGTGTCTGGGTCGGCGGCCACAAGTGTCCCGCGTGCCCGTCGCCGTCCTCGGACCCCAAAACTACCCGGTCGTGCTCCGCACCCTCGCTCTCCTCGAGCACCGTCTGCCCCATCACACACTCGCGCTCCGAAAACCCCTGGCCTGCCCCTCGAGTCTTGAAATGGTCCGGGACCGTGTGCCCCGGCCCCGGCCCTGGCCCTGGCCCTGCTTGCCCGCCCCCGTGCAGCACGTCTAGCTCTATTGTCTGGCCCCTGTTGGCGCTCGACGGTCCGGGGCTGCCGCTGTGAAAATGCCTTGGCGATGCGGCGCGGTTGCTTCTGCGGCCACTGACTCTGCGGACGAGGTCCGCCGCCTTGGCCCCGATGCCTGTTGCCTCCTCCACCGCCTCGGCTGCCGACTCGAGAGCCGCCCGGTTCAAGTGGGCCGCCCTCTCGTCGATCAGCCGGTTCTTCTTGCGGATTTCCGTCCAGCGAGTCATGGCACCGAGCTCCAGGATGTTGACTCGCCGCATCTTGGATGACGGGTTGCCCACGAGAATCGGGCGCCACATCTCCTCTTCCGTCATGCCGTGCTGGTTGCCCCCCAGCCCAGGCCCGCTCGACCGCCGCCGGATGCTCTCCCTGCGTATCTGCGTCCACTTTTCCATCTCCAGAGTCTTGGACCTCGGGATGATTTGCACCTCCTTGAACCGGATGAGCACCGCAAGCAGGAGCACCGTCAGCACCAGCAGTATTCCCGCTACACCACCCGTCGCTACCCGCTGTCCAAGGTTGCGCTGAGCCATGCCTCCAATCCCCGTGGCCAGAGCCGCGAAGAGAAAGCCAAGCGTGTGGCAGACGGCAAACCCCGCCGTCACTCGTGGAAACGACGAGTAATTTGTCCGCTTTGGCGACTTGTTCGACGAGCCACGCGGTCTCCCCGTCATGCCGGGCTGGAGATCCGAACAGTCAAATGTCTCCATGATGAGCCCGTTGCACTCGGATATCGCGAGCCCCGAGAGGTTGCCAATCAGCGCTGCCAGCAGGACGGGCACCTCGACAGGGACCGGTGGCCCCGCCGAGGCCGCCGTGTATGCGGTTCCGACAAGAGGCAGAAAGATGCAGAATATCGCGCGTCTAAGAAGGCGAGATGTCCACGCGAACCTGGTTGTCAATGTGTCTTCGCTTGTCTGTTGCTGGTGGTGTCTTCCCCGCGAGAAGATGTTCGCCTTTTGGAAAGGAACGGCGACTAGAGCCCCGATCGAGACGAAGGCTACCGAAAGCCCGACCATGGGCGACTTGAGCATGTAGTACCGCGACGTGAGTGACCCCAGCAGGACGATAATCAGCACCACCTGTGCGTATATCCAGCCCGTATAGACGGCCACGACCATGAATCCGGGCTGTCGAAGCATCTCTAGCGACAAAAAGACTCCGTGGTACACCTCCTGCCCCCACCACGTCGGGCCATCCTTTACACGGTGCATCATGACCTCGCCTCGGGCAACTCTTCGAGACACGTGGTCACCTTTTCTGACTTCGGCCACAGATCTCCTGAACGGCGAACGTCGGACCTCGGGGCAGACGACATTGAGAAGCAGAACCGCCGCGATCAGCACGATGCTGATATAGAACCCCCACGACGGGTTGAGCGTGTTGATGATGGTTGCCCCGATGGCAAACCCGATGCCAAGGGAACCTGTGAAGCACCAGGTCCAGATTCCGAGCCAGACACCCATACCACCACCGTGTCTGCGCACGTCGTACTTGTCAACAATCTCCTGGTGCGGGTTACCACTCATCAAGGATGCGCCAAAGAGATCGGTTAGGATCGAGTGAAAGTTCATGCTCGCGAAGCCAAGTGTAAGACCCATGAAGGCACGCGAGCTGAGGAGAGCCCATCTCCACGTGCTAACATAGGGCGACCGCTGCACGCTGACGGATATGGCCTGCGGGAAAAGCAGAGGCATTGCAATGACGAGGCTCGACAGGATGTACGGTTTCCGTCCATGCAAGAGAGGAAGCGGCCAGAAGAAGAAGGTCGGAATTGCGAGCCCGACAAAGAAGAAGACGTTTCCCAGGATGGCGTAGTGCTCGAGGTCGGCAATCCAATACTGTATCGAAGGCACCAGTCCCGCGTAAATTCCAACCAGCATCCCAATAGACGCCGTGCTCAAGCAGGCGACCGCCGCTACAAATCTCTTTCGGACCGAAGACCAGTCTCGAGCGATGGGTTGCCTTCGATAGGCCCTTGCCAGACTGAACCTTTGGTTCTCCCGTATACTGATGTGTGATCTTCCATGAAGGCTAATACGTGAGTTACCATGAGCCGGTCGGCCATCCTCTGGCTCTTCGGCTTGCGGAAGCTCGTCTTGCTGTCCCGAATATAGGGAATGAGAAAGCTGTAACGGTCGTTCGTCTGATCCCCTAGCACCGTCGGAGCTTTGGTGGAGGTGTCCAGTTCCCCGGTCATACTCTTCGTCGTCAGCACCATCGAAGCTGGAAGAACCAGCTTCCCGGGTTCTCCCTTCTTCCGGGTTGCTTGGAGCCCCGTCAACTTTGTGATGCTGGAAGCTTCTGCGGTGGGATATCAGGGGGATATGGCAGCTACCACAGCTTCCAATCTTTCTGACAAACTTCATGTTGGGCAGGCATCCCGATGGTGGAAGGGAATCGTCTCCAGAATCTTGCTCGGGGTATTCCTCGAGAGCCTGGAATGAGGCCTGTCTCTTGGTCTGACGATTAGGGTGTAGGGCGGTCCGGCGCTGTTCCTGGAACCGATCCCTCTTAGGGTTTGCAACTGGCAACTCGTGCTCTGGATCCGGGGTAGACGATTTCAGGCTAGAAGTCCTCTCTGGGATGCTAAACGCGACGTTCCTACTGCGCATTCCAGGGGCTGACCGGTATCGTTTTGGGAGATGGCTCGTGGTAGCGTTGTTGACAAGCTTGATCTGCCCAGTAACATTTCCAGCCAATCCACCGCGAGAAATGGGCGCAATTATTTCGTCACTGCTCGACTCGTCCATGCTCGGGAGGCTCTCGTGGACGCTTGGCGGCGGATATGTGGCATCATGGCGGCAAATCTCGTCAAGCTCAAAGTTGCCAGTGTGTTGATTCTCTTCGCATTCGGCAACCTCTGTCGCCAGCACTATAGCTTCGCTGATGAGTTTCTCAAGATCGCTAACGGTTTGCTTGAATTTATTGTCAATCGAGGCAGGTGTCGTTAATCTCCGTGTCAGTGTCCGAAAGACGGGAGATTCTGTCTCGGGGGTGACCTGATCCAGGCTGTGGCTACCAGCGGCGCCACGTGCTGACTTTTTATCCGGCAAGTCTGTCAGTTTTGTCTTGTACGGCTCGTGAGGTTTGATCAAGTCGCGAAACCAATCCGCTGTCCGCTTGAGATGGAGCTTACCGGACAGCGAGGATCCGCCAGAACGAAGACTGCTCCGAAAGCCTCCGGAGTCGTACTCGAACGATCCCTTTGGGGTGACTGTGCGACTCTTTGAGAACTCGCGAGAAATACGCTCTACGTATCCAGGGCCATCCTTGTGTGTCGGAGTCCTGACCAGGCGGGACAGATGTCTCCCACTGGCGGTTCGCTCTAACCGGCTTCCGTTGTCGCATAGAGATTCCTAATATGCGACCAGTTCTGATGCCGATCTTGAGCTATTGAGGCGACGTCGACTCGAGCCTCGTCTGTCGTCCCGGTCTGCCCGATGAAGCCCGAATCTCAGGATTGGGTCTCCGGGGTCATCGCCACTGTACGGTTGAACTTTTGATGTGGCACAGTGCCCCTGATGTACGGACCGGAGAAAGTGCTCGTAAGGTACATGTGAGATGGTCGGCGGTGCCTCGATGTTCGGAAACGAGAAAATAATGTCTTTGCTAGGGCCAACGTTATAGAAGCTGACGGGCACCTCTCTGACTTTGGAGATGCCGCTGTGTCCGTCGTGTAGATGCTCGGCTGGCTTTTCGGCCGTAGACACGTGTGCCTTGAAACTTGAGGATCGGCTTGGAAAAGGTTTCCATAGGGAGAAGGTAGAAGCAGTGCTATCGGCTCGGTGGCTTGGAGAGGCAACCGGAGAGGCAGCCGGAGAAGCGGCCGGAGAGGCAGCCGGAGAGGCAAACCGGGAGGTAACCCGGGAGGCAACCTGGGAGATTTGCCCACGATTGTTAAAGATCACGGAATCGGCAGTGTCTTGATTTCCTTGGTCTACCACAGCCTCCTGCTGCCCCATGCCAAGGGGTAGGTGTGTAGTATCAGGGTCCAGGTCTAGCTGATCTTGATCGACTAGAGGGACGGGATCGATCCGGTTTTTTGGGGATTTTGGAATCTCCAAGATTCCCTCTGAGTACTTGAAGGGCGGTAGCCTGTAGATTGGGCCAATCTTTGAGATTGCGTGGTGACCCCTGTGGGGAGGCGTGAAAGAAGGCACGCCGATTGTAGGGCGCACTTTGACAGCCGAGCTGTGTCCAAAGTGCTTGTGGGCCGAGACGTCAACCAGCTCCTCGCAGATATCGCCTCCCGTCAACGTCCGATATATGCGGCCGATCGTCGGTTTCTCAGCCTCGGGCTCTAGCGTCTTCTCGCCAAAGGGGAAGAGGTGCCAGCCCTTGTCAGGGAGCTCGATGCTGATATCCGGCGCCATCTCGACGCCCGAGTCGCAAAAATCTGCGCCCCTCAGCAAGCCCGGATGGTGTATTTCGGCGTGCGATTCAGCACTGTGCATCTGAGGGTCGATGCAGACAAGCCGCTGTATCCTGCCAGGCGAACAGGGCCGGCTGAAGGCTGTGTTGGCGTAGCTAGGTAGCCTGACTACAGGGTTCGGATCGAGGGGGCCGATGGCCGAGTCCAGACGAGGGGGTGGCATTCTTGAAGTGCTCGCGGCAGGATTTGGAACTGAGGCTGGTGTTGTGTTGATATCTGAGAAGGCAACTGGGCTGGACACCTTGGGAGACTCAACGACAAGCGATGGCAAGGGGAAGCTGCTGTCGACTAAAGGCGAATGCGTGGCTGATAACTGCAGAATTGCCTGCCGGTAGGTTGCGCTTTCGATAGTCCCAGTCAGAGACGTGTCATCGCTGGCAGGCGGCCAAGATGCAGGCGATGCTAAAGAGCAGCACGGAATAGACTCTTCGGCTTTGGAAGACGGTGCCCGGGTTCCACGCAGCCGCCCGACTAGGCCCATAGGTTCTGTCGGATTCCTCGCCTTCGTTCACGGAATCGGCGAGAGAGGAACAGACAGTTACGCCAAAAGTGTCTGGTCTCGACCAATGGACGATTCTAGGAGTGTTTTAGCCAGTAGTGGTGACAGAGAGGTTCTGTCGGACGACTGGCCTTTGTAGGTGGCGCCCGAGGTGGATGTCAATCGGCGTGGGCATCAGGGGGCCCGAGCAAAGCAAACTCGACAAAATGAAGAAGGGCTATCAGAGATTGGAAGTCGAGAACTCGAATAGAACTAAGGGCATTGAAAAGGGCTGTGGCTGTTTAAGGGGTGTCTAGGTCGGTAGTAATGATTTCGAATGATGTTGGTTCGAGGCTACAGATTCGGGAGTTAGTTGGAGGCGAAGTGAGGTTTGGAACAGACAAGCTTGGCATCCACCAGTACATACTCGGGTCTGGGGAGACGAGGGAGGGCTGAAAGACACCCGACGTGTACTAGGAAGGCGCGTTGTAGATGAACTATAGTAGGGTCTAGGTAGGATAGTTCCTTAGGAACTGGGCCGTGTGGGAAGGGATGGGACGGAGAGAAAGAGCGACCAAGTAGTGCCAGGTAGTAAATACGGTACGTTAAGGTAAACGTACTCTTACTAGTAGTATTACCTACCAGGTACTGAAGGTAGTTTTTTCCGGCCCAGATCTCAGGAGACTGGCAACTATCCAGTTCAATTTTGAGATGGCGGGCCCAATCACCAGGCGTCCCATTAAACATGGTATTGCCCTGCCAAACTGCCACTTCAACACCTGCCAAGACCCTTGTGCCGTATCTAGGCTTTCCGTTGGCACGAGTACTGGTACTCGGTGCTGAGACCGTCCCAAGCCAAGGTGGGACAAGTGGCAGTGTCCGCCTGTTAGTCCCTGCCGTCCATGATATTTTTGTACACGGGCACCAGACTGAAAATAAACCAAACGCCGCCTTCCATGCTGAAAACCTTTCCGCAAAATGCTTTCTCCACCGTACTCGGCAGTCTCCGCAGGCCGGTCGGTTCCCGTCATAAACTCTTGGTCTGCTCGAGCGGAGCCCCCACATGTTGCGCGAGGCTGCCATGGCCAACCCAGATTAGAGCAGCTCAAAGTCGTCCAGCTTGTCGCGGTACTTCATAATGTTCTGCTTGATCTTGCTGCCCACGGTCCACGTGACGAAATCCTCCATGCTCCTGGTCACTAGGAAGGCCGGGTCCCGAATCTCTTCCACTCCGACCCGTACGTGCCCTTGCTCAATGAGCTTGGTGGCCGCCTGTACTGTCTCGGCCATGCGCAGCCTGGGCAGTGTTAGCGCAACATACTGGCAGTCAGAGGTACCTCGCAGGGTAGGAAGCGCGAGCGGAGGAGTTTGTGGGATTTTTACCGAGTCATTACTACTGGCAACCGCCGACGAGCCATGGCGGATACTGTGACGCCTTTCTCGACCTGTGACAGCTTCGACTTGGTCTGAACATGGCGTGTCAGTGTTCTGATGGTGGTAATAAGCAAGCGGTGTACATACCGACAGGATGCCCATGTCGTACAGCTTGTCGAGGAGCAGCTCCTCGTGCTTGCGTCTCACCTCGTTCTCTGGGGGGAGAAGCTGTTTTGCACCATCAATATTCGCCTTCCTTCGGGTGGAATGGGGGGGGGGGGGGTTGTCTACATACACTTAGGCGATGCGCCAATTGTCGCAAAGACTATGCCCTTGTTAGCTTCCTGCGCCACTGGAATCGCGCAGGACGTCGACTCTTGCGGCGGTAGTGACTTACGCCGCATATTCTGTTGTACTTGTGCTGTTTGACAGTTAGTAAGCCATCGAGCCGAATATGCAATCATCACAATGAGCCTGAACGCTTGTTCGAAGCCCCTGAGCACAAGACTCTCAGAGAACCGAAGTTCTACAGCACGAGATAAAATAATTTAGAGACATACATAGTCCTCTGGCTTCTGAATCATGTACCGTCTGAGTCGTAAAGTTAGGAAGCGGGCTAGATGGTAAACGTGTATTAATGGATGAGTGAGCGCTCACCTGGCGACATCGTGGTCTCTGTGCTGGTTGTCTTGCTTGTAGTTGACAAAGTCGTGCTTCTTGAGGAGCTTGGACTCGTGGAACTTGAGTTTCCTGACCATGGCGGCGTGTTTTGCTTGCCGCGCGAACGAAATAGTCGGGGGGCGAGATGAGCAGTAAAGTGCTGCTGGGTTGTCTTTTCTCGTGTACCTGAAGGTGGCTACGGTTGACGATGAGCTCTTGAATTTTTGCTAGCCTGCTCTCAACGGCTGCCAAGCGACAGAGTTGCCCCACCCCCCCAAACCCATTTTCTAGGTTTTGCCTGCCGGCAGCCCAGACTGAAATTCAGCCCCTGCAACGGCCCACCCGCGGAGCTTGGGCCGTGTGGGCACGGGCTGACGGTTGCTGGCAGCTGCGCGGCAGGTGCTGGTCTGCAATTGAAAATGTTCGGGCCAAAAAGTCGCGAGGACAATTTAACCCGATCGAATCTTGGGATCTGGCCCATTTTGGCGACACCCCCGACGACGACTGATCGCCCTATTTTCGAGAGCGGGGAGAAGCCAGATTTGACCCTCTGCGCAGAGCAAGGAAGACAGACAACAATGTCGTCCTCGTGCCGGCAATGGGCGTCGTCGGCGCTGCGCCAGTGCCAGCGGCAGCAGCAACACCAATCGACCGGCCTGCTCTCGCAGCTTCAACGACAAATAGCCGCCGCAGCAACAACGCCGGTACCATCACTCCAGCGTGTCCAGAAGCTCCTATTCTCGACATCGTCGCCCTGTAAGCCACAGCTCCCCCCTCTCCTCGTTACTCGCATGATTTCGTTTTCCCCTCGACATCAACCAAGGAACTTGACTGACCTGGAACGACACAGCTTTAATCTCTCTTCCGGGCAGGGGCCACAGACAGTCCCTACTGTCGGGCGGTAGAAGCAGCGACGGCAGCGCTGGGGCGAGCAGCGCCATCAACGAAGGGCTGTCGTCGCTGCTGTCGTCGGACAAGCGTGCGCCCGCCAAGGGGGGAGCCGAAGCGGACATGATCTCGATGCTGGTCGACGGGGCGATGCGGTCGTCGAAGCGGCTCGAGAGTGGCAGCCCGGCCAGCAGCGCCGCTAGCGACGGCGCCGGCGGCGGGATCAACGCGACCAACTGGATCGGCGCGGTCGCCGGCAGCAAGACGGAGCGGCACTCGATGCGCGACTCCAAGGCCTACGCCGACAGCGAGGCGTTCCTGAGGCTGATGCCACGCCGGTGGAGGGCCGGCGACGTGTACGCGCCCAAGGACCTGGGCTCCGCCTCCCAGAAGAAGTACGCCAACGTCCAGCGACCCCGCGAGGACATCTTTGACATTCTGAATATAAACCCGCTTGACAACTACAAGGTCTGTTGTGCTCTCCATCATCCCTTACCACAAAAAACAAACCCAATCCCTTTTTTTTCCTTTGGAATAAAAAACTGACCAACGCAGAACTTCTCCGTCATCTCCGAGTTCATGACGTCGGCGGGGCGCATCAGGCCGGCGACGGAGACGGGGCTGCGGGCTGTGAACCAGCGGCGCATGGCCAAGGCGATCCGTCGCGCTATCGGCATGGGCCTGCACCCGAGCGTGCACCGGCACCCGGAGCTGCTCAAGAAGACGGTGCTGCAGGCGCGCGGCTCGCGCCGGACGGCGGCCTTGTATCAATAGAAAAACACAATAACTATTAAAAACGAAGTATATCCCTCCGTCCCGCTCGCCCGCCACGAGATATAGGTGGAGATGGAAAGATGGATGGGTGGATACATACCTATATATAAATGTACTGTAACAATACCTCGGACACAACAAACACGCAAATGTGTATCTGACTACCTACCTAGGCACACCTACCTTACTTGCCTACTTGACCTTAGCAATATATATTGTTAAAATGCGGGTGATGCATCCGTCCCTCATTCCCACCAAAATCAGAGGGATGGTCCATGGTGTGATGAATGCACCAATTGACTGATTCGAGGGGACCTGACTGTTTTTGCATTTTTGTATCTATACGAATGCGCAGCACACGAGTCGACTTGGCTAGCTTCTAGAATTGGGATACAGGGCTGCAATTTATGATCAAGTCTTCTGCCATTAATGCTATAAATCCAAAGAGCATCCTCTTTACAGAACCATCTGTATACAAGTAGGTATATATGGTGATATATATATGGCGTTAATATATGCGCGTCTATTTGTGTACGACCGCAATGCCATGCCTGTCCGCCACTGTACATACCCTAGTCTACCAAATCGAACACGGCCTTTTCTCTGTCTCTCTCTAAGGCTTGTTTATATATACAATATACATGTCCGCATACAAGTAAATACATACTTTTAGATGGGACCGAGATATGCTCATCACGCTTCTATCGGTCGTTGTATCTTGAACTTGGGCCCGTTGAGTGTTACCTGGACGCCTCTCCGGGCGAGGCTGGCCCACACGTCTGGAAACTCGTCCTTGGCCCACGCTTCGAATTCTTCCTTCTTGTCGTACTCTCGCAGGGCGTTGTACGTCACTCCGAGCCTAGAGGGGGGGCGTTAGTTGCAAGCATAATTTGACAGTAGAACAGATCAACACTCACGTCATTGCGGCTGGCGCGTAGCCGACGCTCGTCTCCATGTCCCGTATCAGCCGCTTGACCTCCTCCAGGAAGCCCTGGCCGGCGAGGGCGCCGCAGTACGACCAGAACACGGCCGGGGGGACCTCGAGGTCCATGCGCTGCATCTTGCGCCAGATCTCGCGCGCCGTCTTATCTCCAGACCAGGGCAGCTGCTCGCAGACCCAGAAGACGGCGGCCAGGCTGTTGTATGTGGGCCCTTCGGCCGAGTTGGTGATGTCGCTCCAGAACTGGAGGGCTGCGGGCGCGTCGTCGCCGGCCGCGTAGGCGACCATGAGGGCGTTGTACAGCTTGGTGCTCATCTGGACCGTCGCGTCCATCTTCAGCATGTTGTGCACCATGCGCAAGCTCTCGGCGTCGGGGTAGCGGCCGAGCCCCTCGAGGCACATCACGTACACCTCCTCAGTGGGCCGCAGCGCCGTGTTGCCTTGGGCGCGCATGTGCCCGAATATGTGGCAGGCCATGTCGGGGCGCTTACGATTGAAGAAAGCTTCCATGAGCTGAACTCGCTCCGCCGCCTCCATCTCGGGGAAGAACTGCCGCAGTAGCGAGTAGGCGTCCCACACGCGCGCCGTGCTGGTCTTTTTGTCGAGGCAGTACTGCACAAAGGCGTTGCGCACCTCGCCGCGCTCTTCTAGGCTGTACGACGCGGTATGGAGTGCCAGCGTGTCAATCACCTCGTAGTGCTGCTCACATCGCATCAAGACCATGCAGAGATCGACGACAGTCTCGGGCTCCAGGACGGCGTGGCGGTGCTCGAGCTCGCTGGTGACGTCCATGATCTGCTCGAGGTCTGGCTCGGCTTCGGTGCATAATGCCCGGATATATTTGTTCAGAATGGGGAAATGCTCGTTGTTCCAGCATTGGATCTCCCCAGTCTTGAGCTTTTGGTAGATGACATCGGCTCCGCCAAAGTCTTTTGCGCCAAGGCGATAATCCATCTGAAGAAGATAGGTAGACGACTCCTGTGGTATGCCCAGCTCCGAGCCCAGGGACAGAAAGCGCTCTGCAAGGTACGAGTCGTTTTTCTCGATGGCTGCTTGGATCAAGAGGTCGATGGTGGTCGAGTCGGGCGCTGGGCGCCTCTTGGCGTTGCCGGAATACCGCTTCGTACTCATCACATTGATCAGTTGCCTAATGTCCTCGACGCCTTTGTCCATGGCGAGCACGGCCCATTGGAGGATGACGTCCCATGTTGCCTTTGGCACGTCTGAGCTGATCAGGCCCTCGAAGATGGGCCGTATCCATTGCTGCTCGTTGTTGCGCACCGCGAACCCCACCAACTCCGCGTATGTTTCGGGCGTGGGCGACACTTTGGAAAAGATTGGCTTCTTAAACCACTGCTTCGTTTCTTGAACCCTGTCCCGTTCAGCGAAGAATGTGGTCATGATTTCATGGACGATTGGCTTGAACTCGACCCCGGCCTCGGTTGCCTTCTCCAACGTTTGGAGAAGTTCCTCTTCCAGGCCTTCGTTGGCGAGGCCTTGTAAGACGATTGGCCATAGAGATTTGGCCTCTTTGTACCTCGCCTTGTCGCCCCGGAGCTTGGCGCAGTGCTCAGACAGAAGCTCGGCGGCTTTGACCGGGGCTTCATACTGGGCCAGGGCTGTGAGATACAACGAGAAGTCGCTATGGATAGAACTGTCGGCAGGGCTCTCCTGGGCTGGCTCAACATGCTCGCAAAGATCAGCAGAATCGGGTAGGCTCTGGGTCCTCCGCCGGATCTCCCCGTATAATAACTCTGCAAGCTCTAAATGATCCTCAGTGCTCCCCTTCGGGGGGTCGGTAGCTACTTCCAGAGCCAGCCTTAGGTCTGCAAGCGTGAGACTACCTGCCTCGTCGCCTTCGGGTGCTGTGTCAACCAAGTGGCGGGTCAGGCTGGCAGCCAGAGATGCCTGGGTCGGGGTTAGGGGTTTTTGGGATTTCTTCTTGAATTCGATGTGGCGTCTCAAGCCAACGAGGAGGGTGCCCGGGGCGGGGAGGCGGGCGCCCTCGTGTTCCATGCTGCCAAACTTGAGGAGTACATCGTAGCCGGGCTCGAGATCGGGTTCCTTCAGCTGGCGCGGGGGCTTCTTGAAGACGCCGAAGAAGGTCCTGCGCGAGGGGTGGCGGACGACGAGCTGGAGCGGGCGGGGGGCGGCGCACGTCAGTGGCGATGGCGACGGCGATGTCGTTAATGTCGTCGTCGAGAGACAGCGGCAGCGGCCGGGGAGGAGGGCCGGGGGACAGGGCTGCAGAAAGCCACGGCCTGCCAGCAATTGACGATAGACATGGCGTGTCAACTGCGACCGCATGGTGGGAGACGACTAATGCTAGCCAGTCCTGCTCGTGCTCGCGTGCCGATATCCGCCTGTTGTTAGCCGATGGGAACTAATTGGGTGGTGGAAGCGGGCTGGGCGGTCGCTGCGCACCTGATCATGTTGCGGCGTGTCGGTGACGGCTGTAGTGGTTGTGGAGCGACGCCTGTGGTTTTTTTGCACCCTTTTTCTTTCCGTCGTCTTGAAGCTTTTCAATTGATGACCTCAATAATTTGCTGTCGCGCGGCTGGAGCTACAGGAGCTGCCAGTTTGCGGTGGGTCTGCAACCCCCCACTGAGGCCCAAGCTCTCGGCCGAGAATCTCCCGAGAGTTGACTGTCTCTCTCAGTCGGGAAGGAGCAGGGATGCTGTTTGACAAGTGTTTTGAAACTAAAGCTGGGCTCTTGTTTAAGATATTAACACGGACTTGTGTGAATTAGCATTCCATTTAAGAGACTGACAGTTTCGTTAATTAGACTTTGAAGTGTCAATGTTGGTATTGTACAACCCTAACCCTAGGCGCAGAACGAACCAGAGGGACGGACGTCTTGTGTCAATGAGACGAGAGCCAAACGACAACAATTAGCAGAGACGATGAAATAGTTGTCACAACAACCGAAAGAAGCGAGTAGCCAAAGAGAGCTTGAGTTTGACCAACAGAGAGCCATTCACGCTTTACTCGCAGACTTATTTCGATCGCCCCTCCCCCGCGCGTGTCCTCTGCTAAATACCAAGCCGCGAAACACCATTACACCTTCTCAGTTCATCGCGCGCGCGTATCACCACCTCACCTAGCCTTCTCATAGACCTCAAAACCCACTACCCCGAGGGAAAAAAAAAAAAAACAACCAGCAAAGCAAACAACATGGCGCCCCCGCCCACAGTAGTGGCGCTCAAGCAGCGGTTCCTAGGAACGCAAACGCGCGCTCTCTCGCAGCCGCTAGCGCCGTCGCGCGCGTGGCGCACGTCGCCCGCACAGGCCGACCCCGACATCAACGAGAACGAAACCGGCGGCGGCAGTAATAGTAGGCTGCCCGACAAGGCTGTCGACGACGCGCTGTTCCGGCTCAACCACGCGCTGCAGCAGCACGTGCGCCGCGTGTACGCGCCCCAGGCCACCCGCCACGTCGCCGAGCAGATTGACGGGCTGTACTGGAACGCTGCTGGCGAGGTTCTGGATGGCGGTGCTGAGGGTGAGGGTGAAGGTGAGGGTGATGGGGGGGGGAGTGTTGCGGTTGGGTTGGGCGTGGGTGCCGATCTAGGTTTGTTTTTGCGTCTCTCTCTCTCTCTCTCTCTCTCTCTCTCTCTCTCGGCTTCTTATCTTCGTCTATTTCTTGCTCTCACGAAAGGCTGCTATCTATGACTTGGTGTCACCACTTGTTCTAACTTCATATTTCCCCCTTTTCTACTTTTTTCTCTATTTTTGTTATCCCCTCCCCCTTTCAACACTCCTCAAGCCAGCCAGCCAGCCCAGATATATACACCTCTATATATATCTACACTCCCACAGCCCCCCACCCCAAACGATGAAAAAAAAGAACAAAACACTAACACCCCCTCCAGCCGCGCACGAAACAATCATCACCCTGCCGTTATCATGGGATGACGCCGCGCCGCCGCGGCACGCGCGCGAGACAGCCGCCTACCCATCCGAAGCGGAGCGGTATAGCGAGCTAGCAACACAGCTACAAACGCTCGACGGCGAGCGGCAGCGCGCGCTAGCGCGCGTCGCCCGGCTGCGGCGGCTGCACACGCTGCTGCAGCCATTTGCCACCAGCACCCCTAGTGGTAGTGATGATGGTGATGGTGGCGATGGTGGTGCAGTGCAAGACAACCTCGTGACGCGCAACGGCGACGTCGAGGCCGAGCTACAGCGCATGCGCATGCTCCTAGCACGCGTCGGCGGCCGCGTCGGCCAGCTTGCGACTGTGCCTGCGTCTGTGCCTGAACCTACGACGACGGCGACGACCAGTGATGGCGATGATGATGCCATGGACGTGGACGTGGATGTGGATGAAGGGAGTACGGCCGAGCAGCAGAGGCGCGTGGGGATGCTGCTCGATCGGTTCTGATACCCCTTTTCTTTTGTTGTCTTTTTTGGGCGCTGGGGGGAAAAGGGGTTGGAGGTTTCTTTCTTTTACTCTTTCTCCCATTTTTAACAAGGGACTTCTCTTACAAATCCCTACTTTACTTATACGTGCTCTGGTATCTTGCAGAGGCTGCAAGGATAGGGCGGTCGGAACACCCCCATTGTCCTAAGGTCAAAGACAGATGGTTTGTGCGGTTACACATGACCGCACAGCCCATCATAGACTTCCTTTTTCTTTCTGTTGCATTTGATGAGGCAGGCCTACCACGGTTGAGCAGGTTTGGGTCATGCAGTTGGGCTGGGGGAAAGGCGTCGGACTCGGACTCGGACACGGACACGGACACGGACACGGACACGGACACGGACACGGACACGGACACGGACACGGACATGGACATGGACACGGACACGGACACGGACGGACGGACGGACGGATAGGCTGGTCAAACGTCATTTCATTTGTCTTCTCATGATACCAAATTACGTAGAATATTCCTCGATATACAACTCTCCACCCAATGGCTCCCGAAATCAAAATCCGCAATCAAATACATCCTTGTTGCTTGCTTGTACCCCTCCCAACGCCACGCTATTATATCCTCGCTTCCCCCGCAGAACCATCCGTCTGTGCAATCTTACCAAATATCCAACCTAACACGGCGTACAAACATAACAAATCATACCCAAATAACCCGCTTAGACCTTCGCCTCCGCGCCGCTGCCCTCAACCACGGCCTTCCTCTTCTCCCCTCCGACCGTGGCGTCCTTGGCGCTGTCGTCCACATCCAGCACCTTGGCCTCGTTCTCGCCGTCCTTCTTCTCCTCTTCCTGCTTCTTCTTGTCGTTCTCGTCGCTGCTGTACAGCTCCGGGTCCCAATAGTTGGGCTTCACCACCTTCAGCGTGACGATATCCCCCTCCGTGTCCTTTTCGGCCTCGCTAGCCTTCTCCTCGTCCGTGATTTTGTAGTACACCCGCAATCCCACGACGGCGACAGCATTCCATGGGTCCCTGACAAACTCGTCGTTGTCAGAGTTGTTGTTGTCGAACGAGCCTCCACCAGGCGGCCCACGCTGCCCGCCGCGGTCGCCACGGTCCATCATGTTGCGTTGCTTCTCTTCCGAAATATGGTAGTCGACTTCGCGATCCGAGAGCTCCGACTCGCTGGCGGCCGAATCGAGTGTCTCATAGGCGGCGGACTCGACGTCGTTGACGTAGCCCTCTGAGTCGGAGCCGCCGCGCTGCGGTTGTGGCCGTGGCGGCGGCCCGCGGAACTGGCCGAGATGCGGCTGGTGGTAAGGTTGGTTTGTGTTCACACGGATGTTGACAGGCGGAGGCCGCCAGCCGGGAGGTGGCGGCGGCGGGTAACGGCCTGGCAGAGGCTGTTGCGGGTGGAAGCCCCGCTGTCGCGAAGACATGCGTGGTGGAGGGACGCCCGGTCTTTCGCGGACCCGTACCCTGTCCCTGTTCCGGTCCCTCTCGCGTTCCCCACTACGGCCTGCATGCTGGCCCATCTGCTCTGCTTCATCATCGCCATCAGACTCCGTGCCCGTCGCGTCGTCTAGGTTTGCCATGTTACCCATGTCATCGCCGAGCATGGCCTTGAGCTCATCCTGGAAGGTGGAAACCATGCCAAGTGCCTTCTGGAGCTTGGCCCGTATCCCAGGACTGACGGATTCAACCGGATCCTCTTTGGGCTTTACAGTTTCGACTTTGCCCTCAGCTTGTGCATCTTTGGAGCCGGACCCCCCTCCTTGGGATTCCTTTTTGCCAGCCGGCGGATTGTCTACAGCGGCCTTGCCCTCCTCCGCGCCGAGCAAAGTCGGCTTCGGTGCCTCTGTGATATCAGCGACAGTGGTAGGTTCCGCTTTGTTCTCCGTGGAAGCCGTCTCCTTGGGTGCTTCATCCTCAATGATAGCCTTCTCCTCGGCAACCTTATCCTCAGCTGTGGGGGTTTTCTGTTCCTCGGAGGTCTCATCTTCCTTATGAACTTCTTCGGGAACTGAAAGTTTCTCTTCGTTCAGAGAAGACTCGGAGGCTGTCTTGAAGGAAGTAGAAGCCGAGGGCGTATCGTCTCCACCATCGGTAGACGTCTCGAGATCGGGTTGCGTTTGGCTTTCCGTTGGAGCAGCATCAGTTTCAATCTTGGTCCCGCCGTCCTGGCTTTCCTTTGCCGTTTCATCTGTCGAGCCAGCCGGAACTGCTGGCTCTGGTTCCTCGGCCATCTTGCCGGTTTCCTGGTGCTCGGCTTCTTTCGGTTCTGCTTCCTTCTTCTCGGCTTCCTTCTTCTCAGCCTCCTCTGCTTCTTTCCTTTCCGCCTCCTTCTTCTCAGCCTTGGCCTTCTTGCGCTCCTTGTCGCGCTCGAATCTGCGCCGATCCTTTCTCATGACCAAGACGTTCTCATAGTGCTTGCGCTGCTTCTCCTCCTTGATGTTCTTGCGCATGCGCTCGCGGCTCTTCTGGTGTTTGTGCTTCCGGTAAGCCTCCCAGGCGGTCTTCTCCTCGGGCGAAGCGGTGTGCTTGGACTTGGAGTGGGCGAGGTCGTAGGCAAGTCCAATCCGGAGCAGCTTTTCGCGGCGTTCCTTTGCGTTCTCGCGCACGACATCTTCAACGGGCATGATGTAGGAGCGACGGCGCGCATCGAGCTTGACCAAAACGTGATACTCGCCGGCCTCGAGTTCAAGCTCCACGTTGACCGACCGTGTCATCCGATACGTGCTCTGCGTGCGCACTAGATAGTCCTCCTCGCCGGCCTTGTGCACTCGGAAACTGAGCCCGAACTTGTATTGACCCTCGAGCCCCCTAAAGTAGCGGTCGTCGAGCTGCGAGAGCGCGATCACGACAGGACCCGTCCGCTTCAACGTGAAGGAGAACTTGGTGTCGTGGTACTCGACTGTCCACGGCACATTGAGCGTCGTCCAGATGCTGGTGATTTTCCACTCAGGCCCAAAGAGCCGCGTGCGGTCAAACGCTTGGTATTTGCGAAGGAGATCCTTGTACGATATCCAAAAGGCTCCGTCGTCGCCGAAACGGTGGCCGAGCTTTTGTAGCCATTCCGATGTCCATTCCTTGGAGCCGTCGCCTGAGAAGTGCCGTCAGCAAAATTCGAACCAGGGGGGGTTAAATGAGCCATACTCCAGGGACCCTTCCATTCGCCCTTGCCCCAGGGGTTCTTGAGGAGGAGCAGACGCTCGCCGTCCATCTCTACCGCCCTCATAACCGAATAAGCGTGCAACTCCATGATGCCTTTTCTGTCGCCCCAGCCCCGGCCCCTTTTTGTGTCAGCTTACTAAGTTACTCGACAATTAGACCTCGAGATAACACTTACCATAGACCGGTTGAGCAGCCAAAGAGAAACTGCTGATTAACTTTCATCAACTCCTCCTTCCAGAAATACTCCTATCCTCTGGGTTAGCCTTCGCCTCCATGTTTAGTGCAGAACGACACTAACCTTGTCGAGAATGTCCGTCGTAAACAAACCAGAGGTGACGCCGCCGGTGAGATCTTCGATGCCCTCGCCGGTGAACCCGCCCTCGATGGCCGCGTAGTCGCCGTGGGCTTTGGCGTAGGCCTTCTCGAGCAGGGGCAGCCAAGTCTCGTTGGGATGCTCGCACTGGGCAAAGTACAGGGCGCCGCTGTTGGACTGGTACGTTTTGCGGTAAATTTCCTCCGAATCTGGGCGCTCGCGATCCTCCCACAGCAGGCGCTCAATGTTGATGCCCTCGGCCATGGCTTCATCGTAGTCGGGCTTGGTCAGATATAGCTTGTCGTCGATGATCTCGCTGAACCACTCGCCGTCGCGATGGAAGACGAAGCCGTAAACGCCCACGTCCTGGTTGTGAGCCACGCAAATGCGCTCGATCAGGCCAGCCTTGTTGCTAAGGGTGCACAGAGCCGCCATCAACCAGCAGTCGCCGTCTCGGCCCTGACGCACGTCGTTGGCAGTAGGGCCGTCGATGTAGAACTTGGGGTCGTCGAAGATCTCGCCGACACGCTTGACCGACTTGGGCGAGAACTTGGAGCCGGGTATGCGGCCCTGCGGTGATAGGGGCGGCTCATCATTGCCGTTATTATGAAGATCGTTGCTGGCATGAGGAGCTCCGCCGACACCGTCGGCGAGGAGCTCGGTCGGCCTCCGTCTCGCATCGGGCCGGCTGGCCCTTTGGGTAGCACCGCGGGTCTTTCGCTGGCGATAGGGTGAGCCCCTGGGCCGGGGTGGAGGCGGGTAAGAGCTCTCGTCGCTGTCGGACGACTCGTCCTTGATGTTGTTCAGCGACTCAAGACATTCGCGGCGGCCCGTCTTGAGATCGAACTCGAGGTCGAAGTGGGGGTCACGGTACTTTTGGTTGACGCGGCGGCACTCGGCGACGATCTTTTCGACCTTGGCACGGCACAGGGCGGCCGCTTCCTCGAACGAGGCCTGGGCAGCGGTGCCGCCGCCCACCTCCTTTGAAGCATTGCGCCTGGCTAGCCTCTCAGCGTACTCGTTCTTTGGGAGGAGGGTGGTGGCTATTTTCATCAGCGATTGGTCTAGCGCCTTGGTTTTAGAAATGCCTGTGGCGAGGCTTACCTTTGCCTGGAGCTGTGGTGGTAAACTTCCTCCAAAACTCGTCCACCTTTCCCTGGGGCGACCTCTGTCTGGATTTGTGACTTCGCTGGACACGGACAGGCATCTCGGCCATGACGGTCCTGCCACGACGGCCATCGGCTATGATGGACCCGGAGGGGGACATGGCAATGACAGCGAGGGTACGTGGCTAGTGGTGGCGGCGATGTCTTTTGAGGGCTTCCGTCTGTTGTTGATATTGTTACTCCTATCTCAATCCTCAAGGCGGCTAGCCCCTAGAACCAGGCCCGGGTTAAGAGCCAGACTTCAGGCAGTCTAGACTCTGACTCTGGAGGAATAGGCTAAGAGGCGAAAGAGAGGAGAAAGACTGGAGAAAGTCCGGGGAGAGAAAATTAAGGCAGAAAGCGAAGCTGAAATAGCGAAATGGCTGGCAGGCAGCACGAACATCAGCACGACACAAAAGTGATGGCAGCCTCGCGCTAGACACCCGCTGCCTTGAGTGAGGTAACAGTAACAGCAACAATAGAGACAAGCTCCGAAGAGGGGTCCCCGTCCCGTCGCGGCTAGGCTTGGCTTGGCTTGGCAACACAGCTCAGTCAGTCACACTCCATTCCCTCCGCGGGTGCAAGTCAACCTAGGTAAAGTAGGTGACCCAAGGTACGGTAGTTCTGGAACTTGGACGACAAGGAGATCTAGGGGGAAAGGGGGCGCAAGAGCTGAGATAGGCAACCAATGCCTTATTGAACAGAATAATGCTAAAGTCCTGAAGATCCTGAAGGGGAAGGGGGGGTTCAAGAAGGAAGGCGCAACGGGAGAGGGGTAAAATGAAATGCACGCCCCAGCTGCGAGCCTACGATCTTGATCGGGGAGGCGCGACCCTGTTCTACGTAGTGTCACAGTCGCCCGCTTGAAGCAATCTTTAGCCCCCTCCACTCTCCTCACCCGCCCTCACTCGAACCAGCCCAGCCCAGAACCCCCAATCCCAAAGCCCCGGGCAATGGACGCACGCACAACCAACGCCGGTCACAAGAGACGCGATCTGACCTGACCTAACCTGAACTGACCGACGCGCAGCGCAGCGCATCGCGGCAAATAGCCAGCACTTGGGGCTTTGTCCTGCAGGTAGACTTCACAAGTTGGATCGGTGGCCGTTCCCAACTTAGGGAATGTCCACTCGTAGCGGGCGGTGGCGGCGACGGACCGTCCTCAGCGGCCCCGTCCGTTGACAGCTACAGCGACTTGATTAGCTGGGACAGTGTCCTCCGTAGCGCCGTGCTTCTCTGCTCAGCCTCGTTGACGCTGCCGACATGCTGCAGCGTGGGTATTCCAATAAGATTCCAAAGAGGGGCCCAATGTGCTACCGCCGTCCGTTCGCTCGCTGCTGGCCACGATGCCCGCTTGTGTAACCCAGAGTCATCCCACGCCAGCAGCGGCCAAGGACCATTTGCAGGGCTGAAGTGTGCGCCATCTTCCAGGCAGGAAGGCAAACAGCCAGCCAACCAGACAGAGGGACGGACGGACAGGGTGAGCGGCATGAACGTTTAAACCGTGCTGAATAATGCTGTCAGATAGTCCGCGCGCCATTCGTTTTGGGGAGGTATTCCTTCGGTGAGCGAATAATGGCAGGGATTTGCTTCATGTTCAAATCTCGAGCTCAGCTCAGCTCAGCTCAGCTACGGATACAACTGAAGCCAAGCCAAGCCTCGGCAACGGTCATAACTTCCGACATTGCAACAACTACATCCAATACGATAAATCCTTTAGGCAGTCACCGTGACGCGAGCAATACTTTTCGGTGTAATGATGTCGTCGGGCAGAGAGCTAGACGGCCGCATTCCTCGGTGATGCGACATCCAACACGCGATAGGTTCCATGTTACACCCATTCCCGTCTACCGAGTACCTGGTAGTGACCTAGGTGACTCTGTCCTAACTACACTTTCACACACAGCCCGCATACCTAAATCCTTCACACTCGCGTTTAAGCCGCTGGAGGCGACCGAACGTCCCGCTACCCATATATACGCGGGAAAAAAACCTTGATTATCACCAGCTGTTCCCTGGCGGCACAAACATACAATTTCCATCGCCAAGACTCACTTACCCCAAGAACTCCGAGTCGGTCTAATATTCAGACAGTCAGACACACATCGAGAAACTGCGAAGGATAGACAAAGATGGAGAGTTGCTGCATGTATGCATATACCATCTATTAATAGGATCTCATTCAGTCACTCGTCCCAGCTGCTTCAAGGAGGTCAGGTATAGAAAGAGGTATTTGTTTGTTTATCGACTCTGTCGATGAACGAGCTTCCACAGTGTTAAACCGACCACAGTAACCCAAGATATTGCTTACGGAGTATCCGCATATTCATAACCACCACCAGATACCAGTACACGCTGAAGGGACATATTTAAGTCAGAACCACCTACCTTATCTAGGGCCCAAAAAAACAGGTAAACCCGACATGTTGGAATGACAAGGTCATTCGTGCTAGTCACTATAGTAACCGCTGCGAAAGGGTGGGGTGGTTGTGTTACTTGTATTCTTTTATGTCTACCAAAAGGATCACGAACTACGGGGACACGAAGGCGCTCAGTCAGGGTGCCCCGCGGTCACGTGCTGCACCACGTGGTGGGCGTATGTGGCCCGTGCGCTGACCTGATTGATCGGTAATTCATTCCTACGGACAAAATTTCGAATGGAACCCAAAGTCCTTTGAGCAAAAATGTCAAAAAAAAAAACAGGTTCAAATCAAGAAAAAGCCGATCGACCTGGAATTAATTACGGAGTATTAATTACCTCACCTATGTTTTGCTGCCTTACTTACCTACCTAACTACTATCCATACCTTGATTAAATACTAAACCTATCACCAGCTCAACCGTACCTATCATATACAACCTAACAAAAGCAGCCGACAAAAGACAACAAAAAAACGAAATATGAAATGTTGCGCGTGCGTACCTATATATATGTGAGTGTGTGCATGCTGCTCGCCCTCGGCAGTACGTACATAGTCGGTACGTACTAAGTATGACCAAAAAGAACAACAGCAGCAGCAGCAACAATAATGATGAATAATGTCGTCCACAAGCAACTCAAAATGCGGCGGGAGGAATGGGGAGATATTATCTATATACAAGAAGATGGTGATGAGGGGAAAAGGGTGCGGGTGCGGCGATATATGATGATCCTCCTTCAGCTTCCCACCGTCAAAAAGCCAAAGTAATCAGAAAGAGGAAATAAAAAAAGAAACATGTACAACATGCCAAAACCTCTTGAAACATGCCAGAAAAAAACATGATAAGAATCAACTAACCACAACCGCAACCACAGTAACCCCCCCCCCCCCCAATTTCTTCATCACCGCATATCCCTCGCGCTCAGGCTCGAAAATGCATCCGGACTGTGCCGCCCATTGGACCACTCTAGGCCCACCGCCATCATGCTCTCCCGGCTCGTGTTGTATTTCGGCTTGATATTACCACTGGCGGCTGGTACCGCCTGCATACCCGCTGCTCCTCCTCCCACCGCCGGCCCCATTCCCATGCTCATCATGAACGGGTTGTTGCTCACGGGAGGGGCAGGGCCTACTGCTACGCCTCCCTGTGGGGAAGGTTGCTGATATTGTGCTTGCGGGGATTGCTGATATTGCACTTGCGGGGATTGCTGCTGTAGTTGCTGCAGCTGCTGCGTCTGCTGTTGCTGATGAGCCAGCGGGAAAGTCTGAGCCCTGAAAAACGGGTTCGAGCCCTGTTGCTGCAGCAGCTGCTGCTGGATCGGTGGGGGGCTCGCTACGGGGGCGCCCTGCGGGGCCTGCTGGTACGGTGACGTGGTCGGCGCGAGCTGCGGGTAGTTGTATAGTGCCATAATGGAGGCTTTATCGGGTCGCTGCGGGATATACGCCTGCTGCTGCTGCTGGGGTTGCATCTGGACCGGCTGTTGCTGCTGTTGCGCCGACATCTGCGTGAAAAATGGGTTCATAGAGTGTGATTGCGAAGTTGGTGGCGTATAAAAGCTTGGCTGCGACTGCTCGGGTATTTGCGTGAGGGTTGGCGACTGGATCCATGTTGGGGACCGTGTAAAGGGATTGTTGCCATAATTGCCAGGGAAGGCAGCAGTGTTGACTGAAAGGGGCTGCTGTTGGGGTTGTTGGGGCTGTTGGGGCTGCTGGGGCTGGTTGGCATAAAAGGGGTTGTAGCTAACTACGGCTTGTTGCGCAGGCTGAGGGTAAGTTTGGCTGCTGTGGGAGGGCACTGAGGGGTAGTGTTGTGCCGTCGACGAAACCGGAGGCGTCATGGGCTGCTGATATAACGGCTGGGCGTTTTGGTGCTGAGGCACAACCATCCCCCCGGTATGATGTGGAAATAGGGGCTGCGACGGCGGCGCTAGAGACATGTTTTGAAAGGCCATGTCAAATGCACTTGCCGTCTGCTGGGGAGGCGGGCCGAAGGGATTAGCCGACAAGTAGGGGTTCTTGTTTTGTAGAGTTCCCGTCGACTGCGACGAGAGCGGCGGCGCCGGTACCGCGTCCAGCATGTCGAAGGGGTTGCTGCTCGCCGGGCTCAGGGGCCGGCCACGCCCCATATCGCGGCCCGAGTTGGACGCCGCGGGAGTCAGACTCAAGCCCCGGTTTATCGGCATGGACGATTCTCTGGCCGATGTCAACGACCGTCCTTCACCCTCGCCAAGCCGGACAAGAGCCTCTATCGTCTTCTCCAGGTTTCCGCCGACGCCCTTCATGACCGCCTGGTTCCGCTGCTCGTCTGCGAAGCCCATGTCGCGGAGCTTGGCCAGCTTCCGGTCGGTTTCGTCGGCTCCATCTCCGGTATCGTACTGCACGGAGGCGCCAAACACTTGCGAGGCCTTGTTCCGAGGCGACTGCTGAGGCTGGTGGAAGTGGGCGCCGAGAGAGGCTTCTTGTGCAGCGGCCGCCTTCTTCGCCTTGGACCCGAGGGGGAATATGGACGAGGCGGATCGGATGCCGAAGCGGCTGGGCGTCTTGGGGGGGAGGGGCGGGGGGGTCTCGTCGGACTCGGTGCTGCCAGTGTTGTGGCGCTTTGTGGACGCGAGAACGCGGTTCATGTACTTTTGGCGGATGAATTTCTCCATGGCCCCGTCGGCCTCGTCCGTGTCGACCGGGATGTTGGGCTTCTTATTCTGGGGGTTGTAGCTCTTGTTGGAGGCGACGTTGCCGACCTTCTTCATGTTCTGTGAACAACAGTCAGCACCTGCAAGCGGGGCATCGCAGTATACCAAGCGCGCCTGCCACGTACCTCGACTTGCTCGTTGGACCAGCTGTCCATGCTCAGCGACTTCACCTTGGAGACATGGGTGCCCAATTTGCGGTGGATCGTGGCGCACCGCATGCAAAGGAAGATGCCCAACTGCAGTACCAATCAGCTTGAGGACGGGGTCGCGGAGGTGCAGGAAACGGCAACGGGAGAGCGTCGCGTGCTTCGACGGGAAAAAAGGGGGGGCCCCAATGGGATTCGACGTACGCTCCATGATGCCCAGCCTAGATCAAGTCGAGCGCGTTGTTAGTCGACGACAACAATATGTCAAAAGTAGAGTCGAATGACAGCATCTGGAAGGAATAGGGAGTGAGGGGGACGCACCAGGATTCCGAGTTTGACAGTCGGCGCAAAAGTTGTTTCCGGGCACGCTCTGGACCAATTCCTGCAGAACCTTCTCGTTGCGCGCCTGCTGGCGCTTGCTTAGAGCTCCCGACATGTCGCGTGAGGTGTGGAATCAAACTGGCATCCCAAAGTTAAGGTTGCGATTCGCAGCCAAGTCTCGAGGTAGGTTTTCGGTTTCGGTTCTGTGGACGGTACGGTTGTTCCCTTCTGGGCTCCCGGAGAATCCAAGGTTGGGAGCGAACCAGAGCCAGCGCAGCCACCCGACAGGCGGTCCCCAGCCAGACCAAGTGCAGCCAAGCTAGCGACAGCCCGACCCGCTACGGGGAACAGGGGGGGGGAGGGATGGAGGCGGGGGAATCTAATCAAAGGCTGGGACCGCACTTTTGCAAGTTTTGGTCGATTAATATCCAGGCGACGTCGAGACCCGGAATTCGCAACCCGAAGTGCTGGATGCCTTGGTTCCAAAAGGTTGTTCTTGAATTTTGGCAAGAATCCCCGGGCAGCATGATGGGAGGTGGGCAACCTGAGGTGAGTTTTAGGCTTTTTGCAGCCCCCCAATTCATGCACTGCACTGGCCGATATGGATAACATCCGATTGCCACATGGAAAGAACCAAAAGCCATTGAAAAACGTTTAAGATGATGGCTGCGGCACAGTGCCTACCAAGCACATCTGTGCCTCCTTGGCAGCCATGTTTCCTGGTTTCCACCCGAGTTCCAAGGCCCTTCTCTCCTGGGAAGTTGCACTGGCTCACCACGATTCGTACTGGAATCAATTGCTGATGTTTAATAAACGCCCGAAGAGGGGGTTCCGGCGGGTTGTAAAATGCGCTATCGATCTGACGCTCTTGCGGCCCATCCGATCCTTGGCTTGGCATGCCTCGCGCGGCCGACTTTAGAAGGAGCTTAAGCATTCCATCCCCTTCGTGCCTACCTCCCCTGCCTTGAACATTGGGCCCATAACCGAACCCGCCGTTATTCTCTCTAATTCCAACGAGACAGACCCGCTACTAGGATTCCCCTCAGCAAAAGTTTCAATCCGTAACATGCGGGTCTGCCCTTAGGCCTGGACCATGTTCTTTTTTGCCGGCCAAGCCCAAGCGCGTACTGAGACGGCAGCCTCCAATCAGTGTCCACGCCAACTCGCGACGAAAAGAAAGATGGCCCTCTACAATGATGGCATCAACTGAAGCTCAATGGGAATCATCTCCCATCCAACTCTATCAATCCATCCTGACAGGAAATTGCAGATGACGGATTACAGACGGCGACGCCGACTCATTTGTGTTACGGCGCAGTTGACGGGCAGACCTAATACCGATAGGAACACGTGCAATAGGGCCCGTAGCATCGGTTGCATCGGGTTCCGATGCTGCCCATGAAGGCGGACGACTCCATGTTCCACCTCGTCTGCGCATCGGCCTGAGCCGTCGCCATGTTGAGGAGATCAATCTTCCTCTGGTTCGACCGAATCTTTGCCGCCGCCTGCTCGTACTCGGCCTGTTCGCGCTGCTCCTGGATCCTCGCCGTGTCTGCCTTGGTCGCCTCCACGAGCAGGTCCACTGGCTGTTTGGTGCGGTCTGGCAGCCCGCTGACGATCAGCAGGCCCGTCTCGACTAAGATGGCGCTCACTTCGGGCTTGAACGGCGAGAGTGCTAGGTTCTAGGTTGAAGTGAGATTCGACAATCTTATCCGGCCGTTCGAGGAGCTCGTCCACGTATTATTTGGTTCCTGCAACGAGAAGAATTCAAGAAAGAGAACGAACCGTGATTCGACCGAGGACTCCCTCCTTCCTCCACTGGTCCAGCACCTCCCTCAGCTCCCGGTGGCCGTTCAAGCGCCAGAATCCCTTTCCGCCGTGGGTGATGACGAGGTAGTCGGCGCCGGCGCCGAACGTGACGATGCGCGGCGTGTCGGTGAACTGGCCATCCTTGATGAGCCCTGTGAGCTCTGCCGACAAGGGGTCCTGGAGCCCCTTCCACTGGTGCGCCACGCCGTCGACGGCGTAGAAGCTGGTTCCGTTCGGGTGCAGGTTGACTCGGATCTTCTGGAAGGTGCGCTCGAACGCGCCGCCCGCGTCTTTTTTCCAGATCCACTCCTTGAGAGAGTCAGGGATTCCGTTGGTTGCTGTGCCCACTCTCGTGTTGGTAACGGAGGGAGAGATTCTCATCCACGGAGTAACATACCCATCATCGTCTTCCCCGTTGTCTTGTGCTTGTAGCACCATACATAGCTGCCGTTGGGCCCGAGTGCCATGGAGTAAGTCTCGGCGACGACGCCGTTGCTGAGCTGTCCTTGCACGTCTGCTGGCAGATTGTCACTTTGATCCGGCACGTCGAATGTCAGTAGGAGCCAAACCAAAAATGAAAATATATGGTGCAAGAGAACCAGCTTACAAGGCCATGCGCGTCGGGCATTCAAGGTAGGAGCTGTCATTCTCGCCAAATGCGAGGACCGTGTCGCACATGGCGTCGAATATTTGGGGGGGAAAGGGGGTGAATAGATGGCGACAGACAATAACGTAACAGCGAAGAGATGGCAGGAAATGACAAAATGAATCGTGTTGCGCTCAAAAAGATTACACGCGAGCCGCAAGGCTCTGTGTTATATATTATATGTATATACATATCGACCTGCTTGCTGTGTCTTGTCTGTCTATCTAATCCTCTCCCAAACCGTGAACACTATCGACGCCATGCGTCAGTCTCATGACTAGTCCCGTCGTCCCGTCCATACAAGAGGCTGAGCGCAGACGAATGCCAAGAGAGGGCTCGGTCTCGCCATGCCAGCCCGGGAGACCTGCGCGACCGACGGGCCAACCAAACCAAGCGCTGGGTTTGAATCAATCAGGCTGTCCATCTATCTACGTATCTCTCTTTTCTTCTCTCTGTCTGTCTTGTCACTTGTTGCGTTGTATTTATTTCGGTCCCCGAAACAGTCTGTCTGTCGCCCTGCAGCATTGGGCAATAGGCGGCGGCGGCAGTGTTAGTGCCAGATGCTTGCTCAGCCTCATCTTGGCAATATTCTTTGTCTGTTGGCATTCCTTCCTCCCTTCCTCTAAACGGGAGATGATGGTTGCGTATATGGCTGTTGTTGGCAGATGGCTCTGTGCAGTACATTGCAAGAACTACGGTCTCTTGCTGAGGAAGTAAATAGAGGCTCCCTCCTTTTGTCGGCGCGGTTGAAGGTATAGAGCTGCGCCCGTGTTGTCGTCGGGGGTTTCTCTCCTTGCCTTGCCTTGTCCGATTTCGAGCGGGTCGTCGATCTGAGAAATGTGAGAGATGCCATCTGATCTGAACCTATCTGATCTGTTTTTAAGTCATCATATTGACTATTGTTTTGTTTTTCTTTCTTTGCCAACTATTTACACCGGCTGCTTACTTGCTCAGGGGTCGTTCGTGTGGCACCCCTTATCCCCCACCAAATACGATACATCAGATGATGGGAACAACTGCTCCTTGAGTGATACCGCGGCAATGAGGCGTAACCTGGCAGGTTGTGTCAGCCAGTCAAGTTCAGTCTCTAAGTATTTGTTTTTGTGTATATTTATATTGGTGACAGAGATCCCCCGTCTGGACAAAAACCAAGGCTATCTAAAGGACGAAGCGGTGGTTGCGAACACAGATGGCCAAGAAAACAATCGACAAACAAACCCCGACGACCGTTGCTGCGACGAAACGTTAACCATAGCTAACCGATAGACCAACAATAGCCGATAAACACGAAATGACATAAATCCAATGACAGCCCACCACAGGGGTCGCACAACCTCACCGGCAAACCAACGATAGATACCCACACTAGATAGATAGATAGATACGTATAATACATAGATAGCCAGCTGATCGACAGATTGATCGACCTGTCAGAGTCAGACCGACAGACAGGTCGCAGGCCCCAGGCCCCAGGCCTAAGACCCCTACGTATCAACCAACACGCGCGTCACAAATTAGACAGTGGAGAGACAGCACGTACGATGGTAGGTGTGTAACGGACCAGTCCGACCTGACATGTTTCAGATATATACCTGCCTAGATAAGACACAATCAGTCAGTCGATGACTTGATCCCCAATCTAACTTCCCGCCCCATTGTGAAAAGGACAAGAGCCGAGAGAGAAAAAAACGCCAAGAAAGTGGCGTTATTTGTGCATGTCCTGTCACGCACGGGGGATCGTCATCGTCGTCATCGGCTGACGGGCTGGCCGCCCGCCCGCCAAGCAATTCCCTTTCCAAGCTTCAATCCCCGCCCGCCGCAATTAAGATACGTACACACATGCTAGTTGCACAGAGACAGACATGATCGGCAGATAGTAATATGGTACAATACCGCTCAGACGTTTTATCATTATTATTATTATTATTATTAGGGTTGATTGATATCTGGCCCGGGACCCTTGTTTAAATGGGCTGCCTCTGTTGCGTTATAGCCGGGCCGTGATAAGGCCAGCCAGAGCCATTGATTAGCTATTACAGCCTCTCTCTCTCTCTCTTTTCTCTCTCTCTCTCACGCTCCCTATCTCTTCACTGTGCTCTTAGACAAGGATACACACACGCGCACACCGAATAGTAACCGACCCAACAGGAAAGCGACTCTTAAAATGGCCGAACTGGCACACCTCAAGCCGTGCTTCGCCGTGCCAGAAGCGCGGCACGGCTCGCTCGAGAAGCCCGAGATCCAGATCGTGATCGACACGCTGAGGATGCAGCCGCATAGTAGGGGCGGGGGCGGATACCGTGCCGAGACGGACCGCCACCCGTCCTCTGTCGTGGCGGGGGGCAGCGAGTTCCCGCCAGACGAGGCCCCCTCCTCCCCCTCCTCGAAGCTCCGCAGCGCCTCGTCGACTAGTCTCTACCTCATCACGCCTAACTCGCCGCAGTCCTACTTGCACCGCACCCGCGAGCGCACCATGCACACGCTGCATCGCGGGCGAGGCCGCATCGTGGTGATCCACGACGCCGACGAGAGCACCAAGACAGGGGCGAGGAGTGGTGGCGTGGGGTACCGAGTCGAGTCGTTTGTCGTCGGACACAACGTCGCCGCGGGGGAGAGGCTGCAATGGGTCGTCGAGGCGGGCAAGTACAGGGCCAGCTTCTTGCTGCCGGACCGCGACGGAGAGATGGAGAGCAAGGCGGGGCTGTTGGTCTCGGAGACGTCGGTGCCGGGGTTGGTCGACAGCGCTTCCGACCGCGAGTTCCTGGACCGGGACGGGCTGAGGAAGCTCTTGCGCAACGACGACGCGAGGGAGCTGGAGTGGCTGGCGCGTCCAGAGCAGATCAAGAGGCAGGGCCCCTAGCCCGGCCACGTATCCCCAAGGCCATTTCGTTAGATTATGCGAATACTTTTTGAGAATCCATTTTCGTGTTGACAAGCCCTTCGTAGGCGGGTCTCATGTGAGTTTCTCTTCAAACCCCGAAAGCACTAGTTTCTGGTTTCCGCCCGTAGACGACGACGAAATTCATATGGCCGTGTACTTTTTGGTCGAACAAGCATCGGCGCACGTCGACCAACGACACCTGATGTCGATACATGTCAGCTTGATTCTCACAACTCGTTTGAGCACAGCCGCCGCTCACCTCAATCTCCTCGACGGTTTTGCCTAGGTAGTGGTGAAATAAGCTGAGGCTGAAACCGCTGACGCCGATCATCAGGGTGCGCTGCCACAGCATACCAACATGCTTCAGAAAGGTGTCCCTCGGCCAGCCGTTGATGGGGATCTTGAACACGACCTCGTGCACGTCCTCGAACCCGGCCTCGCGAAGCCACGCGGCCAGGGGCTCGCCGCCCAGGTTCAGCTGCCGATTGGCATACTTGCCAGCAGCTATGAGATCGTGAGCCCAGCGCCTCCAGGGGAAGTCGTCGGTGATGGTGCCGTCGTCCGAGGTAGGGACGATATCCACCTCCTGCATCTCAAACCAGCCGCCTGGCTTGAGATGTTCAAAGGCACGTTGCACGACCTGCGTCTTCATGTCTGACCAGCAGCCAATGGTGATCCGAGTGTGGATAAAGTCAAAATCAGTAGCAAAGTCCCAGTCCTCGGTCCTGTCGCGAGCCGCCAAGTTAGATTCACTTGTCATGTTGACTACGTCATTGCAGTTTGCGGTAGGTCTGAATTTAACGCCATGAGAGAGCCGCACTCACGAGTCTTCAACGTAGAACCTCACGTTGGGCGGAACGAAGGGCGGCTGAATGGGCGAGAGGTCAGTGCCGATAATCTGAGCGTCAGGGAACTCATCCCCCATCTCAATGGCCCACGTGCCGGTCCCAGTGGCAAGGTCGAGCACTTTTCTAGGGGGGTCGCTGGCCGAAAACGGCGAGAGGTAGTTCCTCTTGTCCATGACTATCTTGAGGATCTCAAACTGCTCCTCCTGGCGCTCGTTCTCTGTGGGGTCATTGGGAAAGTGATAGGCTGCATCGTTTGTCAGAGCCGCATTTTCTCAGCAATTGATTGCTGGGACGAAGAACTAGCAGCACGCCATGATGGATGGCTTGGCGACTTACAGCCCGCGCGGTACGAATGGTACGTGCGCCCAAACTCTTCTTGAAACCTGCCGATGCTGTCCGACAAAGAGTGCGAGTCACTAGCAACAGGCGTCAGCCCAGACGCCTCTAAAACCGAGGTTGGCTTCTCCAGATATGAGGAAGGGGGAGAGAGGGGTTCAACCAACTATTCCGTGGGATTTGGCTGAGACACACTTCAGTTAGCCCAGTTTCATCCGACAATTGCTCACAGTGAGTGAGTGGCCAACGCGACAAGACCATCATGGTGTTTTGCTAGGCACACGGCATGGAAATAAATAATAGGCCCAAAAAGAAAGGCTCACATCGGGCTCAATGCGTGACGCATGGTCGAGATAGGCCTCAAAGGTGAACTGGAAGCTGTTGAGCGTCTGGGCGCTGGGGCTGTCGGCTAGCATGATGGCGAACGAACGGCCTGCTGCGTCCGCGTGAACCCGTCGGCAAACTCGACTTATTTAGACGGCGGAGCCCTGGGTGCCCCGGAAATAATTCGCTGCTCTACCAATTCCAACCTTCAACTCGAAGGTGATGCACGTTCCTTGTTCCGGGCGGTGAGTGTGAAGCAAGGCAACAAGGTGAGGGCGGGAAATGAGAGGAGAAGCCAAGGTACGGTAGGCACGATGGGTTCAGGTTCGGGAAGATACATCCAGTAAGTAGTATGCCCGCGCGCAGATGGCCCGGCATATGACAGAGTGCCCCCCTACCTCACCTTAGAGCCGCGGGGATATTGACAAGGGGTGCGAAATAGGGACCAAGTGCAAAACAGTATATAAAGTACGAACCAAGTCGAACCGAATATTACTCCGTCCGTACTCGTACTGCGAAGGAACAACAGAGCCGTCGAAGACCCAGACCCAGACGGGATGGATGGGACTCAACTCGTCGGCGACCTGAGGGCTGGAGCCATGGCTTATTCTTCTTCCCCCCTTCCTTCCCCCACCCCGCGCCAATCTCCGCGAACGCTGTTTGGCAATCAAATGAAGGGCCGAGCCAAGTAGAGCCAAGGTAGGTAGCCCGCCTCCCTAGCCCGAACCTGGGAAAAAAGGCGGGATTTCGGCTGCTACGGGTCGCGGTCCCAGCAGTCTGGATCAGCGGTCACCACACCTCCCCCTTCCCTTGGAGGGAGACGGCAAGTGGGTTTTGGACTGTGCAGCGTACGGAACTTGACCCGAGAGATTGGACCACACCAGCGGATCCATTCCAATTGTTCGTGCTACCCCCACTCTCCCTTCCCCCAAATGGAAACCAATGTCTTTGTCTCAGCGTATCACGTCTCACCCCACCCTCGAAGAGAGAGAAAAAGGGCTGGGGCGGGCCGTCTGTCATTTTTTTGCTGGGTATATTAAACCTGGGAAGGCACGGGCTATCGCGGATACCGTCTGAGACTATCGGTTTGATGCGTCACGCGTGAGGATAAGTATGGCTTGCAGGACCTTGGCCGACCTGCTGGCACTAAAGAAAAACGCCCCCGTCTCTCTCACCGGTTTGTCTGCTCGCTAATCACAGGCAGGAGGTGTACACTAGGGAGCCCAGGTTGCGGCTAGACTCTTCGAAAGGCAACCCGATTTACACAGTTGAGAGTTACAGAAGTCTTGGGGTTCCCCAAAAATGAGCCTTCAGGCGGTGTGGTCAGTACCAGCCTGGCTGCTAGCTGCGGAAAGCACATCACCATACCCCAGCACACAATGCCAGGCCAATGGGATGGCCTGGGCAAGTCGTTCCTTCCAAAGCCTGTGGCTCAACGCTCGCTCGCCAGTTCCTTCTTTCTTGCTCCTGCCTCGAGTGTTCTTGCTTTCGTGCTTCTTTCTTTACTGGGTAGCAGAGCATACCGACTGATGCTCGTGCCACCCAGATTGTCCCGACTCCATAGTCGTACGGGCGTTGGCGGCATATATGGACCCTCCGAGCTCTATTTTGACGGGACCTTCCCGATTCGTGAAAGCCTGAAGCTGACGGATTGTTCCGTAATAAGTCCCGTCTCCCGTGTGGCTCTCATTCCGCCGTCCTCGGCACTTGTCCGCCGCGCCGCCCAGCCACCTCACCTCATGCCTCTGGGGGGCACGGGATAGTTCTTATCCCCGGACAGAACGTTATCAATGCTGACCTGGAACCGCCACAGTAAAGGCGCTAAGGTGAGGGAGCTTGCGATATGGAAACCAGGTTCAGCAAATTCACACCAGCAAGAGCGACCCGACGAGGCGGTACACAGTGACGTGGACTACTCATGTCTTAGCACGGCCCACAAAAGTTTCAATAAATCCCAAACACCATTCATTAGCCTCGATCCTTCTCAACCTCGCCTGGGCCGTCCCGGACCAACAGCAGCACTAGGATGCAGACGAGACACCGCAGAACCTCGGCTGCGAATATATGCCTACCTACACGCTACCACCGGTTCCAGCAAATGCGAAGCACCGGATAGCTCGGAGCTGCTGCCAAGCCTGGTAGACAACCCAATGACACCTTCAATGCAGCTGCCTTAATTAAGGACTCAAGTTTCGAGACTACAAGTTCGATGGAGAGATTAGCGGCTGATTGACAACCTCATTGGGACAACCCAAGACATTTAAATACATTCCCAGTATCTCAACGAACTCGGCAGTAGTTAGCTGGTTGATGTTCGGGTTGACGAATCATCTGTCATAGGTTATTTTTCCCTTTTCAAAGTGGGCTTTCCTGACTTATACTCAGAAACCCTGAATCCTGAAACCTTGGGGACCTAAGCCCTAGATCTTGAGCCTGAGCCGGACCTTATCGCACTTCACTACCGTCCCCAACAAGCTACGCTTCGCTACCATCATCTTCATCTTACAGGCTATTCGACCGAAAAAGAAAGTTGAGTTTATTGCGATTCTCATGCTTGATGCCCAGCGCGTGAAGCCTATTCAGGAGACGACGGCACGCCGTTAGGGTCCTTGCTCTCTGCTGCTCTCGCGCGTCCGCCGCCAAAAAAATGCGGAGTGCGTGCCCATCTTCGGTCAAGTGGCGAAGGCGGGCCCGATCTGCTGGTGTTGGATTTACTGGGGGTATAGCCGTTTCGGCCTCAAAGTGGGGTTTCTGCCAGAGTAGCTCGGCGAACTTGGCGACGACGGGCCCGTCCAAGAGCGGGTGCCTAACGAGGTGGATGTTCTGTCGGAAGCGGCCGAACCTGGTTAGTTCCGATTGTTGATGCGCCGCAGGTGCGAGATGGATTTGACGCCGGCACGACGCTCCGCAAGAGCCTCGAGATGACATGCCCGGGTCCCCAGAGACACGGCCTCGTTCTAGTCGCTCAGGGGGAGTGATACTACTTTAGTTTGACAAAGCGTCTTTCAAAGAGTTTCTTCATCAGCATGATCATTTGTTTCTCGACACCGAGATCCGGGGTTCGGCCTCGCGCTCGCTCTCGGCTGTAACTTTCTCAAAAGCTAGCTTGGTCAAGCTCGGGAAGTTGGCTGACTTGATCCTTTGTTTTGCTTCCTTCGTGTTGTTGAGCATGATGAGCCACTTGGTCCATGGTGTACTTGATCCTAAAGTACATATCGTCCGGGTCCATCTTGTCTCTGCAAGTGCCGCAAAAGACGCCCCAGTCGACCGCGGGCGGCTGGCCGGCACACGAGCGGAAGAAGGGCGCCGATATTACGGCCATGAACCGCCGAGCCTGTAGCCTTTGTTGGCCCAACAAAACGTCGTAGTCAACCTAGGGCATCCCCATCGCCTCGGCAAGCGCAACGGCGGCTTGACGGTCGATGAGCACGATCCTGTTGAAGGACTGATCGCGGCTCTGGGTGTAGAGCCCGGGTAGGCTCAGGACGCTGGGCAGCTCCCCAACAGCATCCTGCGAGAGCCCGGCATCCCAGGCCATCGGCGGCATGGTGGGGATGTATTTCCAGCCGCTCGTGAAGCAAAGGTAGCACACGCGCTTGCCGGTGACAATGTAGAGGTAGCTGCCGAACAGGTCGCAGCCGTCACACTTGCTGCAGACTGGCAGGGCGTCCCACAGCGTCTGGTAGTCGTAGCTACTGGCGTTGAGGCTGATGACGGCGCGGAGCACGTCGGGGCAGTACTGCCGGATCATGCGGTACGGATACAGCGAACTGACGATGGCCATGGCGCGGCGGTTCACTCGGCGGAGCAACGTCAAGGTCGGGACATCCAATCTGAGAAGCACGTTGATGATGATTTCAGACGGCAGCTCGTCGAGAGTGCCTATGGTGTATCGAGGATTGTTTCCATATTGGCCGTCGTCTAGAGGACATCGCGTCTCGAGGTTAGCGTCATCCAAGGTATGGTCGGCGATGCTGCATGTGCGATAGAAGGCTTAGCTAAGACTTGTGGGATCCATGAGTGGGAGAGGACTGGGGCCGGGAAGCAAAGACGCCGGTTGTTATCTGTCTCGGCTTGGTTCTTGTTGTTTGCGAACAACATGAGTTAACTGCAGGTGTGGTTAGCTCCAGAACAATATCCAGGCCGGTTTGTTGAAGCCCAATACAGTCAGCAGTGGGGGCATCTCCGAGTTTAGTATTTCAGAACGAAAGGCAGTTCCCGATTCACAGTAGCTTCGGCTCGAAAGGACCAGAAAGGACATTTAGCCCGAATAAGAGCAGTCAGGAGAGCAAACCTGGAAAGTCGGAAAGTCGGAAAATCAAAACAAGAAAAAGGTAAGATGCTCGACTGGGCGGCCGCCTGGGCGCCTCCTAGTTCCTTGGGTATAATTATCTATATCCCACGTCACACTGAGGCGCCCCGGCGATATCGTTCTTAGAGGAGCAACCGCGCGGGACTGGCAGAAAATAATAAAAAGAAGTCCATTCTGCAAAATGTCTTCTTTCTGACTGGCTGCGAGGAAGGACGGACTGCAGCGGGGCCGTGGCGAGACATCCCTTTCGTGATTCCGGTCCTCTAACCGTACGCCCTTCATCTTGCAAGTCGCGGTCTGGTTGTAAGAGGTCGAATTCCATTGGAGAAAGAGACTCGGACTCGGAAGGAAATGGGTCGGTCTTTTTTTGGTGCAACCACCTTGCCTTACCTAACATGGTTAAAGAAACATGAATTGAAGAAAGAGAGAGCGGTGGTGCCTTCCCTGCCATGGCTTGCTCCTTCCATCCAATGTTTTCTCTTCTTCTTTCGGGAAGAGGGGAAGCGCGCTTCCCGCAAATTGCCAGGCTGCCAGCAACTCTGAACTCAATGCTTACTCCATTGCGACTACTAGTACTAGTAGGTGGTGTCCAGCAGTGGAAGCAATTGTCCTTTTTTCGCGATTTCAAATGCGAGATTGGTAATGACCATCAGCTCGGCTACTAGTATCTGCCTTGCCAGGCCTTGTAGTCAAGGTCGGCGGAGCCTCGGGCTGAGCGTATACGTATCCGGATGCATTAACGCCGGGAGACGCGGCCGATGCGTTGACGCGCAGCTTGGCACCACCCGCAAGTGCAACCCTCAGCAACAGAAAAGACCAATTGTTTCGTCCCCTCTACGGACAGAACCAAAGCACGTGGACGTGAACAGAATGGCTACTCCGGATAGCAGCGTCGATGCCGATGCCGATGCCTTCCTCGCGCAGGCCCACCAGCGCCTGCGCCAGGCCGTCGCAGCCCGGGGCGACAGCACCGAGCCGGCGCCCGCCGTGCTGGCTAGGGCGCTCTCGGCACTGCCCCGCGCTGGACAGCCCGGCTTCCTCGAGGGCCGCGGCCCCGAGGCGGCGCTGAGCCACATCCTCGACACCATCGTGCCGGCGCTCAACGGCCAGGCCCTCAGCGGCCGTTATCTGGGCTTCGTCACTGGCGGCATCCTGCCCGTGGCCGAGGCCGCCGACAACATCGTCAGCGCCCTCGACCAGAACGTCGGCGTGCACCTGCCCGCCCACTCGGCGAGCACCGCCGTCGAGCACGCCGCTCTCGGCATGCTGGTCGCCCTGCTGGGCCTGGGCGACGACGCTGCCTGGCCCGGCCGCACCTTCACCACGGGCGCCACCGCCAGCAACATCCTGGGCCTGGCGTGCGGGCGCGAGGCCGTCATTGCCGCGCGCTTCCACAGCGCTGCAGTAACAGCCTCCTCTACCAGCCCTGCCCCCGCTCCCGTGACGGTGGCCGAGGCGGGGCTGCTGGCGGCGTGCCAGGCGGCGGGTGTGCGCGAGATTCAGGTGCTGACCAGCATGGCCCACTCGTCGCTGGTCAAGGCGGCCAGCGTGCTGGGACTCGGGCACACGGCCGTCAAGGAGCTGTCGGCGAGCGCCGACGAGCCGTGGCGGTTGGACCTAGACGCCGTGGAGCGCGAGCTGGCGCGCGACCCGGCCGTCGCGAGCATCATCGCCGTGAGTGCTGGCGAGGTCAACACGGGCCGCTTTGCCACCAACGCCCTCGACATGCCCAAGCTGCGCAGCCTAGCCAACCGCTACGGCGCCTGGCTCCACGTCGACGGCGGTGCGTTGTTGCAGTGTTCATTTTTTTTCTCCGAGTTCTCCTGGCTGACCACCCCCCACATGGGATCTCTTCTGCAGCCTTTGGCATCTTCGCCCGAGCTCTCCCGCAGACGGACGAGTTTTTGAGCCTCCGCGCCAACACGGCAGGCCTGGAGCTGGCCGACAGCATCACTGCAGACGGACACAAGCTGCTCAACGTGGTATGTCACGCATCATCATCCTTCCCAAGCCAGCACTTATCGCTAGGGACTAGTTTCATCACTACCCTTCCTCGCCCCCACCCCCATTAACCAAATTCTAGCCATACGACGCGGGAATCTTCCTGTGCCGCGACGCGGCCATCCAGACGCAGGTCTTCAGCAACCCAAACGCCGCCTACCTTGCAACACCACCGCCGGCACAGACCAACAAAACCACAACTACAACCCCGACTACAACACCAATCCACAGCCCTCTGAATATGGGCCTCGAGAACTCACGGCGCTTCCGCGCGCTGCCTGTGTACGCGACGCTGCTGAGTGCCGGCCGCGCCGGCACGGCCGAGATGCTGGTGCACATGGTGCGGCTGGCGCGCGCGGTGGCCAGCTTCGTGCGGGACTCGCCCGACTACGAGTGGCTGCCAGACCCAAACGCGCTGCTCGAGAGCACGCACATCATCGTCCTGTTCCGGGCGCGCGACGCGGCGCTGAACGAGGTGCTCGTCGACCGCGTCAACGCGACGCGCGCCGTCTTCGTCAGCGGCACAAGCTGGGCCGGCCGCAAGGCCGCGCGCATCGCCGTGTCGAGCTGGCGCGTCGACGTCGACGCCGACTTTGCCGTCATCAAGCGCGTCTTGACTACCCTCGCGGTCGAAGCCAATTCCGCCGCGGCGGTAGGGGAGGCAGTATCAGCTTCGTAAATTAAAAAAAATATATATAACAATGTAAAAAGGGGGAGACGGGGATCCAATAACAAGATAGACGTCTCGACCAAAGTCCCGTATATAATGAGAAAACCAATACCATTTCTGTAGCACATCCAGACTACCTTGCGGCATGACAAATGCCGAATGTACTTGCTCCGAGTCTCTTCCCACCGCATTAGCCTCAATAACAACGAGACATGTCCACTCGTAGCAGGTAGCTCCGGCTACAAAACTATACCTATTACATCCATAAACCACGACATTCTAATCTTACAACTGCCAAGACAATCCGTGCCCAAGACAAGAAAGATAACCACCGAAGCGCAACACAAAAGCTCGCAATATGGTATCTCTCTAGGGAATTATACTCTGATAAGGCAACCATGTCCATAAACTATCGCCTGCTGAAAGATTGGCCCCGAACGCCACATGTGTAGACATGACCGACCTCTTACCACCCCCTATCGTAGCCTATAGTGTTGTCCCTCGAGACACAGGCAAGACCGATATCGTGGTACTAGAGCATTTTCCCCCAACTCGTTCTAGGGACAGAGTTTGGAGAATGTCGCAAGCTATGACAACCATCTAGCAATAGGTGACCGACAATATCCTACACACCGTCATGCGTCTTCTTCTCGTTATGACCGCCAGGTAGCCTCATTAAAACACCGCCTGAGAACCAATCTGCGTAAATCCATACGACATTACCGGAGCGTCAATCTGCAACTCGTCCAGGTCCATGTGAGAATCGAAGTTGGCAACGGGAAAGCGGCTCTCGGTATGAGAACGGGGCATCCCCGCTGGCCGCGTGGTATGACTCGGCTTTCTCTGATTAGACATGCGCTTCAGCATCTTATTGCCGTTATTGCTCTGTGTGTCAAGTCCATCACCATCGTTAGGGCCATTACGGGCATTCGAAACCTTGCAAACCCCAAGGCGTCTTAGTACTCCCGCCTCAGCACGGGACATGATCGGTGAAGTCACTATGCTGCTCGCTAGCTCGTCAGTGTCGTCATTCTCTTTCGCAAACCCAAAATTGATACCGGGGTATTGTAGACGGAGTTCCTTTTCCATAAGTTCGAGATCTCTCTTGGCTGGTGAGGGGTGCTTCTTCCGGTCCGCGCTATCAATGACTGGGATATATGAAAGAGCAAGGTGTGGCTTCAGCCGTTTGTTGCTCCCAGGTTTTCTCTTCTTTTCCCACGAGTCAAATTTCTGGACCAGCGCATCCTTGGATTCACTTGCAGGAGAAGCACCAGACTCGGACGACGAACCATCCCGTGTAGCCATGCCCCGGGATCTCTTTGTTGGGCTCTCATTCAAAGGCTGGAATCGCCCATACTTGCTTCGAGGTGTTGACGAGGCAACAGGCGGCGAGGGGAGCATTGAGTCAATCTTGCTCTCGAATAGCTTCTCCGTCTCAAAGGGATTAGTCCTTAAAGGAGCACCTGTGATAGAATCGTCTAGCGAGTTGGTCCGGAGCCGGTTCTCAAACTCAGTCACGGGTCGCTTGACGGTGGGAGCCTCCGAGAAGGGATCCTCAGACAGTTTGGGCTGCAAAAGAGACTCGCGGTTTTCAGGAAGATTGGTGCGCGGGACATGTTCGCCTACAGTATTCTCGTCTTGGTCCTTGCTGAAGTTGGCGCTCTCTTTGAGACCGATTCTGACTGTCGGCACTGAAGACAGTTTCTCTGGTATCGGAACCTGTGGCCGGGGTTCAATGAAGACATCAACTTGCTTGTGATTGTCTTGTGTCCTTGTCCGTGGCTCCTTTGCATGGCTCTTAGAGTGGAGTCGATCTGCTAGAGCATTTGACATCTTCTTGAACAGGTTCTGTTTCACAAGCCGAGTCATCTTGGAACTGGTGCTGCTCGATGGGATGCGCGCAGGCTGCGGTAATGGCACAGGCTTCAGGGCCATTGTCTGAGCAAGCATCATGTCCAGTTTGTGGGCAATATGCTTCTCATCGGGCTTCTGGGAAATGTGCTTCTCATCGGGCATAATCTTGGCATCCTGTGGCAAGTGAATATGGGTTTGACCGCCGTCTGGGCCACTGGACGGACCATCTGGCTGGTCATTTGACTGACGGTCGGCTTGCTCGGATATCCTGGTTAGAGGCATCGAGGTCGATGATGATAGTCTCACCGGGTTCATCCTGAGGGGATTCATTGGAAGAGGATTGAGCGCCACCGTTCTTGACTTGGGCAGAACTTTCGCCAGGCTGGCATTTTCGCGCTGCGACGACATTCGTCTCTGCTGAATGTCGCCCCGACGATTGCGTCTCGAAGATTTCCTGGGAATCGGCGGGGAGGATCTCTCGGGAACCTGGATTTGAGTAGCCTTCTGGAAGGATATGACACGGGCCTCCTCGCCTTTTCCTGGGACATTGCTTGAGTTACTCGCGGCTGCAATATTGTATGGGCAAGAGCTGACGCTGTGACTGCCTGCTGCAGAGCGAAGACTGTACCGAGCAGCCCGGTCGCCGGATATAACCGTCGTATCGTCGAGCAGAGCGCTTGCCATCTCATCAATGCTGGGTTGGTGGCGTGCGGTAGAGCCTCGTGCGCGCAACTGGTTTGGCGGGTCGTATGAAATAATTCGGATCGCGGGCTCCTCTTTGTGAGTGAGAGAAGACGAGGCTAGCGAGAAGACTTATCAGCACTGGTAAATTTAGAGCAGGAGGGGTAGCGGTTAATGTATTTCACGATCGTATTTCTCAATATGGACTGCGAAAGGACGTCTTGACGGGTGGGATCCACGTACCACTGCGGCCGGCTTGTGTTGGGAAGCTCATTTCACTTCCAGATCGCCGAAGTGCAAAAGAAGACAGGATCGACTTCTTCTTGGTGTGGGTTACTGCGGTCAACGACATGCTGACTTGCGAGCTGGCGATTTCCCGATCGACGCGAGGGGGAGGGAGAAGAGGGTCCAACGAGGACATCCCAAGGCGGCAGCAAATCTAGACGGCGGGAAACCCGGGCTTTGTAGGGCGAGACAGCCCTACAAGAGGTGCACGGTGAGTCACCGAGATTGCCTAGTCCTCTGCTGAAGCCGAGCCATGTTAGTAGTGATGTCGGGAGTGTGGTGGTGGCGAGGGCAATCGACATACCAGTCGGTTTCGTGGCTTCCATGAGCCGATGTCGAGTTTCCGATGCAATTAAATCCGCGCCTACCCGACCCTTGCGTTTCAGGCAAGGTTGGTGGAAACTATCGGGCAATAGGATATGCGACGATGTTTGCCTGTGTGTCAGGCTGTTCCCAAAGACCAGAAATCTTGCCAAAAAAGAGACAAGCAAATAAACTTGCCGAACTTGCGACAGAATTCGCCTGTCCGACTAAGTAGATAGATTAGGTAGAGTGTCGAAGCTGAAGAGGGACCTAAGGTACGGTAGGTAAGGTAATAAACTAGCACAGGCCCGGGGGGTAGGGGGTTGCCGCCTGGGACTGTCTACTTTGGTGCGGCCTGGAAGAAATTTGAGATGGAGAGGTAACGGACGAGGAAGGTGCAGCAGGTAAGGGAGCCGGGCTTAGCGTGCACAAGGTAAGGTGCAGGGTAGGTGGACTGCCTGCCTACCTTAGGTTGACGAGGTTGACGAGGAAAGAGCGACCTGGAAGATAGGCAGGTGGTGCGGCCAGGCACTTGAGGTGAATGCGGAATTGATTGGATGAGGTCGGGTGGGATGGTGAATGACGAGGCCGTGGGTGGGAAGACACCCACCCGACTAAGGTACCTATACCCTAGGGTAGTCTCCCTGACTGCCAAATTTCGGGGCTGAGGGATGACGTGGCGGTTGGGCAAGCTCGTCCCTTATTAGCAGATGCAGAGAAAAGAAAGAGATTCAGATGGAATATATATCGAATTGTGTAGCGAGGGCTTACGCAGCGATACCTGCCTCCCGACCTTGAGGGACCTTGCTCGCCCCGGTGACTAAAAAGATGGTTCTGCTTCATCAACTATGGCTCACGTTCTTACTGCTGCCTACTGTTACCACTCAGCCAAACCACAAAAGCAGAGACGTTCTTCAAAATCTTGGTTTGAAAGCCGCAGAATTATGTAGGGAGGGCTTTCGAGGCCGGGTAACCGCAGCAACTGAGCAAGTCGGTCTTTGTTTCAAGTTTATCCGAACAGAATACACCCGGGGTAGCTGTCTCCTGAACTACGGGTAAGGCTGTTTCGGAATGTGCAAAAAGAAGTGCAAGTGTCATCCAGACGACATTGTGTGTGAATTGCCAAGAAGCATATCTGGTGGAGGATACACGAGGCAGCTACCGCCACAGCTCTGACCATCAAAGAGCAAACAAGAAAATGATGAGCCTCGACAAAATGTTATATTCTCGTTTTAGTTAACTGTTGTGTCTTGATATCCCGAAGCTGTTGACTGCAGCTCTCTCGACATCCACAGAGAAAGCAGGGCCAGCTCTTGTCAGGTACATGTAGTCTTTGTAGGGTGATACCTTGTTAATACTTCGCTTTGATACCAAGAGACCAGAATTTACAAGTCAGATACCAAATGGTTAAACAGGATCGAATTTTTTCTAATAAAATAGCTGTAGTGATTTGATGTTGTTTGTGAGGCCAAGAAGGGTTGACGTCGAGATGGGAAGGGGCGATTACCTCAGCAAGACTGCCAGTGCCAAGCGTTTCCGACATGGTTCCTTGCCAAGCCTGCTTTGGAAATCCTTATGCTTTGATTGGCGAATTCGAGAGAGAGGAAAATAAAGGTGGGACGCGAACCCCTCGCTCGCTAGCATCTTGCCGAGGACAGTTCCCCCACTCGGCATCAGCATCTCCAAGTCCTGAAGCCCATCGTGTGTCCTGGCCCGCCTGCTCGCTTCCCGATTGAGCACTCCGGCGGCGATTTTTTCCCCCTCTTATATAGCCCTAGATTGACTGACTTTTCCTCCGAGTGCTGCATTGCATAGGCAGGCCGGCGATCCCATCCATCTATCCAGCAATTGACGTTGAGAAAACTGTGGCGACTTCGAAAACTGAAGTGTACATCTCCGCACCTACCTACAACTACGAGACCAAAAAGTCCGAGTCGCCGACATTCCACCTTTCTCCCGGATGCTCGACATCGAACCGCCTCGGCTTCTTTTCTAGTGCGCCGGTGCTGTTGATTTATGTGCAGACCTTGCCCCCCCGAACTGGTTTCGCTGTGATTCTGGTCGATTGAAGCCAGCCCGACTATACCGACGCCCGCCCCGGTCTGATTTCCGCACACCGCCGCCCCTAGCTGCACGCAAAAATGTCCTTCTCAAGCCTCGTCCAGGACCTCACGCTCCGCGATTCTAGCGCGCCGCGGCGACGCGGAGAAGCATCAGTTTCCACCGTCGACGACCGCGCATCCCGCACGTCGCACATCTCGCGCGCCATGTCATACGCCAGCACCGCTGCCACCAGCGTCAGCGTGTCGGGCGACATCTCGAGCCAGCTCCACGCCGGATATAGCCATCCGCTGGCACGGTCATGGCAAGCCGAGCGCCAGCTCACAAAGGTGGGCATGCTGACAGGGCTGTCCGTCTAGATTTAAATGCTGACGCTTACGGCTTCCAGTCCATGCTCATCTACCCGCTGTTCATGTCCGACCAGGATGACGAGGAAGTCCTCATCCCCTCGCTCCCGAACCAATACCGCCGCGGCATCAACAAGCTGGTGCCCTTCCTCGAGCCGCTCGTTCACAAGGGGCTACGGTCTGTTATCCTCTTCGGAGTGCCGTTGAGGCAGGGCACCAAAGATGCGCTGGGCACCGCCGCCGACGACCCGGAAGGGCCGGTCATTCGCAGCATCCGCCTCTTGAGGCAGAGGTTTCCGCAGCTCTTCATCGTTGTAGACGTCTGCCTGTGCGAGTACACGTCACACGGCCATTGTGGTATTCTGCGCGATGACGGGAGTTTGAACAACCAGCTGTCGGTCGACCGCATCTCGGACGTCGCCATTGCATACGCGCGAGCTGGCGCCCATTGCGTTGCACCTTCTGACATGAATGACGGCCGGATCCGTGCCATCAAGCTCAAGCTGATTGAGGAGGGCATTGCCCACAATGTCACGCTCATGTCGTACGCTGCGAAGTTCTCGGGCTGCCTGTACGGCCCATTTCGCGACGCGGCCGGCTCAGCTCCTGCGTTTGGTGACCGGAGGTGCTACCAACTACCCCCTGGCGGTCGCGGCTTGGCTCGCCGAGCAATCATCCGTGACATCAATGAAGGCGCGGACATCATCATGGTCAAGCCCGCAAGCCAGTACCTGGACATTATCAGTGACGCCAAGGACCTGGGCAAAGATTTGCCAATTGCGGCGTATCAGGTGAGCGGCGAATTTGCCATGATTCACGCGGCGGCGAAGGCCGGCGTGTTTGATCTCAAGGAAATGGCGTTCGAGACTGCCCAAGGCATCCTCCGGGCTGGTGCCACAATCCTCATCACCTACTTTACCCCCGAGTTTTTGGATTGGATCGAATAAGCTCGGATTTGCGGATTGCGTGGCGTTTTTCGGCGTTTTTTTTTTCCCTTCGGGGGACGGGCACATACGATTTTTTTTTGGGAGAAAGGGCAAAGACGAGCAAGCGAGCCGGGGGCCGGGCCGGGCCGTCCAAGATTAGCTCAAGAGGGTAAAGAAAAAAGCAACAGAATCACAACTCAGGAAAAAAGGTTAAGTAGAATTGGAAAACAAACCAACACTAGCTTTCCTCCATCTTGGCCACTGATGGTTGGTGCGTTTCTGACATGGACGGCGGCGAGGCCGTGCGCTGTGCCCCGTTTGTGAGGCTGCATGCATGCAAACCCGTGCATGCACACATAGATACCTATTTTTATACTAGGCCACATGTGTATTGCACATGTGTGTGGTTGTTTGCGTCTGACTGCGTTGTGTTGGACGCCTCTTCCCAATTCCTCGGGGAAGGGGAACGGGTGGCACGTACGTCTCCAGACATGGATGACGTCGGCCGGCCGCGTCGTTTCAAGCCGGCGCAAATGTTAATTTGTCCTGCTCCGCGCGTCTCAATTGGCTGCGTCGGGTGTTTTCTCTTCCTCTCTCTTGCGAACAGGCAACAGGTACCGTTTGGTGGAGGTGGATTGAGAGAGGTCGTCAGTGACGTCGGGGGCCGCGCCTCCTCCTCCCCTTTACTCGATAGTCCTATGGGGAAGTAAAACACTTCTTTTTTTCTAGATGTGCTGTGCTATGTTGGCAAAGTGCCTACTCGGACTATAGGCAGCCAAAAGGCACAATTATACGATCCGAGTAGAGGGCAGATCTACTCCCAATTAGTCAACTGTGCCTGCATTTCTCAAACAGCGGCAGAAGGAACAGCCGCATCGGAACTTGAAAGTGGCGTTGATAAACGAACCGACCGACCCCCACCAACTCCCGTCCTTGAGACACGGGAACCCAGCTGGCCCAACGCACCGGCAGCCACCCGCCCACACATGCTCTGCGGCGCCGCATCTTAGCAAATCAGGGTTTGGTTGGAACTTGGGGAAGGTTTTGGAGAGTTACTCCCATGTGGAGAAAGATCGAGATGCAAGGCCGCAAGGAGTCTAGGGCAAGTCAGGACGGCCTAGATGCTGGCCGGGCTCGGTTGGTCTCGTCTGCTGCAGCGCAATGAGATGGGTCTCCGACGGGAAACTGTTACTGGAGTGGGAATATTGTCATGCTTCTTTTCATGTTCTCTTCTTCTTTTCTACTTTGAATTCTCCTCGAGACCTTCGTAGTAGATATTGACCTAGTAGCCGGCTCATTCTCCGGAAAATCAATTCGATTGGCCTTGAGATCAAAAGCCATGGACGGGTGTGTGCCTGCCAAGGTGGTAGTGTGTGTTGGATCGGAGATGTGGATCGGTCGGTTCGGGCACGCTGCCGCATCTCGGCTATCGTTTCCCTCGCCCGCCAGATTCGGAGAGATCCCTGTTTCTGGGACCCAACGCCCCCTGCAGATATGCTCTCCCCCAACCTTCCAGCGAACGGACGTCGAAGGGAAGAAAAGGCAAATTGGAGAAAGGAAACAGCCGCATTCCTGCCGCAGTTGCTGCTTCATGTCTTGGCAACCCAAAACCAAAGAAGCATCTGATCTGCGACTGCGAATGCGACTTTGAATGCGACGTGAGCGGCAACTCGATAAACCTGCTTGTTGGATGGTGCTGCCTTGTAAACATCCATCCATAGCCCCGAATTAAGAATAGGGTCCTCAATGTTGGCCTGGTGGCCGCCCAACGAAGGCCGCTCTGCTCTGGTTTCTCTCATCAATGAACATGCACCCGACCTTCGGCTACCTTGCCTAACTGGACCTGTCAGTCCTCAGATGTGCACAGTGCACAGCTCGCCAATTGCCAGGGCATTCATTCAAAACCCAACAGGTGGCCATGCACGCATGGACCGCTTACCTTACTTAGGACACTAATAGTCCTTTCCAAGTTCCCCTCGCGCCGCTGCTTGCTAATTTCAAGCACGCACGACCTGAGCTGACGAGCTAGGCTTTTTTACGCGTACGTGCGTTTCCGGCATCGAAGCCCTGCCTTAGAAGGGCTGATGATCATTGATCATTGATCATGCCCACCCACAACGTCCAATCCCAGCCACTGACTGCAGCCTGCACGGCAAGTCTTGTTTGGAGGCGACGGAACTTGGGGGCTCGGGAGGCTCTCCTCTTCCTATTCCTCGCCAATGCTGCCCTGGGGCGAACTCGGGGGGTACCTACCCACCCCATGCCCATGCCCATGCCCATGGGCGGCCGGGCGGGCCAGGACGCGGTCTCGATCCAAGCCTGTGTGTTTCCAACAGGAGACCTGCAAAGTTGCAGGACTAGACTGGACAAGCAGTGGAGGGAAAGATGAAGGGGAAAAGGCCGCGCTACTGCACCTTGTTCATTTCATCTCGTTTCTCTTACTCTCCTCCTTCTGGTTTTCTTTCTTTCCCTTTTCTTCTGCGTGGTGTTGCTTTTGCTTATTCCTTCTCGTCACGGTATTCCGCCACCCCTGGCTTTGCCTCGTCTCTTCTATTATCCTCTCCTCCTCCCTCCCCCCCCCCCCCCCCCCCCCCCCTCGCCATCTGGTCTGGACTGGTCTGGTCTGGTACCGGTGCTAGTCCGGTCTGGTTTAGTCGTCCCGCCGCCTCCCTAACTGCATCCATCCACCAAAAAGTCTGCGGCTCGAGGTTTCGGCTGCCACCGTCTGCCAGCCCGCTAGCCCACCCTCTGCTCGTATATCCTCCCCGTGTTGTCGTTCCCAGTCGGCGGGCTGCCGTGCTTGCCTTGACCTGGCCAGCCATCATCGCATCCGTCTTACTCTGTCGGCGAACTACGAGGGCCACCCAGCCTTTCGGGTCTGCAGCTCCCAGGAAACCCGGGCCGCCCGCCAGGGAAGGATCTTACACATCCAAAACGGGTCTCCCGACTATACCGGCGGCCGCCGGTTTGTGAGTGCGAGTGCGAGTGCGAGTGCGAGTGTGCGTCTGCGTCTGCGTCTGCACGTGTCCCCCTGCGCCTCTCCCTAGGGAAAGCAGTCCTAGTCCCCGGGGGGCCACTACGGTACCGTGCCCCGAGCATCCACTGGTCGCTTGCTGGCTTTCCCCCCCGCCAGCCAGCCAGCCAGAGTCATATTCTTATATGCCAGACGATGAACGGCCATGCTGGGTCAAACCACTCCCGAAACTTCGAGGAGAATATGGTCTTGTTGGAGGAAAAGTCGTTGTCCGATGTCGAGAGCGACGCCGGGAGGGCCGATATCGAGTCTCGTTTCTTGAGTCAGGCGGCGAAATGGTCCTCGCAGGCCGGGTCCCACGTCCTGGGCGGCCTCATGCGCGGGTCAACGGCATGGCGCGCCTCCCTGCTCCGCGCCGGCTTCTTCCTGATTCCCAGCTTCGTCCAGGCCCGCATCTCGCGCGATCACCGGAGGCTGTCGTCGTCGAGGGCGGCGGCGGCGCCTGAGCGGCTGGGCCCGACGGCCTACCTCGACGGCATGCGCGGGCTCGCCGCCTTCTTCGTCTTCTTCTGCCACTACTTCTACACGTGTTTCCACATCGCCGGCGGCTGGGGCAACGACGGCGACCGCTTCTGGTTTCTCAGGTTACCGTTTGTGCGCCTCGTCTACTCTGGCCCGCCCATGGTGTGCGTCTTCTTCGTCATCTCGGGCTACGCCCTGAGCCTCAAGCCGCTCCGGCTGGCGAGGGCCCGCAGCTCTGCTGCCTTTGCGTCTACCATGTCGTCGTTCGTCTTCCGCCGCGGCCTGCGCCTGTTCCTGCCCACGGCCATCTCGACGCTCATTATCGTGCTGCTACTGCGTTTAGGCCTGTACGAGTGGACGCGTGACTTTGCCAACGACCCCACCTACCTGCGCAACGTGCGCGAGCCGCACTACGGTCGCCTGCCCACGCTGCACGCCCAGCTCGAGGACTGGTTCTGGGCCGTCGTCAACTTCGTCCACGTCTGGGACTGGGACCCCTTCGGCGGCTCTACGGGGCTCGACGTGCATCTGTGGACCATTCCCGTCGAGTTCCGCTGCTCCATGATGTTGTTCCTGACCCTCATCGGTACCGCCCGCCTGCGCACCGCCATCCGCTTTCTCGTGCTTGCTATGATTATGACGTTTACTTATCGCAGCGTCCGCTGGGAGATGCTACTCTTCTTCAGCGGTATGGCCCTCGCCGAGATCGACGTAATCCGCGACGCCCATGCCACCGGCGGCAGCAGCAGCAGCCCAACGTCAGCAACGGCCTCGCTGCTCCCCCTGTCAGCACCCGACAGCACCCCGCCGACCCTACTAAACCTCCACGACGGCGGCTCCACACCGGAATCGGCGGGAACTACAACGCCACCCAGCAAGAACAACAGTACTGCCATCACCACCACCGGCGAAGCCAACCGCATGCTGTGGCTGGCCCTTAGCGCCGTGGGGCTGTACCTGATGTCACAGCCAGACGTTGGCAGCGAGACGACGCCGGGCTTCGTAATGCTATGCAATCTGATCCCGGGGTGGTGGCCGCCGCACGACCGCTACCGGTACTGGCAGTCGGTGGGCGCCGTGCTGTTCGTCGGCGCCGTCGCCCGCGGCGTGCCCCGCCGCGACTGGCAGCAAGTCTTCTCGCACCCCGCCGCCCAGTACCTCGGCCGCATCAGCTACGCCGTGTACCTCGTCCACGGCCCCGTCATGCACACACTCGGCTACGCGTTCGAGCGCGCCGTCTGGACGCACATCACGGGCGTGCAGTCCGAGTTCGCCTATGTGACCGGCTTCATGATTGCGTCCGTGTTTGTCATCTTCTCGGTCATTTCCGCGGCGGACCTCTTCTGGCGCGCCGTCGACGCGCCCGTGGTCAGGTTCTCTCGCTGGCTCGAGGCCCGCTGCTCTATGCCGCCCTCGGCGGCGTCGGATTAACCCCCCTTTTTTCCTTTGTCTCTTGGTTTGGACTGGGTTGTGTATGCTGGAAACGGTTTTCTTTTGTTAGACATGGGACGGCGTAAGAATTACTTGCTTTTGCTATTCATTGGTCGGGCCTGGTCTATTTTTCTCGAGGCGTTCAAATCCACGGAACCAAAAAAAAAAACGGAGGGGGTGTTGTTTGCTTTCTGGAATACCACAGTAGGAACAGGTTTTTGGCTTTTGGTTATTGGTTGGGCCGTTTTTTGCCCATAATTAATAGCTGTTCTAGTGGGTTCGGTTTGGGATGGGGCCGCGCATGTGTGCGCGTGTGTGTATATATCTCCTGTCTTTTCCATCAATACCAAGAAACCGGGCATGGGATATCTTAGCTTTTTTCTGTCGTTCTCCCATTTTTCTCTCCTCTTGATTTCGGGTTTCCCAAGGCCCATGCGGTTCGGTATTTCGGGGGTTCACATTATTTCCTTTATAATACATAATATAGTAGAAGAAGACGAAAGAGGTCTAGTTGCGAGAGGGAGAGCTTGGCAAGGGGGGTGTTGTTTTCTTTTATGCTGCGCTTGTCCTATGAATCCGTAGTATAGGTGTAGGTAGCGCCAAGGAAAAAGATAAAACGGACATCGCCTGTTGGCAGACATAAGGAAAGCAAGAACCTTGTTTCTGCGAAATTGAAATAGATTTGGTTGGTTAGTTCGTCTGTCTGCATTTATTCTATACGCAGATGCAGATGCATTGCGTTGCGTATGTCGTGTATCTCGTCTCACGTACCTTGCTGCCCTTGAGTGATGGGAACCTGGCTCGTTCAGAGAGAATCGAAACTAACACGAGTAAGACGCCAAAATCTACCTCTCCTCTTACTTGGAATATTATTGACTTGTACGAAGTATTCGTACTTGGGTAGGTTTCTTCCGAAGTATTTGTCTAAATATCCTGCGAGCTTTCCCTTGTCTATTGCCTCTTCTAGATACAACAACTTCGTCACATGGAAGGTAATTACTACTTTCTACATGCTTGCGCTTGTGTCCATCTATCCCACAACCCCCCAGGGCTTGCTCTCAAGCCCCCTTTTGTGAGAGTTGCGTTACAACAAAGGTGTGTGGTCTGCCTTTCCTAGAAGCCTACCTGCCCAAAAGAAGCCCATGCATGAACTGGTAGAGTCCTGCCGGAAAGGTGGGTGAAATCGTCGCCCCCCTACAGGAAAGCCATGTCTACGTTCTTAGCCCCCAAACGATTGCCGTTCACGACGACGGCGAATTCGGCAGAAGCCTCCGATGACCTCAGCTCTAGATTATACATGAGAATCTCGAGTCGTTGTCCCGTTACAGGGTTCGTGAAATCCTCCAGCTGGGAGTAATCAACGTTGAGATTGACGGTGATTTTGCAGAGTTTCTTCATCTGCGGGCCGAAGCGTGAGGGAGGCTCTTGGTTGCCGCATTGATACAGCTCCCTAGTGAACTTACGGGTGTACTCAGATCGCCCGAAGAGCTGGTAAAACGAGTGGCTGACGGGTTCGTTGGTGGCAACATTGTCCCCCTTTTTTGCAAAACATGTTAGCGGCCCCAGCCAAAGCAGTTCGTGTTGTGGAGTCAAAAGGAAATGGAGAGGGTTGAGTATTGGACGAACTCACCCGCTTGATAAACCAATCCATTTGGCCCTTGGCCTTCCACTCGTTTTCACGATTGTCAAAGAACTTGTCCCTGATATCGTGCACCTCTGGGTCGAATGGCCAGTTAGATACAACGCCGATATTTTCTCGGGATATGGTGGAGGAGACTCTGATCAAAGCATTTGCTCTATCTTCTCCGCCTCTGTCTTCTCTGCCTCGGTCTTCCAAGAATCCTTTGATGACGGCTCCTATGCAGATGGCGGCGCGGCTGATCATCAAGCTTGGGTCAGCACGCACTTAATGCGACGGCAGGGGCGCGGAGTCGGTTGCCATGGAAGTTCACTCACGGCCTGATGCCGCCCGGCTGTACGACGGTGATATTTGACCTCGCGTATTTCTGCTTGAGACACTCGTAGAGATACGGGCTGCTGCCCAGACCGCCCACCAGGATGATTTTCTTCATCCAGCCAGCCCGTTAGCTACCCTTGCACAAAGTCGGTTTTGGAGGATCGAAGGAACCCACAGAGACGGTCAGCCGTTGGGACTTGACTTCGTTGATCTGTGCGGTTATCAGCCGTTTGATTCCTTCAAAGACTTGGGCGAAGGCCTTTTGGATGTCATCACTGCCGACTTGCATTAGAAATCTCTAGAAAACAGCGACGGCTGTAGTTCTGTGTGACTTGCCTGCCGAAGTGGATACAACCGTATTTTATAAACGGCTTCCTCGAGGTGTCATCCTGACTGGAGTTGGCGAAAGCTTCGACTGGGATTCGGATAATATACTCCTTGTTTGCATTCCCCGGTTTGAACCGGGCCTTGATGATCTGTTCCCAGTCTCCTTTCATGATCTCCTTGATACCGGCCTTGCTGAGGTGGTCCCAACTGCGGCCTAATCGTGCCTTGCATATGGACTCAAAGGCCTCGTCAACGAAGATGGCGCCATAGAGGCCCCCTAGATGTTTGGCGGCTTGTTAGGTATATATGCTTTCATCAAGCAGGGGGGGCTCCACTCAAAGCTAACTGACCAGTGCCCACGACGGCCTCCTTCATAGCGACGGGATCTACCCGGTCGATTTTGTAGCTGATCAGGTCGACTGTGCCGCCTCCAGCGTCGCAAATGACGTAAACCTCGCCGGGCTTTGCCCTGCAGTTTGGCTCGCAAAACGTGGACATGGCGGCCGCTTCGGGCTCTGGGGCAAACGACAGCTTCGTCGGACCGGCAGGGCGGTGGTCCAGGATGCCTGCCGCCTTGGCAGCCCGCTGCATGCCCTGGCGAGCGTAGTTCTTCCAGATGGCAGGCACCGTGAGCACGACGTGGAAAGGCATGGCGTCAACAACCGGCTCGCCGTAGACTTTGTGGATGCTCTCGAGGATGTGCTGCCACAGGAGGCGGAGGTAGTCACTGATGAGGTCGATTGCAGTTTTGCCGTTCTCCCGCAGCATCCGCCGAGCGCGCAGGAGCAACTCGGAGGACTTCAGATTCTTGTGAAGGTCTTCGTCTTTTAGCAGAAGAAGCTTGAACCAGCGGATGGGGTCTGCATCGGCGGGGATTTCGTAACCCCAGAGGACTTTGTCGTCCTCGTAAAACAGCTCCGTCGGCGCCTTGGCGTCCTCTTCGTCGGTTCCGGGCCAGTCCGTGATCAGGTTGACCTGGTTGCTCTTGAGATCGGCCGCTGTGGCCCACACCGCGCCCGAAAAACTAGGTAGCGAGACGTTAGTTCTGCGTTCTCGAGCCTAGGTTGTTAGGAGGAGTACATGTACGCACGTCGTTCCGAAGTCTATCCCAATTACCATTACTTCATCTTCGTCGTCCGAGCCATGTCGGTTTTTGGGCCGCGAGATCAGCACCTGGTTTTGCCAACTCATGACCAATACCTAAGCTAAGGCGCAAGGTAGTACCTAGGTAAGAGTCTCGAACGAGTTGATGATGGTAACCATAAGGAAGTACCAATCTCTCCGGATTGGTGCCTCCTATTTAAGCGGAGGGAAGAAAGGAGAGGCAACACCGGAAGCGGCCGGCCGGGTCAGAGTTCGGTATCCATTAAGCGTCTGCACCACTTTGAGAGGGACCCAGGTTGACGCAGACGCCCCCTTGCTAGATCATGACATAGTAAGGACCTAGGTCTAGGTAGTTCAACGGAGGCGTCTCAGCCCGCCCGCCATCAGCTCGAGCATAATGGTTTGCATCTTGCCTGTACAAAGACCGCCTTTTGTGCTCCGATGGCGGGAAAGGGCCGGTCGGGTCAGAGTTAGATATCCCTTAAACGCCCTGACTTACTTTGAGAGAACTAGGTTGACGCAGATGTCTTTCTCGGGTCCTAAAATGGTCGGGACCTAGATCTTGATGGTACGAGGGAGGCGTCTCAGCCTGCCTGCCTATCAGTAACCTACGTATTCTTGCCTGCAGCTCGGGCATAACGGTTTGCACCGTGCCTGCACAAAGACAAAGACCCCTTTTGTGCTCCGATGGCGCTCGTGGCCGCCTGCATATCCCGCTTTGCATTGTAACTACAGCACCCCCTGCATGTAACTGACAAAGAACGTATCCCGCCCTTCTTCCACCTTCTCCCCCTTAAATGGACTGGGTACTTAGCTGAGCCTTCCGATTTGATTCTGTTTCTAAAAGAATCAGGGTTGAACTCAAAGTCTAGCTCCTCATTGCTTGCGGAAACAATAGGCAACAACCAAGGGCAAGAAACTACCGCTTCTACAGTGTAAGATCAACAACAATACGTTCTGAGATGCTTGCCTCATGAGACGTCCTACCGAGCATGTGGGTGGCTGCTTTGCTTAAGGGGGTGAATGTCTTTCGCCTTTCCGAGCCATATCTGTACATTAACGTACTTTGCAATGGATCGCGGCTCGTACGCACCCCCTTTGATGCACGCCGATATTATCGGGCACTGACATATAGGTGGCGGGACAGGAAATCATAGGTAAGACGACGGTTGGCCGTAGGCATACAAGATATACAAAGCTTCTCGTTATGCTTCGAGAGCTTGCTGGTTGGATGACTGCAATACCGATATCACATTCGGGACTACCTAGTCTACATTGTAAAAGGGCGCATGTTTATTTACGCTGCCGAATGAACAGCCCACTCTATTTTCCATTTACCGTTCGTTCCTGTTTTAACAATTTGCTTCCGATGCAGGAATTGCACACTACTGAAATACAATTCACCTCTGTCTGTTGAGCGCCCTTTCACTTTCCGTCTCAGGGCAAGTGGTCTAAAGAGAAAGAAAAGAAAGTATGTGTATGTGTGTGTGAGAGGTATTATCTGCAGTACAACAAGCAAGACAGGGTGTGCTCGACCGCTGCAGCAGGGAGTGGGATTTGAGCAGGGAGGGTAATTAGTCTTGCTGGACAAGGAGGGCGTCTCCCCCTCAAAAACATGCTAGCCAAGGGGATTATATCCCCCGTAACCTCGTGTTGTCCCGCTTGTCTATGGGCGTGTAGCGGGCCCGCAGGAGCTCGTCGACGCTCTGGCTCATGATAGCGTCGGGGTCCTTCTTCTCGTAGCGCTCGGCCAGTGCCTTCTCGACGTCGGACAGGTGCATCAGCTTGGCGTCGACCTTCGCCTCGGCACGCTCCTCGGCCAGCAGCACCGCCGCCTGTGCCCGCCCGATCATCTGCCGGCCCTTCTCGATGCCGCGCTCGATCGTCTTGCCCACGACGCCCCGGGCCGCGCTCGCCTCCTCCTGCACCGCGTGCGCCGTCTCCACGGCCTGCGCGCGTGCCGACGCCGCCCGCGATTTCAGCTCCCCCGCCACGGCGCGCGATTCCTCCCGCACCGCGTGCGCCGCCTCGCCCGCTCGCGCCTTGGCTCCGTCCGCCGCCTCGCCCGCCCACGCCTTGGCCCCGTCCACGCGGCTCCGGATCCCCGCGGCGGCGGCCTGCGCGTCCTCCCTGGCCTGGCGCGCGGCCGCCCCGCCGACCACGTCTCGCGTCGTTGTCGTGTTGCCGCTGGTGCTGTCGGCGGCGGAGGCGGCGCTCCTCTCGAGGCCGAGCAGCCGCGCGGCCGCATCCTCGGCGGTCTCGACGGCGGCGGTCCAGTCCTTGTTCTGGGCCCAGCGCACGGCGCCCTCGATCTCGGCGTTCCAGCGGTCCTTGGCGCTCTCGACAAAGTGCGCGCGCTCCTGGGCGGCCAGCTCCCGCCGCGTCGGCCGCGGCAGCAGCGCGTCGGCCGCGGCCCGGCTGCTCGCGTCCGAGTACGGCGACGACGGCGTCGCCAGGCCGTGCAGCACCAGCGCCTGGGCGCGCAGCACGTCGGCCTGCGCCTGCCGGTTGCGCTCGTGCGCTGCGAGCGCGAGGTAGGTTGCGCCCAGCGTGAGCGTGACGCCGCCCGTCTGTGGTGAGGGGTTGGTTAGCCACGGGAGTTTGGAACGGGATATGGGCACGAAGCGGGCGGCCATCAATCGGGATGGGACAAAGGGAGGAAACATACAAGGCCTGCGAGGAAGCCCATGGCTACTCTTTAAATTAGTCTGTCTCTGTCTTTGGATAGACGCTGAGTGGACGAATACAAGGAACACGCTGCGGGATTTGGGAATCTGAATGGCGACGGTCCGGGAGATGCTGAGAAATGAATGGGTAAGTCCAATTGAGGGCTAATTATGTCTGCTTCTGCTGCGCGCGGCGTAGTTTTGCAAGACTTATATGCGAGCGCCCACTGTTGGCTGGTCGGACATGATTGCTGATTTTGCGATTAAGTGTTGGCGGGTGACGTAGTTCTCGTGGAATGCCTCTTCGTTTCGAGCGTCGTCGAACAAGAGGCGGGTGGAGTTTAGCCAGTGCCATTATTACCCCTGCATTTCTGCATCGCCAAGTTGGATCCCAGCGCATTGAGATTTTGAGATCGGGGTTAGGGTTAAAGTTTTGCCCAGTAGCATCAGCTTGAGTGGGGGCAAATTTTCAATGGGAAGCAGCGGCCATCTGCAGCGGCCATCTGCAGCGGCAGCCGAAGCGTGTCAAGCGAGCCTTAGTTCTTGTTACGAGTAACGAACGAACGATACGACCACATTCCCATCTCCGCCGGCCAATTGCCGCCCCGCCGCACCTCCAACCGGCGACGAGGACCTCTCAACAGACGAGACTGAACAGAGAAAGAGACACACGATGGCGGGCGGCGGCACAGCGTACCGGCATCTCGGCCGCGACTCGGCCCATCGCCAGGCCCTGCTGCGCAACCTGGTCACGTCGCTGATCCGCGACGAGAGCATCCAAACGACGTGGCCCAAGGCCAAGGAAGCCCAGCGCATGGCCGAGAAGTTGATCACGCTAGCTAAGAAGAACAACGAGACGTCGCGCCGCAAGATCCAGGGCATGCTCTTTGTGGGTTTGAATCCCCCCCCCCCCCCCCCCCGTCCCTCCGACCAACTCTAACAAAACGGGCAGACACCACAAGAACTCATGCCCAAGGTCCTCGGCGAGCTGCGTGAGCGCTACGCCGACCGCGCGGGCGGGTGCACGCGGGTGCTGCGCACGGAGCCCAAGGACACGTACTCGCAGGCGCCGTCGGCGATCCTGGAGCTGGTCGACGGGCCCAAGGACATGCGGTTCGCCGTGACGGCGGCGGCCGTGGCGCGCGACCGCCGCATGGGCGTCGAGCACTCGCGGCTGACGCTCAAGAACGTGGACAAGGTCACGCGCTACCGCCCCGGCGGCAAGCAGGCCTTGGAGGACATGGTCAAGCGCGTCAGCAAGCTTGCGCTCTAGTCATGTCGGTGAGGTCAACGCTAAAAAAATAAGAATAAAAGAATAAACCCAATAAGAACGAAAAAAAGGGGTGGTTGTAAGTTGCAAGCCCGCCGCAGCCGAGCAAGAGCAAGCAAGGCAAGGCAGGTAGGCATGGAGGCGTGTATATGTATGTAAATGTTTGTATCTATGGTGTGATCCTCATTTTCTTGTCTCTTTCATTTTTTTTTTTAAAAAAAAAACACTCATGGCTGCTGTTAGAATACAAGCCCGGCCCGAACATAGAGGCAATTCTCGGGTCTTTCTCTTCTTTCTCGAGACTTGGACGGGGAAATAGACCTGGCAGAGTTTGTGTAAGTATTGTTGCTACCCTTCATACAAAAAAAAAAGAAAGAAAGATAAATTCAACACAATAAATTAATATAGAACTACACACCCATCCGTCTCCAAACCACTAATTAGCTAACAACGCCCGGAATCGCGGGAGAAGGCCACAAATCCTTGCTCTCTCCATTTTTATCACCACCAAACTTATAAACAGCCCTTTTACACAAATATATATATACCTACCCATCACACAAAGTCAAACGTGTCGCCCTGGTCGTTGAGCATCTTGGCGACGCGCTGGGTGCCGACGATGCGCTCGAGCTTCATGACGTCGTAGCGGGAGAACATGGCGCGGACGGCGCCGCGCGAGGGGTCGAGCAGCAGGGCCTGCTCGCTGCGCTGCAGGAAACCGCCGGCGATCTCGGCGTAGAACAGCGGGTTGTCGGGCAGGGCGTAGAAGACGACGCGGCGGACGCCCTTGACCTGGTAGCGGCGGAAGTGGTGGGCGCGCTCCGTGTAGAGCAGGACGCGGTGGCGGCCCGTCAAAAAGTGCGAGCGCGCGCGCGACGCCTCGGGCACGTCGGCGTACTCGGAGATGGTGCCAAACGTGATGCTCTCGGCGGCGGCGTCGTTGGCGAAGTAGTTGCGCACGCGCACAAAGTCGAGGTACGACGGGACGAAGATGAGGGTGCCGCCGGCGTCCTTGGCGCCGCGCTTGGCCAGCGCCGGCACGATGGCCTTGGTGAAGTAGGCGAAGCGCGCGTCCGGGTCGCCGGCCACCGACGGCACCTCGAAGCGGCTAAAGGTCTGCTTGGCCTTGACGCCGAGCTGCTGCAGCACGCCCGCGCACTCCTGCTGCAGCCGCGCCTTGCCGGCCCAGTTGTGGCAGTGCACGCGGAGCAGCTCTGTCAGCTCGGGCGTGTTGAAGGCGCTGAGCACCACCGTCTGGCGGAAGTACTTGGCCTGGTCGTCCAGGTACCACGTCCGCACCCGGCTGAAGTCGCAGCTGTGGGCGTCCTTGGGCTGGATGTTGAGGTGCTCAAAGACGTACTCGACGTGCTCCCAGTTCTGCATCAGCAGCGCGTCAGCCTGGTCGACAATCACCACCTCGATGGAGCTGAGGAAGTCGTAGTCCATCTTCTTCTCCTCCTCGGACCCGATGGCCATGCGCAGCCCTAGCGGGCTGGCAAAGATGATGTCCGAGTTGTAGAACTGAGAAAAGTACTTGATGGTCTTGCGCGTGAACTTTATGCCTAGCCGGAACATGTCGTCGTCGTTGCCGGCGAAGAGGTCCTGGAAGTCGTCGGGCTTGTCGTCGGAGAACTTGGACTGCTTGTCCGTGTATCCGTCGTCGAAGCGCTTCCTGTTCTCCTGCTGCGTCGGCTCGATGATGTTGCAGATCATCTCTACCATCTTTACGCACGACTGCCGTGTCGGCAGGATTATCAACACCTTGGGCCGCGTGAAGCCTTGGTCCCGCAGCTCTAGGTCCTCGCTGCCCGGCTGTTGCCGTGACAGCCTGTCGTTGTTCTTGACCACCCGGTCGCGCGTCCTAGTGTCCCGTTAGTTGATATGCACAAAATTGCTTCCATCCCTTGTTTTCACGTACTTGAAAATGTGATTGAGCGCATGCAGACAGGCCATCCTCCTCACACTCTCGGCCCCAGCAACAGTCCGGTTGCAGTAGAGCAGATCCGAGTAGTTGAAGAGGAGCGGCGCGATTGTCTGCTCAGTGGGATCGAATGTGGCGTGCTTGGGCCCCATGGTCTCGCTCAGCTTCTTCTTGAGCTTGAGGCCGCTAATTCCAGACACGGGTCTCGGGAGAAGCGCCGAGTCGCCCGAGTCACTGGGATCCCCTACGCCGGGCGTGTGTATGAGAGTCCTCATGGGTTTGGCGACAACTCGGTGCGTACGCCATTTGTCCTCCTGGATGGCCTTGAGCCGCGGGAGCAGCAGCGCTTGGTCTAGGTCGACAAAGTGCGTCTCGAAGGGATCCTCAGCATCGGCTTCTTCGTCGTCGTAGTCAAACAAGTCTTCTGGCTTCACATCGGCAGGATCCTCCTCGGCTTCCTCGACTCGGTCGACGTCTTCAGAATTTTCGTCGTCGTCCTCTCCGGCGGCGTTTACGGCAGACTCTGGGGTGGGCTGTTCAGTCCTGTCCTCGGCCGAGGGGTGGTCCAGCTTCCGCCTTTTTGCTTTGTGAGGGGCGCTTTCCACAAGACTTTGCATAAGGCTCAGATAGGGCTTCCCAGATGCGCCAGTCTGCACATCGTCGTCGTCGTCCGAGTCGATCACGTCGTCGTCCGAGTCGGCGCCGGGCCCATCCTCGGACGTGTCCTCGGCCGAGTTCATTTCCTCATCTCCATCCTCGCTGTTTTCGCAGTCAGCATTGAAATTGCCAGGCTACCCAAGAACAGGTACAGCAGGGGGAATGGAGGCATGCGTGGGTACTCTTCCTTTGCGGCGAGCCGTTCCGTGTCGAAGCGCGAACGGGGCCCTGCGCGTGCATATGTGGTGGCGCCCCTGCCCCTTCCTCTGCCCCTACCCCTAGAGCTGCCTCTCCCGCCGTCAAAGCTGCCGCTGCCTCTGCCGCCCCTAAAGCCTCCTCTCGAGCCTCCTCCGGATCCTCCCCGGGGACCTCCTCTGCCTCTCGGCGCTCCCGACCGGCCTCGTAGTCCACCACGGCCTCTAGGTGCCATATCTTGATTGCAAACTACTGCCTGCCAATTTTGGTTAGGCGCGGTTATATCACGGTAGAAAATGGTTGCGTTGGTGGACAATTTGAGCCGTCGACTTCGAACTCGACGAGCAAAAAAAAAGTTGCAGATAATTGTTCTTCAGCCTTGTCTGCCAAGCCCACTGAAAATAGGAGTTATTGGACCTTGGACTTGGACCCCGCCAAAACGGCACCATTGAAACGGTCAGCCTTGCACGCCAGAGGCCGCACAAGGTGGGGTTATGCTCTTATCGCAATCTGCCAAGACTGCTTATCTTAGCGCGCACAACTACACACATCCCAAGTTACGTACCCGCAATGGGCCAAAACCAAAAATTCGAAAGCGGGCGGCACTCCACACAGGGGAAACTGGCCTGGCTTTTGGTTGAAAGAACAGCGACGACGGGTAGTGAGAAAGAAACGGAGTTGCGCCAAAAGTTTACTGCCGATTCGCCCCGACTCGACAGAACTTTGCCAATCCGCGGCCCTTTTTTTTTTGCCCTTGGATTTTCCGCTTCTTTCTTTTCCCTCTCGAACCCACCAAGATCCCCCCACCCCTACCTGCCCGCCACAACCTCTCTTCAGTGTTGAGACAGACCAGACAGGACAGACCGAACAATACACGCAACACACCTACTGCAAATATGGCAGTCGACCAAGAACATTTCGTCCATCTCGCTCGGCCACTCGCGCCGAGCGCTATCGGGTTCAGCGCCAATACTGCCCCGCTTACCGTTAATATCCAGCCTCAAGTACGAAAGCCCCCCCTCCCCCTCCTCTCCATCTTCGCCTTTCTCAACCCAATTGTTTCGCGCCCCTATTGCCCCTCCAAGATACGCCGTCGTTCTAGCCGATCATGTGCTGTAGAAGCAGAATCATTCATTATTCATAAACACATAAACCCCACCCCCCCGCCCCAACATGTGCTTCACGATGCACGTCTTAGTGGAGAGGTGGTTGACTACATACATCCCCCCTGAACAACTAACAATACTCGTGGACCCCAAGCTTACCTCTCCCTCGCCCTCTCTCTCTAGGCCATCTTCTCCATCATCGACCATGCGGTGCGGCGGGACACCAAGGACACGCAGTCGACGCGGGTGATCGGGGCGCTGGTGGGGGTGCGCAGCGAGGACGGCAGCGACGTCGAGGTGCGGTCGTGCTTCGCGATCCCACACACGGAGAACGAGGACCAGGTCGAGGTGGACGTCGAGTACCAGAAGAACATGCTAGCGCTAACGCTCAAGGCGAGCCCGCGCGAGACGCTGCTGGGCTGGTACACGACGTCGCACGAGCTCAACAGCTTCAGCGCGCTGATCCAGAACTTCTTCGCCTCGCCCGAGACGGGCACCTTCCCGCACCCGGCAGTGCACCTGACCATGAGCACCGAGGCCGGCCGCGCCATCGAGACCAAGACGTACATCTCGGCGCCCGTCGCCGTCAACGCCGAGCGCGCCGCCGAGTCGTGCCTCTTCATCGAGGTGCCGCACAAGCTCAACTTCACCGACGCCGAGCGCGTCGCCCTGGGCGGCGTGGCCGCCGCCGCCGAGACGGAGACGCGCGCCGCGCCCCTAGGCACCGACATCGAGGGGCTCGTGCAGGCCTTTGAGACGGTGTCGGACCTGCTGGAGCGCGTCAGCGGCTTCGTCGGCGAGGTGCTCGACGAGGAGCGCGACGGCAACCACGCGCTGGGCCAGTACCTGATGAACGCGCTGTCGCTGGCGCCAAAGGTGTCCAACACGGCCATCGAGCACGACTTCAACAACCACATCCAGGACGTGCTGATGGTCTCGTACCTAGCAAACACCATCCGCACCCAGATCGACCTAGCCCAGCGCCTGGCCACGGCCCCGCTGGTGGCCAGCGAGAAGGAGGGTGGCGAGAAGGGCAAGGACGGTGAGGAGGGCGGTAACAAGGAGGGCGGCGGCGGGGGTCGCGGCGGACGGGGCGGACGCGGCGGTCGTGGCCGCGGCGGTGGAAGGGGCGGCGGCCAGCAGAGAGAGCCGAGGGAGCCCAGAGAAAACGGCGAGTAGAGAGAATGAGAGAAAGTGAATGAGAGTGAATGAATGAGAAAGGGAGACAAAAAAAAAGACTACCATCATCATGTCATCAACGCTACTATCGTCGTCACAAATCTTCTTTCTTACGCCGGAGAAAGGGGTTTCTTCTGCTTTCTCCGCTACCGGGCAAGAAGAGAGGGAGGGGGAAATTCTTGTTTCTCATATCTCATTTAAGCTGAAAAGGCCAAACAAAAAAAAACCATTAAACAGCGCTCTAACTTGGTCCATGTTGTGTTGTGCCGCTGATAATAAAGACCTTCCACAACATGCTGAATGTGCCTGACAGCATATATTTGCTCTGGGGGTTTATTTATTTTGCGTTTTGGAGAAACTTTCCCTACTGTATGGGAGCCCTTTCTCTGACGCCTAGGACACGAGATCACATACAGAGGGCCTAACAGGCGGTCGAGGAAGACGGGCTTAGACAGGCGTCTTAGGTAGACCAACCGCAAAGACAAGAGTACAAGTGAAAAGGAACGAAGGCTGACACATAACCGTTTTTAATTCCTATTCTAACACATCTCTATAAAAAACCCCTGGCGGCCTGTCCGTCTGTCTGTGAGTGTGTCATGAAGAAGTTTACGGCCATAATCTTTTCACACCTTTCACCCGACTCCTTCCTTCCTTGGTGGTGTCTGTCGTTGCTCGCAGCTCAAACTCATTACCAAGTGCATTATTTCTCACCATTTGACAGAGACAGACAGACAGCCAGCCAGGCGCGCTTTCATGACCTAGCAACTTGCTCCTAGAACGCCCCGATCCATGCCCTAATCCATTGCGCCTCGTGACCTAGTATCCCGTCGCACATAGACACCGCCCGATGCTCAAACTCCTAAGTGGATGGTTTCTGCGGTAAGGTGGCAGGATTCCCGTAATTTGGTAGATGACTGAAAGTCTGGCCGAGTCCCGCTCCGATGGGCCCGGGAGGCCCAGCTGACTTGTTAGATAGATTGGATGTCGGATTCTGTTGGAAGTGATGCGGCCCATGCGGCAGCAGGTGGGAAGGCTGATATGCTGCGTGGTACGGACCCATAGAGCTGCTTGAGCCCTGCCTTGTCATGCTATAGGGCCCCGGCCCGGGTGCGTAGCCCGGCTGAGGTATTGGCTGCAGCTGGTAGCCGGTGTAGCTCATGTGTTGCGAGTTGAACTGAGGGCTGCCATGGTGAGAGCTAGAACTCCCATAAGGGGCCGAAACCGGTCCAGGGCCTGAAGCCGAGGGTATCGGGCCCATGCCGTTTCCAGGCACGAAGGATTGCGTCTTTGGGTTGAATGCCTGACGGTTGTAGCTGCCCGGAATAGGGTGCTGACTCTTAGGGTCGTTCGGGTTAACATTGACGGGCAGCTGTCCATAGAGGTACGGAACCCCGTTAGTCGAAGGACTGCCCCGGCCCGGGAATGTGTTTTGGTTAAAGGGTTGCTGCTGCGACCAGGCAGGTTGTGATAAACTTGGCACAGGGCTGCTGTACGGTGCAGGCATGGGGGGGTTCGAAGGCGGCGGGTAGCGCGGTTGCTGCGGCGGCGCTGCCTGAGCTGCTACGGGTGGACTCGGATACTGGGTACTAGTAGTTAGAAGAGTGCGTTGGATAAATCGCACCGGCAACATCTGACTTACGCTAGGTATCCCATTATACTGAGGGGCGAACGCGCCACTTGCAGCCATTTGCGGATAGGCCTGGTTGGGCCCGTACGCCGTTTGCAGCGAGTTCTGGTATGGCTGCTGGTATGGCGCAGTATACGGAGACCCGCTAACGGGAAAATACTGAGGGGCCGCCGGCGCCTGTGCCCAAGTTGATTGTTGAGGTCCACACCAGGCAACATATTGAGATCGCGAATCAAAACTTTCCGAATCATCGCGACGCTGCTTGTTTGGTTTCCTCTTGGTAGCGCCGTTCGACCGATCCTTGGCAGAAACAGAGCTCGTCCGAGAGATATCATTCGCGTCTTCACCCTCTGCGCTATGGTCAGCAGCCATTAGAAGGGGAGGATTGTCGGACTACGAACCTGGGGTAGAAGACTCGGTTTTCTCAATACTCGCAAAAATGCGTAGCCGCGCTCGATTATAAGCTTCCTCGCGCTCTTCTCTAGTGAGTCTGTGCAGATCACCTGGTTAGCTATTAGGTCCTTTTAGTGGCGAGCGGCTAGGAGCGTACTTTTCTCTCGACCCAGCTTTGTCCTTTCCGTCACTGCCTGCCTCAGACGTGGCCTTGGAGGCGCCAGCACTCATAAAACCAAACTCACCGTCCTCGCCTCGCCGCATGATCTTCCGCGGCAGGAGTGCAGGAGCAGGGGAGCTGCTACTTGGAGTGCTTGCGGCGATGCTAGACAAAGAAGGCGGAATTCTACAGAATGGGGTTTTGAAAATGCGCACTGCTCCTGCTGTCGCCTCAAACTGATGCGTCATGTGATAGTAGTCTGCTAGTTTGTGAGTCAACATTCTACAAAACGAGTTGCTCGGAGGCAAGTCCATAAATGGCTCTCTGTCAAGGACCATGTCAGCTATCACGAACGGAATGTCTGCGGATAAAGCTGGCATACTCAGATGCCTGTGCAAAGTCAATAACTTGCTGTTCAAGCCGCAACAGGAATATCCGGTCCTTGGGAGATTGCATGGCCTCGAGAAGTTTCTCATCGGGGTTCTGGCTCAGGAAGTTAGGGGCAGCCATAACGTCGGGCGCCACATTGGCTCCGACCAGAGGCAGCTTTGCTTCCTCGGCCGGCTGCTTGTCCGAGACTCCGCTCTGCGGCGTCACGATTCCCTGACTCTGGCTGCTCCCCGTCAGGGCATGCGAGGTTATTGTCCTCGGGGGCATGTCGCCAATCTGGATGCGGTGAATGCGCGCGGCAACATCAGAGCCCATGCGGGAGCCCGCAATATACGACCCTCGCATAGAGAAAGTATCGTCGTCGTCGGCAGCGGCCTTAACGCTGGCACTGTCATCGGGGCGTAGCGACTCCTTTTCGTCGAGGGCAAACGTTGTACCAGATGCGATGCTCTTGCCATCCAGGCTGGGGGGCTTGGTGCCCAGCTCGGAGCTCGAGTCGGCTCTCTGAGAATTGTCGTCGGACGGCGTCTGGCTGGTGCCTGTCTTGCCCGACCTGTCAGTGGCGCTCGACACGGACCCGTTGATGACTAGGTTGGATGTCTTCGTCTCCAGTTTGAGCTCCTTCAGCCCGGCAACAACCTTGCTCTCGGCGAGCTGGGCACTCTCGGGAGCAACCAGCGGGGATTCCCCGACGACAGCTGGGACCGCAGACAGTGAGACTACTGGGGCAGCCACTGGCACAGGGGCGGGCATCGCCGCAGAAGAATGCGGATTCGGGTCTCGCCTGTCCCTGGCAGCAGCGGGGACGGGCGCTCGAGCGATGGCAGTGATGGAGGTCGGATCCTTGGATGCAGAGGCGGCGGCGACCTGGATGCAAAAGGCAGTGTCAGTGTCGGCGTCAATCTCAAGTATCAGGTGCCGGATATTTGGGGCTTGAGCGGGCTGTCGGAGAACAAGCAGCGCCTAGAGGGCACTAAACGGCGGCCTACCTTTGCAAAGGACAGCTTCATGATGTCGCTGGCCATGTTGGGAACGGCCGCTAGGTCAGGTTCCCTGAACATGTAAAAGGTGGGGCGGAGCACGGGTATTTGCACTCAGATTTTACGGGTGTCGCTGAATCAATCACGTGCATGCACCATTCCCGCGGCGCTCACAGGAGGCGCGATCGTCCAATCAGCCGGGTCCGTTCCAGACTTCCAGATTAGTGAAGTCGCCGCGTATCCCACCTCAGACCCAGACGACATCGAGACCTACTTAATTCATTGTCACAGTCGTGAGAACTGCGAGTACGGGTCTCGGTTCGGAAGCTTGGTCTACCTAAACCAAAAGTGCACCTTCAGGCACTGACACTCTCGAGGACAGCAGCGTTTCGGCTCCGGTTTCGACGTTTGACCAGGACGGGACTTCCCGGATTGCCTGATTGCCTGATTGCTGCCTCGCCAGCCAGCCAAGCCAGTCTGCCGCCGCTGGATCCTCGCGATTTCAAAGCACCGAGCTTGTCCTTATTGTCGTTCCATTTTCACGTTGTACGGAAACGCACATCATCACCAGTGCATATCCTTACCATTCCCGAGTGCATTATCTCAGCTTGTCGTGCTTGATCCTCTGGCCTTTAGCCCCTTCACAACCACCCACACACATCATGTTCTCTTCGAGACGCGGCGACGCGTCCAGGGCAGCACCAGCAAATGTTCAGTGCCAGAAATGCCTGAAGAAAGATATGTAACCCCCACTTCATAGCCATGTGTGAGCCTAGACTAACATTCAGTCTCAGCACGGCACTACTCATATGAGTGCAAGGCAGCTCCTCAGGAGAGACCCTATATAGCCAGGCCTTCTCGCACTCAGCAGCTCTTTAACCCCAAGCTACTGCCAAAGCTCTCAAACGAGGTGCCCGATGCTCTTCAGCGGAAGTAAGTCGCAAGCTCGTTGTGTTATTAGTGTATACAATCTAGCTAACATGCTGCTCAGGAAAGGTGTAGCCGACGAGGAGTTGGCCAAGAAGGAGGCTGAGCGGGCAAAGAAGCGCGCACTTGAGGAAGAAGACGAAGAGGATACGGCCCCCAACGACTCGCCACCGAAGCGACGGAGGTCTCACTCCTACGACTCAGTGTCTACCATTTCCACGCGCTCGCCGTCTCCCGCGCCGCCACCGAGACGTGTTTCCCGATCTCCGCCCAGAGTCAAGGCTCGTGACCTTTCGCTTTCTCCCAGACCATCGCACAGCCGCCGGCGTTCTACTGCGTCCAGTGACGGCCACTCCAGCCAGCTGTCGCGCAGCCCAGAGAGCCCAGAGAGGGGCTATTCACGCAGAGCCCCGCCAGGCGCCCGTTCGCCCTCACCTCCTCCGGTACGGGTTTCCAAGCGGTCACGCCGCGGTGGACACTCGGGCAGAGACTATGGGAGAGCAGCACCGGCCGAGCGGCATTATTCTAGATCCAGATCGCCAACACGGTCTCCAGTTGGTAGGAGAGACCAGCAGCAGAGGCCCAATTATCGAGATCGAGACAATCATAGCCAGCAGGGAACAAGACTTCCGCCTCGGCGGGAGCCCTCTCCGCCGCCCAGGGAGCGAAGTCTGAGCCCCTTTAGCAAGAGGTTAGCGCTAACGCAGTCGATGAATATGGGTAGATAGGATGGGCTGATAGGACACGGGTATCAAAATGTATGCATACTTGATTGCGTTTTCCAAACAAAGCAAAAAAAGATCCTCGTGTGCCAGTCAGAAACGTCAAATCCTGACCCCTTTTCCCGCTCAATGTGTCCTTGCTTTTAGAACCTCGGGTTTGGGTGCCGCCGCGGGCGGGCTCATACCTCGGCCTTGGGCAACTTCAGGCCAAGTCCGCCTCCTCCAGCTCTCGCTCCCGTCTCGTCTCTTCCTCCTCCTCCTTCTCCCGCAGTCGCATGCCCTCGACAAGCGCAGCGCCGTCCAGCAAATCTCCACCTGCCGCCGCCGCCTTCTCGCTGCTCTGCGATTGAGACGACGACGACGACGCGACAGCCTTCTTTGCAGCCAGCCGCTCGCGCACGAGCCGCGCAATGGCGTTGTCGGTGCGCGCGTTGAGCACCTCGAGCTTGCGGCCCAGCTCCCGCTTGAGGTCCCAGTTAGGCTTCTTGGGCTGCAACTTGAACAGGTCGATGCCCTTGTCGTCCGCCGCGTCCGCCGCCGCCTGCCGCCGCGACGCCTCCTCCAGCGACGCCGCCTGCTCCTCCAGCGTCGCCGTCTCCAGGCCCAGCGTCGGCGGCGCCTCGAACCCCAGCTTCGGCCCCCGCGCCGCGACGTCGTAGTTGCGCCCCGACAGGTGTAGCCGCGCTACGTCGTTGGATGGCGGGCTGGGGGGGGCCTCGCCGTTGTCGTTGTTGTCATTGTTGTTGTTGGTGTTGGTGGTGGCGGTGGTATCGTCGTTGTGGTCGTGGGACGGAGCCGCGCTGTCGCCGCCGTCGTTGTCGTGGTCCTCGCCGGGCTGTTTGCGCTTGAGGCTCTTGAGCTTGGCGAGCCGGGCCTTGCGGTCGTCGGCCGCTGCGCTCAGTGTTGCGTGTGACGACATGTGTGGCGGGATTGTGTGCGGTGTCCCTGCTTGGTGTTTGGCGAAAGCGAGGATTCCTGTTGAATTCTTGTTGTTGTTGTTGTGATTCAGCGTGTCGTAAATTCAATGAGTGCTGGACGTTGAGAAGTGGTATTCCGTATCCGTAGGTAATTTTGGTACCTAGGAGCTTGAAGCGGTAAAAGTTGTCTTGGCGTCCTTTTGCCTGTAGTGGGCGGGCACAGCACAGACCATAGCGGGCGCATATCGCACTACCACTGGGCTGCATCCTGACAGGGGGCATTTTTGTACTGAGGCGCTGGCTAAAACGGATCACTAAAAAAGCTCGACGACTACTTTACAAACTTTTCCTTTTTCTCGGAGCGCCGCTCAGGCGGGCACATTCTAACGCCTCTACGCAATGCGCGACAGATGAGAAGATCCGATCAGAGCGGTATCCTGCCGCGATTCACCAATTCGCCCGTTGCAAAGTAAAATGCAGCGGTCCGCTTTCGTCTGCCGGTCCTGTCTTGCTCGAGCCGGCCTGCGTGTCCGCCTCTATGCCCAGAACGAGAACGACCATGGGAATGGACAGCGCCTGCGACAGTCCAGTACCCTGACGCCGCCTCTCGCCCACGACATTGGCAGAGGCAGACAGCTAGCGCTAGCATCAGTTCCAGCGCCAGAACCAGCATCGGCCTCGGCCTCGGCCTCGGCGCGCCAAACAACCCCCCAAACCGACCTCGCTAGTGCCATACCTCGCCACGTTGACCGAGAAAACAAGGTCTTGGAAGTGCTGCAAGATGGAGCAAGTCAATGGATAAACGGGCCAGGAGGCAGCCGGCACATAGTAGACCCAGCCACGAGGTGGAAAACGCGACACCAACATGCTCGAGAGATTTTCGAACTAGATCGGTCCTTGATGTTCCAGATGCTCGCTCGCAAGACATGGTCCCGGACTCAGGCACAGGATGCGGCACTGTTCCGAGATTGGAGGGATGGCTTCGAGGCTGCCTATTGGCACCTCTACACTCGAGGCAACACATCCTTGGGTATGGAGCCGTGGAAGCCGCCCGAGTTTCCCACGAAGCTGGAACGCACGCCTGCTTTTGGATTATGGCGCCGGTGGGCCGACAGCAAAAAGAGCGTTTTAGAAATGAGGGAAGAATGGGAGGCTCGCCCCAGAATCGTGTACAGGAGTGTAGAGTGGTGCAATGTCGTGGCACTGACCCTCCGGTACACTCCTCACATAGCCTGCGAGGTGTTCGAGGCCATATGGGCGGACTCCGCCGCGCCACAATACGCGCTGAGGGATGTCGTCACTTTTCTATGTCATAGTCTAGAGCTGCTACCCCCCGGCGCCCGGCCGGAACGCGCTGCGGCTGTTACTCGTCTGGCTGTCCAGATGTTGTCTCAACGTTCCGCACGGCGCATCAGGTTCAAAGATGAAGCAATCTCGTGCTTGATAGGTCTCTTGGATCAGCCCAAGACCGTGGCCGAGCTGTACTCGGCCCTCGAAAGCAACTACCACCCGCTTAAATTCTTCACCAGGCTCCGGTTTGCCAACCGGCTGGCGCCGATTGTGGCACACAAGCAAATGGTTCTCGACATGCTTGGGGACTTGGTCGCAGATGCGAAAAAAAAAGGTGTATCTTTTTTCGAGACCCACGTCGGCGGCGCCCTGGCCACGTCCCTCTTATCGTTTGGCCGGGCAGACCCCAATGACCCAGCCCAAGTGGTCCTCCGCGTAGGTGTGTACCAAGCCCTCATCGAGGCCGGGCTGCGGCCGAATCTCGCCAACTTCACGGCCATCATCAGGGGGTTTGGCATCAACAAAGACTCGCGCACGGCGATGAAGGTGTTCAAGTTGGCGTTAGAACAAGGCATCGAGCCCGACAAGTTCCTGTACTCGACCATGTTTCACGCCATAAAACTCGGCGGGAACCCGTGGTTGATGGCCAGGATCATTGGCATGGTGTCCGAGGGTGGCATCCGGGGGGGATCGCTAATCTTCTGGAACGATGTGCTCCACGCCATCTACTTGAGCGCGTGGCGCGAGGTCAAGTTCCTCCGGAGCCCTCGGCGCGATGTCCGCAGCTTCGAGGTGATGCTTTTCGCCTATTCGAAGATCTTCAAGATGGATATGCTGAGAAAGCTCATTCCGTCTTACCACCTGGATAGAATGCTCGAGTCCGTCACAGAGACCCTCAAAGGCACGCGGCCAGCTTCGCTCTGGTTCACAAAGGTGAGGCGGGTGGTCGACGAGTTGCCATCCTCTACACCGCCCCGAAGCCTCTTTGATCCCGACAACTACACACTCGCAGTCATGGTCCTTAGCTTCGTCAAGGACATATCTCACACATACACCATCATCACCTGGTACGCGCACTTTCGGGCGCTGCTCAAGAGCGGCGACCCCGTGGCACTCATACTTGTCAAGGGCAGCGACGCCTTCCCCCAGACAATTGTGTACGATTCCGTCATCAAGCGGGCGACCGAGATAGACGGCCGGCTGCGGTTTGCGCTCGACGTCTTTGATGAAATGCTCCAGGATTCGGCAGCGGGCGCCGCGGCAGGCCCCGGCGACAAGACGCCGCGGCACCCGGCGCCCAGCATCTACACGTACAACATCTTGCTCGACGCCTTCGCGCGGAGTCGAGAGTCGGCTAACAGCGAGGCCCTCCTAGACTTGATGCGCAAGAACGGCATCGAGCCCAACATTGTCACGTGGAACAGCCTCATAACCGGCCACGCCATCAGGGGGAACATTGTAGAGACAGTAAAGACCATGCAGAACATGGAGCTTGCCGGCTGCGTCCCCGACAGGCGCACGGGAAGCGCATTTAGGTTCCTACATGGCGTTGACCGGACAGCTGCGTACGAAATGATGGACACGATGGTGGGAAATGTGCCACCTGCCGCAGAGGCGGCACCAGAAGAGGCACTAGAAGCGGCACCGGAAGAGGCACCAGACCTGCAGCGACAGGTTTCGGGCCGAGAGGCGCAGCCCGTCCTGCCGAAGCAGAAAAGAGGCCCTCGGGCGCATCGGTGGGCAAAGAACCAATTCTCGAAGCTGGAGGAGCAATTGTCGACCGAGGACCCGTCTTCGGACCCCTTCTCCCAGTTGTCTGCTACAGAAGCAGCACCAAGGGAAGCAGCAAAGCGTCTCCCGTCGGCGGGCAAGAAACCCGCTATCGACACCTTCCCACTGGCCCCCTCTCGTTTTCCCCAGGCCACAGGAGACACTCCCAGGCAATAGGCATACATGTAATGAAAACTCGCCTCTCTGTCCAGGCACACGACCGCTCGAAATGTGCATCACTTCCGTGTATATACCCTGTTGTTGTTATTATTACTACATAGTATCGTCATTCTCGTCGTCGTCGTCATACCTGCATCTGCATGGTTTGGAGCAGGAGGTTGGCTACTTACCCATTATAGACGGATTTAGACGGGCAAGAACCACTGTATTTGTATTTAAAAGAAGGGGGTGGGATTTGAAGCGTATAGAATAAATCCATGGACCTAAATATATATATATATATATATATGTAGATACCCGCTTGCAAAGAGTCATGAATAACTAAATAAAGTCGGGTATCTATTCGCTAATAGGCTTCTGTCTATCTAGGTGACTATCTAATTAGTAGCTATATTTGCTTATACATTGCCCTGGTGCCAACCACCCCCTTCTATTACTGCTCCCTTGGTTTATAGTCTTGGTGTAGATGGTGATGTCGATAGCTGGCCGGAGCAATGTTTCATCGTACAAGGGGGGCAGAACTCGACACCATACCCTTGTGACGGCGTTTAGCAACACCCACTACCGCTGCACCACACCTTCCAAAAGGATGCCAGAATTACAAGCCGTCAGGCTGCAATTCTATAGTGGGTTATAGTATGGTCACGCATCCGTAGGGCCTCAGCGCCTACCGCCGTGCCGTGACATCACCCCCCCCTCGGCCCCGCGGGGCGCGTAGAGGTCTGACTACCCCGGAACCTCGAGCACTACGGTTCGGGAGCTCTACGCGGGCTAGGGCATACTATAGGGATCCCCAAACTACCTTTATTCACAAAAGGACTCATTTGCAACTGCAGGGCTCGAACCCGCAGCCGTAGGGCGGCTTGTAATTGTGACGGCGTTTAGCAACACCCACTACCGCTGCACCACACCTTCCAAAAGGATGCCAGAATTACAAGCCGTCAGGCTGCAATTCTATAGTGGGTTATAGTATGGTCACGCATCCGTAGGGCCTCAGCGCCTACCGCCGTGCCGTGACAACCCTCCCCCGTTCATTCTTTTTCACCCGGGCAGTCAACTGGCAGCACTACGCTACGGCCATCGCCAGTAGTGCCGTGATTAGCGGGAGGTCTTGTGTGGCCGCTCAGCGTCCTGAGCGGCGACGCACCAGGCTTTAGACATATTCACTGGGTTGCGCGTTGAGGACGCCATGTCCCCTGGGCGAGCAAGCTGGTTGGTACATCGTCTTTCTTGTCCTTGCGAGTTGTGCGGATGGATGAGGAAGAGGCCCCTTCCTGAACCTGTTGTGCACGCGGTTGTCATCGTCTTAGATCATCGGCTCGAGCTTGGTTCTTTCCAGCATGTCTTAAGACGAGTCCTTGATGTTTCCCTCGCATAGGGCGTAGACGCCCTTGACTTGTGCGGTCGAGGGCCAATCAAATACTATCTACGAATTCTCAACCTTGTCGACCGACTGGGCGGTCTAGATGCGCCGGGTGATAGAGTCGACCCAGCCGCCACGCCGCTAGACTCACTGCAACAGTTTCCTTTGGCCAGCGTTGTAGGAAAGTTTATCACAGGCATATATGACAAAGTCGCCCGGACGGAAGACTAAAATCTCAAGTCGGGGATGCCTACATGTCCTGCTAAAGGGGGTATTTTGAATGTCCTTGTGGGTTTTATACGTATACCTCCTCGGCAGTATCGCGGCGGTCTGAAGGCAACAAGTAACTGGTAACTGCATGTCTAGTCATATTTAAACCAGCCAGCCAGCCAGGGCGCAGCTCTCATACTAAAATACCTGGAAGAAACCTGGGCTGGGAGCAGACGCAACCCTAAGCAGGGCGGGGTATCGAGACATAGTAGACTCAGTTTGAATCTAGAGCTGAGGGGATGATGCTAGCAATCGGAATGCAAATTTTGGGAGATGTTGCTTTGGAGAAGCTACCAACACAGGAACTGTCGGTTTTGAGCGTCCGGGTGGTGGTGCCAGAGGTTGCCCCAGCAGCTGCCGGCTTTGTTTACTCCGCCCCTGAGTTGCTCGCGGCTGATTTCAACCCAAGAAGTCAGAAAAGACACGGCCAAAGCCACTACAAAGCCCCGTACTGCCCACAATCACCCCCATCTGATGATGATATGAGCTGCAAATATTTGTTCAAACAGCCGCGTTCGCCCCACCAGCCCGCGCACGGCATCAGACCTCTATTTACGGGCCCCCTAAGTCAGCATAGCAACCCCACAATGACGACGTAACATAACTAGCCGCACACCCCGTGAATGGGCTGTGCTCCTACCTGCTTTTATTTTGGGATTCGCATATATACATAACTTATTCACTCGTATAGAATTCATCGTCACCTATAACGCCGTACCCCGTAGCCGTAGAGAAAGAGGAAAAATGCCCCACGCCCCGAACCCATGCGCCTCGAAAGGAAAGAAAAATGCCCTATGCCTCAAAAATAGACGCCCCGAGCGAAAAGACCTAGCCCTAAGTAAACAACCACAACACCTATCGCGAGAACCCCCACGCCTTGAAATTAAAGAATAAGGCCTTATAGCCGGTAAAAAAAAAAGCCCTCTAGCCGCTATTAAAATAATAAAAGAAAAAAGAAAATCAGCCACGCCGGCTCCAGCCCCGCGGACCAAGGAGATACCCACCACTCTCCTCGTCGCCCTGGCCGCCATCCTCGTCCTCCTCGCGGATCAGTTCCAGCGCGGGACCGCAGCCCCCGCCTCCTCCGCACGGAGGTCGCGATGGGCTCAGTTGGCTGTACTGCTGGCGCTGGCGGTGCATGGCGCGGTCGATGCGGCGCGCCTGGTCGTACTCGTAGGGTTCGTATGGCTCGTAGGGCTCGTAGGGCTCGTATCCGCCGGTGGCCTGGTGCTGCTCCTGCTTGGCCAGGCCTTGGGACTGCCGCTGCATGTACGGCTCGTCGTAGAACTGCTGCTGCTGCTGCTAATCAGTCTAGTGGTGGTGGAGCATCAGATGGGCGCGCAGCCGCTAGTCGTACTGCTGCTGAATGGCGTGCAGGCGCGGCACGTGCTGCTGCTGCTGCTGCTGCTCCTGCTGCTCCTGTTCAAACCAGGCGCGCGCCTGCTGCTGCTGCTCGAACCGCTCCAGCGCCAGCGTGTACTGCTCGGGGGCCTACTCTGTTGACTGGCACTCCTGCTCCAGCGACTAGCGCTCCTGCTGCAGAGACTGGCGCTCGTCGTCGAGGCGCTGCTGCTCCGCGTTCAGGTATTGCTGCCGCTCGTCGAGTTCCTGCTGCTTCGAGGCCAGAACCTGCTGCTGCACGTCGTGGCGGCGGCGCTGCGCCGAGATGCGCACGTGCTGCCGCTGCAGGTAGCGCAGCGACGGGTTGGGCGGCGAGCACGGGGCCAGCGGCGACGATGGAGACGAAACCGAGGGCGAGCATCAGGATGGGGTGGATGGCTCTGGCTAAGGCGCGGCGGCGGCGGTTCGGAAGGTGACTACGTCGGCCGGGTTAGTGGCTAGCTGGAACGGGAAGCGGTCCTGGAACGCGGAAAAGTCGAGCGCCTCGAGGAACAGTCGGTAGCGCGTCTCATCGTCTTCTTCTTCCTCTTCCTCTTCGACGTCGATGGGAGAGGCAGGGGCTGCGACGCTGAAAGAATCCTGTGCCAAGAGAGACTGCTGCTGGCGGAGCGTGTCGTCGTGCTCGTACTCGTCGTCCTCCTCTTCGATAAGAGCGGGGACGGGAGCAGCAATAGAAGAAGCGCGGCCGCCAAGGTCTCTGCTCGTCAGGCGCGACGGCAGGAAGAGCGCGCCGGCGGGGGGCGCCTCGCAGAAGAGCGGGAAGCGCTGGTGCCACTCGGCAACGGTAGGAGCCGCCTCTGGTGTCGACTCTGCTGCTGCTGCGGCAGCTGGAAAAGAAAAATAGGGGTCGCCGATAAAAGGAGTAGTGGTGGCTCTGCTGCTGCTTCCACAGCCATCGCCGCTGGCGGGCAGGAGCGCGGGCTCGAGACCCATTATGGCTTCGACGCCAAAACTAGCAGGCGTCACGGGCGATGAAGAAGAAAGAGGGTGCGGGCCACGAACAAGGCCAGGATGGGCGACGACGTCGCCCGCAAAAGCGGCGGGAATGGGGGGGACAACCGAGAGGGAGCGGGCTCGGCGAGACACAAACGGAGAGAGCAAAAACGGGCGCAGCCGCGAGGGCGACGACGAAGAAGGCGGCGACGGAGATGATGATGATAAGGGTGGCGGCGGTGGGGAGTTCTGGTATCGGCGACCCGGAAAGAACCTGGGTTGGCCCTCTCTGGCCGGGAAGGGACGACGGCCCGCAGCCTCCTATGGCTGGCGGCGCTGCGCTGCTTCTTCTTATCTAGTGTTTAGTGACGGGGCCCTAGTTCCGCGCGCGAGGAGATAGTTTTGATGGTTTACCCTCGTCCTCGTCCTCGTCCTCGCCCTTGCCCTTCTTAGCCTTGGCGTCGTCGCCGTCGTCCTCATCATCGTCCTCGTCGTCTGATCCGTAGATCTCGTCGTCGCTGATGTACAGCTGGGCGCGCACGCTGGCCCAAAAGGCCTTGACCTCCTCGGGGTCCCGCTTCTCCTCTGCCTCCTTTTGAGGCGTGGTCTCTTTCTCGGCCTGCTGTCCAGGCGTGGTGGTGTCGTCGGCGGCAGTGCCGCTTGCCTCTGCTGTGAGGGCTTGGAGCTCCTCGATCAGCTTGTCGAGCTCGCTGAGCTCGGTGGGGGGGTCTCGAGCCCCGGATGCCGACTCACCGGCGGCAGCAGCTGGTTCCTGGCTCTGGTCCAGGGATCGGCCCAGGGCCGAGGTTGCCAAATAGGCCTTGTATTCGAGAAAGTTCAGCGCGTCTTCCTCGTCTTCGTCGAAGCGGACGCGGCGGGGCTGGGCTTTCTGGGCCGAGGGCGGTGCCTCGCGACAGGGCTTGCTTCTTACCCGCTCTTGGCCGACGAGCTTTGCGTCGACCGGCACCTTGGTACCCAGCTTCTTCTTCAGGAGCGCCTCCTGCGCCCCCGACGTCTTAGGCTCTTCATTGCCCTTGCCCTTGCCCTTGTCCATGGTGTCTTGCTGCTTCTAGGGCGAGTAATTATTAGCAAATATGGACAAGTGAGACGAAAGTGAGAGATGGCTTATGTGGTCTCATGCAGTTGTTATTTACCTGCAAATTAACTCTCCGTGCCGAACGTAAATCAGGCGAGGTCAAGGCGAGGACGAGGTGGGGAAAGGGAGATGGAGATGGAGAGGGAGAGGGAGAGGGAGAGGGAGAGGGAGAGGGAGAGGGGCAGAGAGAGTGATGCGTTGGAGTTTTTCGTGGAAGGGCAGAGAGAGAGGGGCAGAGGAGCAAAGAAGCAGATAAACAAATGAGCAAAGAAGGCGGGCGGGAGAGAGGGTGTTGAGACGATAGGCCCTGGCCGACCGACAAAAAAGACAGCGAGAAAGAGATGAAGGTGGGGGCGAAGAGGGAGGCGTAGTGGCTGTCTTGGCCGCGGCGAAATGACTTACCGGAATTCTCTGGTCGAAATCGTCGGCCGAAACTATGCAGGTCAAGACTGGAGGTTGAAAGAGGAAGGAAAGAGGAAGAGGCCCGGGAGAGGTCAGGTATTTATGCAGAGAGGAAACGGCCGTCCAGGTGCCCGGTGGGTCCGCCTCGACCGCAGCTGAGCTGTCTAAACATCAGATGAATAATAGGAGCACGGGGGATCATAGGAACACTTTTATTTATTGACGGGTGGCTCCACGGTCTTCCGGTGCCTATTATGCTCACAGTATCAGTAGGTGGTAACGGAAAAGTGAGGCAAGGCTGAATATGTGATGTAATTCTGAGGAGTCCGAGACATATCATATTGGGAATGCCGACCTTTATCCCGGCGTATCTCGTCTTTCGCACTCGTAATTAGACGTACATATCACAGCGGTCCAAGGGAAAACCAGCTTGTCTCTTGTTTACCAGGCCCAGAAGAATGATAAATGGTTTAGAACGAGGTGTTTGACCACACGAGCGGACTTGTTTGAATTTGTCGGCGCACACATGAGAGCTTGTCCAGATATATTAATATTGTTTCCTTGGCCGCCCCAATTCTAGCATCGCCTAATATTCCCCTAAAATCAACCTGTCCAGACGTAGCTCAGCTTTACTCCAGTTTCTTCACCTTCACCTACCTTTAATCACCAGATCCTTGAACGAGAACACGGCCGAAGGTTCCCAGCTACATGTTTTCCAAGTTTGGAATTAATTAAATACTTGGTACTTCGTATTAAAAAAAAGTGTTCTAGCGGCAGTAGTGATATCTTTTCAGGTACATGGTAAGGTAGTGGTAGTTGGCATTTCTTCTAAATGTAGGAGTCGTAATAATTTGTTCCCACTGGTGCGTGTAACCACCCGATATGGAGTCCGTTTCCCTCGTAAACTATCACATACGACCGGAAAATTCGGGATCCCGTCCGCTCTCCCATAGACAAGCCAGCGACCGGATCTAGCGGGTAGACGAAAACGCCGTTGAATTTGCGGCACACTGTTAAGATGACCGTTTCGCCAGCTTCGCCGTTGCGCCGGCGGCGTAATTTATTTAAGGGGAGCTGGGCCTCCCTCTTATTGGCGACCCTCGCTGTCGCAAACATTTCGTAACGCGTGCACTTCGCAAAAAGCATCCGAGTCGCGCCAAAATATTCCTACGCCCCGTTATTATTCTCAGTAAACCTATCAAGTCGCGTAACCGCAAAGAGCGATAACGAAAAGCGGACGAGGACGATGATTTACTCGTACTTAATAATATCGATAGAAAGCGGAAAGTAGGTTCTCGTCTGCAATAAGAGCGGGTTCGCGTATAGCAATCGATACGGCTATAAGTAATCTCCTAGGTTATATTATTTACTCTCGTTAACGATAAAATATTAGATTTATTAAGAACCATAAGGGCGGGGACTTTGACCGGATTTGGTTAGGTCTTTATAGCGACTAGAAACGAGAAAAGACTATAATAAAGTCGTAATTTCGAGATTATGTTGAGTTATCGTAGATAACCTGCCTGGCCCTCGGGGATGGAAACGACGAAGACTAGAGTATCTAGACGATTACCGGTATGAAGACCGTAATTACGTATTAGAAGAACTTGGTTTCGGAGGCGGACAACACGATCCTTGGAGAAAAGAGGCGCGACGACCCTAGTAATCGTGGATGTAAGGAAAGAGCACCCTAAGCACCTGCCAACGCGCGCACACCTTGTGCGCGTCTACTACCCGTCACCAACTGGTTAGACCACTGCCAGTTGGCCTAGCTACTAAGCTACACTATGGCGCCACGCCTTCACAAACACACACGGGACTGAGCTCCTGAGCATGTATATAACAGTGGCCCTCGCCCCCTTCCTTTGCGAGGGCCAGGTTGAAGTCTTACACCAATACCAGTCATTGCTCACCTTCCTTGTTACCTTCATTGTGACCACCTTGATCAGGCATACCTGCCCTCTCTTACACGAGATAGTGGAGGACGGGGATATCCGTAATACGGAAATCCCGTCGGGTGAGGTATATTAAGATGTTAGATTCCGATATAAGGAAATAGTTGTAGTTTCTACTTATAAGAAGGAAGGATTTGAGGTGAAGCAGGTATATGTGGAGAACAGCGACTTAGCAACTATTATTTGTGATGGAATGAGCACCTATAGAAGCTCAGCCTTACTGGCTCTGGCCAGCCTGGAATTCGGTCGAATGAATTCCCTAAGCCTATTCTCATATGTGCGCGGGATATCTCTCCAGATAAAATGCAGAGTGCTCACAACGTCTGGGCATTCCCGACGCGACAGCAGGAAGGAAGGCTGCCATGGTCGGAGAAAGGAACGGCAAAGACACTTGAACATTGTCAGCGGCATCCAAGATGGACTCGATGCATCCTTCGGCTTGACCTCGAGCGAATATGCTTTTGGGCGGCACCGTGGCTAGGCGCCCGAGATCATGTCTTGGAAGAACATTTTCACCATCACCACAGCCTCTTCTCTGCCGGTAACGATCTACTCGACTGGTGTGCTTTGCTTTGTGACCACTACCTTCCGACAACCGTGGAGGAGTTTTAACATCTGGAAAAACTCACAATAGACAACACCATCCCGGCAGGCATACGAGCAATCGCAACATAAAAATGTGAAATAGACTAGTAAGGTATATAGATATAGATATAGGATGGGTATGGGTATAGATATAATCGTCGACTTCATGTGCGGCAAGATGTGGTATGGATATACAAGTAAGTAGTTTTTGTCCCTAGCCCTCCTTCCCCCTTCATGTTGTAGACACAGAGAGAGTAGAAAAGCCGCCCCCTAAAAGGAATGATGAAAAATATTCGTGCTCGCTCCAATTCCGTTTCATAAAAATTTTCCCGCCGACAAATAGCAGCACGTACACGCCTCCCGGTGCATTATAGTCGCCGTCCGTCTCTTATAACGCGGTTAGCCCTAGGGGCATATACAGAAGTCACGCGGCAACAGCACAAAAAGACATTACTCATGCGTCAGACAGCAGACCGACGGGCCTTAGTACTGGCGTCGGGACCACCAGCGGCGGCGGCCGTAGACGGGCTGGGTGCGCGGAGGAGAGATGTACTCGGTCTTGGTTGTGGCAGCGGTGCGGTGATGGCGGCGGCCGGAGCAGCAGGTGAGGAAGACGACGATTGTAGCGAGCAACAGCAAAATCGCTGCGGCGAGCAGGCACCAGATGGCGGTGCTAAAGTACGCTGCCGCACCAGTACCGTTATCGTTGATATTGTTGCGCACGACGGCGAAGGCGACAAAGTCGATAATGGTGATGATGGCCGTGAGCAAGAAGGCCAGGAAGGCGACGACCGAGGCCAGGAATGAGCCCAGCACGCCGGCGCCGAGCGCCAGCAGGAAGGCGATGAAGCTGATGCCGCAGGCGATGGGGTGCAGCACCATGGCCTTAGTCAGGGCGCGCGTCGTGTCGCGCGCGTAGTCGGAGAACTGCGTGTTGTCCTGCGAGTTGATGACGTCGGCCGGCGAGTAGCCGACGTGCGAGCTGGAGCACGTGTCGCTGTGTTGTTGTGTCAGTATTTTTTTTTTTTTTTTTTTTTCACTGAGGGAAAAACTCACCCGTCGACATTGTTGATGCACCAGCCAAAGGTGCCAAAGGTGACAGTGGCGTGCTGCGACGTCGGCCGGTTGCCCAGCTCGACCTTGAGGATGGCAATGTCGTGGACGACGGGCGCCGAGATGCACACGATGATGAGCAGGATCGTCGACACAAACAGCAGGAACGTGCCGATGTGGTGGAAGAAGCCCGTCTGAGCCATGGCGGCGGTTTGATACCCGGGAGTATGTAAGTCAAGTGAGGAGGTGGTTGGGTTCCGCGTCGAGGATCTAGTCTCGAGACTCGGAAAATAACAGATTGCGGTCACTGGAGAGTATTCAAAAGCAGAAGTAGAGGAAGCCCGGGGACGAGGAGATATAATAGGGCGACGGCTTTTTGACTATTTCTCGTTGGGTGGCCTCCCCCGGATCGACCAGCGACGTCATCTGCCCTGGCACCCATCCCGCAACCAAGATCGCCGTCTGATGCGTGGACTGCGGAGGGAGTCTGGGGCAGCTTCCTTCCCACACAAGCTAACAGCTCTTTAGCTCCCTAGCTCCTTCCTCCGGGACCTTCTTTGGGTGGCTGGGATACCTACTTAGTCTAGGTAGGGCGCAAATACCTCTCGCACATGCTACTAGCTGCTGGCGCTGCCGCTCCAATCCGCAAAAGCCAAGTTTCAAACGGCTAAAGGAGAGAAAGCGCAGGTGACGGGACGGCAGGAGACATGAAGTCGGGGCGAATTGCGTCGACGACAGGTGTCGCGGGCCCCGCCGTTGGGCCCCTGCGTCCATGACGTAACGCCGGCATGCAGCAAGCGGGCCTCGGCAGCCGCAATGCCAAGCAACTTGCAAGCCACATCCTGTTTTGGTGCCATTCCTCATCTCCTCGCCCTGTGGTGGTGTGATGACATGACGGAACAGCCCATCGCCGCTCACACGCACCGGGGTTGGGCAGGTCCATCCGGGTTTTGTCAGGTAGGTTCCTTCCTACTCGAACTTGCTTGTCCAAGACCCGAAATCAGGAATTGCATTACACTATACTAGATCTAGGAAGCCACAGCTCTTTCCTGTCATTTCCAGAACCCGTCTTCCATGTTGAATCTGGCCTCTAGTTCGTTCGGAAAATTATCTAGGCAAAACGTTCTGGAAAGAGAAGCTCTAGCGATGCGAATTCGCCAGGTAGTAAATTGGCAAATCATTTGTCCTTTCTTGCTATTCAAACACGCCGACCTGGGTTTTTCACCCCGCTTGTTGCCTTGGTAGTTCCCCGGGGAGCTTGGTAGGCTAGGCTCACCTCCGCCAGCCCCCTCTACTAAAGAGATTGGAGCTCGTCTTCTCTCGTCTCGACAAACTCGTCACCGTTCACGGACGAGAGATGGCTGGCAACTGAGCGCGACGGCTCAACCGTACCTAGCATAGAATAAACAAATCCTACTTTTCTGGCACCCGAGTAGACGCCCAAAAAGAAAAAAAGAAAAAATGGCAAAAAACTCCGTAGGCCCCTCATCCATGCCTTTTTTTTCTGGCCACCGCTAGCGCGCTAGCGGCCACGCCACGGTATAAACAGTCACCTGCGACTAAGCGGCTGCGGTTTATTTAGTTTTATTCTCTACCGCGCTTACGTCATCGGCGCCCCCAAGTAGGCTCGTGATCTCGTCTCGGCTGGCCTGCCGCAGCTTGCGGCGCCTGATATGGTCCATCTTGACGGCGTCGTTGGACGCAGCAGCGGCAGCGGCATCTGGGCTGCTGCTGATCCTCGCCGACGCCGGTATCCTGGGAGAAAGGCCCCCGTCTATGCCGCCAGCGCCGACGCCAATCTCCCAGTCCGCCAGGGCGCTGGAGCCCGCCATGTTCGGTATGATGGACCGCAGCGCCTCGGTCGCAAACGTGGCGTTGGCGAGCGGGTCGTCCTTCCTGACGGGCCGCGGGTCTTGCTGCCAGCCGGGCCTCGCATCGTAGTTCCTGCCGGGCCACGGGCCGTGCAGCGGCGACTGCTCGATGTGCACGTGGTGCTGGTAGCCCGGCGCGAGGGACGCCCCGATCGTAAACGTCTTTTCGCCGCCATCGCTCGCAGGGCCACCGGCATCGGCATCGGCATCGGCATCGGCAGCATCGTCTGTAGTTGATTCTGTAGCAGCACCATTCCCAAGCACCCGCGGGTCGGGGTGCACGCCGGACCGTTCCGGGATGTGGTCGAACTGCAGAGGGCAGCGGCTAACCATGAGCCGGGCCCTCGTGCTAGTCTTGACGACGGCAATGAACGACGAGGGATCCTAAGACGGCCAAACGTGTCAGCGGGCAGGCCGCGTCTTCTTCTGATGCTCGTCCGACTACCGACTGACCTGGAGCTGCTTAAAGACCTGCAGGTCGCCCAGGGCGTGCTGCTTCAGGGCTGCCAGGACCGCGCGGCGCTCCGATAGGTTGATGGGCGCGGGCTTGACCCGAACGTACAGCGACCGGAGCGCGATCGCCTCCACTGGGGCCGCCCACGTCGCCCGCGACAGCAGCGCCCGCGGCGCGTGAGCCATGTCCCGGGCTGCTCCAAGGGCGCAGCGCTTTGTCGCGTGGATTGCCGCGCAGTTGCACAATTGACGCCGCCAACCGAAGTGAGTGAGGTTGTTTGCGATGGAGGGTTTCGCGGGCCCCATCGGCCTGCAATCCGAAGTGGGGACTGTCTGCGTCTGCACGTCTACTCAGTAACCTCCCCTGTCAGGGCTTTGGCGGCCTGCATTGCAGCCTCCAACTTAGGCGTTGCAAGTTAAAATATACCTTAACCCTCTGGAAGTAAACTTTGGCTTGACGGATCCGATTTTTGGTTGTCTCTGAATTTATGAACACTTCTGAAACATGAAGCTATAATGCCTTTGGAGATCTCCAGGTTCCCACGTAGCTGTCATTTACCTCCGGAAAGAAAGTAGAAACCGACGCCTCAACATGGGCGATTGCCAGGTCGAATCTTACATCAAGTCCTGTCGTCAGCTGAAGTCTGTGTGTGGAGTTGGACAATAATAACCCAATAACGGGTGGTGGAACTGGCGGTATTCTTCCCCGGGTTCATCATTCCGAGTTGAGAGCAATAATGGCCAAGCCCTAAGCTACCTTACCTCATAAGCTTTACCCAATGATGCCATCACATCCACGACGAGCACGTTCTCTAATAGGTCTCTAAAAGTTTTGCACTGCTCCCAGCGACGCAGAACCATCTTCCCTTTGTCTGGTATCTAGAACATCGTAAGTGGCTTACTCTTGAGCTTCGTAGTATCCATATTGACATCTGAAGAAGGGGAAATCCTCTCTTCAGTCTTTAAGACAAGAGCACGGCTTCCGGTGACGACGTCAAGCAGCCATCACTTGTATTTTGCTCTAACTCTGAATTCACAACTCGCACAGCCGGAAGCCTCTCTCCCTCTCTCCCTCTCTCCCTCTCTCCCTCTCTCCCTCTCTCCCTCTCTCCCTCTCTCTCTGCCTCCTGGGTAGGGTAGCACCGAACAACAGCTTTGACGAGACGAACCGAACACACACTAGAAATAAAGGAGAACAAAGGAACAAAATAGTTTCTAGGTACCTAGGTAGGCATGAAGCGAGACCACAGCAAACCCCGCGCTATGATAGTGAATAATTATACTCCCTTTTCGAATTCGGAAACACTTCCGCGGACTTCAAGAAAGATACGCGCGAGCAAAAGTGAACTGCCGAGAGACGAAAAATGTTAGGGGCTGCGGCTGGGTCGTGATGTTTCCAAGATGTAGAATCCTTCGTCCCAAAATGGGGACGAGGGAAGGGCAGCCAGCATACGGCCGCCGCCGTGAGCAAAAAACCCTGAGATGACGGACAAGATATCCTCGCAACTCTTTTATTTTATTTTGAATTCCTTCTTGAACCAACAGCCCGGCTTATCCTCTATAGACCAGAGACTGCGTTCTCCCGTTTGGAACGAGAACCCCCCAAAAGAATTCGAGTCGATTTTGTGGATAGGTTGAGTCGAGTTGATTTGAGCACATACCTACTGATAAGAGTATAGCAGGTTACTGTCTCTCGTCCTCCCAATAATGAAGGAACGGGGAGTGCCTCTAGCTACCTTGCATACACAAAATCTAACCCCTGAATGTTTGTTACTCAGTAGAGGGGGATGAGGGACTGTTCAAGACGTGAAAGGCCTAACTGCCTTGTAACTGGCCTTAAATGTTCTCTCCGAGAGGTGCAATAGCTAGCTATCTACGTCACATACCTACGTATTGGAGTCACTGGTACCTGTATTGCCTCAACCGCCCTCTACCAACGCGGAGAGGCTACGCAGGCAGGTAGGTACCTACCTTCGGCAAGCGCGCGCAGCCTTCCTAGCCGCATTTTGGCCGGCTGGGAGAGGAAAAGGAGTTTGTGGAAACTTGGCAAAGCGGCTCGGAATGCTACGTCGAGGTTCTAAAGTTAAAACCTTGTTCCATCTTATTGTTTCTTGTGGTTGAGTTTGAGGGGCGCGTTGACGTTTTCGCCCTGAAAATCCAGGGCAGGTTGTCTCTTATGGCGCCCGCCCACTTCTATTGAGCGAGTATTCCTGTCAGTACCCACACACGCCCGGGGGGGCGTAGGGGAAAAAAGGATTCCTAGGAGCGGCGCGCGCCTACAGTGGCCGTTGAGGACCCATGGAACCGATACGTGAGCGCCCCGCTCGGGCTCGGGTCGGGTCCGCGGACGGGGGAGGAGGGGGGAGGGGGGGGGGGGGGCGGGAGCGGCACCTTTTTACCTCTTCCATCCACTCTCTGGGGTCCATGGTGCGGAGTAGCATCACCAAAATAGACAACCAGAGTTGCAGTTTCTAATTCAAGAGCAACGATAATCGGTCGGCGGTCCTAGATAGCGCAGGCCGGGAAGTGCCGGTCGCGATCCGAGTGGGCCAGTTTTCTTCAATTCAAACACGTTGCAGTGCTTCTCGTTGGGTTCCAATGCAGTTTTGTGGATGAGGCCGGGGAAGCAAGCCTCTAAAGGAAAATGGGTAAGGCGAGCCGAAGCGCCCTGAAAAAGGCGCCTTCGCTTCCCACCGGCAACGCGAGTGTCTGGGCGTTTGCAAACCTAAAGTGGAATTCGAGGCGCACTGTGAAGGCAGGGATCGCGGCTGCAGCTCGAAATGCGGAAAATAGATCCGGCGACCCTCGAGCAATAATGGTTGATGCTAGCAGCTCCTCCTGTCAAAATCTGACACATTGCCATCATGCTGTCTGCCGCCAAAATGCAGGTGCGTCAAACAAACGACTCCAGCAAACTCACTTGAGACGGCCGTTCAGTCCAATCCCACGGCTTGCAGAAGAAGCAAACAGATTTGCCCCAGCCCGGCAGGTCAGGCGGGGTCTCCCGTTGGTGGGTTTGCGGAGCCGAACTGCGGCCCTCTGTTTCAGCTTCCCCGACCGGAGGGGTGGATTGGCCCCCCCCCCCCCTCCAAAAAGATCGTCAAATATCAAGTTCGCGGCTGCAAGTCGGGACCTATCAAGGCTCTGGCTACCGTCCACCCACGGCCCAGCGTTCTGGTCGATGGGTGAGCGAAGCTTCGCTTGTCGCACAAACCAAGACACGGTCTGAGCTCTTCTCTCGGGTCCGTAAGACGGGCCCATCCCCCCTCCCCCGCTTTGGAGGAGCAGAGTGGGGAGACCTTCTAACAACCTGATGAAACATTTAAAGTTGGGATTGTATTCTAGACTCGGAAAGAAATTACACTACTAGTTCCTGGATGCAGTGAGATGGCGGTCGTGGGATGCTGCATCGGCAGATCTGCTAAATCGGGCTCTGGGAAACGGCCACCCAGCGCAGCAAAGCTAAGGATGCCGATCAGCTAAGGCACCTACCCGTAAGCAAGTCAAAGGCTAGGGGGGGCTGCGGCCTGCGAGGTTCGATTTGTACACTCCGACGGCCTCGGGTCAAATCGTCGCCTTTCGTGTGCCAGTGAGGTAATCATTATCTCGCCCGTAATCTGAACGATGCCGTCACAGCCGTCGAGGCTCAAGGTTAGTCAGGGGGCACAAGAAAAAGCCCAACATATTTTCTTGACTTCCACGGGTACTCGGAATGGAAGCCTTCTCTCTCGGTCTCACGATTGTGGTCGCACGAGTCTGGAGCTTGCCGTGGCTCGGGTTCTAACAGCAAAGGTCCCTGGGGTCCAACACAGAATGCCATCGGATATTACAGGAATCGGATCCCTCCGCCGTGCAGAATTAAGTCCGCGAGATGGATTCCTTTAAGCTTGTGATTAGAAAGCTTGTGTGGGGGCTCGCCTGTTAATCGGAAGTGGGCTTGGCGGAGGTTTCTTCGCGGCATGACATTCGGCACAATGCGTGCCGGATGTCAGGCTGCTGAGCCGGAGCGGCAGCCCCATCCCTGCTGCTCGATTGCGCAGCAATTCCGTTGTCACAACGATGGATGTGATGGGCAAGGGGACAGCTAAGCAGTGGAGCACAGAGTCAATATTCCGTAGGAGTGTGAGAGACGTTCACAGCTCACACATCTGACCTCTGAGGGATGCGAGGACGATGAATACACATGTGTCATGTCTGTGCTCTCAGAACGGACAGCACGTGGTCGATTGTCGTAAGGGGCACGGGCAGCGGGGAGCTGAGAACTCGTCTCTCAAGGTGGTCCACGTCGTGAGAATGAGATGCAGCCGAGCATCATCTTGACGCAATCACATTTCGTGACTTCGTCAACGAACAAATGAGACATCATTACAAAACCCAAACGCGAAAACGCGAAAGGAACCCAAAATACTTGTAAGTTCGGTGTAAGTTGAAGGCAACTCGAGGCTTGCACTGTGCCTTTAAACGTCCCTCAGCCGTCTGAGCGCCTAGGGCGTTTGGTTGCTAAGGTATGACACAACGAATGGAAGGGGTGAAGTGCTTACTCCGTACGGAGCACAGCTTGATTAGAGTATTTCTTCCTGATCCTTGGACGGACCCAACGGGTTGGTAAGACCAATCACAGTGCGTGAACTGTACGGCGCGCAAGAATCCGCCGCTCGTCGAGATTGGCTGTAGCCGGCTGGGGAAAGGGAATTTGGGCGACGGGCAAGTCGGCAGCACAGTACGAATGGGGCCAGGCCCTTCCAAAAAAATTTTTTAAGTGCGCTGGGACCTTGAGCCGGGCCCGGGTGCCTTGGAAGGATTGGAAGGCGCGCTGTGAGTGGCTGCTAGGTCCCCAGTTCCAAGAGTTGGGGTCTGGTCTGGACGAACGGGCTGCACCAATTTTGGGCGGTTTGGGGAGGAGCAGCCCCAGTTGCAGTTGCGGGCCTCGGGTTTGCCGCGCAGCGCTGGAGCGGAGTTGGTGAGGGCTACGCGGAACACTCGCCTGCATTGGCGCATCCTCCAAATGCTGGGCTGCCATTCTTTCTGCCCGCCGAGTGCGCCTGTCGGGCAGAGCGGGCAGAGTGGGCACGCACCTGGCGTTGCAGCTTCCGACACACTCACAGAGCAGCAAGGCACAAGGCACAGCACGTCACCCACCGAGTGTGACTGTAATTTGCATGCAACATCTCATGGAACTGAAGCGACCGGGTTTTGAGGATCCCGCTCAGAAATGGCTATTTGAAGAGAATTTCAATTACAAACTAATTATACACGGAATTTAGCAAGACCTAACCATACGCGGAGAGCCAAGTAGCGACGGTGTTTCTCGCTACTCCTACGGAGGTGGCAGCTGTCAGCGCCCAGCTCCAGCTGCGCTCCGCTCCCGGCGTGTCTATCTCGCCTCTCGCAGGCCGTCTCCGAGGGCTTGGGTCTGGGTGCTGTGCTCCTCCGCGCCTCACGGCAGGCACCCCTCCCAGGACGCCTGGGCCCACGCACGGCGCCCATCAGCCAACCACAGGCGGCCCAGCAAGCCCAGTTCCCAAAGAGTTCCCAGACAGTGTGAAGTCGTGGGCCGCAACCGGCCAATCACGCCAGCTCAAGGCCCCAATCCCCGGAGCCCAGGGGTTCTTATTCGCAGCTCCCATTCCCTGGCCCAGGACCATCTGACACGGGCGCGGGCGCGGGCGCACACTCAAAGACGGGACCGTAGACTTGGCTCGACACAGCTTAGGGCCGTTCAGCAGCGTGCGTGCGTCTGTCTGCGCTCTGCACTTTGCACTCTGCACTCTGCTTGGGGCAGGCATGGCCATTCAGGGCGGAGACGCTCGATTTCTCCTCCTGTCGTGTTCACATCCACAACAACCCAAGACGTAGACACGCCGTGAGCGGGCTGCCCCGTCGTCGTGTCGCCATCGTCGCCGTCGTCACCAATTCGTCCGCAACAGCTCTCTGAGCCCGCCGCGTTGTACACTGTCAGTGTATCCGTAAATACCGTACTTACAATATAAGCTCACCTCGCCTCGCTTTCGTCTCGCTACGGACGACAGTTAGTTGGCTGCCCATCATCGGACGACATCTGCCCATGTGGCCGCCACAGCCTTTAACCCATTACACGAGCCCGTGCAGCTACCCGCCGGCGCCAATGACTCCCCTTTGACTGCCGGGTCCTCTGGCCATCTTCTCTCGGTCGCGCTGCCTCTTGCTCTAGGCAGAGGCCGCCCGCGTCCTTGACGATCCAGCCGGGCACAATAAATCGTCCCTGACACGTCATGTTCAGATACTATCCTGGCGGAATGCCGCCAATTCCGGCATCAGCACTGGGGGAGCGGCGAACAGGAACCCCAGTGGGAATACCTGCGGCGAGCACTTGCGATGATGGCCTAGCACTTCCAGCCGAAGATCAGGACGATGTCGCGAGACCGGCGAGGCTGGAGCCCTCCATACTAAGCCGCCAGCATCCATTACCACAACCACAACCACAACCACAACCGCCACCATTACCGCCCTCGCCATTGACATCCGTCTTTGCCACCTCTCACCACTCACTGAGCAGGCAGAACCTGAAACTTAACGGCCGAGGCCGTGAACCACTGCAACTAGATGCACCAGGCACCATTCAGTCGTGGTGGTCTGGCCTGTACATCGAGGACAGGCCGCATGTCGAAGACAAACCGCATGTTGAGGATGAGTTGATGTTGTCCTCTCCGCCACCAGATCCCGGCTCGCCGATCGAGGTTGATCAGCCATCGCCCCCCGCGCCCGAATCCACCCTGTGGGGCCGGCAAAGAAGCAGCACGGCCGTGATAGACTCGCGGCTGGAGAACATGATAGCAAGCGAGATGCAGTGTACCGTGTACAGTGGACCCCAGCCGGCGGCGTCGTCATTGTCGCCAATGCGGCTGGCGCCGATCCTCGAACCCAGGGCGAGCCCCCCGCTTGGCCTCGAGGTTGACGATGCCTATACCAACGGCACGGCTGATATCGAGGAGGAGGAAAGGGCCTTCAACGAGTCCCTCCTATCCCTGCGGCGCACTGGCCACCCCGGCGGCATCCGGAAGCACGTCGGCATGAACGGTGCGGGCTACCCGCTGCGGTTTCGGTTATCTGCGGATGCAGCCCTGAGCTGTCAAAACGTGGTGCTGAGCCGGCCGAGAATGCGAAGGAGGGACAAGCGGCGCCCCGAGAGCGTCGCGTCGTCCGGAGTCGCGTCGGTCATGTCTTCGCTGAGAACACCGCCGTCGATCCCCTCGCCTCTCCTCTCACCCCAACTCCATCCTGAATTATAGCAGGGGTTTCCCATGTACGATGTGCTTTGTTCTCAGATGCGGCAGGTGGTTATATCCTCGGAAATTCGGTTTGGAGTATTGCTCTTTTTTCTTCTTTTCTTTCTTGTCTATCTGTTGGTCAATTACAGGAGTTTGGAGATGAGTACATTTTCGAATCGGCTTTTCACGGAGTAGGCGAAAGACGAGAGACGGGCCCCCAGCATCGGTGCATACTGAGGCGTTCCACTCTTGTCCGATCACAAAGAAACATTGCATTAAAACGGGGCATTCTAGATTTGGGGGGAGGGGGGTCAAGCGGGTTTTGGTTGACCTCGCAGGTCCTTTCAAGCGCTTATTCTTGTGTTTCATTTTCCATTTTCCATTCTTGACGGGGAGGAGGGATAGTGGGTTGGCTTGCTGGTTGTTTGTTTGCCTGCTTGTTTGTCTGCCAGGTCCAAATCGGCCGTCTGAAACAGGCTGGTGGTGCTTATTATTCACAAGGCATCTACTTTGGATTTTGGAACACGCAATCCATCACGATTTAATCTTCAGGAGATCAGCCCTCGCTGATTTTGACCTCGGTTTCGGTGCTCGATTCTTCTGTTCTCTTGTTGTGGCAGCTGACTTGGATGGAGAGCGCTCGGGAAGCGGAATGTTCCGGGAAGTTGTGTGACACTAACAGCTGGCGAGAAAGGTAAGCGCCTGCTTGGATCGAGATGCACCGGCGCTACTAGCTTACATGCCGCAGTCCCGCCTCTTCTTGCAGGGCTTGGCTCTCTCGTCGTTATGTGCCAAAGATAACCATGTTAGCCTCAACAAGGACGCAACAACGGTCCTGTTGCTGTTGTGGCCGTACCTGGCCGCAGTAGCTCCGCATTCCAGAGACCTGAGCTCGTCTCTTTGTCCTCGAAGATGGGTCCCACCCACCTAAGCTCAGCCGGGTCACATAACAATCACAAAGAGAGAAGGCATCTCTTTGTGCTTGTGGGGGGCCACCTCGAGCTTCCTGTCATGTCATGGTCAGAACACACAGTCGCAAAGCTGTGGAAGTGACAGGACAGCAAGTCCACGTTACTGGAATGGATCATCGTTGGAAACCGACATGCCATTCCTCGGCAGACTCGGGCTCGCATCGATATTGCCATCACCTACAAATGTCTAGCACATGCCCCCCTCTCTTCTCATCCCCCCCCCCCCCCCCCCCCCGTCTCATATTTTCTGTTGCTATAGCAGTCTGGGCGGTTTGTTGACTCTACACAACCGCCGTCCCTAAACGCTCCTACGCCCCTCGTTTTTTTCCGCCAGCATCATGGACCCCGGGAGACACGACCCAAACCTCCACCTTCAACTTCTCCGCGCATCACAACAATCTTGCAAACCACGGTGCGACGTTTCGCTTGGAAATGGTGGGCATCGAAGGCGTGGCTTTCCCAGCTGGCGGGCTCTCGCTCGAGAACAAAGGAAGCGACGCCCTCTACTGGCAGGACCCAATGGACCCAGAGGACGATGTAGGATCGGCGGATCTCTTTGACCAATTTGTGGTCCTCGACGACGCTGACTCGACCGCGGGAGAGGGCTTCGGCCAGTTATACGGAGCTACTGACATGCCCATCTCGCCACACGCTCTTGCAGCCGACGCAGTGCCGCCTACTCTACCCACCAGCGGCAGCAGCTCGAGCTTACACACCGCCTCCACTGCCAAGTTCCCCCCGCAACAGCAGTATTGGCACGGTCGAGGCGCGCCGCCCATGACAGACCTGACAGACCTGACAGACCACCCCGCCGGAAATCGAGGACAAAGAGACGATGGCCTATTTGCCCGCCATGAGGCACCTAGCGGTGGCTCTATTTCCGACTCGGAGCTGCTCAAGCTCGAGGGGCTAACGATGCGTTCTCCTCGCGTCCAAGTGCCCCCAGCGTCTGCCTCTGTGCCCGCGTCGCCTCCTACCTGGTCGACGAGCCCCCGCAAGGCCAACCGTCTGGAAACTCTGTATACTCGAATTCGTGACAACTTCCACGGCAAGCCAAGACCGCAGCAACAGCAACAGCAGCCACTGGCACAGCCCCTTGTGCTTGTTCCGGCCCCAGCCATGTCGACCATCAAGATGGAGTCGGCTGGCATGGGGAGCCGGCCGCGACCGTTTAACCTCCAACTTTCCAAGTCACACATGCCCCTGTCTCGGCCGGTCACCGGGCCCCTCTCGGACACGTCGCAGCAGCCGCTGGGCACAAGCAGCAGCAGCAGCAGCAACAGCATGGGCTATATCAACAACTACCTCGACAACCCCTTCTTCGAGACCTCTGGGCTCCCGTTTGCAAATACTACCGGCATTGACCCCCACTCGATGCCCATACAACCACCCCAGGGCATCAGTAGAGCCGCCATCCCCAGCACGTCGCTGCAGACGCCTCATCTCGCCAACTTCCCGCCAGCCAACAACACTGCTCAGTCGGCCACCTGGCAGTTTGACGCTTCTGCCGACAACAACCCCGACGCCGGCAAGATGGGCTGGCCGTCGTCGTCAGCGGCGGTGTCGTCGTCGCCGTCATTTGTCACGCCCGGCGGCCAGGACACCAACGGCTGGTGGGACGCGGGCGATGCCATGGACACGGACGCCGTGTCTTACCAGACAGCCGAGAGCCGGCAGGCCGCCTTCAACCTGGCCCTGCAGGGGTTCCAGTTCGCCCAGCTGCCGATGCACATGCCGCAGCCGAGGAGCCCGACGGGGCCTGCCGTGCTGCACCGCAACCACGGCGAGCTTCCTTCAGCTGCTCCGCACCAGTTCCACCTCGACGACATCAACGGCCACCACCAACACCACCACCCGCACCACGCCGGCAACGCCTTCCGGCGCACCCGCTCCGAGCAGCAGCTTTACCACCCCCCACCGCCGCCATCACAGCAGCAGCGGCGTCCCAAGCCCAAGGCGCCGTCGTCGGGCGCCCGCCACCAACCCCGGGCGCACCAGCGCAACGCCTCGGGCAGCGGCAGCGGCGCCATGACCAGCCCGCGCAAAGCGCGCACGGCCAGCGGTGGCTCCACGTCGTCGCCCAGCCCGACCCCCGGGCGGCTCCAGCGGCGCAGCGCGTCGATGCAGATGCTGCGGAGCACGCCGGCGGCCGGGAGCGCGCTCGATGGTGGCCCAAGCAACCCCACCGCCGTGCGCAAGCGGCGGTCGTGGACGGGCCGCCGCGGTAATGTTAATGGCAATGCCAACGCCGCCGCCGAACTGAATTTCGATGCGATAGACAGCCCGCACTACACGCGCCACCACGCGCGCAAGCCGTCGTCGTCGGCCGCCACGGGCAGTAGCCGCCGCGGCAGCGCCAACAGCAGCGCCAGCCACCACCACAACCGACAAGCCAGCGACGGCGGCGGCGGCGGCGGTGGCGGTGGTGGCGGTGGAGGAAATAGCGCGTTCGTCAACTACACGCCCAGCGACCACAACCTGCTCATGACTGGCGTCGCGCCCAGCGGCAGCAGCAAGACGAAGGCCCGCCGCGACCGCGAGGCCCAGGAGAAGCAGCGCAAGCTGCGCGAGACTATACAAAAGGCCATTGCCGCGGCCGGCGGCGACGCGCGCAAGCTGGAGGAGGACGGGATTCTGCTGAATGTTTGATGGTGCTTTGTAATCTCTTCCTGTCCGTCTGGTTGGTGTAGATGTTGGTGTTGGTGTGGGTGCTTGTGTTGGCGCTGTGGTTGTGGGTGATCCTTTTTACAGATATTGTTTCAACATTCGCTCCTTTTGTACCCCGTCCTTTCTTCGTCTGTCTCTCCCGTCTTCCGGTCCTAAGTCGAGGTCTAGGAGTGCGCCAGGTAATTGGGGCTTCTAAAAAGAATATCCTTTTGATAATATATCCACCCATCTACCTATTCAACTCTGAATGTTAGCAAACTCTGGCGGAACCAGCTCCCCCTACTGCTGCATGATATCGTCAACTAGAAGCTCATACCCTTACTACCACGTCACGGACATACGTTATGGGGCGCCTTCGTAGATCACGACGGTCGGTACGATAGGTCTTCACATCATAATAACTCGACGACCGCCTATCCGAAGTAGATGGCCTAGCCTGCCGCTATGTTGTGACGCCATCCAACGGAATGGAGGGCCCACTACCATGCAAACTTGAACTCCCACCCACATGGAAGATCCACCCAACGGCGTCAATCACGCAGCTTATGCTGGGACCTGAGGAGGACCCTTACTAGCGTCTGAAACTCGTCCCAGGAAAGATCATTGAGGACACGGACGACGAGGACAAGGGGCTCTTCGAACTAGACAAGATTCTGAAGAGAAGGGCCACCTGGAGAGGTGGAAGGTGTGTTGTTGTCCTGTCTTGCTGATGTTTATCTACGGAGGTGACCCTTTAATACTCTACTCCGCTCTATAAGCTATACGTATGCACATACGGCGGACATTTTTAAGTTTTGAATCATCCTTGGCCTTGTCGATATTCTCGTAGGACAAACACAAACACAAACACAATACCTGATGCGCAGCCTGTTGCACTGCACCGCAATTTTTAGCTCCAACGAGACCATCGACCTCAAAGCACTTACACCCGAAGGGCTTGTTGGGCCATTACGTACAAGTAGAACTTGAGAGCCCTCCTTGGGGCTAAAAATCGCAGTGCCGCGTCGCGGTGCCTTCCGATAGGTCCATAGAGGAGCGCAGAGGAGGTAAGAATTCGATGGCCTCCTTGGAGCTAGAAATTGCAGTGTGGCGACAACAGTTGCTCAACGCGTGCTTTGATCTCGATGGCCCCCTTGGAGCTAAAAATTGCAGTGCAAGTTTTTTTTCTATGCACATCCGTAGATAAGAAAGTTAAAGTCTTATTGATGGGAGTCAAGGAGGCTGTGGTAAACATGAGTGTCAGTGGAACCCCTTTGCCGGCCTTTTGCTGCAAGCCAACTTGTCAGAAGAATTGAAGAATTAAGACACATCTCTAGATGAGGCAACAAAACCCGCCAGAAGTTGGGGCTGCAAAGCCTGCCTCCCAGAAATGACGGGCCCTTGGGCCTCAACTTCCATGGTTGTAACTGACATTGCCTAGCAAGGTAGAAATGCACAGCACATACACCAGCTCAAAGCTCGGATGTCAGAAAGGAATATGACCGGCTCGGAGCCACACGAACTCTCTCATGTGAGTATGGCAAGCGCCAAGCAGGACGCTTCCCAGACCTCATTGTTCGCGCAATACTTGTGTGCTTCGGTAGTCAATACGGCAGGAATTATTGGAAAAGAATACCAGCCTGGGAAAGCCTAGCAACGCATTTGCAAAAAGATAGATATACTAGGGATCTTTGGGATTCTATATTAGGGCCTTAACGGCTGTTGCCTCTTTCAGAGAAACCCCTTCGGCGGGGGCAGCCGTTTTTGAGATGTCTAAGCAGACCTTTTCTTAAACGACTCAGTTGTTATTGTATCACCAATAACGGGGGATACATGACAAAAACCTACGAGGGGGCTGTAGTTGCACTGGTGGGGTTGGTCAATCAATAAAATAGTCGATCGGAAGAAAGGGACTGTTGGTCAACCTGGCAACGGGGAAGAAAGGGGTTGTCTTCCATGGCAGATGTCAATATCCTCTTTGTGCCGCCGAACTGCTATTGTAATCCGCATTTTCTTGTAATCGTGAAACTTTGTGTTAGCAATGATTGCCTAGCTGGCCTTGTTCGTGGACACGGAAGTTGATCTATCCCCGTTCGTTTTATTTCTTGTCTCGACAGCCCAACCCACCTCCACAACATGCCCCCCTTTCCGATATAACGAGCTTTTGCTGATCCGACAGACACATACGACCATACCAATTGGAAAATTCGGGATCCCGTCCGCTCTCCCAGTCAGACAAACCAATGAGGGCCAGACTAGTAGCTAGGAGTTGGTGACGACCAGCGAATCCCTGGTCAACGTCGTATGTTTACTTTTTTTTTTTTTTTTTTTTTTTTTAAAAAAAAAATGTATATATATATATATTTCCATAGTTCATCTATATGTCAAATGTCCAAGCGGCGTTGTGTTGTTGCTGTTGTCAAGATGAGATGGTGGCTGGCTGACGACGTTGTACAGTAGCTCCGAAGTAGCGGGTCTCGTGATTTGCTGTTGTCATCTCGATCCTTATGACTCTGGCGCTTGTCACCTCCTCAATTGTATCTCATCTCGACACAACAAAACCCAAATACTGCGTCAAAGTGATACCGACACTAAAAGGTAGCCAGCCATGCAGCAGGTGGCCGTGTACGTGCGGGCCACGGGCCGGCGGCTCGGGCGCGTCAATCGGCACAACGTCGCAACGCTCCGGGGCGCGCCCGCCGCCGAGATCTCGGGCGCCCTCGGCGATCTCGGCACGCTACTACCGCTCATGATCACCCTAGCCCTACAGGGGTCTATCGACCTACCGTCGACGCTGGTGTTCTCGGGCGTCTTCAACATTGTCACTGGCGCTGTGTTTGGCATTCCCTTGCCTGTGCAGCCCATGAAGGTCCGCACATGCCTGACTCTCGTCATGCTCGTGTTATCACATGACATGGAAACCATGGACAATGAAGACAAATGACCCATGTGCTGTGCTGACGTGGTTTTTTCTTCTATCTAGGCTATCGCGGCAGCCGCCATTGCCAGCGGCGCGTCGCTCCGGGACACTGTCGCCGCGGGCGCGTGGGTCGGCGCCGCGGTGCTGTTCCTCAGCGTCTCGGGCCTGCTGCGTCTGCTCACGGCCTACATCCCCGCGCCCATCGTGAAGGGCATCCAGGTCGGCGCCGGCTTCAGCCTGGCCATCTCGGCTGGCTCGTCCCTGGTCGCGCCGCTGCCGTGGCTGTCGTGGTCGGCGGCGTCCCCCCTCGACAGCCGTCTCTGCGCGCTGGTCGTGTTTGCCGTCCTCGTCCTCACCCAGCGCATGTATCGGCGCTTCCCGTTTGCCCTGGCCGTCTTCATCTTGGGCTTGCTCGGTGCCATGGTCAGCATCATGCTTCTCCAGCGAAGGTCAGACAGCGAGTACGAAGAGCTGCCGCATTTCTCGCCTTGGAATCCGCGTCTCGTCGTCCCAGCCTGGGGCCACCGCGATGCCATCGGCATGGCCCTCGCCCAGCTTCCACTCACGACGCTCAACTCCATCATCGCTGCTGCGGCGTTGGCTGCCGACCTGTTGACTGCAGGCCATGCTGACAGCGTGCCGCCGCCGTCTACCACGGCTCTCGGGCTGTCCGTGGGTGCCATGAACCTGGTCGGGTGCTGGTTCGGTGCCATGCCCGTCTGTCACGGTGCTGGTGGCCTCGCCGCGCAGCACCGCTTCGGAGCGCGCAGCGGGGCTTCCGTGGTGCTGCTCGGCGCCTTCAAAGCCATCGTCGGACTGGTCTGGGGCGATTCTCTGCGCGGTTTGCTGCACAGGTTCCCGCGCAGCCTCCTGGGGGTCATGGTGGCCGTGGCGGGTCTGGAACTGGCGCGCGTGGGGGCCGCCAGCTTGGATGATGCCGCGGGCAGTGTCGATGGCGTGGAGATAGCTATGGCACGGCGCGAGGAACGGTGGACCGTCATGCTGGTCACGGCGGCAGGCATCCTCGCCTTCAAGAACGACGGCGTGGGCTTCGTATTGGGGATGCTATGCCACGGTGCCTACCGGCTAGCCGACTACGTCGAGGCCACGAGGCAGAAGAACAGACTGGCGCGGATGCAAAGCGAACACAGCCCGTTGCTGGGTTCGGGTTGATTGATGCCAGGGCACGGGTATGGGTATGGTATCATCCTCCTGGTAGGTAATAGACATTACGCATCGTACCTTCTAGTTCCATGCTTGTGTTGGTCGGGTCCAGGAGGAAGGCACCTGCTTCCATGTTGGGAGATCTAGACGGCCCGACTTACACTACTGGCACCACTAATAGCACTCCGGGTGTCGCACCTTCTTGGTTGACGATGTCGCTACTACTTCAAGTGATCTCGAATTACCTAACGCACCTTCCTGCCACTCCTCACTGCCCCTTCCTCTCCCTCGTGATTCTTACTGCTAGTAGTATGGACGCTTCCGAAGCAGTGCTCTACCAAGACGGACAACGAGGAGGATTCGCTTGCATCTGCAAGGACCCCGTTGACACTCCGTCTCACATGTCGATGCAATCGGGTAACGGTTGGCCCTGACATGACAGTCCGAGATGCAGCGAAGCGGCCAAACCAACAAATGGGTACAGTTCCCGGGTCCAAATCCTTCAGAGGTCCTGGCGCTTCGCTGGGCCCCATTAATATCCATCATCCCTGGCAATACGGGGCCCCCAGCAGCTGGCGACCGCGGTGGCGACAAATGCTGCGCCGTGCTCTTTATCTCCGCCGGCATTGATGCATGCTACTGCCAGCACGAGGCCAGAAACAAACAACAGCAAACGACGGGGGAGGCTGTGCCACCACGGCGCCCATGAACATGATGATGCCCGCTGCCCACAGCCCACCACCCCTCAAAACGATCCCGGCTGCCGAGCGGCGCGAGATCGGGCCACTTGGTGGGACGGACTGTGGACGTGTTTCCCGCTGCTGTGCCCCTCGGCCGGCGGCCCAGGAGAGAGCTCGGCGTAAGACTTGGGGGCGCACTCGGTTGGTTTATGCATCCCATCCTCCAGTATCTATCTCGTACACAATCTGGGCGAAACATGACGATGTGGGTGTGTGGAAACGTCCAAGTGGAATAAGCAGACACAACCACATTGAATATGGGATGGGCCGGCGCCGGCCTCGCCCCGAAAGGACAGGAGCACATGCCCGATGCAACCTGGATTTTCCTTTGTCATTCTTTCGACCCTTGGCCGTGCGGCTGCTCCACGCCGCTTTTACATTTTCGCTTCTTTCTTTTCTTTTTCTTTAGTTATCGGCTTGCGTGGCCAGTGTCGCAGCGTCGGCGAGCTGAAAAGCCGAGCTAACCCCCTCACTATTTCGTTTTGCACTAACCCCAGGCACCTTGCCGCATTTCCTGATCCGTTCACCGCATTCCCGTCCTCGGTAGGCGGGGAGCCGATCTCCCAAGGCGCTAGTAACTGTGGCTTTTTATCTCCAATCCCCCTCACCCATGACCAGGATGGACTGGGGGGCTGATTCGACTTCCCCAGTTCCCCCATTACATGATCCGTCATGCTCGCATCCAGCCACAATCGTAGTGTCATCGCTGATTGCTGGGACGAACCCGATGTCGTTTTAGGCAAAATTGGAACCCGGCCGCATTTTGAAGCTTCTCACTCTCCCCGTCTGCCCGGTCTGCCAAGCACTCACTCACTCACTCGCTCGCTGCTCACTGCTTGCTGCTGCACGCCGTGTGTGTGTGCCACACTAGAGAGTCAAATTCTTAGAAGCCGTCTTCCGTAGGTCCCTAGCTCTAAGCTTCCCGACCAAGCCAACCACACCTGTCTTCTGGAACGCGTGAGGGACCTTCGATCAAGCCACTGTCTTGGGGGACACGAAAAGGAAAATCAGCCTTGGCTGGGGGGGTATATCGCTGCATGGGGCGCAGCGGAACACTGCAGCAAGCAGCAAGTTCCAAACCCCATCGCCAGTCATGCCCGATAGCTGTTAGCCGAAACCAGACCCGTCGTCACGCTCCCGCCATCTTCCAGTGGGGAGAGACAGACAGCGGAGTTTAGTGTTCAATGAGCGGGGGTCCGAAGGGGGGGCTGGCCTCCGTGCAGTGAACCAAAACCGCACTTCTTCAGACAATGTCACGGTACATGTCCATGGACATCCAAGACCCGTCCGTCCAAGCAGAATCACCACACTTCCAATTTCCCAATTCGGCATATGTATTTCCTCATTTGCCTCCCCGCTCCTCCTGTCATTACAAGTTTCCATCCACATGACCCATTATCAGACCCGGTATGGATATCCGCGAGCAACAGGGCTGTAATGCCAATCGCGAATTACGGGCTGCGGATTCTCTCTGCTTGCTTGGCTGCTTTGCTGGGTTTGTTTGGGGCCGGTGGCCGAGACCGATGGTGACCTGGGACCTGCCATCCATCCATCCATCCATACATCGGCCTTGCTCTCCGTCTCGTCTCGTCTTTGCTCGCCCTCTATGCATGCATAACAGCAAAATGCCTACCTTCAGTGCCTTACCTTAGCTGCAATGTGCCACCCAAGGAGATGCATGTCTGTCCCCAATAGCTACCTGCCTAGATAGAGACCGGGCGGCCTCACAGCATCCAGAGAGCCCATCCCGTTTTCAAGTTAGCAGTTGGTGAGTAAGTCCTGGGCAAATAACACACGAGCAAGCAGGACAGGACGCTCCAGGCCAAATAAAGAGGAATAATTCGGTGAAAGTGCTGATCTCGATGGTCTGAGTATCCGTAGGTAATACAAAATACGAAGCCGTTTATATCCCCCCTTAATACATTGTCCCAAGAGAAGATTTCAAGAACAAAGAACAGAAACACAGTCTTGTAAGTGCGCTGTGAATGTAGACATGTAGGTAGTCTAGATTTTAGTTGTTGATTGGTCTGATTTTTCCTTGCTGAGAAAGAAACATTGCATGCATGCTTTGCTGACAGAAATGTGCAGTGCCGACCAGCAAGCAGTACAGACAAGGACATTATTGAATTGGCTCCCAAAAAAATAAACCAGAACAGCACACCTCTGTAGTCGGTAGCTAGCTATCCAAGGTATCAAAAGATGACCATAATTCTCTCCAGTGAAAATAGCTTAGTGGTGTCCTAGTGGTGTATGTTGTATATGTGTTGTATGTGCGCGCCCAAGGAACCATTTCATCCATCGTAACGATCATTAGTAGTGTGTGATACATGTAAAAGGAAAAAATATAGGAAAAATAAAATGAGAAAAAAAAAGGGACAGGATTGGTGAAACAAGGAGCTTCCGTTTAGCACCCATCGTCGTCCTCCTCGCCTTCTCCGTCGCGCAAGTCGTCGTCATCTTCCTCTTCCTCCTCGTTGTCGTCTTCGTCCATTTCCTCCCCCGTCACCACAATCTCCTCCTCTCCCTCTTCCTCGTCGTCACTGTGCAGCGCCGCGTTGCCAGCGGTAGCAGGTTGCACAGGCAGCAGAGTAGCAGGCATAGGAGTAGGAGTAATGACCACGGGGGCGGCGGCCACCACGAGCGTCGCCCCGCCGGGGCCGCGCCTGATGGGCGTGTTCAGCTCCCATGCGCCGGCGCGACCGGCCGGCGCGGGCTTGATAATGCCCACGTCGGGGCGCGAGGCCCACTGCACGAGCGTGGGGTCGTTGTCGCCGCCAAAGACGACGGAATCCTCCTTGCCGACGGCCGCCTTCTCGAGGTGCTTCGCAACATGCTCCATGCGCTGGTCCCAGGCGTCGGTGCCTTGGAACGCCTGGGTGCAGTCCCGCGCCGGGCACTGCATGTTGATTGGGAGCTTGCAGCGTTCCTGAATGGCCCGCTGCTGCAGGTTGCGGAGGTGATCCTCCCACTCGAGCATTGACGGGTTACTGCTGGCGCTGCCAGCGTTGCCGACATTGGCGGACGGCGCAGCGCTGCTGCCCCCGGATTTCTTGGCCGCAGCTTGCTTCTTCTTGATGTTAGGCGGCGTGTGCATGCGGCGCAGGTGCTGAGTGTAGAGGTCCTTGCGATTGAAGATGGACCCGTTAGGAAGATTGGGTGTGGAAGAAGGCGTTGGGTTAGAGGCACTGCTGCTACCTCGGGCCTTGCTCTTGGATCCGGCCGTCGTCGAAGCAGGGTGTGGGTTGCAAGTCTTTGCACATATCCCCTCTTGGCACAGCCAGTAGTGCAGGAGCAAGTGCTGGGAACTGACGTGGCGCTTCCACTCGTTCTTGCTCGCGAATGTCGAGTCGCAGCCGGCAAAGTGGAAGACGCAGATAAAGGCCCGCGTGTGCTGCTTCTTGACATGGCTATCTAGGGTAGCTTGATCTTTGAAGTGTTGCTGTGGGCATTCGCGACAAGTGAAAAGGCCTTTGGCATTGCTAGATGTAGGAGGGAGCGCCTTAGGCGTCGACTGTTGATTGGCACCACTGGCGGTGCGTGTTGGCTTGCTTCCCTTCTTGGACACAGAAGGCATCGAACGCGAAGGCGATACGCTGGCGGTTGTGGCTTGCTTTGTTCTTGATGCTCGTCGTGTTGGCGTTCGCTGGTTTGGCTTAAGCCGCTTGCCCGGTTGGTACTCGCCGTCTCCGTCTTCGTTCGGCCTCTTGAGAATTGGGGGCGCGGGCTCCTCATCCGATTCGCAGTCTTCGTGATTGCCACCCTTTGGTAGCGGCGGGTACTGGGGGGCTTCTGCCTCGATTTCTTCCTTGACGGCAGGCGCTAACTCGTCGGGGCTCGCCATTCGCTTTGTGCGGACGTCGAGGATGATCTGGTTGTTTACAGGCTCACGGTCGCACTGGCTGGCGGCCGAGTTGCAGCTCTCGAAGCTGTAGCCTCGCGAGGATAGACTGAAATCGTTTACGGCGCTCTCGTTTTCGCAGTACTCTAGTTGCTGGCTGGGGTTTACATCAATGGGGTTGACGAAGCTCTCGGTAGGTCCCATGCTCATGAACTGGATGGCGTGGGCGGGGGCATTCCAATGTTCGAAGCCGCTATGATGCTGGTACGGCGAGAGCAGGGTAGTGTCTGGAGGCGTGCTGGGGAAGTTACTGTCGAAGTGCGACTCGGTGTCGGCTGGAGGGCTCAGGGCACTGCTCTCCGAAGAGGAATGTTCGACAGACGATATGGGACTGGTGTAGCGGGCCGACTGCGACGGCGGCGGGACAGGGGGGATGCCAACTGTTGGGCGCATATGTCCACGGCTCGCCGACATGTGTGAGGGAACATCGGCGTTGAAAAAGGCAGTCTTCTGGGTGTCTTCAAGGTAGCGCTGGACTAGCTGGGGAGGATTCCACTTGCTGAGATACGGGGCCGAAGGTGACGGGCTCTGGAGGCTCGGGTCGATGTAGCTCATGGGGACGCCCATGAGACCCTCTTCTGTATGCCCAAATGGGGTGTTATGGTAGGCCATGTCCTCGACGAAGGGATAGGCAGCGCCCGTAAACATGAAAGGGTCGTCCATTTTGCGAGAGCGAGGGAAAAAGGCGTCAGTCACCGAGGCCGAGGCTCGCCCGGCGTTGGTCGGGCGGCGCTGGATGTGTTAAAGAATAAAGACGGAAGGTCCTGGGAGCTGCAAGGCAAAACCAGACTAAAGCCTATTCAGCCTTGCCTGTGCGAGACTGGACGAGGTGAGGTGAGGCGATGAGGCGTGGGGAGAAGGCAGCGCCGCAAGGTCCCAGTCGGGAAGGCAGGGCGTAGTTTATTAGGTGAGTAATAAGGTAGGGCAGGTAGGTAGGTGGGCAGGCTGGTAGGGGGGCGGGTGCGACAGAGCAAACCGCTTGGGAGGTCGGTCAGAGCGGGCAGGGGGGGGGGGGGAAGCAAGCAAATATAACAGCAGCAGCAACAGCAACAAGAACCACAAGGTAGGTTCAAGTCATTGGCGACTATATAAGGAAGGCCTCAAGGCTTAAACTCGACCCGGGTGAGTGAGTGGAAGAGGACAACAAAAAAGCCACACATAGTGTTGATGGAGGTGCAGACAAAAGTCTGGGCCGGCGAGAGTGGGAAGGCGGGAAGATAAATGAGAGGACTCGTATTGTAGAAGCAGAGTATGTATGTAGTGTATGTACAGTACCTGACCAGGCTCGATGGTGTCGTTGAGCGGAGCGGAAGAGCTGGCAGAGGGTGTCTATCTCCCCTCCATCGGCCATGGCATGGTATGGCATGGCATGGCATGGCCCTGCCCATGGCAGCAGCAGAGAAAGCTAGGGCCGTCAGGATGGCCGTGGGCATGGCATGGCATGGGATGGGCGCTCCTGGCATGGGATGGGCGCTCCTGGCATGGCGAGCTTGGCAGCTTTCCGGTTCTCCCCTTCGCGTCTTCGCAGCAAAGACCAGCAGAGCCTCAACAAGTCACTCACTCTGCCTGTAGGCGCGAGAGTACAAGCAGGGGCTGGTTGGCGCTAGTAGGGGCTGGGAAGATGCCCGTCTTTCGCTTTTGCCAGAACCAAGCCCATTCGAGCAAGGGCCCCCGCTGGCGGTCTTGGCGGTCTGCACCCCTGGCTCGCCCTTCTTGACGTTGCCAGAGCGAGAGTCGAGCTTAATTTTATGTAAGCCGCGCTGGCAGGCAAGAGAGTCCTTCGTCCCGTTGTGTGGAGTCCCTGCGCCTCACAGGTGCTGCGCGTGTGGGAATAGGGGACCAGGGGGGGTGCTGTATCCTGGGTGTCGTGTCTGTGAGAAGTCGCTGGTAGTACTCTGTACATACGCGCTGTATAGGACTCGTGAGCAGTGCGACAGACTCTCGAGAGCCGAGAGAGTCGAGAGATGGTAGGTACTCCGTACACTTGAGTGTCCCGCGATGGGGGAAACTGACCTGCCACAACAGTGGAAGTCTCAGACCCGCTAGTTCATCCTCCACACCTTCTTGCCTCCACGCCCCCCAGCAAGCCCCGGCTGGCCGTCGCTTGCTTTGGCAGTGGGTGTAAGTCGTTCGCGCCCCGCTTGGCTTGGCACCCTCCAAAGAGGGGACTGCGGGTGCGCAACAAAAGCACCAAGTAGCGCAGCACTCAGCAGCTTGTCTTGTCTTGCCGTCTGTACGCCCACGCCATCCGTCCGCCGGTTTCGCCAATTTACCCCACCGATTTGCCCATTCCGTCTGCTACCCACGCACCGATAACAAAATCACCTGCGAGGGCCTGAGAAGTGAGAAGGTTGAGGCTCTGCTGCCAGAACAAAGGCTGGGGGCCGACTGCGAGCTCCCACTGATTCAACAGCGGGAACTTGACAAGCACCCGTCCTGGCACAGCTTGGCAACGACACGATGACATGGCATGGCATGGCATGCTGCAACGGACGACTCGATTCATCAAGAAACTCTACTCAGTCCCATCAGCCCGTCCGGTGACCTGACGTTCTAATAGTCTGATACGGACAAACGTATTATTTAGCCCTTGTAGCAATGTGGCGGGCACGGCAAGCCACCGGACAGCGAAATGTACTCGGCGATGCTTAAAATACCGAAAGGGGAGAAGCCAGGTGTGGACGAGGTCAGGTCTAGACAGAGGTTAGATCGGTCTCGACGTGAAAATAGGCGCACTCATGGCAGGTGAGGCGTTTGCCCAGGCATCAAGACCCCGTCTACGCCCCTCCGCTCTACCTTTCCTCCGCTAGACTCTACCCCTCCCTCTCCCCCTCCCCCAGAACTTCAAAAGCCACCACTTCAATTCTTCATGGGCCCCAGCTAGGCAGATTGAGGTCGGTCCTCTCGGATTGGGTGGGCGGTGGTTGCGAACGTGGAATGCCTGACCGCTCTGCTGCAAGCCTGAAAACCTGAAAGCCACCAGACACTAGAACGCCTTCAATGGCGACCCAGCCCACCCAGCTCTCTGTTTGGCGCTGCGCTGATCGCCGGGGTGGCATTAGGCCGGCGGCATTTGCCGTCGCTTTTAGCTTCCGTCTCGAGCTTCTCGGCGGGCCCTTTCCAGCTGAGCTTTGGGTTGCGTCCTGTCAATTTGGAAACAGCCTGGCATGTGCTATAATGCGTCCTGGTAATTCTAGGATGCCAGCGGGTCTGGGCTCGCTGTGTTGCTCTGCGTCGACTGCCGTGATTCCCAGTTTGGACTTATGGTTCGAAGTCGGACGGAGCGGCTCATTATCGCGCCGTCGCCGGTCTCCTCGATGCCACTAGCGCAGTGCCGAGGCTGATCGACTTGCCCTGCGCATGTTTATGTTTCGGGAATGCGGTCACCCCCATGGGAGGCGGCATGTAAAGATGACGGCATGTCTACCCTGCTGCGAGACCTTTATTAGAGGCCCCGAGCATGGGATTCCACGTTGCCAAGAAGATGAATAGCCTTGAAGATATGGATACTGCCCGTACCTTTCTTTGCGTTGGTGGACGGCGTGGGGCCCTGGGAATGAAAGAACGAACAACTCTACAGTCCGCACACCAAGACATCATCCGCAACTTGGGCTGAATAGACGCGAAAGATAGAGACACGCGGTTGGCATCTTGGATGGCCGACCAGTAGCCACCAGTGCAGCGGTAGGCGTCGAGAGGGCTTCGGAGAGTGGCCTGACCTTGAGACCTGATTTCAGATTTCAGGTGAACTGCAACAAAAGCAACTTTGGAATGGAAGCCGCGTTCGTAAGTGGTGGAACACCGCTGCTTGACGCCCTAGTCCCTACCCCCTACCCCTGTCTCCTCGATTGCTCTTTCTCTCTTTGACCGGGCGCGGCGCCCCATCTGGACCCAAGCTTTTTGGGAACGCAAGTGATCGAGGATCGACACTCGACCGTACCTTCCTTCAATGACACGCGCCGCTGCACTGTACCTCCACTGTAATAAGTGGGCAGCACGCACTGCTCCGCGGTGTGTGTGAATGAATGCGTACTTCATGCACACTCGCTACCCTCAAGCCAGTCGTGTCGTCGGACTGGTCACATTGGGTCCCATTTGCTTTTCGTCCCACAGGTCCCTTGCTTGCCGTGCGGGTGGTATTCGCATGTAGGAAGCACTGGAAACTCAAAGTATACCCTCCAAGTGAGATGTAATTTCTATCCGAGCAACACTCTTGCCCAGCAGAACCTCATCGTCCTTGCCCGCCAGTGGCCGGCCCCAGCCGACCAGGACGCTGATTCGATCAGATGGTCAATTTACCTACGACTCCGCTGCCCGACGTCCGTCCCCGCCGCCTCCTTCCACCTCAGCCCAGGTTCCTGTCTGTCATCATTCAATCTCTATTTCTTGTCTAGGTAGCGTCGCTAGTGGAGGAAGCATCTGCTCGGCCCGCCCCCAAGCCTCCCAAGGGCCCAAGTGCTTGGCCGCTTGGGCCGCTTGGGCCGCTTCTCAATCGCTTCTCCTCCTGTACCCGATCTAGAAGCGACAGAGCCAGAAAGGTGTGGGCGGTCGCGAAGTGCCGTCTAGCTAGGGCTAATCGATACCTAACGAGCTGAACAAAACGAAATGGCTTTTTCTCAACCCGCAGCGGCTATTCCCAAAGGAAGCTCCCCGTCATTCGGGACCGTCTAGGTCGACGAGCCTAGCCAGTTGCCGCTTCATAGATACCGCTAGCTTAGCTAGATTGCAAAAGCCGAACCGTGTATGTATAGTACATACCTTACATCTCTTGGGCCCTCGTAGGCCTCACGGTCTAGGTTTGCGTTGCGTACCCCGTCCCGCCCGTTCTCGTCCATGTGCCCTGAGCAATATGTGTCTGGTGCCACAGCGCCCTCTCCGGGCCTTGACACCACCGACAAGCTGGAAACAATACCGACGGTGGGGTCGACCGACACCGAACCTACATCACCCGCCCCGAACCCACCTCGGAGCGAGCAACAATGCCACTACTTCTTGCTGGTTCTATCTGGGTCTCAGGTTTACATACCTACGTAGGTAGTGATGTCGTCGCTGAAGTCGTCATTCAATCCCGATTCGGTATCCTGAACAAGGTAAGCGGATCGGATCGCTCAGGACGCCCAGCCACCAATTACAACATGTAACCCACCAACACCACGCATTACCGTTGGGCAAACGCCCTCTAGCGCGGGCATTTTTAATTCTGGAATCGAGAACTAGTTCAAGACGAGGAAAGCAGCAAAAGCCGTTTCACAGCCGCAAGAGACTAACGTCCGGATGGAGCTTGGGCTGGGCGCCCAACTAATCAGGCATTCAGGCATTCTGCTTTCTTTCGAGTCGCCTTCTAGGCTGTGCCTGCCTCGGTGAGCGTCCCATCGGGTAATTGGCCCAAAGCCGTAATTGACCAAACAGATTAAGCCTGGTAAGGCGTCCGGGTCGGAGCGTTAGTGTCGCAGCGGCCATGGTTGCCTCGTTTTTAGTGGGTGCCTAGGTAAGTACACTCTACTTCTACTCCAGATCCTCAGTGTTTCGTTAAAAACCTTACCAAGCTACATAGTACGTACCGTACTTTGGCGTGGCAATAAGAAGAAGACAGACAGACAGACAACCGTCCAGTCTCCACACGCGCACCCCCTGCATCCCCGGGCCAGTTCCTAATCGGTGCTTATGGGTGGTTTCTGCACCTCCATTCGTTGAAACACGCGACGCCAACGCCTCAACGATGCTTCTTCGCTTGACCTTGCGGGAAGAAGTCGAGAAAAAGAAAAGATCGTCTCACCCACTGCTCTTTTACCCTATGCTCGCCTTCCCTGGGTGGCTGTCTCGACTCGAGCGTCATCTTTTTGACGAATGGGATGAGATGTCGACGGGATGACCGGCGGCTGCCGAATAGGCTTTCCCACCTATCCGTACCTTGCTTGACAGCGGACCTGAAGAAAGCTTCACTTTGTCACTCCCTTTGCCATGCAATTCCTTTCATTCCTTCCATCTCATCATCTTACAGGCCGGAACACACGCAGCCAAGCCCATGCTTGTCTTGCCCATCCCAGCCCAGCCCAGCTTGGCTGAGGCGAACGAGTTTGGGAAATGCCAAATGGCTCTCTGCTCTAGTTTGCTGCAGGCTGCGTTCTCCCCCGTCTTGACGGTCGTCCTCCCGGCTGCTTGCTTCCCCGTATGCATGTTCTGTTAGCTCGACTCCCCCAAAAAGCCACCTCTTTCCAAATCTCAAAAAAGACTGGGCTAAATAAAGACAAGACGATTTGACGCCTCGTTCTTATTCGATAAAAACACTCTGAAGAAGACAAAACCCCATTTGTCTTTCATGTGATCAAGTATGGTGACGACAGTACGGTAAACTTCTCCCATCCTATTCCAGACAGACGGAAAATGCGGTGGCACTGCGGTTTTCGGTCTCCTCCCCACCTCCTGCTCTCTCCCATTTGCCTCTTCGCCGAGATTCACTAGTGCTGTATATGCCAAAAGCCCTCAACGTAAACCCAAGGAAACGTAGCCAGCCATGTGGAAGTCTCGAGTCGGCAATACAACGGAACAGTTGCCTACGGAATTACCTACCCTCCATTGGCTATAATGTACATATTTACAAAGAAGCCCGGAAACATGAAGACCTCTACACTACTAAGGTACTAATATAATACAATACAATACCTTGCCTACGGATAAAAATAAAACAGAGAATTAACCAACCACCGCCATCACCACCGCGCCCACATGTCCCCGTCTCAGTACGTAGTCCTCTCGTTGCCGCCACCACCACCACCATCGCCTGGCCCTCCTACGTACGCAAGTAAGTAAGTAAATTCCATATTTCTGCAGGTCTGCCTGCGTGGCCTATCTTCCTTACTTGGCAGCCGCCGTCCGACGGGACCTACATAACATACACACACATCCCAACTGTAGGTAATAATAACAATAACTAACTCAGCTGAGCTACCTACCTAACATCCGTCCCTCCATCTGGCAAGCCATCCGCTCTCCCCTCCATCCCTCCACCTCCCATCATCATCATCCCATAATCACCACCCTCGTCATCAGCCGCAGCTGATCCGTAGGTCTCATCATTTTTCTTGCCACTCTCTCCTCCCTCTTTCCTCTTTGACGAAATAAATCTTTCCTTTCTGCTCTGTTTCAGTCTACCTCCCCCCTGCATGAGTCGTCGTCGTCGTGGGATTTTGGTTCGCTAAGCTAAGCTAAGCGCGCGGTTTTCGGCAGGGAGGCGGACTTCGGAGAGACGAACGGAGAAAAAAAAAGGATTGCATACCTACCTAAGGCAGGATGGCCGGTTGAAAGTACCAAGATCTAAACTTCAGACTTGTCCTGCAGCGCATCCATCCGCAAGTAGGCGTCTTTGCAAGTACTGTATAGTACATCCGAATCGTGTTCATTGCTCGTAAACCTGCACTGCTAGCTGTGCTGAAAAAAAATCAAAAAAGAACCCAACAAACGCCACCTCCAGAGCGCCAAAACATGCAGAATCCCAACCATTCCATCCGCTGTAGTAATCCCAAAGTCGTGTCTGTTGAAGCCCGCTACCTCTTTCCCAGGGGTATTATGCCAAAAATATCATTCCACTTATAAAACACGAGAACCGAGAATATATACGCAAGTCGTGTAAAATCTCAAGTCATTAGGACTCGAGCCATCAAGACTCAAGTCATCAGGAGGACATTCAAGCCCGCTTTTCCTCGGTGATATTGTGTGTCCTCACTCGGCAAGTATCGCATCGCCTATGGCCACACTGTGATTCCAAACACGTAGCCGTCATGTCTGGACTCCAATAGTTTTTGCAGGCACACTAAGACGGGAGGGTCAGCTGAGTCGACAACGGGTAGGTTCAGGGGGCAGCGGGGACCAATCTTACACAGGACCAAAACACGTCATTCCCAGCTTTGGCACGTTTGGCTCGCTGCGAAAAGTCGTCGTCACTCGACTCGGCGCTTCGTTTTTGAGGTTTATCTGAGTGCCGGGTCGGCGGCCCCGAGTCTTCGGGACTCTGTTTGGCCCGCCTCGCGTTCTTGCCTGGCGCCAACTCGAAGGCGTTGAGTGTGATGTCGGCGTCAACGTCCTTCCACTTTGAGATGTCCATCTTCGGCTCCGCTCGTCCGCTGTAGTGATCGTCGATATGGTCAAAGCGCTCAGTCCAAGCAAAGGCGCCGTTGTTCTTGAACTCGATCGTCTTCTCGCAAAATCCACACCAGAAACGTGTCTCGCAGTTGCGGCCGATGCGGCAGCTGTTCCACTTCTCCTCGATATTCTTCTGATCCGTGATTTCGTGATCCTTTTCCAGATGCAACTTGAGAGTCTCTCTCCGGTGGCAGACCCTCCCGCATTCCTCGTTGTTGGACTTCATATCGCATCTCCAGACTTCGAGTTGGAAGTGCTGACTGTTTTCGTGCCGCTTCCAGTCGTTTTTGCTTCCAAAACTTTTCCCGCATCGCGGAAAGGTGCACGCGTAAGGTTTAATATGTCGTTTTTCGTGTTTCCTAGAGAACGAATCAGCATTTTGCATCTAGGAGAGACATATGTGTTGCTGGCTAGACGTACTTGAGCTCGCAGGGCCGCTGGAACGACTTGCCACAGGTTGGACAAGGCACCGTGTTTGCGGCTAGGGGGGTGAGGCTAGCCTGGTTCTTCTTGGACTTGGCTTCTGCTTCTTTCGACTTTTGATATCCAAGTTCTAGTATGACCTTGTCAAGCACACTTGGATTCATCAACGTCAACCTCTTGATCAAGTCGCGCGCGTCAGTCTCATGATCCGCCATCTCTTCGTAAGAGTCCGTAGCTTTAGTTGTTTGTGGGCTGCCGCTGTATTTGAGCGGGGTGAAGCCCTCAAGGACACCTTCCGACGTGTCTCGTAGCGGGGGGAGCGTGATGTGCTTGTCATAATGGACTTCATAGGGACTATGCGTGTCCTCGAGGTCATCATCTGCATCAGCATCCAAGGAAGCATCCTCAATGGCGGCGTCTCGTTCAAGCTCGCCTGGTTGCTGAAGGACATTGGGCTCGTCCTCCTGTCCGGTCCGATCCTCTTCTTGGGCAAAAGTGGAGTCGCGGTCTTCATCCGCCTCCTGCTGGCGTCCGATATCCCGTTGGCCCGACGAATGACGGCTTTGCATGCCAGAACGGCTCAACATATCCGGGGCGATGCACGAATGGCTTCCAGGGGCTGACTCTTCAGGCAGAGGGGGTTCAACTTCTACCACTGGAAGGTGACCTTGGGGAGTATTCAACTCAGACATGACGGGATCCATATCAAGCTGCAAATTAATATTATCCAAAGACGCCTGGTCCTGAACTTGAATTCCGCCAGCACCAGTCAGGGTGGAAAAATCCTGTTCATCCATAAGACGTGGGTGGCTCGTGAGTTGCATCATGCTGCCCATTTGTCCGGTAAATCCGCCTGGGGATGCCATCGAGTCAAGCCGACTTGGCTCTAATCCAACCCAAGGCATATGAGGTGTAGAATCCAAATGGGGGTGCGTGTCCATATCTGGTGCAATCGCCTCGGAAGAATGAAGACTGACAGACTCTGAGCGCATGGGCGGTCTGGAAAGTACACACACAAACGTTAGCCAAGACCGACTGCTTCGGGTGGGAGGGCTTACTGCAAGATAAATCTCTCTAAATCATCGTTGGGGCCAACAAGATAGTTGTGAATCTTCTTGAGATGCGATCTGAAATTATCCGCCCTGGGCCACGCCTTGAACCTGGTCCTGCACTGCGAAATGTCACATCGGTATTTGGTTCCATCGGCACGGTGGACAGACTGCTTGTGTCGAAGAAGATCGTTGTTGGTGCTGAATCCAGATCCTTCTTTGCTGCGCAAGCACCCAGGCTCGTCACAACGGAAGGGTTTTGCGTGGCGCTGCTCGTGTTTTCTGATGTCTGTTTTTAGTCGACACACGATGCAGGGGGTCATGTGCAAGACTCACGTTAGTTCTGATTGTGTCCTGACGGCCGCGTCGCAGGATGGGCAAATAAGAGGATTGGTGCCCAAGTTAGTGGCAGCGCCGCGGTTCCAGGCTCTCCTCTGGCGATGCTTATCCGCGGATGGCATGGCATCTGTGTTTGACCCGGCTGGGAGCTGGAGGTTTGAAAGTGGCACAATGAGACTCTGAGTCTCTGTGTTATGGTCCGTATCGCCAGATACCGAGGGGTTTGCCAAAGTGCCATAGCCAGAATCGGAGGGAACAACAGTGCTACACTCGGAAGGCACCGTGGTGTTACGATAGATGGCAGGAAAATTTAGAGTTGTAAAATTCATGGGAACCCCGAGGGGCTGCCTACCTCCGAATCCGTGAGAGTTGGCTCTGAGAGGGTTCCAAGATTCATTCTTGAAGTCATGAATGAACTTGTTCAGAGCGAGATTATTATCATGCAGGACATCCTGAGAACCGCCAAACGGCTGAAGTCCACCCAAAGTCTCCTGGCTGCCCGGGCTGGGCGTAGAAAAGTGGGCATAGTTTCCAAACGAGCGCATGTCCAAGTCCGCCGGCTGTGGAATTCCATCCATGGTGATAGATTCAGGAGAGCCAGGCGAAGTTGGGGGAGGAGCGGAAACGCCTGGCGGGTGGAATGGCTATGTACCGAGTCAGTCCCCACGCAACAGGAAACTGTGCTAGACAACGGCAATACATGGAGTCCAGGAGATGGGGGCTCGTCATACCAGACCTGTAAATTGCAAATGTTGCGACATGACGCAAAGGTAAGAGCCAGCCAGCCGCCAGCTCTGGGTCGCCCAGTTGTCAAATTCAACAAACCAACACTTGCTCAGGCAGCCCCGCCGCTAGTGCGATGGAGATATGCAGTGTCCGGATCTTTGGGCAGATATTAGCAAGGCAACTACCGGGATAGCATGCCAGAGGAACAAAAGGCCGACTACGGTCCAAGTCGGCGGCAGAGCAAACACGGTGCGAGCCAGCGCAAGGGCGGCAGACAGGTCTTTGTAGTGAACAGTGGGAAGCCCGAGGCAGAGATAGGAGAGATGACAGAGACGGATAGATGGAAGGAGAGGAGAGATGACAAGGAACGACGACTCATAAGGCAGGCAGGCGAAGGGAATGGCACGAAAGAAATGGGAAAAGGCAGAGAGCTGTTGGGTACTAACAGGCAAAATAACAAAGGGGCCCGAGACTGAGCCGAGTGAGCTGAGTCGAGCTGGGCACACGGCGGACAAATCGGGGCTTGCAGATGAAATTTTGGTCGACAGAGTTCTAGATGGTGGTGTGGTGGTGGGCAAGTGGTGGTGGACGACGCAGACTGCGGACTGGCGGTCTGCCTGAGGATTGCAAATTGGACACAAAAACACCCGACCTCAGTGTCCCTGGCTGACGCAGAACATATCGGCAGCTGGAGGCAGATCTCGAGGCGGGCCAAATATTGGGCGAGCGGCGTCTCGATCGATATCTGCAGTCTACTCTTTATTTGGGTGCGAAAAGCGTAAGGCGAGGCAAAGCATTCGTCACGGCCCGACCAAGGCTCTGGCTCTGGTCTGTCTCCGGCTCCGTTGGGATGGATGGATGCCTGCTGATTGAATCGGTTGGAAATTGCCCGGCGGGCGAAAGATGCACGCGGGAAAGATGCAACGGGCTGGCGTGAGGACGGGGCGATGGGGCGATGGGCGATGGGCGACGGCGATGGAAATGGAAATGGAAATGATGCAGCTTAGTCGATAAGACTCGGCGAGGTGCGATTAAAAGAGGCAAGACCCAGCAAAGCGGGTGCCCCGTGGGTAAGCTAGGTATGTGGTTTAGTTGAAGACAGGGTCAGATCCCAGCGCTAGACAGCGGCAACGACAGCGACAGCGATAGCGATAGAGAGCACGGGTGTGTGGGCGTGGTTACGGATGCAGACGGGTGCGTTCACGTCAGACAGACTCCCGGATTGTAGAGCAAGCTGGAACCGGCGGTAGTGGGCAGTACTGAGTAGGCAACCAAAGTCTCGGCTGTCCGCCTCATTCCCGTCCCTCATCGACTCCTTACTAGCCCTCGTCGGTTTTTTCGGTGACGAGGGGGGAGTTTAAGCCAATCACGGCTCGTCAGCCGGCTTCGGGATCTTAACTGGTGTCGGTGAGTGCTGAGATTGGCAAGCACGACGAGCACAGGAAGGCAACCAACAGCGAGTCCAGTGTCAGGTGCAGGCATGGTGCGAGCCAAGACAAGCTGCCCTGTGATTGAGCGGCCTCTTTGCTGGCCGCGTCACGTGCTGCGCCTCCTCTCCTTCCTCTTCCAGACGTCTCGTTCCTATTACACTATTACATGTACGTACCTATTTCATAGAACTTTGAGTTCCTTTTTCCTCGTTTGTATCTTAGCGGTTTCGTCTTTTCCCTTCTTTCCTTTTTCTGGAGGCTTTTTCTGGATTCTCTGCTCCCTTACTAATTGAAGCTGCTCTTGCATCCATCAAATTATTAATAGTTTTGGTTTTATTTCCACCTCTTTTGCCGGTCTATCTTTTTTCGTGTCCTATATTTTGCTATTACCCGTACAAATATCACGACGATCAAATCTGGTTGTGTACTACTGGGAACCCCGACTTCGGCGGCGACAACCGTCCCATCGTCCTTCAAATCCCTGGCGTTTTTTCTTTCTTTCTTTTTTTTTTCTTTTTTTTTCTTTTCTTTATTTATTTCGCAAAGGCATACATGTACCTGAGCCTGACTTTCTATTACACCTAGCCGGTGCGGGTCGGCTGCCTCCACTGATAGAGAAGGGACAATTCTAAGCCCTCAACTCGGATTATTTTTACTCTTTTAAGTTCATTCTCCAGATGATGCCTCACTCTAGTATTACGACCTCTACGCGTTTCAGCTGATGGAATTTGCAAGTCAGTGACGGAGCGTTTCCATTACATCACGGAGGGTTGGTATGTACGTGGCAGGCCGGGTGGGCGGCCTCTGCTGGGCCCCTTTTTGGAGGTTCAACTTCGCAGATCCCCCTCCAAAACATATGCGGCTTCTGCAGCACCCCTCCAAAGCTTCCCGGCAGACTGCGATCAGATTCCCGAGCCGATGAGCTACGCGGCTAGAGGTTTCTCCTAGCTGTGCTCTTGGGCCAGATAAAAATCTGCGCTTGGGATTTGTAGTTGGTTGCATGACGCCTAGGCTCGCGGCTCCCTCGTTGATTTGGATGAAGGCCGCTACCAGCTGTTGTGGAACGTACCCTGACCTCAACCCGCTTTTTCCGGCCTGCGAATTCGGCAATGCAGCAAACATTGAAGAAGCTCTTGCTGGCTTGGCTCTCCTGTCTGGGTAATCCGCCGTCCACTGCAGAAACATGTCATTTTCCACTTCCGAAAGGAGACCGGGCATGGATGCCGTGGCAAGTAGGCCGTGGAGATGTAGACCGGCGTGGCGGCTCCACGTCCCCAGAGACTGGTATTCCACAACTGTCCTGTGTCATACCCGGCTTGTTTGCTTCGGAGCGGAGAGTGCACAGCACATCCTAAACGTGCTGGGGGAGGAACACAGCGTGGCCTCGTCCTTTCACAGACCGTCCGGTTCCATCCGATGTTTTGACGCCGTTGGCTTTTTTCTGCGACTTCTATTGACAACTGTGGCCCACTTAGATAGACAGATAGGATAAACTTGTTTGGCCGCGAAACTGCAAGCTAAACATGGCTTCGAAGATGAATCAAGCCATTTCTTATATGCCCTCGTCCAAAACTACGTACAAGCAGGTACTCTTGCTCTTGTAGGAACTGTTTTGGTCGCTTGATCAAGCGTTTCGCCTAGCCTCTTCGTCCGGTCTTTACCATCAAGGTCTTTGTGGCGCTCGGCAAGCAGTCTTGACGCCGTCTCGCATCATACACCATGATGGCCTACCTATTGCTCTTGCAAGTAGCTCTCATGCTCATGGTCCAGCGATTTGGCCAATACTGTCCCCACCTGTCCTTCTGTTTGCCATGTGCAGATGCAGTATCCAGTTGTAGGACACTTGCTTCTTGCCACTGCTGCTGATTCCCCTGTCCCATCTCAAGGTCGTCAAGTCATCATCCGTGGCCGGCGCACCATCTACATCAAGATCAAACCTCCAGGCACTCTTCGTCCTAGCCCACGCGCCAGGATGTGATCTGTCGTTCGCAGACAACAGTTGACTATTTCTTGTTGGCTTCCTTCCATCACGACATCCTGTTCTTCTGCATTTGTCTAACCGAGGCGTGCCTTCCGGCTATTCGTCAGCACGAGTTTGCAGGAGTGCGAATTGGCCTGGTAGCTGTGTTGATGCATCATGTTGGGAATGGAGACTGTCTAGACATAAGCTTTTCCATCTGTCTGCAATGGCCACACTTCTCAAACAAACAGCCAGCCACTACGGCGGCAAGACGTATAAAATATATACCTATATATATGTTGCTCTCGCCGCCAGTCTTCACTGGCTGTCTCGACACTCGGCCTCTTCAGTTTTCATCTCAAAGAGCACCTCAACCCGACAACTCATCCTTGGCATCTCAACTTCTATGCTCTCTTGTACACCAAGTCTCCAATAAACACACGCCCAGTCGCCAATACAACACCAACGGTCGCTCTCTGAAGGAGCGTGCCCGCTGTTCAGAATCGAGGCTCAAGCTACCTTGCTCATAGAGACCTCCTACGCCTCTCACGGCCTCTCAACATGTGCGACTTTGAAGAGTTCATATTCACCTGCGGGCACTCGGTCTACAGGCTCAAGTCGCATTGCCACCAAGCGCGGAACACCGAGGGGCACCGGTGCAGGCGCGTCAAGAAGCTCCGCAACGTCTGGGACCAAGACTATCCCTGCGACGACTGCCGCTCCAGGCTTGTCGAGATGAACCAGCAACAGCATGTCGCCCAGGCCCAGGCCCATACACCGACCGCCACTAGCAACGGCTCTTTCAGTTTCTAAAGGGTCGAAGAGGTCAAGGGCATCCATGGTTGGTGTTTCCCTTTCCACCCAGACCCTTCCTTTCCTTCTTGTCGAGGGCGTAACTGGAACTCACTCTCTATTGTCTGATCTTCCAAATAACTAACTCGTCTGTGTAATAGATAGTGAGGGGACGCCAGGGTTCTAGACGACGGGTTATCTACTATTGACGGATTTCACATACATGCCTGTCTTTGCTTGTTTTGCGATAGAATTCTCTGCGCCTATCTTCTCTGTTGGTGGCGGTCCGTAGACTAAGGGGTTGACAATAATCTTTCTTTCTCTATTCGTACAGCAATCGCATATCACAGCAAGGCGGAGCAACCTAGTTAGCTTGTAACTGTCAAGCGCCATAGACAGATGGGTACATAGTACACGTGCTTAGACCCGACTCTCTCTACTCCTATTTCCGTCTCTCATCTGTGACCGTTGCCCGTGGGTCCTTTCTACGTGACGTTGTCCATCAGCACGTAGCCTGTACCAGCCCTCGGTCGGGCTTATCCAACCGTCGTTCTCCACCTGTTCTCTAGGGAGCTTTCTCTACCACGAGACACGCCATCTGCAACACTCACCTCACCCAAGAATCGGAAACACGTTATGCGCCACCTCTTCCCCCCGCCTTGGCTGGGATAGAACAGGAAGACTATTCCACAACACTTAGAACGAAGCTACCATAGCCACACTACACCACTCGGCCTACCCGCCTGCCTGCCGGGAAGGAACAATAGGTAAGTACCCTGTTTACGTACTGTGCTCATGCGCTTGAAGACGGAGTTTGTTTTGTAGAAAATGGCAGAAAGTTGTTCCAGGCCTGCTCCCTGTCCTGATGTACACGTAATATATACATATATATATCTGAAGAATTGCATGCAAGCCATGGCCATCCCATGTATACAATAGCAGGAGAGGCATTGATCATACAGCACATACGGCCAACACACATGGAAAACCACTCTACTCCACGCACACATACTCATACAGATCTACGGCAGCACAGCAAGAGACGTGATGGCATCGGTATGCTGGTTGGCAGGCTGCGTGGCAGCGGGCGGGATCGGCCGGGGCCTGACATGGCATAAGCAGGGGGAGCGAGAGACTGAACGCGAGGGGGGGTTCAAGAACAGGGGGTGTGTGTATGTCAACACCCTCTCAACTCAGCACGAGAGGCAAGGCTCAGAGGACAAGCACGCATATGCACATACACATACACACATACACACGCATACACACACACTACCTACCTCCCTAGCGTATTCTCCCCGTCCACAGCAGTGCGGTTTCGTGCCAGTGTGTGGGCAGAAAGAAAAGCTGCGCTACCCTTCTGTCAAATCAGGAGAGTCCTTCTCACCCATCTCTTAAGTCTGTTGTCCAAAGTTACCTGTAACTAAATAAGAAGGGAAAAGAAAAGGATACATACCTAACCTAAGGAACATACATGCTGCACACCCACTCATCCACCCACCCCCCTGGAGGTACTCTCTCCTCTCGGTGTGACACACGATGCAGACCGAGCGGCAGCGGGTGCCACGTGGAAGGGAAAGCACGTACGCAGGGGTTTGTTGGGAAGAAGACGAGTATAGGGCCAACAAGGAGGGAGGGGGCGGTGGTAGGTAATATATACCTACATAGGTAGAGGCCATACAGGTCATGTATGTGTACAGACGGGGCATGTTTCTCAACGGGCCAAAAAAAAAAAAAAGAAGGGAATGAAGGGTGTGTGCACCTCTCTGTCTCAACGGGAACGGGAAGCTGGGGGGGGTGGGTTTGCGGGCGATGACATGGCAACCTCATATCCTTGTCATACTCGAGACGGAAATGATAGTAGTAGAGAAGCGGGCCAGCTCTCCTCTCGAGGGGGGAAAGAGCGAAAGCTGTATGTATGTACAAAAACCCAAACCCAAACGCAACTGCCCTCAAACCTTGCCCTTGTCCAAAACGTACGTCCCCCCAACAAAGCACGACAGGACGGGGCGTCGAAGCTTGCGGCCCCCTTTTCTTCACCCACCCCTAGGCCACAATTTGCGGCCTGGTGAACACACAAACACACACAGCGAAAAGTTTTCGTGTCGAGTTTCGGGAAATATTTTTTGGGGGTTTCTCTCTTTCTTTTTCGACTCTCTGCACTGACCACTAGTTCTCTTTCCACTTCACCGGCAAATCGTTCCCCCGGGAAAAGCGAACGAGACCGTTCGCGCTGATCGATCGATCGGCTTCAACCGCCGAGAACGAGAAGATCGCGCGGTCGAGAAACATGACTGCCGAAGAACGGAGAGAATATCGCAACCCAACGTTTGCTTGCAGTTCAACGCTTTGTGCTTAGACCAGTAATGAACCCAGCACGCACAACACACAAAACACAGACAAACATTGTCTCCCCGGAGCAGATCTCGAGTCGATATCGCTGGAAGGAGAAAGGGAAAGAAAAAAAAGAAAAAAAAGAAAAAAAGACAGCCGTTCTCCTATTCCTCCTCCCGATTGGTGGCGCCCTCTACTGTGCCAATGATATTGTACCGCTTGGAGAAGAAGGTGGCCCAGTCGTTGAGGGTCGACTTCTCCTTGTCGTCGAGGTGCTGCCACTCGGGCTTGACGTCCTCTGGCTTGGTTGATGTCTTGGCGAGGGCGTGCGAGGCGTCTTTTCCGGCGAATGCTATGTAGCAGGGGTGTTGGGGTTAGCACGAAGACTGGATGGACGGCCTTGGGATCCGAGCAGATATTTATATCTGATCCGAGGGGGCCTTTTGATCACATATATCCCATATATGCCCCCTGCACTCTCCGTGACCAGCTGTCTCCGTAACCAGCTGTCTCCGTAACCAGCAAACAGTCCGCCCTTGACCGTCATGTTGGTTACAGTAAACCACCAGCAGAGGCTTCCCTTGCTCCGGCCTCGCTGGGACACCCCCCTGGTCACAGACGCGGGAGAGTCCTCCTGACCGCCTCCCTCGGTGACAAGGATACCGCGAGGAAGTGTGTGTGAGAGAGAAGGAAAAGCACACAAAGAATCATGGCATCTTCACGGCCTAAACTCACCATTATAAGAGCCGCCTGGCTGGTAAGCCTTGTTTCCCGTCACGTCGTAGACGACCCCCTAGAGAAAGCGGCCCATGCCCAGGTTAACAACCACAAGACGAACAGAAGACACCACGGCGAACACAGCAGCGAACTGTCAGGTGGTCGTCTGAGGAGGTTCTCGAGGCGAGGCGGCATGTACCTTGATAGCAACATAGCATTTACCGCCCTCAGCCCCTGTGACGACGGTAGGTTGGGTGTCAGCTTCCTGCATCGACAACGCAACAAGATTGGTGACCACCAGCCCGGGGGGTCTCTTTTCATCAGACCAGACAGGCCTTAGGCGCCTGAGAGACCGAGAGGGAGAGGCCGTCCGACCGGCATGTAATCCCAGACAGCGGTTTATCCCTCAAGGGACGAGAGACGAGGACCGTCTGCATACCGTTTGCCAGGGCCAGATCCTCAAGGGAAATGGGATCGTAGTTGGGAGGGTCGAGGATCACGGGCGTCTTGGGCTCGAATTTGCCAGCCATGATGAGATATTTGCTTCGGGGCCTGGCGTGTAAGTGCAGGGTTCTCTAGCATATCTGAAAGCCACGCAGAAATATTGATCATGATTGACCCACCGATGCCGGAGTTGAGGGAATCAAGGTGAGCTGATTGATTATAGGCGGGAAAATGCAATCACTCGATATAACCAGGGCAGGTACGTATTCGTCTTGTGACGAAGTTTTGATAGACAAGAGGCAGGCGCGAGCTGTATCTGTGCAACTGTGGTTGGTGTCTTTGCGGAAGGCGCAGGGATGAGCAATCCATTGGATGACTTGTGGACCGGGGCTGATGCAACTGCCGTATAATATACACAATTAACGGCCTCAGGCATCCAGAAAGGCTCGAGCTCGACAGCTTCCAAGGCGCATTGGTGTACCTAGTTTTTTTTAGGACCGCGCTCGGCCAGAGCTTCAAACCGGGAGATCTTGACGACAGCGGAGTTACAACCGACGGCAACAACCACAGTCACGACACACCCGGACTAATTTCAAAGCATTCCGAATCCCATTTCGATGCCCCGCCCGAGATAAAAGCGCCCGCCCAGCCCAGCCAGCCAACACAATGTCGGCCGCGAGGTGCACGACAGCCCGACGACAGCCCGCGACGGCGAAGCAGCTTGCCCGGCTTGTAGCTCCGCGATGCCTCAATTCTTCGCCTCCGCCTTGGCTACTGTTGCAATTGGAGCTCGCCGCCACCCGCCAGCTCAGGGGCACCCGTTCTATGATCCTCTCCACTGGCCGTCAATCCCGGTTTAAGTCCAGCCAGTCGACCTTGAGAGGCGGCACGACCCAAAATGCCAGCCACGTCAGGGGCGCCCCTGAGCAACCGCGTCCTCGCAACCCGCCTAGCTATCGCCAGATATTCCGATTATTCTGGGACAGCCTGAAGAATCTTGTGGGCTTGGCTCGTAGCGATGCCTTGAGGGAGGCTTATCGGACGAACCCCGAGGAGGTCATTGCCGCTCTTGTTGGGTACGTGGTCTTGGTTTGGCTTGCTGCCCGGCACCAGAGCCCCTTGCTCTCTCGCCCCGATGCTAACAATCTGTTCGCGCAGCCTGATAGCTATAACTGCCATCTTTGGCTACGCCATTGTGCTAATCTTTACCTACTTCTACGCCGAGCAGTTCACCCGCTTCCCCGAGCCCATTGCCCAGGCCTTGCGGAGAGCCCTGTACTACAGCAACTACGCGCCAGACCCCCAGCGCGCCCTGAAATACTACCAAAAGGCCTTGGACCTATGTAACGAGATGAATCTCGATCCCTTCTCGGACGAAGTCATGGGGATCAGGATCCAGATTGCCGCATGGCTGGAGAAGCTCGAGAGTTATGAGAACGCCGCCAAGACTCTGGAAGCGCTGTTGGCGGATTGCAGGCGTTGGGTACAGGTCATGGAGAAGGAGGTCAAGGAGGGAACTGCACCAAAGACGCTGTTGGACCCACAGAACCTCGACGAGGTGACAGAGACGCTCTGGGGGAAACGAACCCGAATTCTGGCCAAGTCAGTTGCCATCAGCGTCAAGCTTGCGGATCTCTACTCGGATGAGCATATGCGCGAAGATGAACTTGCCCACGAGCGGCTTGTTTGGGCCGTCGAAACAGGCCTTGGTGAACTACGGAGACGGACCGCAGAAGGTCTCAAGAAGGGAGAGGGCGTCTGGATGAGTTCAGAGGAGTTGGGAGGAGCGTTAGAAGGTAAGAGCCACCTCGCTAGCTACCTCTGTCTGCCAGCTCTCAGAGTTGGTGATGCTGACTGGGAACTTGCAGCGCTTGGTCATAGCTACGAAGCAAAGTCGCAATTTCACCTGGCACTTCCCCTCTTCTTCCGCGCTCTCCAACTGTGCAAAGAGCCATGCCACATTGCCGTCTTGAGTAAGTAATCCCCTTCGGATGTTTTGCAGGCGTCGGATGGCTGCAGTGATTCCATCCGAAGCGGCCGACCCTGCCTATTGACTACACTGACATGGTGACTGCACTGACATGGTTACAAGTGAACAACATTGCGACTTCATTCGCTCAGCACCCGCTATTGGCAATTGGCGATGCCCCGGTGGATGGGCTGATGGAGCAACCCAAGGAAGCAGCCACAGCGGCAGAGCAGAGGGCTTCTTATCTGGCAGCAGCCCGTCGCTGGGCATCGAATGCCAATCAGCACGCGACGGAGCCGCAAGGTGACAAACGGACTGCAGAGTGCGACGAGGCCTGCGCTGTCTCGCTTGCCAATCTGGGCGACATCGCAAGCCTAACAGGCGACCTTACCAGGGCGCGCCGGATGTTTGAACAAGCCATTGCCATGAGCAAAAAGATTGGGTTCGAAGCTGGGATCACGCAAGCCGAAGGCGGGCTACGAGCGCTGTCGCAGAGCGGCCCCGTGGCGGTAGCGGCATGAGTTGAGCACGCCAATCAATCCCCCGGTGCCTGGCTGCCACTGTGCATTGTGCGGTTGAGAATACGGCGCTGCTGGCCATGGCAGGACGGCGTTTCTGCTTGGGCTTGAGGACGTGCTGGACGTGGCTTGACTGTGCGTCGGCTTGTGTAAAGGCGGCCATGCCGATGGTGATGTCCAAATCTGGGGACGCGCGGAAGAGATCCAGCTCGGAAAACAGGGCGATACGCCATATTCTCTCCATGAGTACCGAAGTATGTGTTCGTTAGAGAAGCAAAGCTCGAAATGGCATCTCTATACAGCGCGGAAATGAGGTTGGAGGTCAAAAGGCGGCAGCAGCAACAGCGCTTGATGGCAAGTGGGTGTACACAGCTCAGAGCGCGGCATGACGAAATGATCAGACCATTCCCGCAGCCTCTGATTCCCGAGCGAAGCCCATTGCGGTGGCCGAGTCGACGAGGGTAAAATGTTAACCACACCGCTTCGTCCAACTTGTGTGCCCCGTGCACGTGTCGTTTTGCAGGGGTTGCTGCCGGGGTGGGTTGCATTGGCGATGTGCGCAGGATGCAGCCAGCCAATGGCTAGAGAACGCTTGAAGTGGTGGTTCACAGCAATCGTCAGGGTCCTGGGAGTTATTTAGGGAAACGGAGATCGAACGGAGCGGCACAGGTGAGGCTCGTGAACGCCGCCGTTTCGCATGGCCCACCTGCGGGCTATTTCGGGGATCGGAATCCTCTTCATCCACCTCATCTACGTGCTGACGATAAGTAATCGGGGGCGCTTTGGATTCGCTGGAGAAGATACTACGTCATGAATCGGGAAACAACGGCCTCTCTCTCTCTTCAGGCTCTCAGCACTCCTCAGCTCTGGGACGTCTCTGGCAGGGAAGGGAGTGCTGGCCTTGGTGTCTGGCGAACAACTCGTTCCCCCCGCGCAGCGGACAACTCGGCATCCAACATGGAACTTTCGGCACGACGTTGTGAAGTGTTTCATTCTGCATCGCATCATCAACTTGCATCCGGGGATGCGAGTTCTTATCATCAGAGGAAAACATCCGCCCGCTCGTCTTGCGCCATCTAGAAGGTATTCAATACAAAGGATGCTGGTGATGTCGCATTGATATCCATGGATGCTCCCCGTGCGAGGGGGAAGTGAGCCGGGCCAGATCGCGACAAAAGCAAAAGTGGATTTACAAGGGACATGATTGGCGGCATGGATGTCTCGCACCCGCCAAGGCGGAGAGATAATCGGCCAGACACTTGTGTAACCATGCGGGGGTATACCGGATTTACAGTAGCGCAGGTGATCCCACCACTTGCTGTGCCCTGTCAGAGTTTGGTCGTCCACTGAAAGCCGGTGGCTTCAGGGGCATCAGTGCTGCTGGGGGGGGGGAGAGGTGCTGCGGCTCCATGTGTCCATTGCATTGCTAGGCAGTAGGTACAGTACCCCACCCCCGGGGCACCTAGGCACTCCACTCTTAGCCAACAGCGGAGGAGCCTCCCCTTGTCCAATGTCCACTTGTCAAGCCCGATAAGAGATGGGTATCGTGGAGATGATCATCTGAATGGGGATTGGAGAAGCGAGGAGTACATGTTGGCACTTTGGCCTAACCAACACACGGCCGCCAGCCAGCGAGCGAAAATTAGGGTCTCTGGGCCTCTGAGCAGCGAGGGGTCTTGGGTCTGGAGCAGTCGCTCCGATCTGTCTTGTACCTCACGCAGTCCCGCACGCCCAAGCGCAAGTACCGCGAGAAGTACCCAATGCCGCACGCGTAATGTGCATACCTCACTACCGACGCAAGAGGGGGAGAAAAACACCTCAGTCGGCAATGACCTGCCATGCCATCGGATCAGACATTGAAGGCATACAGGCAGACGGATGGACTGACAAGACAGAGATCCGATGGCACCATCACCACCCAAAATACGGTCCGTTCACTCGAGTGCGAGATACGTGTATCGATGTACACAAATTACCATTAGACAGCAAGAACAGAGAAGAGAGGGCGCGCTCAGGGAAAGTGCGCACCGTGCCTAACCTTACGGACACGGTGATTCCCACAGTCGGGATTCACACCAAACATGGGGTATGAGGCCCGTTTCTCATTGGCTGCCTCACCCAAAAGTCGGAGTCTTGGCTCTTTGGCTCGTCGCTGCCCCACTCACTTAAGCTTAAATCGAACGGAGCTGTTGTGCACCCACCCAGAGGGGCCCGTCTTATGTGTGTGTGCGGCCCGCACACTGTTTTTTCCCCCTCGTGTTTGGTCTTGGCGTTTTTGGTGGTGTTCTGGACTCTTTGAGCGCTCTCCGGCAAATTCTTTCGTCTCTGAGATGCTGCTGTTGTTGTGCTGCAAGCAGAGAATGCCGCATACCATCTCCCCTCTATATGCTGTACTGCACGCAGCAGGTAGTAAGGAGAAAAGGGGTTTGCTTTCTACTGTGTAAACAAATCTCCGTAAAACGGCCCGGTAATTTTACTGATTGACGTTATTTGAACTAATAGGCGGTTTTATTTGTTGATTATCTATACAATTTTGCTCGCTAATTATATATCCGCTCGCTAATGATGCTAGCGATGCTGCCGCGGCCGCCGCTGCACGCAACACACAACCTAAACGCGCAAGTCTGAAATATTTGGGATCCTGTTTGCTTTTCGCGGACAACTGCAAGGTACAGCTCAGCAGTGGTTGGCAGGATATAGAGAGATATTCGACGACGCCGCTCACTCACTCACACGCAATGCATTTGACGGCACCACACACAGGGCAACTCGGGGCATATCTTCAGGCACACACACACACAAGAGGCCTAAGGGAGGCAACCGCCTCCGCACGCTAGCATCTGGCTCGCCCAGAAACCGCCCGGTCGATGGACGCGGCTACCGAGTTCGGCTTGGAGGGTGGGCGGCGGGAGGCGGGAGGCAGGCCCGATAAAAAAGTGACGACCCAAAAACATACCATCCATTCCATATCCGCAGTCAGTTTGAACAAGAGACAGAAAAAAGGAGATAAGTCAGTTGCAGTACCTAGCCGGCCCCCGACCCGGCCCAACGCAACGCAACCCTCCATGCCTAGGTACGTAAGTACCTTTCCGCTGCTTTCTGAAACAACGACACTCGTATGACAACAACACACAATACGTGCAGAAAGACAGGAAAATAGGAGTAGAGCAACTCACTGTCTGTCTGCATGTCTCCCCCTCCACTGTTACCGAGTAAGCCCGTAAAAGTCCATCATCATCCGATCGGCAATCTACCCTATGCTATGCTCTGTCTCGGATCTAGCACGGCCCGGGAATTTTTGCTGCTTTGCCTGCGCAGCCCGCCGTCAACAACGGTGAGGGGAATTCTTGTTTCCGGCCGGCTATCTCTGCATCACGTTGTAGCCTACACACACACGCACGCGCAAATAAACAACAGACCCGAGGCGGTAGACGAGCGGTGGAGGCTGGGCTTATGGTAAGGTAAGGTAAAGTAAGGTAGGAACTTGTGCGTGCGTTTGCCTTTGCCTTTCGCTTGTTTGAGAGGGATGTGGCATATCTTGGACCAGCAAGCACGCAGTCTGACAGACATACGGGCCGCGCTAGGTGAGAATGTTAGTTTTGCAGCGTGGTCCCCGCCCCCCTATTTTCTTTTCTTGGTTCTTCTCCTTTCCCCAGGGGCATGGATGGATGGGGGTGATGACAGCAGGTGGTTTTGGTGGTTGTGGTGGCTGACCAGCCTGTCGGCGGCCCCTCCTCCTTGCTACCCCTCTTCTCCACCATTTGGGGCAGTTCTTGGTATTTCTTGGCGAACGCTGACCCTTGTCTCACGAATATCTGATATATCGAATCTAGAGAGGGCTCAAACAAGTAAACATATTCTGCAGAGGCTTGTGAGAACAGGGGTGAGAAGGGGGCCGGATGAGAATGGAGTGGTGTCATGTGTCAGCTTCATGTTGCCCGGGAGGTGAGCTATTCGCCAAAAGAAGGAAGGTGGGAGTTTGTTTGTTCCATTTTTCTGTTAATTTCAAGAAAAGGGTTCGCGATTCTTCCACTGCTGAATCAAGTATTCTCCTCGTTTCGGATGTCTAATAGTGTGGTGCGTCGTCGATGAGCTCGCTCGCAACATTATAACCCTTTTTAATAATATTGAAGAAGAAAAGCGGGCGGGCCGACCGCGAATTGTAAGTTTGATTATTCGGATTAGTCGTTTTGATGTAGTGGCTTGCGAAACTAAATCCGGGGAAAATAGGGCTAGTAGCTTAGCCTGGGTAGTACTCAATCAAAAAGGGGGCTTGTTTTCGCTAAGATCGATCTTTGTCCGAGGTGGCCTTTGGAAGAAGGCGCGAACCTTTTGCTCCCTCCCCTTTTTGGGGGCAAAACAAGCGAGTACGGCTTACATCAGATCCTCTGCTGCTTCAGTGGCCCAGCGCTGTCAATTTTGAGTGTTTTCTGCCAAGATCGATGCCAAGACCGTTGCTTGGCGTTGGGGCTGGCCCCACGTGCGGATGCTTTCCCCTGATGTAAGGCACGATACGATACGGGGCGTTGAGGTACTTCATACCTAATGTAGCGTACGGAAGATTACGCAGTACGAACTGCGTTCCTGACTCGGCGGCTTCACTGCGAGGACAACGTAAACGTATAATCCTATGCAAAAAACACGGCTGCACCGATTTCTTCTCCCCGACACTTCACAATCTAGGCGGCCGGCCTTGGGTTGATCATGCCTGACTAACCAGATGCACTCAGCGCAGTGCGTTGTCCCCGTTCCCACGACCATTTCGGCATTTGCCAAGAAAAAGGGGAGACAGAAAGAGATAGGAGAGTCGCAGGACAACATACAGAATAATGCATGGACAACTCTAGAAAGGGTGAAAACGCGCCGAGAGATCAGACCTTCGCCGATATCAGGAGAAGAGGACAGCCCGAGACCAGCTGCCAAGCCCGCGCAGACACCAAGCTTCGGCGATGCCCCTAGCCTAGGCACCGTCAGAGCTGTTCCTAAAAATAAGCTACCGTGGTAACATGGAAGTCGAGGGGCCGCGATTCGGTTCGCTTGCTCGTAGCCGCAATGCTACTTTGACAGGCGCTGGCCACGTGATATGACGGACAGCCGCAATTTCTTCTCTTTTTTTCTTTTGTTGCTCTGGGCGGGTTCGCCCAATGAGATTAGCTATCAGATCCACTGCCAAATCTCGTGTTTCTTTTTAGGTTTACACCGACTTACACGGCTAACACTTGAACAGGCAGGTAGGTACGAGACAGGAACTCAAAGCCGCCGTTCCGATGACATTTCCCCCCATATGTCTTTCTTATCTCCCCGGCTCCGAATTCGCGTCAGCTCCCAAACGACCCGCATGTGCGCCAAAATGAAGCCGGCAAGGCAGCAGCTTTGAGCACCCCCCACCCTCAACAGATGGCGCCCTATGCCAAGTGTTAAGGTAAAACTACGGCGTGCGCGCTGAACTCGAACTGGACGAAACACATGGGCCACCGCCCCAAATGCACGAATTGAGACTGAGGCCGTCGTCTCTCAAACTTGTTTAGATTCGCTAACAACCACGTTTTCGGTTCTCGCCGTTCGAACCATCTTCAAAATATACTCAACTTGGCGGACTTGGCTCTGTACCTACAGAACAACATGCCTTACGTACTTAGAAAACTAGGTGATTTTGGGCTTGGTGCAGCAATTGGAGTCCCCGTGGTGAATGTTCACACCGTGCCGCCTTATCCCCGGCCTCAGCCGAGACATGCCGTCTTCGATATACCGCTGGTTTGGGTTGCTTTTCCTCGACATGCGAGAAGGGGCCTGCAGCATGGGCACACACCATCAGCAGCAGCATCGCGGAATAATCTTATTCTTCATTTTTGGCTTTGATTTAGAATTATTGTCCCACCCGATAACAACTTTTTCGTTGTCATCTTCTTCTTCACCTACTGCGGTTCCTGACCTTGCCCGCCAGGATTATGGGACGGTGAGGTGATGAGGTGACTAACACACCTCTTTTCTCTACCTTCCCGGCGCGCACTTACTAGTACGACACAGCACGGATATCAAAGCAGGCGGTTCTGGGGCTGCAAGTCATCTCATGTCAGATGCATGTTTCAACTCTTTCGCCTTCGTCTGGATTTCGTCCGAATTGCTGCAGGCCGTGTGCTTGCAGCTAACACCACCAGTAGCTTCGAAAAAAGGAGGCGCACACAGCATTTGCCTAGGAAGGGGTGGGAGGGAAGACCAAAAAAGACACGATAGCTGAAAAAAGAGGCATGCGTAGAAGGTTTCAGAAGGGTTTCTCGAAGCATTTTTGGCTGTTGGCGGGCAGCACGGTGGCGCTTGGCGCGCAGCGTAGCGCAGAGATCATGTTGGCCGTCAAGCCCGCCTGGCGAATGGGAGCCGCGCTTATCGAGGCTGCCTTGGGGGAAGGCGGCGCCACGAACAGCTCGCCAAAAAAGCTACATGCAGAACAACCACCGACTGGACCATCCGCTGGGCACAGCACAGTGGAGAGGGGGCCGACCCCAGTTTCTCTTTTCCCAGACGGCAAACGCCAAGAATCCAAGTCCTTGGCAGCTTCTCTTCCCGCTGCATGGCAAGTGCCGCTAGGTAGGGATCCAAAACGGCGGGGGGGGGGGAGAGGGGGGAAGGGACTGGCTAGAAACGGACCACGGAGACGAAATTCGAGACCCACGAATGGGATGAGAAAGGGCCACCAAAAGCCTCGGCAAGGTTTAGATGTGCGCTAACGAAGACCCACATCCGAACGGCGGGCGCGAACAGGCCCGGCCGCCTTTTTCAGGAAACCGTTGGACTGCCAGGGTACGGAACTCAATCCCACACTTGTCGGCTCGGGGGCCCGTCGGGCGAGAGATGAGAAAACGCACACGCCCGCCGGCCGGCTCCCTTTCTTGGATTTACGGGTAATTAAGTGCCAGAGATCTCTGTTACTTCGGTGATGGGCTGTTGTGCGCCACACGGTAGTTACAATGACCGGGATGGAGTCTACGCGCATTTATCATCCATTCCATCATATGATACGGAGAACCCGATCTTTCTTTACACCTTTCCATGCTTGCACAACCAGCATTTAGATTGCAAGTTATCTTGCCACAGGGACGTCGTAGTTGGAACTTTTTTTCATGTTGCCTCCGGGCCGCTAGGCCTTCGATTCCATGCCTGCCGTCAGCATCATCTGCACTAACATTTCCTTAGGGTAGTTTCGTCGACGACGACCGAATCCACCCTAAATGGTGTGGCGGCCAACCTTCGTTTTCTCGGCCTAAACAGGACATAGCGCCAGTATTAGAATACGCAGTTTTACCTCCAATACATCCGGCACAAGTCCAAGCCTCTCTCTCTCTCTCACACCTACCTAGCTGCCTACCTTACCTTCGTACGGGATAGCTCTCGCACGTATGTAATGACTGACTACATACCCAAGTACATGTGCTGCCGCTCGTAGATTGGCGAAAGAGTGTTTTGGGCAGGAGCTAATCCTTAGACGCGGCGGGAGAGTCATGGGCGACATGGAAAAGCTCTAGGTTGACGAAAGAAAAGCAGCGGTCAGAGTCTGAGCTCGCGGACGAACTACCCTACTCCAACTCTTGCTCCTGGCTTCCATCCTGCTCTTCCCGCGAGAGAGAGCATTGGCATCGGAACTGGTCGGGCGCGTGATAAAATACCAGGGAGGAATGCTGGCAAGGTATGGTAGGTAGCGTGTTAAGAAGCTCAGATGTCATCGATCGACCCAAGCGAAGAGCGCTCGGTTCTTCTTCCGCCAATTAACGGCCACCGTATTGGCAATGAAGGCCAGCCAGTCTAATTACAGCAGCCTGGCAGCCTGGCATCTGAAGGGGAGGCTGAGATCCAATGCTGACAATACAATTGAACCCAATAACGTGTGCACCACCACCACGCCAACGGGCCCCAAGGTCCAGGCCGGATTGAGGGTGGGTGGTGGTGTGGGACACCATCCGAACCTCTTGAGTGTAATTTCCGTCTTTCTGCTGGCAGGGCTTAACTCCGCGGGTAGGAAGCTCTAATTAGTGCCAACTAACTCACGACTTCTATTGAAAGTTGAAAGGCCCGGCCAGTGAGTGAGTGCGCACCGCTCGGGGCTGATAACGGTCCGTTTCGGGCTGCCACAACACGTATCTCAATCTTCCCCGACCACACTAGGTAAGGTACATACATACCTGCCGCAGGAATGACGATCTCGTAGGCTTTTCGGCCCATGGCGGAGTTACGCTGTACGTACGGAACATGATGTATGTACCCTGCACAGCTTGAAGGGCACAGCGCAACAGGCGCCCCTTGAACCCTGGAGCCTTGTAGGGCGTCGGCGGCGCCGTTCAGTGGCAAAAGTCACCAAACTTGGAAACGTTGAAGCAACCTACACACGCCATACGCACTTGCCAAGGCTTCGTTACCGGACGTACCGTACTGTACATACATGATCTTGAGAGGGAAAAAGGTAACCTGGAAACTCCGGATCTCTACCGCCCCCCAAAACGCGTGTTGCCTGGGACTCGAGTGAACCTGGCTTAAATGCCGCTCCTGACGTCAATGCCAGCTTTTGATCGAGCGAGATGCCGAAGGCCCGATGGCTTGTTCCATTCGCACCTTCGCACCTTCGCATCTACTGCAGATAGGTGACTCGAATATTGGCAACGCTGCCAGCTTTTGAGGTCAATGCCAATGCTGCCAATAGAAATGAACGGGGCCCCAAAAAGTCTCGTGCGGAGGCAACTCGGCAAGACGGCGGATGGCGGGCTTGGAACGATACAACGGGTAAGTGTGACTTCCGTTGTTTCTCTCTAACTGCCCGCGCCCTGGCTGCTATCCGACAGCACCTGCCAAAAAGCCTACCCGCCCGCAAAAGAAAAAGCCCGGGCTACACACTGTGACATCTTAATCAGCCAGCCCACGCCATTGAAATCGATCGGGCCCCAATCGTGCAGCTGTTGAGAAAAGGATAGAAACATCTGTGTATGATATGTACATTCCTACAAACATCCATACACATAGACAGACGGGGGCGGGGACCTTCACACCACCTCACTTATTGCTTGCCTTACCTTAGCCTAGGTAAGCTAGGTACCGCATAGCTCTGTATGTATCGGCTGTCGAGCCCCAACAAGCAAAGTGCACACGTCCCAGACCTAGCCCCAGACCTGGTCCCAGACCGAGATCGACCTTGTGGCTTTTTTTATCTCTTGCCAGCTATCACAGACTCAAGACAAGACGAAAGAGCTCGGGACTGCAAGACCCCAATTGGCAAAAGCTGACGCCCTCCTCCCCGACCCCGTCCCCGACAAAGGAGGCGAGACGAGAGCCGGCGCAGAAAGGGCGGTAGAGGACCTCGACGTATGTACACACAATAACAAGTCTGTGTGTACATGAGGTACTTACATGGACTCGGTTTGTGCGGCATACCTCGACCCGAGAAATTCTTCGACATCCGACACGGCCCAATCCTGGCTGGGCCGGGTTCTAGACAAAAAGACAAGTGGTCGTGATCCGTGAGGTGCCCCCGTAGATCGGCTCGGCTCTGAGATGGGGGATGGAAGGGAAGGAGAACGTTGAGACCAGAACTAAGGTACGGATGGATGTATTGTCCGTACAAGGTATCCGTGCATGTACTGCGGTGTGTAGATGTGAATGTACTTTGTTACAGGCAAGCTGGAACGGTCGGTAGGCTAGGTCGGTCGGGTCGTTCGAACCCTGCACTCGGCACCCTGGCCTTTCACGCCAGACACCTGCAGCCATGGTCGAAATACGTGACCTCCCGCTGGTCAACCACCCCCCCTGTCGGTGCGCGTGGGGATATTATGTACACGTACATGCAGGGCCAAGGGCTACCTAGTACCTACACTACCTACCTATCTACCCTTGAGATGCCACAGCGTTGCCAGTCGTCCTGATCGAGACAGGTTGATGGTGTATTTTTTTTTATTTTTTATTTTTTTTTACTTTCTTGGTGTTTTGGGGTCGCTGGGATGTGGACCACACATGGCTTGGCCTTCCGTTGCTGGAGCCGGTCCCCCCTCCTCGCTGGAGATATAACATCCACGACGCGCCGCCCCGAGGCTCGTCAACTGGCCCGGATCCCCAATCTCACCTCGTCTCGTCAAAGAGCCTTTCGCCTACAACACCACCACACCAGACACCCGGCTCTTACCCCCAGTCAGTCAGTGTTACTTCCACCCACTCCACGACCACTCTCGTCCCATCGCAACGCCCCAGCCCGGCCTCGCCAGTCAGACGGTCCATACACAAAGACAAGGTAGTAGCTCGTACCCACCTATATACGATACCACTTAGACGCCTCCCAACCCACTCCCCTCGCCGCATCGCTTTCCTGGGCTTCCCCACAACAACCGCCCACCGCACCCGCAATGGAAGACTACGGCAGCGTCGTCGACGTTCCTTCTCCCTCCAACTCGCTCTATTATGTCTACGGAGAATCAGAGCAATATCTTGACTCCAACACGTCCGAGTCGCACAGCCCAAGCAGCTCAGCAGTAAGTTTTGCCGTGTGTTTTTGGTGTGAACGGTGGTCGTCGTGACAGGTGGTGCTGACATTGGCCGCTCCTTTCCCCCAGTACGATATGACATACGCAGCGGAGCTCAGCAATACGTCTAGCGTCTACCCGAGTCCCGAGCGGGACGATGAGGACTCGTCTCAACCTAGTTCTCAGCAAAAGCCAGCCGTCAAGAGGAAACGGGAGAACCGGTACAAGAACGCCCCTCCCTCCGTTCTGTCGGTACGTACAGTACACCTTCCCCCTCCTCTTCCTTCCCCAACCAGCCCACCCCAAACGGAGAGACACAGCCAAACTAACCCAGTCTGCACTAATACAGAGGCGGCGAGCGCAAAACCGCGCATCACAGAGGGCATACCGCGAGCGCAAGGACCAGAGGATCAAGGACCTCGAGCAGATGCTCAACGAAGCCAAGCAGCGCAACGACGTGCTCGGCAACGCCTACGCGACACTGCATGCCGAGTACATGTCGCTCAAGGCGGCGCAGATCAAGGACCAGAGCTACCAGGCCGCCGAGATGGGCTACCGGCACCCCGCAATGGGCGGCCTGCCCGACGGCAGCGAGGGGCTCGACCTCGATCTCTACGTCTACTCGGACATGAACGCCGCCTACACGCTATGAGGGGAACAGCAAAGCAAGCAACGAAACCGCAACACACAAAAAATACCACCTTCCCCTGCTAATTCCTCTGTCCTTTTTTTATTTTATTTTTTGTAGAAAGAACAAAGAAAAAAAGAGCATTGGAACTTTGGTTTGGCTTAGAGCGGGGAAGGAGGGGGGGCAATTGTCGTCGAAAGCTCCTTCCGTCTTTTCCCTGTCTTTCTTTCCCTGCTCGGGGGACAAGCCACAGTCTGCGTGCTTTTGCCTACCGCGTATTTTTTTTTCCCATGTCTGTCTCAGTTGCCTGCTTGCCTCTGTCGGGCAGGTTGTCACAGAGGGGGAAAAAAAGAAAAGACAAAAAGCCAAATCCGAAGAGAGAAGGGGGGGCCAGCGGCGACGGCGATCCCCGTTTTGCACACTCTTCACACTCTCACCCTCTCACACACTCACACATCTTCACGCATTCAAATGTCCCAAGCCGCTCAAGTGGCTGATAGATCGCCATGACGGATGGGGGGGGGGTGAGGAGCGAAGTGGTTGCCTTGGCCACGAGGCCCCAAGCCCTGTCTCCTGCGGGTAGCCAGCTACACTACATTAGTTGGCTGCATACACCTTAACTAAGCCAAGAGCCAAGAGCCAAGAGCTAAGCCAAGGAAGGCATGGGAAGGGGAGGCAGGCAGGCAGGCAGCGTCAGGGGATTTTAAGAAAAAGCAGCGAAGCCTTATCGAACAAAGTTCGGACGGAAGCGGGGTGGAAGGGAGGGTGTGTGTCTGTGTATGCCATGTGCGTGATCTGGTGTGGAGGGTGGTTGACTAACTGGGTTGGGTGCAAATCTTGGGAAATCTCTAACTACTTTTCTTGCTCGTGCGCTTCCGGTTTTTTCTTCTTCGGGCTTCTCTCTAATTGTCCCTCTTGTGTCATTGCCGCGTTCAACAATACATCTATATAGATGGGACAACATCCGGACCTAAGTCCGTGGTCCGTGGACAGGAAAGGAGTAAAGGGTTTGGGGGCTAGCTTACGGATTTACACTATATATTTTTTGTTTCAATTTTTTAATTTTTTTTTTTCACTATTCGGTGCTCCTTTCTGTGGGGCAGGCTACCTACCTTAGATTCGTTGCGCAAGCGAACCACAAGGTCTACGTTGAGGAGGGGAATGGGGACCACCACCGAGCAGGGAGGAAGGAACCGCGAAGGAGGAACCCGCAGAGATACGGGGGAGGAAGAGAGCCGGGCGGGGGTGGGGCTCAGGAATTCAGTTGCTTTTGCATCAAATATCGATGAGCCAATACCGTTCGTACCTGTGAAAGTATGCAAGGTGAGCGCATGGTAGACTTCCCTTTCGAGACTTTCGAGGTTACACGTGGTGTGAGGGGAACGAATGCGAGACGGCGATGGCATCCACGGATGATGGGCTAAGCTCTGTAGAGTGCAGAAAGTCGGCGATCACTCACTCGGGAACTGCTACTGAGCGAACAAACGCAATCGATATAATGGCTCTGTCTAAATAATTATTTTGACTTGTCTTTTTCCCTGTGTTGTCTGCATGGATATCTGTTGTGTGTGTGGTCGTGGCTGCTGCCCGCCTCACCAAGGAACGTCCGTGCCCCCGGGCCCTCTTCCATTTGGGACGAAAGACCTCACCTTGGGGCCCATACCACACTACACACCCCACCCCCGCCGATGATCGATTGGCGGTGTTCCGTCCGCGTCCTATCCTAGAGGTCGCCGACCAGACAAGCGCAAGCAAGGGTAGGAACTAATAAGAAGAGACGCATGCCAAGTCAACGACGGCCGACTTTTTGCCGCAAGCGCAGGCCAACTCGGGCACAAGAGACACTTTGAGGCAAAGACAAAAACCACAGGCCAAGTGACTCCTCTCGGGATAATTAACCGCCACTTGTCCGCCGCGGCGATAATTATTTAGTGTGTAGTGCGTACAGAGCCGTTGCACTGCCCGGGTGCTAGTATCATTGCCCTGTCCGGGCTGTTGGAACAATGGACGAATATCCGTACCTACCTTACCTACCCCAGCAAACAAGCAACGTAACGTGATGCCAGACTAGCAGCCGCCTTTTGACGTTGCCTGCCTGGACCTTTTTTTTTCTTCCTGCCATTCTTATTCGGAAGCCAAACTAGAGCCGGGGCGGTACTTGATCTTTCAACGTAGTGCCTGTAAGGAAAAGGACACCCCAAACACCAACTGCGCGCACAGGGTGCGCGCCCACCACTTGTCACCAACTGGCTAGAACACTGCCAGCTGGCATACGCTACGCCGTGGCGCCACGACCGCAGACTGATGCCCGGGCCGAACCCCTGAGCAGGTATATAAACAATGGCCCTCGCCCATCTTCCTTTGCGAGGGCCAGGTTGAAGTCTTACACCAATACAAGTCATTCCTCCCCTACCTTCTTGCCTGCATTGTGACCACCTTGATCAGGCGTACCTACCTTCTCTTACAGTGCCGTTGATGTTAGGTGGGGGAAGGGAAGTGGATTCAAGAAGGTCAGTTTTTTTCTTATCAGAGAAAGAACAAAGCCCGCCCATTAAGCTTTTTCTACCATCAACGCCGACCAATCGGGTGTCATGTTCTGTTTCTGAGACTCTTTCCGAGATATCTTTCCACACACTGCCTTCCACCCCGCCGCCGCGTATATATTCGGCATTGCACAAACAGTAGGATTGTATTGTACATGTACATACATACATAGACACCTGAAAACATGTGGCGGTGGGGATGCCAACAACAAAGAAAAAGAGGAAGCGAAGAACTCCCGAAACCGAAACCGATACGCAAAACCACCAAACCGCATCCAGTTAACCACCACAAATGGTCAGTCAGGTGTTTACCATCTGTCATGATCTGCCATGGGCCTTGTGGGTGGAAGTGGTCTCGCCTGGTCTGGCGTGTGGCGTAGTTGAAGAGAGAAGAAACAAATAATCGTAGCGGGTCCCGTCCCCCAACGTCTGGCTGGTCTGGTTCGAAGCCGTTCCCGGCCGGCAGTGAGGTGTCCACAGACAGGGGGGAGGGAGCACCGCGGTGCCGGCAACGGACGGTCCTCCGAAATACGTTACGGCAATTGAGCTACCTGACAGGGGGAGACGAGCAGCGGCAGCGGCAGTGGCGAAGCAGAAAACCAAAAGACACAAAAAACCCCGCTGAAGCGAACGAGCGGAAGAAGACAAGGAACAGAAAAGAGATACGCTAGCGGCGAGGCAAGCGGCAGGCTTGCGGAGCTTCTGGGAGATGGGCCGGGAGAATTGGGGATGATTATATCAAAATAGCATCATTTGACCTTTCTTTCCTTTTCGAGCTTTTCAGCTTCTCACCATGCTTCCTCTCTTCCATCTCTCTCTTGTTGCTTACTTGCTACCTACCGGAAAACCCACCTTACCTTCCTTACCTTCCTTACCTTAATGTTTTAGTGCCGTTTCAGATTTCTTCTTGGTTGGGGGTGGCAAAAAGCAGGAGTTGGCGTTGGGATTGTTGACTCTTGAAGCTTTAAAATATTATCATATGTATTTCTGGGTCTGACCCCGGGAAAAAAAGGGGGGGCTGTGGTTGTGTGAAGGATTGGTGACGCTGCTTTGTCTTTTTCAACCCCCCAACACCACCGCGAAAAGAGGCACCTTACCTAACGTATCTTAGGTAACGCACATAACCCCCTGGAATGTGCAGTTTGGTGTTGGCTCGCATTCAGTTCAAGTTGTCGTTGTCGTCGTTCCTTCCATGTTCGTGTTCAATCACACAATCTCAATCCCGTGGTTGCTTACACACAACGATACGCCAAGTCCCCGCGAGCGCACGTCTTGAACAAAAATTGATTACCTTAGGTACACCTTAGCCGCGTAAGCTAGATCGAATAGAGCTTAGCTTTTTCGAAACAACCCGCAAAATCCCCCGCTCTTTACCGCTTTTCCTTCTTTCTCTGTTTGTGCTTAAATGAAAAAAAAAGGGGGGGGGGGTGAGGAGGGAATTGACGACGATGGGGACAAGGGACAAGGGACTGCCAGCAAGTGGTTGTGGCTACTTTCCTATCTGCCTTCCACTTGCAAACAACGAATCTGGGCTGTGCCAAGAAGCAGACAGCTACAGGAAAACAGTGAGGGTCTCGCGAATATTGCCGATGAGAGAGATGGAGAAGCAACGAGGTTTTACTAAGGCTGGGCAGAAAATCAGGCCACACTGGCTGGCTCGTGATGAGAAGTGTGTGGTTATCCAACGTAGCCAAGTTAAATGGTGAGAATAATAAACACAAGAACCCCCTCCTCACCTCAACAAAGCAGCAACACCTATTTCCGAATTTGTGGTGGAATCTTGGTCAGCTCTTGGTCAGCTCTTTACAGTTTGCTTGTTGCTCTTGTGACAGATGTTGTTTGTTTCGCATCAAGACATGAGGTGAGAGGTATCCGAAAGAGTCTCACCTACCCCTTTTGACTCGTGGGCTTACCTACGCCCCAGAATGAGAGCATCTCCTCCCCCACCAGACAGGTCCTAAACCCTTGGTTAGATGGTTTCTTTGGTGAAAAAGTGCACCACGTATGCTATGCAGCTCTGCTTTACCAAGTAAAGGCTTTGAGCCAATAGTAAAGTTTCAAAGGGAGAAATGGTCCGAACTGCCATCAAAGAGTCGAGGCCGGCTTGGCAAAAAGCCCCGTTGTTTCTCCCCATCTCAGCTATGTTGTCTGCAAGACTTCATGACGATGCCGCCTTGACTCTTCCGACTCTTTCTCGTGTACGTTGCGGGGTCGTGGCATCGCGTCTGTATCTTACCTTCCCACCTAGTCTTCATCCAAGTGAGGGCTTACAAAACCCGCCAGCCGTTGAAGTGTGGGGGAAGCGACACTGCACAGCTTTGTTTCGGTCCGGCTCTCCTCGTCTCCTGCAACGTCTTATTGTAGACTGTCCGGACGGCCTGTAACTAGACTAGTGTACCGTAGAGCTGCGTGCTACGCATGCGGTGCAGATATGGCATGCAGCTTCCCTGCCTCCCCGGTCCTCTTGATCCGCGAATGGGTAGGGGGCACGGCAGGGTCTCGTGGGCTGGTAAGAGTGGGCAGACGCGTACATCTGTCTGATCTCGGCAAATTACCTGATCTAGAAAGAGTGCTGACTCGTTGGGCATGCGCTACAACTCCAGCGCCAAGTGAG